TCCAACTCGTTTGAGTGGACGTGCAGGATTTACCTCGAAAAGTTTGGCGAAGTGTACTCCGAGTGTACCTGTTGGTATTGCGAAGGTCCGTCGTACCATCCCCTCTCCAACGGGAGTTCCGACGTAGCTAAGCATCGCTGACATCTTCTATCAGCTCTCCGCGTCAACTGCGTAATTAACAGCACATCCGTCTTCGGAAAGACCAAAGAACAGAAAGGTACGAACGAGACGACTTTTCTATAACGGCTTTGGTTGATACTTCCAGATTCGCTGACGCCGTTTTCCCCCTAGTCATCGACAGCTTCAACAGTTCCCCTGCCGCGGCCGCCTGTGACCACTCGTCCTCGGCCCACGTCTCCGCGCACAACGCTTGCCACGCGGACGCATCGTCGCCCCTCAACAAGGCCCGCGGCTTCCAGCGGGCCGCCTGGGCCTCCCGCCTCGACGACGGCTACGTGCGGGCTGTCAAGCGGGCCGCCAAGCGAGGCAAGAAGCTGCCACCTAAGGAGGAGTTCTACAACCACTGGGGCAAGACGTACTTTCAGTACGCCCCGGTCTCTAGCCCGGCGTATCTCACAAAGGGCATGTACGTGGCCGGCGACCCCAGCGTCCTGAACGGGTCCTGGGCCTCCTGTGCCCAGGGAGTGGCCGGTCCAAATGACATTGCCGCTGGGGGCTGTGGCGGCCCTGGCGGGTGCACAAACGCGGGGGTGAGTCCGAATGTGCTCTGGCTTCCTCCCGTGCTTTGGCTGATCTTCATGATAGGGAACCTGGTCCGGCCCTATTCGCGGAATGTCCGGTAAGTGTCACTCTGTTCTAGATCCCTCCGTTCGAGCCCTAACAAAAGCGTCCTGCAGCTTGTTCTGCTGTAGCTATCGGCGTCACCGGAGGAAGCTACGGAGGCTGTGGAGGCGGCGGAGGCTGCGGCGGTGGTGGTGGAGGCTAGTGAATTTCCGGAAGACTTTGTGCCCCCTCCCCCCGATTATGTGTACTTTCAACATTTCCTCATGCTCTGTTCATCCATCTAGTGAGTTGCTTCTACCATTGCTTGCCAGACGGGCCCAAGCTATATCATTTAATCAAAAACTTGAGACTTTAGATTATCAATTAGTAGCAAAAAATGTGTGACTATGGCAGAAATGCTTCCAAGAACTCTGGACTACGTCGATACGCCTCTTTGCCTAGCCGGGGCATATTGTTTGAGATAGGGAACGTTCCTGCAAGCCTGTACGTTTGTTGCGTTGTTACCGGTTTCGATTCGCAATGGAGAAACGAAATGTCTCCTGATAACCGTACGTCTGTTCTTTACAGCCATGCACCCGTTTGTTTTTTCTTTTGCCAATGACCATCAGGCTCGCCTATACTGTCCATTATTTTCGTTATCAGAAGTCTATACGATGATGCAGTGAGAAGGATGCAGCTGCATTTATAAAGAGTGACTTATATATCTGTAAAAAAAGGAGAAGAACAGTACTGGGCCAATTCAAGCCTCTTTGTCACCCAACCTCCTGGGTCCGAGAAGTGTACAAGTCACAAATATCCCCCACCTCGTCAAGAGCAAAACAGATCGAAACGTCAAGAAAGGGGTATCAGAAGAATCCACATTGCTCCCTGCTCTCCTCTGACTACCATCCGAGGAGATCAATGCGTGTTTCTTGTCTCTCCTCGTGTGTACCAATGCTGCGTTCACTTCATCTCGATGTAGTGTTTGAGCTTGCAATGGCGACCAACCTATCGGGCAGGTTGGACGTGTCATTGATGAAGATCTCAAGCGGCGGGTTTGGACTCCCGGGGGGTGGGGCAGGGCTATGGGATCCCATCATGAGCTATTGATCACAAATCAAGGGGCCAGAGTCACCGCGATCTGTCTACTCACCTAGACATTGTCGGTATCGTTGGCAAGTCTCAGTTTGCTTGGTTGGACCCGAGGCACCTGGCCCTTGTATGTTGTCTGTGGGTAAACGTGGGTGAATGTGGAAGTATAAGATATGCTTGCTGGGGTGTCCGGGAGAAGTCCAGCTTCGGGTGACTAGGAAAACGAGTTTCTGTCTCTTCACGGAGATCTCAAAGGGGGGCATTTATCCTTTTTTTATCCTTCTCGCCCATCACGTAGCTCGGAGAGAGACGCAGACTCTTGTCTTGTCTTTTCCCCAGTCTAACTCAACAAGACGATTTCAAATGTCATGCATCGGACGGTCAAAGGGCCTGACTTTCGATTGGTATATCTCTAGTGCGTGGGGTCACCTGGTCTCCTCCGCAGAGCGACGTGGGTTGTCCAACCTTCACAGCAAATAAGAGCATCCCGTTCCCCGTCTTTCCCCCCTCCCCTTAGCGGCGGCCGGAACGCAGGCCAGTGAGCACCGACGGCAGATCCACAATCAGACGGACCCTACCGACTTCAACTCTCTGGCGCCGGAGTGAGACAGATCAACCAGCCAACCACCAACACCCAAACAGTATCCTTGGGGCTTTTTGGTTGTCTCGAAGCTGACAAGCGCCTATTTTACTCCCATCACTCGTCCATCAGCCGTATCGTAGTTGGTCGACCAATGGACCCCTTCTCCTCCCGTTGCTTCATGGGGTGCTGCGGATAGACGCCATGGAGCGGCACGATGACGGGAACGATGGGTGCCGACACGGGTACGGGAAACATGGGTTTCGTATGCTGTGCCTCTCACCGACAACGACAACCCATCGTTTTTCACGCCCCGGTACCCCTTCACTGCAACTTTGGGGCCCCATATCGTCCCCTCCCTGGCAACCTGGGTCCTTACGTCGCCCCCTCCTCCTGTTCCCTTACCTTTCCCACATCAGGCATGCATGTTCTCCCTCTATCTGGCACAGCAGATTCGGCTGCATGTCTTCATTCAGAATGGAGACCCACCTTGTTGGTACTTCGATGCCCTTTGTGTGCACATCCATGTACCTCCGTGCATGCTGCAGCCACGTCCAACAGCATCCGAATCACCCAATCAGTGGCCCTCTGTATTTGAATCAGGGAGCGATTTCCGTTGTAGTGGATGTACCCCCCCGGAGGTGACTATCTTCTGCAGTCGCAACTTGCCGAGGGCAACGGGCAGATGGCGAGCAGGTATCTCTGACTTGTGGTACATGTCGCCGTGGGTTAGTCCTATAGGAAATCTGGGAGGCGCTGAAAGCGCCCGGACGCAAAAGAAAAGGAGAGCTGTTGTGGTATCTATCTCGTGCAAGCGAGCGCGGGGGGGCGAAGGAGGGGTAAAGCCCACCGGCATATGAGGGCATCGAGGGTTTCGTCATCCTTGATGGATGGGCGACGGATCTGCAGAGTGCTCATCATCTCCGGCATCTAGCTTTCAGATGACTTGACCCGGGGTTCTTGAATAAACTTTGGCGTCTTCCTAGTCGTGCATGTCTAAAGACGTAGAGATGTGCGACGAAGCACTGCGGTGGCGCCGTGCGAGATTCACGGAATCCGCCATGCCTGGATATTGTGAGCGTTCTCGGCCCCTCGGGCAAGAGCCGATGACGGACGAGCCTGTTTTCTCAGCTTGTCGTGTTCCGGTAAATAAAGAGAGAGTCAGATGAGGCCTTCCAGCAAATCATTACAGAAAGCGCCGTCCTCCCGCCGCGCGGGAGACGTCATAACCATTCGATCATCGTCCACGGGACCCACGCTTCGAATAAAACGAGAACGATAGTCTGTTTCGGTGCCACGTGTGAGTAGGTATACGTGTATAGAAAGGAGAGGTGGATGGAAGAGGGGGAAGAAAGCCACAATATGCTGGCCACGGGTTGACGGCCACGAAGGTGACAACGAAGACGGAGACTGCAGAGGACGGGGGTCAGGGGGAGTGAAGCCAAGCCCGGATGATACGGACAAAGGAATATCGTCTCCCCCGTTGCAGAGCCTCAACTTCGTACGTAGAGCCAGTTAAGAGAAGACCAGATAGAGACGGTGTGGTTGACGACGTATCAGCGTTGCATCCTGGCACGTGGGGGAGCAAAGACGGGATTGGGCCAACAAGAAAAGAAGTACAGGTTCACCGAGCCATCGTCCTCGTTTAGCCTATGCCATCGCAAACTCCTGGACCGTGTCTTTACGCCACACAACGTTCGTTCGTCCGTCAGATCTAACGGGCCAACCACGAGGGGGTGCGAGGCATGGCTTCTCACTCATTACCATTAGCCATCAGATCATAGCTTATATCTCGGACCAATGGTCCATTAGACGTGCCGTCAATACGGCCGGGGTTAAGTCTCAGGAGGGGTAGAGGTGGTGTCTTCCTCCGTTGGGTGCCGAGAAGAGGGGAGGGGGGGAGATGACAGCGAGGTGGCCGCATGATGGCGACCAGTAGTCGCCGGAAACGCTGAGACCAGAAGCGATTCCGCTCCAACGGTGTCTTTCCACGGTACATCTGCATCCCTCGTGGTGGTGGGGATGCCATGCCCCCCCCCTCCCCCATCAGAGCCCACCATCTCCTCTCCAAGGTTCTTTGCGGCTCTGCACGCTTGACCGGCGGGGTTTTCGGGGAGGATCGCATGCCCCCGACCTTTGCCTCTGTCTTTTGGAGCTACTACTGCTGTGTAGTGCCAGCGAGCTGGGTTTGAGAGAGGGAGGGAGGGAGGGAGGGAGGGGTGTGGTTTTGGTCCTCAACTGAGCACGCTGCTGCACGCAACGCTGCTGCGCCTTCCTTCCTCTTTCTGCAACGGAATGTTTTCTTTGGGGGCTTTCCATGCTCATCATTCATCATATCTCATCTGCTAATCGTGCAGTTCATTTTGAATATGGTTATGGTGGGAGAAAGGTGCACAGTTGGGGGCCGAAGTGCTGGGTGATCGGGTGCCGCGCCCAGAACCGGGAGAGGGCCGCTTTGTTGCCTCCAGAGTGCTCATCGTCAGGTGATGTTTCGTGCGAAAAGTTTTCCATTCCGAGCTCTCGTTCGAACTGGTATCTTATTAAAGCTTTGAATCCTTGCTGACCGTTTAGACACATCCGTCTTCCAGAGCCGAACGCCCCCGTTTTATAGCTTGTGCTCCGCCTCCCTCTCCCTCTTGGCCTCCTTCTCCTCCCTCAACACCTCCTCGCGACCTCTCACCTCGACCTTGCGCGGACCGTCCCTCGTGAACTCGACCAGAACGACCCGCTCCCAGTCGCCGCCGCGGCCCGACCCCTTGAGCTCCGGGCCCGGCTTGTCGAGCCCGAGCACGACGCGGCCGTCCCTTTCGCGGATGAACAAGTTGTGGGGGCTCATGACCTTGTGCGCCCACGGGATCTCCGACGTGGGGTGCCTCCGCGCCGCGGACGACGACGATCCAGTCACTGCTGTGGCAGGCACGCTCTCGAGGAAGTCCAGCAGCCCTCTGCGCTGCGAGGCGAAGTAGTCGTCCCCATGGCCCCGGCCGGGCGCCGCCGACGGTGCGGCGGCCTTGCAGAACTGCGAGACAAGGTGCAGGAGGTAGTACTGCGGTGGGAAGAGGATGACCTCGCCCTTGTCGGCGCGGTAGAGCCAGGTCGAGGCGTCGTCGAACTTGGCGGCCGTGTGCTCGACACCGCCGTCCGGGGTCGGCACGATGATCTCGTTCTCCAGAGCCGAGGCGCCCGTGGAAGCCGAGGACGGCAGCATGTAGATGTACATCTGCGTCGTGAAGCGCTTGGGCACGTTGGTGGGCGTCACCCATCTCGTGAAGGGGATCAAGCGTCCTGCGGCGGGTGAGTGTGTGAGCGAGACGGGGTCCCAATGTCATGAGGCGACGTGCGGCCGAATACGCCGGGTTCGCGCGCGCTGTGAGTTAAACATACCGGTGTCCGGGACGCCGCCCACGCTGTCGACCCAGTCGCCGAAGCGCACCTTGCCCCCGTAGATCAGCTTCCGGGCTTTCTCCCTGTCTGCGGTGGAGACGTTGATAAGCATAGACCTGTCGTTCGAGTTCTTCTTCGTGGCGAGGAGGATGCCAGTCTCCTCGAAGCACTCACGGATGGCACCCAACCGGTAGGCATGGCCGTCCTCATGTCTTTCGCGCGCGTTGTTGGGGGGGATCTCGCCGTCGTGGAAGGCGTCCAGATTCCCGCCCGGAAACACATGCGCCGACGCAAAGGACGTCGATGTCTTGACCCGCTGCAGCAGGAGCACCTGGTTCGTCGGTGAAAGGAGCAGGATGCTACGTTATTGGTGAGCTGAGGACGCGGCGACTCGATGCATCATGCCATGTCCATGTCGGTGTCCAGGCGTCGTGGGGGATCGCTTACCTAGCGCTGGGTCGAGGCTCCATAACCCCCTTCTCACGTTTCGGCGGCGACGAAGACGACGAGCGCTGCTGAGACATGATGGTGATCGGTGCGCCGGCGTATCGTCGAGGTTTTCCTGGTCTTGTTCCTATTCCAGGGATGCTCGAGGCGAGCGTTGCTATGAGTGACGTGTTTGAGCTTAGACCCCTGCCCAGGATCAGCGTTGCAATTGGATGGCAATCGAACCGTGATGAACGTATCAAAGATGTGCCCGGAAAACGGAGGCTGCGAGGGTGAAATGGCAAATTCATCAGGGCCTTGGGTCGTGTCGGTGAGGTGTCTAAGTTCCGGGAAAACAACAAGGTGAGCGAGCCAGCGGGAGAGGGGGCGTTTGGCGTCTGGCGTATGGCGTTTTGCCGAGGCTCATTATGTGTGCGCGCGCCCTGTGTGAGTCGTATCGCCCCCAAATGTGCCACGCGTTCTACCAACATCAAATTGCTTCCTCTTGTGCCAGTCACGAAACGTACGCCTGAATGCAAACATTCTAAGTGAGGGGAAAAGCAATGTTTTGTGTCTATGTATGTAATAAATGAATCCTGCTTTATTAATCGCTATGTAAGACTGAGTGAGATCTCATCTCACTCGACATCGAACATGAACCCCCATTCAAAGCGAAGCCTGCAACCGAAACACGGCGCCTAAATAATGTTCAATGGGGTATCATTACTGCATGCTAGACTCCTAATCAATATCTCTTCCGCTCCTTTCCCCTCAGACTCTCGCGCCATAGGCAGCACACGCTCTTGGACTCGCACCATTGCTTCACTTCGCTCGGCGACACCTCGCCGTCGTAACCAACCCTGGAAAGCTGACCCGTGTTCAACCAGGCCGTGAGGTCCTCGAGCACGATCGGATCATACATCAACATCATCTCGTGGAAAGACGGTTTCTTCGGGTCCGTCGTCGGCGGCGCCGACATCACCGCCTCAGTGATTCGCGTAAACAGGACCGCTGACTGGCTGGTTGGCGGCGATGCAGCCATTGACATTTCCGTGTCGTCGCTGATGGACACCGATACCTCCTCGGGAGGCGGCGAAAACATGGGCTCGGGCGACGACCCTGCCGATGGCGACGGTGAAAGCGAGCCATCCGATGCCGAGTCTGGGATCTCAATGACAACCGATGCATTGGCCCTTTTTACGCGTGACGACGATGCCGGCGAAGCCGCTTCGAGATCCTCTGGTGCCGAAGTGCTTGCTTTAGCCTTGCCCTTCTTGGCCGTCGACGTCGAACCCGTGGCCTTCACTGGCGCTGTGTTCTTCTTGGGACGCCCGCGACCCCGCTTGGGCGACGGCGGGGGAGGTTGAGCTGACGGTGGCGGCTCGCTGGACGGCATCTCGACCTCGCTGGTTTTCCTAGGACGGCCTCGTGGCCGTTTAGGCGATGTGTTTACCACAGGCCTCGACGACTTCAGAGCAGCGGCTTGCGCCTGGGAGGTCGTCGAGATCGGGTGGTTCGTGGGAAGCGAAGCGAGGGCCGTCCTCTGCTTACTCGTCCAGCACTGATCCAGGAGGGCGAGCATAGCCTGCCGTCGCTTGACCGGCTTGAATCCATAAGATGCAATCTCCCTGGCAAGCTGGTTGTCGGTGTAAAGGTCGAACTTTGGTTTCGGAATCTCAGGTACAGGTTTCGGTACTGCCGTCAGCTCGGGTGCTTCTGCTTCGGCTTCTGATACCGATGACAGTTGAGCAGGCGGCAGGCCAGGAACTGCTTTCGTAGGCGGCACAGAGCCAGACGAAATCAACACCGTTGGGGCGCCTTCCGGTTCGCCTTCCGTTGGCCAACCAGTTGAGATAAAAGGCGCCGCCTCTTTCTGCGTCCTGGGCATGTCACCACCTGTCTCATTGCCCAGGAGCTCGTCAATGTCCGGGAACGAGACATCAGAGGGTATGTGGACTGGCAATGGCGCCGCCTGTCTCTGCTCGATGGGAGCGCTGCCGGCAGGAGCCTTGCTCAAGAGGTCGTCTATGTCGGGAAAAGACGCATCTGACGGGATGTGAGCCGGCAGCGATGCTGTTTGTTCTTCGACGCCTGCGTATCCAAAGGGGTTGAGTCCGGCTGCTACGCCTGGGAGTGCCTGGGGAGTATCGACGAGATTGATGACTTCCAGGTCTAGCAGCCTTCCATCTTCGTCCCTTGCACCAACATCCCAGAGCTTCTGCTTGGATTCGGGTTCGATGGAGTCGCTGTTGATCGGTGTCACGAACGGGTCCTTTCTCAGCGAGTTCGACGCCTGCAACGCGGTCTGGAGATCTCTGAGGAATGTCGGCGAGTGCTCTCGTGCCAATTGGCTCGAGGTCCCGAAGACGTAGTCCTGGTTTGCGGCTTGCCGCAACGCCGCGGTCGGAGACAGTAGGACGGGTTCTGGCGGAGGGACCTTCTTCGGCTTCTTCGCCCGTGGTGCCCGTTTCTTCCCTTTGGGCTGCGCTGCCTCGTCCTCGTCCACGGGCATTTCCTCTGTAGGCGCCGGGGCAATTTCCTGTTCGGTGGCATCTGGGACCAGGTAGGCTGCTGTGGCCAGCTCGGTAATTGTGCGTGGCTTCTTCCTTGGCGCTTTTGTCTTCGCAGTGCCCTTTGCTGGCGGCGCCATCTTGGACGAATCGCTGACGGATACCAGCTCAATCAGCTTCCTCTTTTTGAACGCCGGGTTATCCCCATCTGACGGTTCAGCAGATGGCCTCTGTGGTACGTCCTCATCCAGCCGGCCGTATCTCTTGAGGAGATTGTCGAATGTCTCCTTCGATGCTGCACGACTTGGGCTTCTTGCAGCCGAGGACATCAGCTCAATGGCCTGCGAAGACTCGGATCCCCTAATCAGTGCGCTATCAGCCGGCGGCGGTGTCCATTCTTTGCGACGTCTCGAAGCCGCTTCCAATTCCAATGGCTCATCCGCATCATTCTTGGGTAGTGCTGGCGGCTGGGCTTCTGGTTCTTCCCCGGCCATGGGGTTTGAAAAGTGATGACTCTTGACGGCGCCCTTCTTGGTCGGAGCCTTGGCTCTTGTTGTTTTTGGCTTCTTCTCCGGTTTATCAGTTGTGGCTTTAGCCTTTGCGTACTTCCTCCGTGGCGGGCTGGTTTCGACGTCTATGGTAGGGTTTGCTGGCGGTTCGTTCGCCTTCTTCTCTAGGACTTTGGCGCCTCTTTTTCGTTTCGGCTTCGAAGTCAGGGTCGCAATCGATATAACCGTTACATCCTCGTCATTTGGTATTGCTGAAGGATCAACAGCTTCCCTACAGGGCGTCGTAAGGTCGATCGCAGATTGTTCCTGGGGGAGAAAGCCTGAGGCGCTGGTGAAGTGGCGGCTCGTTTGGTCGGGCACTGGCATAGCTTCATATCCGCTTCGACTTTGGGGGCTCTTGGAGAACTGAGACTTGAGCTGGTCTAGGGATGGGAGCCCTGGAGAAGAGTCAAGGTTGAAGGTGTCATGACGGGTGCTTCGAAACGGAGACCCCATCGTGAATCTCGGGAAACCCGCTGGAATGCGCAGGGCGCATGGTTTCGATATGATGCGCAACAGGGTGAAGTACAATGCAAGCGCAACAAGACGAACAAGCTCAGCAGAGTAGAAATGGCATCGATGGCACCGATTTGGTGACGGGATATGTCGAACTGCGGAATTGGGTGGCGATAACGGTCCTTCCCGGCTGCTGTTCAAGGGGACGCCGAGTCGAGTTCAATATCAACAAAGCACAAACGCGCTGCGCTGCGGGGGGCCCTCGGAAGGTTAGAGTACACTACGGTACGTATAGCACCAGCCACATCCCGTCCGTATCAGCCACTTTCTTGAGCCCACTCGGTTCCACGTGACCCCTAGCCCTGAGTTGCCGGGTGGGTCCATCGCTCGGCAGCTCCACGGGCCGAAGCACACTCGCCCACAGACGCAGGCGCGCACACCCAAAATTTCCCTTTCGATTTTGAATATCGACTCCCCGCATCACGAACTCTCGTCGACGACATCATCCGCGCAAAACCACCACCTACTTGCCTCTAGACAACCCCGAACGCAAGTCGCAGCAATGGAGAACGACAAGGGCGAGATCGTCGATCTGTGAGCAACAACCCGTCTTCCCTCCCTTAAGCCCCCCTTCGAACCGCCCACGAACTTGGCCTCAGGAGAAAGATCACGAAAAGAGCCTCTTTTTTTTTCGGGCGCGGCGATGAGAGGGGGACCGTTGCTACTCCGACGCATATTGGAACATTGGGCTGACTTCTTTTCCTCCCTTCAATAGCTACGTTCCGCGCAAGTGCAGCGCCACCAACCGCATCATCAAGGCCAAGGACCACGCCTCCGTCCAGATCTCCGTCGCCAAGGTTGACGAGAACGGCCGCGCCATCCCCGGCGAGAACCACGTCTACGCCCTCTCCGGCTTCGTTCGCGCGATGGGCGAGTCCGACGACGCCTTCAACCGCCTGGCCCAGCGCGATGGCCTCGTCAAGTCCGTCTGGTCCGCCCAGCGATAAATGCTGAGGCTGCGACCTCGGGGGAGGAATGGTACGTCACGGGAGTTTATTTGCGGCTCGAGAACATGGGGTGGTCTGCACTCGGTCGGACAACGGACGGGGACTGACTTGGGCCCCCAACAGGTCTAGTCGTTTTGCGGTTCGGTCGGTTCAACATCATGGATCTAGAGTTGGTTGCATGGTATATCGCCAATTCGAGGCGTCCGGCTCTCTGCGGAGAGGGAAATGGCATAGGAATGGTTCACGACTACCCAACAAAATGAAGATTTTCCGCGTTCGAGATGAAAAGAAGAAAGACAAGAACAAGCACAGAGCCCAAAGACAACAGTCCAGTGACAACCCCCTTCTCTCTCTCTCCAACTCGCCCCGACGCGACAGTTTTCGCACGTCCTCTACTCTTCACACAAACGCTTCCCTCCCACCGGCTAGCGAAGGATTCTCGTGCCACCCTCGATGGTCTCCATGGTCGAGGATTCTGGGGCTACTTCGATAGCCTCCGTGCCGCAGATTGATGCAGCAGGCCTTGAAAAAGCCGTGGCGGTTAAGGTGTTCGTCATGGTACAGATACGGGTCTTACATGTCTAGGCGCAGCAGCCGGACCGTCAAAAAGAAACAAATATGACACCAATTTTCGGCACCTTGTTCGTTTTGTGCTTTTGCCAATCGCGGGCGTTCGAGTCGGCAAGCCGCAAAGTGCAGCGGTTGTCCTTGGTGTGAAACCCACGCAAGCGGAATTGAAGACTCGATGTGTGCTTCCGTGATATATTTATTCCTGGTGAACAACGTGATCCTTCTTACAGAAAACCACATTTACAACGGGCAAGCAAATTCCGCATACAGCCATCTGGCTCATATCCGTCATCAAACGTGGTCACGTCATGTTAAATTAAGAGACATCTATCATCGTATCCAAACACCTTTGCATATCCGAGACGCATCCGACGCCGCCTACAACAAGTAACGGAAGTTGGGGTTCTGGCTTGTGTGTTAGTGGTCACTGTTCTGTCACATCTTCCGCTCGGGGTAACTTACCTCCAAATCCGTCAGGTCTACGTCGTCGTCGTCGTGCTCGGCGTCGGGGGCGCGACCGGTCGCCGCGGCCGCCGCGTCCCTTGCCTTGTTGCGGCGGATGAGCAGCATCCGCAGGGAGATGGCGACGGCCATCTGCGCGGCCGCGCACGCCAGGATGACCTTGCACCCGGTCTCGTACAGCGGCGCCTCTTTGGCCAGGAACGCGTGCGGGCCGATGATGTTGCCGACGCAGTAGGCCGTGAAGACGATGGCCGAGGCGGTGATGCGCTTCGTGTAGCCGCCGACGTTGGACGCCGGCATATGCAGCGCGAGCACCAGCGATGCGACGAAGGAGCCGATGAAGTAGTACCCAATCAGCACGCCGACCTTGTAGTGCGCCCGGTCGAGCTTCCAGACCATGGCGCATCCGACGATGGTGGGGATCAGCCACACGGCCATGACGATCGTGCGCATGTTGCGGAACCGCGACGCCGTGTAAGTGCCTCCGAGGATCCAAAACACCTGGAAGGCGCCCTGGGGGATGCCCAGCGCCGTCGTGAGTAGCGGGTCCGTGACGAGGCCCTTGATGATGAGCTTGCCAAAGTTGGCGAAGCCGCCGTTGATGGTCTCGTTCAGCAGGACGAAGAGGAACAGTAGCCAGACCTGGGGGTCGAGGAACGCCTCCTTGACCTGGTACAGCTTGATCGTCTTGTTGAGGACGCCCGTCTTGGCGAGCCGGGCGCGGCCGACGAGCAGGGCCCTCTCCTCGAGCGTGAACCGCTTGGCGCCCAGGATGCTGTCCGGCAGGAGATACAACAGCAGGCAGCCCCAGAGGACGGTGATGCCGCCGCAGAGCAGGAAGACGGCCTTCCACACAGGGAACCCATCGATCTGGCCAATGCCGTAGCTGAGGAGGCCGCCGATCATGGAACCCACGCCGTTGCAGCAGTAGAAGAGACCGGCCCGGAAGGGTTGCTCCGAGCGGACGTACCTGGCCCGTGTTAGCCTTTTCTCTTCTTCTTGTCTTCTGCGCTGCTTGCATGAGTCGCGCGCGTATGCCGCGCCAACTTACCACATGGACACCATCATCATGAAGCAGGTCGTGATGGGCGCCTCGAAAGCGCCGAGGAAGAACCGGCACGCGGCGAGGCCGGCAAAGCTGGAGCATGCCGCCGTGATCATCAACACGGCTCCCCACGACAGCACGCACCCAGCCACGACCTTGCCCATGCGCGTCTTCTGGGCGACGTAGACCCACGGGTACTCGGCCACCAGGTAGGCCAGGTAGAAGATGCTCGCGAACCACGAGTACTGCGTCTGCGTGACGCCCGTAGTCGGGAACAGGTCGAAAACGGCCGCGTACGACAGCGCCTGCTTGTCGATGTACTGCAGCACGTAGGTGCCGGCGAGCAGGGGCAGGATCGTCAGGTCGATCTTGCGCACCAGCCGCCGGTTTCTCTCCTTGTCGTTGACGAGCTCAGCGAGGTACTCCTCGCTGATGTTGTGCTCGTGGAGGAACGCCGCCGACTCGTCGAGGAGCTCGACCTCCCCGGCGGTAATCGACTTTGTGGGCTTGAGGCCATCCTCGGTCTTCTCGATGTCCTTGTCGGCCATGTTGACGGTTGGGCCACGGGCAGGGGATGGACTCTAGAAGGTGATGGTTGGTTGGCCCAAGAAAGAATCCGGCTTGGAACCTCTTCCCAAGGACTCCCGGTCACGAGCTGAAGGGATATATCCCTTTAATGGGCCTCATGGTCGACTGTTCATTATCTTTACCATCTCGGCATCCATGCTAGCGAGTCCGGGGTAAATCTACATGGGCAGATAGCTAGACGTACGAGCGTCCATCAATGGGGAGGTTTCCTATCTAGGTGCCGGCGACGATTGCTTATCGCGGGGACGAGCGTGACGGGGTCCAGGGTCTGGGGGCCAGGGGGCCTAGCACCGGGACTCGGGAAACTGATAAGACGGGACGAGCGAGCCCGTCCTGCGAGGGATCCGGTCGTCAGATCTGGCCCCGAGTGCGCGTCCTCCGCCGAGATCGGCCGTCCGATCTCCGCGGGAAAACCAGCCTGGGTATCGAAAGCCTCTCATTAAACGTCCGCCTAATCAACGTCTTCCTCGCCGAGCGCAGGGGTGAACTGATGGCTGATAGCAGGCCACGATACGGAGCTTGCCCGATAGTCGACAGCTCGAAGCTTGCTTGAAATGACTCGGCGGGCCGGTATGGGTTCATTGCCCGACTATCGATAACAACATCGTTTGTAACACCCCTCACTCCTCCCCTCCCCCCCTCGTTGGCGAACGCTCTCTCCTCAACTCTGCGTCGACGACGAATACACTCTTTTTGAAGCCGAAAGACTCGAGGGGGGAAATCACCAAAGCAAAATGGGATCAACGATTGAAGACGCCCGTCCGTCCGTGACGCTCACGCAAGGAACCGTCGTCGGCGTGACCCTGACGGACGGCCTGCCCCGGCCGGTCGAGGCCTTCAAGGGCATCCCGTATGCGCTCCCGCCGACGGGAGCCCGCAGGTTCCGCGCGCCGGTCAAGGTCGAGCCCTCGACCGAGACCATCGACGCCTCGAAATGGGGTGCCGTCGCCCCCGGCAAGCAGCTCTTCGCCGGCCCGTCGTACGAGTACAGTGAGGACTGCCTGACGGCCAACGTCTTCCGGCCGCCGCGAACCACTGCCGAAGCCGCCGGGAAACCGCCGCTGCCCGTCGCCGTGTACATCCACGGCGGCGCGTTCAACAGGGGCACGGCGATGATGCACAACTCGCCCTCGTTCCTGGCCCACTCGGGACAGGAGTTCATCACCGTCACCTTCAACTACCGCATCGGCGCGCTGGGATTCCTCCCGTCTACCATGAGCTTCGAGGAGGGCGTGCTCAACCTGGGGTTGAAGGACCAGCTCCTCCTGCTGGAGTGGGTGCGCGACAACATCGCGGCCTTTGGCGGCGACCCCAACAATGTCACCCTCATCGGCATCTCGGCCGGAGGACACTCAGTAAGTTGCCCAAGCCCCCCCCCCCCTTCTGTGAGACCACCGAACCTGACCAAGTCACCCACCCCGCCCCAAGATCGGCCACATCCTGATGCACGACGAGGGCCAATATGACCCGCCCCTCTTCCACAAGGTCGTCCTCGAGTCGGGCGCTCCGACGTCCCGCGCCGTCCGCCCCTACAGCGCCCCCGTCCACGAGGCCCAGTTCGCCGACTTCCTCGCCGAGACCGGCTGCCCGCCCGGCCTCTCCGCCGCCGACACCTTCGCGCACCTCCGCGGCGTGCACACCGAGGTCGTGCAGAGGGCCCAGATCGCTGTGTTCGACAAGTACAACCCCTCACTGCGGTGGGCCTTCCAGCCCGTCATCGACGGCGACATCATCCCCCGGCCCCCGATGGAGTCCTGGCGGCTCGGCAAGTGGCGCAAGGTTCCCGTCATGACGGGCTTCAACCGCAACGAGGGGTCCATCTACATCAACAAAAAGGTGTCGGCGTCGGACGAGTTCACGCGCTTCTTCGCCGACCTGCTGCCGCTGCTGTCCAAGGAGGACATCGAGGCCATCGACAGGCTCTACCCGGACCCCCTCACCGTCGCCGATTCGCCGTACAAGGAGCAGCTCGACGGCACGGGCGCGCAGTACCGCCGCCTCGAGGTCGCCTACGGCCAGTATGCCTACGTCGCGCCCGTCCGGCAGACCGCCGAGCTCGCGTCGCGCGCATCGCCCGAGCAGCCCGTCTACCTGTACCAGTGGGCGTTGGAGAGCTCCCTTCTCGACCGCGCCCGCCACGGCGAGAACATGTCGTACGAGACATGCGAGCCGGCCAAGATGGACCTCTCGCCCACGCAGCGGGAGCTGTGCCTCACGCTCAACGCCTACCTCACGAGCTTCGTCGTGGCCGGCGACCCCAACGCCATCCGCGGTGAGAGCAGCCCCGACAGGCCGGCGTGGGAGAGGTACGTCGCCGACGACCCCAAGGCGATGGTGTTCGCGGAGCAGAACAAGGAGCTCGTCGGCGGCGCGCCGGGGGCCCCGGCCAGACTATGCCCCGACACGTGGGCGAGGACGGAGTCGGAGTTTTGGTGGAGCAAGGTCGACCTCTCACAGCAGTGAGGCCGTAGATTGTCGGTCGAAATAAAGTAAAAACAAAAGATAGAAATAAAAAGAATGATACCAATTATTTTCAAGTTTATTCGCGAGCAAATGGGGGGGGGGGGAGCATTTCACCGGTTGTGGTACTTGTTACTTGACCCGCAACGGCAGCCTTGGCGAGAGCACGTTTGTCAAGCCATAGGTTCCGAATCACGTGTAACCGGTTCTATAACGGCTCAGGTACGGCGGCTTGTAGGTTGGTTATGTTCATTCATGTCTTTTCTTGACCAGCTAAGCTGTGGTCTGCCTGTTCCCCTTTGTAATTAGCACTCATCTTTACCACTGTATGTGTATATACACATTTGTTTATCCTTATACAACTCCAATTAATCATGAATAAATGAAAACTAAGTAGATCTTCAATTCTGACCTTTGCTCAGGAACTTTTGAATAATGATCCGCTGCATTTAATTGCCAGGTTCCAGTATGAGCTGTGACTATTTAATGTATTAAATCTAGATTTGATCCAACGTTGCATACTGCAAGGTTGAGACTATCCCTGGAGAGCCAAGATAGCAAGATGGACAAATACCGTACTTACTTATTGTGACACATTTACAGATACTATTCAAGTCGGTGAAACATAATTGTTTGAATGGGAAATTATAGATCTTGGCGCTGTATTACGTATACGATCCTGCTATAAATCGAAGTGGTTTCATGTCTCAAAGTACCGTAAAGACAAGTTGGAGACGTGCCCATTACTGATCGACATCCTGTACCAGCTTCCAACCTAGGCCAAGCTGCCCACGACCTTCATCTCCCCTTTGGCCTCCCTACTTGCCTCCTTGAACTCGACAAGCTTGAGCGGCCGGTAGGTGGGCTGCCACATCTGCTCTCGGATCCACTCGTCCAAGTCTTCGTCGTTGTCGGGGATGCCCTCCTCCGTCGCGACGCCCTCCTCAACGGCTGCCTTGATCACCCTCCTTGCAACCCTCACGCTGACATCCCTGACGATATCGACGCCGGGCAGCAGGGGCGCCTTTTGGTCCTTCAAAGCGGGGCTCAGCGACGCGACGCCCTCGACCGCTGCCACGAGCATCTTGTCCGTGACCAATCTCGCGCGGGACAGCACGGAGCCCAGACCGATGCCGGGAAAGACGACGGAGTTGTTACACTCAGCAACCTCAATCTCAACCTCCTTGCCGCCCTCGCCCCAAGGCCCCTTGACGGGCTCGAACGGTGACCCCGTCGCGACGAGGGCCTTGCCGTCGGTCCACTTGTAAATGTCCTCGGGCACGGCCTCGTGCAGGCGTGTGGGGTTGGAGAGCGGGAGGATGATGGGCCTCTCGACACCCTCGGCCATGGCTCGGACGATTTCTTCAGTAAAGGCTTTGGGCTTGGTGGAGGTGCCTATGAGCACGTTGGGCTTGACGGTTTTGACAACTTCGAGGAGGGAGCCATCTTTGCCCTTCCACTCTGACGAGTCTCGCGCATAGTCCTTTTGGGCTGTCGACAACTCGCTTTCTGTTGTCAACAGACCGGGCTTATCGATCAGCCTTGGAAGAGGCTAATTAGCAAAATGGTTCAGATTTGAGAATGGCGCAATTTACCAGATATGCTTGGCCGCCTCCTCCTTGCCGATGTTTCTCTCGGCGGCAATGGCATCCCTGACTTGGTCTGCAATGCCGACGCCGGCCGACCCGGCCCCAAAGACAACCAAACGCAAGTCAGAGAGTTTCTGGTTGCTCACGTGCAACCCAGCCATAATGGCGGCGAGCGTAACGCAGCCTGTTCCTTGTACATCGTCGTTGAAGCACGGGATGTGAGGGCGATACTGGTCCAGAATCCTCCGTGCTTGATTCGCAGTTGCATTAACACTAGTTGGAATCTACATATATAGGGATATAGATGGGACTTACCATTTGTGAGACCAAAGTCCTCAAAGTGTATATAAGCGCGCGGGTACAACTTCCTGGCAGCTTTGACGAACTCATCGACAAAACGGTCATACTTCTGTCCCCGCACGCGATTTTGGCGGAGACCCAGGTAGAGCTTGTCGTTCAAGAGCTCTTCGTTATCCGTACCGCAGTCCAGCACAACAGGCAATGTCCTATTGGGATGCACACCGGCACAAAGCGTTGTGAGGACAAGCTTCGCCACGGAGATCAAGATGCCGCCGACGCCCTGGTCGCCGATGCCAAGGATTTCTTCGCCGTCTGAACTATTATTAGTGTCAATCTGGGTATTGGGAGGCAATGGATGATACCGGTGACGACGATGTAGTCAATGTCCTCTGGCCGTCCCCACTGGGCGAGGTCGTGGTGGACGCGGTCAATGTCGTCGATGTTGAGGAAGCAGCCGTCGGGCCTCCTGAAGAGGCGGGAAAAGTTCTGGATAGCGTCTCCCTCGGTCGGGGTGTAGACGATGCTGAACATTTCGGGGAGATACGCTTGCAAGAGCTGTTTGACCGTCAGACCCCGCGAAACATGCTTTCTATGAAACCACGACGGACACAACACACCCTGTAGTACAGCACCTCGTTCTGCTCCTTCAACGAAGTCAGGAACGTGTTCTTGGCAAGATCGTCTCGCCGCGACTTGTACTGTTCATAGGCGCGTTGCATCTGCTGTTCCAGGGTATCGACGCACTGCGGCAGCAAGCCGGTGAGGTTAAATTCTCGGCGCTCGTCTTCTGGGAAGGCAGTCCCCTTGTTGAGGTAGGGGGTGTTAAGCAAGGCCGTACCGGTCACGGCGCAGCTGATGGGACCGCTGGTGCTCAGCGGCAACTGGGAGAACTTTGCCTCCTTGTGGTCCTTGTTCGGCGCCATGGTGTGTGATGGACGGGGCGAGTGTAAGCGGCGAGTCGATGGGGTTGCGAAGATGGTTCAGAGATTTCTGAGGTGGCGTCAGGAGCGCAATGAGTGATGCTGAGCTTGGCTTTATTAAGTGGGAGGTCGTCAAGTTGCACGATGTTTGGTTTTCAACACGACGTGACGGGAAGCGCATGCAGACGTGGAGAGACGACACTGTATGTGAGATGGAACCTTTGGGCTTCCAATGTGTTCTTTTTCCTTGGCAGAAGGAACCACTAAATGCTACAAGCTAAACTACATACACATTCCTGCCTGCCTACCTACCTGCCTACGGCCTAGGTAGTGCGCACATGCAAGATTGTGGTAACACCTAATACCTAGGTAGTGTATCCGTACCTACCTAGTGTACAAGCGAGGGCGCTGACTGGGAAATGACGTCAACGTCCCCTTTGAAGGATGCGGCAGAACGAACAGGGTGACGGACTGACAACAGCGCCCGCATACTGCGTGGACCAATCCGCAAAAGAGAACCACCGAAACTGGGTCTCGGGACTGGCTGATGTGAACCTTTTCTTTATCTCATCCTCTCTCCTTGCCGAGTTCTCCAACGTTCGGGAGGTCCCAGCAGAGCCTTGCACGGGTGGGCTGGACTGGGCTGGGCATCCGATACCATGTCACGGGTTCTGTATCCGTATCATTCATTCATATCTATTCGACAGCACAGTCATGCACAGTGGATGTCAATGCCAAAAACATGGAAAAATAAAATAAAAATAGGTAATGACAAGAAAAGAAGATATGTCGGTACGCCTGGAGCCTCGCCCATGTAGGTAAAAAAAGATGGGCGTGGACTATGATGGTCCTGTTCTCTCTCGCAGCCAGGAAAGGGAAAAGGACGCGGAACGCGACCAGTTCTTACTCTCCGTCAAGTGGTAGTTCCAGTCCTCTCCAGAGTGCACCGCAGAACGCGGCGCAAGAAGGAGACCCCCGCCGAAGCGAAGACTCGTGAGAAGCCCGAGTGACTGGGATAGATGCTGCTGGTTTGTTTGGCCTTTGCTCTTACTCATGACAGTTGCATGGCATGGCGTGGCGTTGCATGATGATGGCTTGCAGTGCCAGTCAGTGTAAAGCATTGCGGCAGAAATCAGGGGATACATTGGGCAATGAATAATGCCAAATCCTCCGAAGAGGGGGAAGAGATATCCTCCTGCTGAAGCTCACTTGAGCCGTCCTGCGTCTTTTTGCCAAAACGTCTCCGCGTTTGCCATGATGTGTGTACCGATCACACAACATGGCCGACGGTGTTTGGTGTGCGTGAAGCAAGGTGGCTGGCAGTCAGAAGGAAAATTTCTCTTCGGATTTTTACGGTGCGAGAAACTCATATTACATAAGCCGGGGAAGGGGAATGGACATCGAACGAACCCCTGACAACAGGGGGTGGGACCTTCAGAGATGGAACGTGAAATGATGTGGGGACACGGCACGTGCACCTGGCGCCGGCTGGGCATCCGTGCCGTGTAAGTCGATTTGCCATGGACAGGGCGGTCAAAGCCAGCCAGGCCAGCGGGTTATTGCAATTCACGTGAACTTCAACAAAACGCTGGGAAACGGAGATGGGAGAGCGTCCATGACATGACATGACATCCCCCTTTATAATAACATGAGATTGGATCACCATATAGACCCAATAAGCCTCTCACCTCCTTGCGTATGTTTCTGCGTAGCAGCATCGCAGAGAAAGGGAAAGGCCCTGGGTCCAGGTGCCGTGGTCCTTCCAGGCTGGTCATCGAGCCGAACGAGCATGTCACCCAAGTAGATATTGCGCATCATCTGAGAACATGCAGCAGGTCAAGCTGATTAGGCCGTTGGACTTTGATGGCAGCGTCCAGAGCTGTCCATTGCTTACGATATGGATTAAGGAAGCGGTATACCCCAAACACCCAAACATAATCATTCACACACTTAATCCCAGGCGAAGTCGCTCTTCAGATTAGCCCAGCCCGGGCCGCCTCGCCGCCGCCGTCCTGGACGAGATCGTCCATTCTCCTCTTGCCCTTGCCAATGCCTCCCTCACCAACCCCCATCCTCCTGGCGACGTATCTCTGCGCAACGATGCCGACGGCGAGGCTCAGCAGCTCCTCGATCCACTCAGCAACCCACTCGCGGGGGTCAACGCCGCCGCTCTCAACAATCTCGCGGATCTCGTCGGGGATGGACTGGTTCAAAGAGGGCTCCTGGCCGTCTTCGCCGCTGGCGGGGGTCAGCGGGTTGGAGGCGTCCAGCCAGCGGATCCACTTGGCCGGGATGGACTGGCTGATAGTCGAGAACTCGATCTCGTGCACTGGGTCCAAACAGAAGACGGCAAAGCAGACCATCTCGTCCGCCTCGTCCTGCTCGGCCACGGTCGAGGCCTCCTTCTCCTTCTCGACAGCCGCCGTGCAGGCAAAGAGGGCCAAGTCAGACGTGGTGCCCACCGCCTGGATGGCAAGAAACAGGTCGGAGCTGCGCACGGGGTTGTCCTCGCTCAAGGGCTCGGTGGCCCGCACTCTGGCCTGCTCGATTCCTCCGTGGGCACCAAAGTACTCGTTGGCGTAGCCCTCGGCGCCTGCACGGCAAAGCTTGGTACCCTCGGTTAGTCCCTTGATCAAGCCGAGGTCTCTGGGAGAGTCGGACTGTCTCCACCAAGGGCCGTCTCGCCAGCCCGCGGCGCTGTCATTGGAGTGTCTGCGGCTGGTGTTCTCCTGGACGCGTTGGATGACCATCAGCTCGCCGCCTTCCACCTGGGACATGACGCGCGAAAAGGTGCCGTAGATCAAGGGGTCGAGCGAAGGGTACCCGACCATGTCGTGGGTGATGTGGATGAGCAGCCGTTCGTGGGAGCTGATGGGAGGAGCGATGGTATGGAGGATATTGGTGAAGGTCGGGAGTGCTTGCTGGCGAAGGTTGTCTCCTGAATAAAGGTCGCCGTTAGCAACTGATTGCGCCTAGCGGTCGCTGACGGCCCTTGAAGCTTATATATCACGAGACGAGTCCCAAGGGTAGGTGTGCAGGCAGGCACTTACCGAGAGCCCTGAGGCCACCAACGTTTCCTCGCACCTGCTCGGCCCACTTCTTGGCATCCTCGTTCTTCTGGATCTCCTTGACAGCGGCCTCTGCCTGCTTCATGGCGGCGGTCGCGGTGTTGAAGATGCCTCCCCACCAACCACCACCACCCCCAGCGGCGGAGGCAGCAGCCTCGGGCACGGCGGTCGATGAGGTGGGAGCGGACTGTTCGGCGGGCTTCTTGTCGGGTTCTTGCAGATCGGAGCTCGTAGCGCTCGGGGTAAAGCTCGCGCGGAGGGATCGGGCGCTGTCGGTGGACTTGCGGGGCGCGGCGGCGGACTTGTCGTCGATGGTAGGGGTTGCGGAGCGCTTGGGAATTCCCTTGGCGGCCGACTCCTTAAGACGGGGCGTGTGCGGACGGGAAGGCTGCTCGAGGTCCTTCTCGAGCTCGGCCAAGATGTCTTGGTCGGCCAGGGCCTTGGAGGCGGCGGTGGTGGGCTTGTTGGACTTCTTCTCGAGCGACTTCTTGGGGGCGGCGTTGTCGCCGATGCCCTCGAATAGGTCGTCGATATCATCGCCAGAGGTGGCGGACTTGGTCTTCTTGGAGGCCATGGCGGGTGAGTAGTGTCGACGTGTTGATGTGGTGGTGAAGTTGTTGCTTGCGGGGCAGACGTCACAAGCTGTGGCGTGGTGCGGCAGCTTTGAGGCGCCCGTCAGATAAGGTACGTGCAGCAAGTTGTACAGTGAGAGGTAGTACCTACTGTAGCTAGCTAGGTAGGCAGGTAGGTGGTTTAGGTACTCCGTACATACCTACGGATACCTACCTGTAGAAGGATAGGTGGGCGGCAAGCTGAGTCAGGCGACGCTAGGGACCCAGCACGGCTTGTTGAAACAAGAGGTTGAAGTACCTAACAATAGATAGATATGGGGAAAGCCACTCGGACAGTCAAAGTCGAAGCAACGAGGACGATGTATGCCGGCACGACACGGCGGTATCATGTATGTACAACTATAGATAATACCTATAGTTGAGATTGCACACAGCTGGTGTCGGAGTTGAAGGAATGGAACATGCTGAATTGCTTCCCATCAAATAAAGCTTGGGGATCCGAAGTATAGTATTCGTACACTCACTACCTACGTATCTGAGAGAGGCAGGCGCACAGCTGCACGCAGTCAGCAGAGAACAAATGGCAGCTGGAGACTTGCATCATCAGGGACGGACGGAGCTATGCATCAGGTCGAGAAGATAAAAAAAAGGGGGCTAATCCCGATCGGGAGGAGGAGAGAGCCGTGTGCTCTCATTGGCTGTCGACCCCGGCGTTCCGAGTGAAAAAAGCGTGTCGTGTGGGGTTAGTCGTGTCCGTCTGAAGTACCTAACCATTTGACCTTCCCAGGGGCAATCTTTGATTAGCTAAGATGGGTAGGGGAGGGCACCTCTACCTGAATGCAGAAGGACACCTTGGAATTATTATCAGTGAACAGCATAGCTGTAGCCCCTATAAGTGGCCTTGCTCCGGGGGGACTCGTGCGCACTTGGACACAGGACTTGGTACCTGCCTTAGCTGAGAGCGTGCTGTAAGGTCATCGACAGTGCATTACATTACAGAGGCAAGTACACCTAGGAGGACTGACTGACTGACTGAACCACCAGGACAGTGAGGTACGTACCCCCTTTTATTTGGTTTTATTTGATTTTGTTCCGCAGCGCAGCGTGTCTCTCACCTTCACCCAGGCGGCGTGGCTGGCTCGGAAAGAATAACAGCCAATGCCAGTCCTGGAAGGAACCATCCCAAAGGGGGTCCAGTTGTCGTGCCTTCCTTGCCTTGCCTTGCCTTGCCTTGCCGGCCTTGCCTTGCCTTGCCGTGTGTGTCAATTCTCCTCTACTCTACTCAACTCTGCTTGCCTTGCTTTGCCCTACACTGTTCTTCACTATTTATTACTTACTCGCCCCTCTTTCGCCAGCAGAACGGAACAATAGCCTGCCCGTATTAATCAGACGTCGTCGACGTGGAAGTGGACAGGGTCCCCCGGCAGGCAAAATTCGGAATTGCAGGCCAACGGAAGACCGTCAGCCTCTCTCTCTCTCTCTCTCTCTCTCTCCCTCCTGCTCCACTCGGTCCCTGCCAGCCAGCAACGGCCATCTCAGCAACAAGACTGGAACGGGCCACCAACAACCCAAAATCACTACTTTTTCCATCCCAGATATTTCCCATTGCCAACGACCTGGCCCAAGAGAAACCACCGTCGCCATCTTCTCTTCCTCTCTGGCTTTTTCCAGACCCCCTTTTTGTTTGCTCTGGATATCGCGCACGTCGTCCCTGACTGGGCCCTATTCTGCCACTCACCGGCATCATAGGAGAGAGAGCAGCTCTGTCTTTCTCAGCAGCAGCAGCAGCAGCAGCAGCTTAGGCTCAAGTACACACACACACACACACACACCACGCACACCACACAACCAACACACACACACACGCACACACCACGCTGGCACAGACAGGCTTAGTCCGGTCTCTCTCTTTTCTCTCATTCACCTCAGTCGAACCACATCACCACTTGCATCGATTCCGGTTTTGTCCATACCTCACCTCATCCGCCGATTCTTCTCCCTTCTCTCCCTTTGCTGCCCCAACCCGTCCGCGCCGCCCCAGAGGAATCCTCCTTCGGCCTTATTTTCACCGCTCGTCACTTATTCAGAAGCCACACGTCCGTTTAACTGAATGACTTCTTTCCCCCGTCCGGCATCTTATTCCGGCACCACCCCATCACCATCAACAAGCCCAACATATCTGTCTCCGTAAGCCAGCTCATCTGTCTTTTTTTTTTTTTCATCGCCTCATCACACGACCTTTTCGCATTCAACCGCCATGGACCAGCGCTCTCGTAGCAGCCGTCCGAATCGTCGCAAAACTCTTCCCACTTCCAGCATACAGTCTGATACCAGCGCCGGCGCCGAGTCTACCTCGACCATCATGACGCGCTCACCCCCCGTTGCTGCCTCTCGCACTCCCCAGACCGCGCCGCAAAATCGTCGCAGCGTTAAAGTCATTCCTGTAAACAGCCCCTTCAGCCTTCGCTCCTCCCCCTCCACCACTGCCCCCGGCCCCGGCAAGACAGCCCTGAGGAAGAAGTCTCGCGCTGGCTTTGAAGGCGCCGCCGATGAAGACGACGAGGCATACCGCAAGGGCCCTCACACTTTGCGGAAGCGTGCCAAAATCGATTACTCGGCCGCCGACTTTGAGGACGAGCTGCCAGAGATTGCCATCCCCGCTCCTCGTGCCGCCACCCGCAAGAGGCGCGCTGACAGTGAAGTCGCCGACGACGAGTACTCTACTCCTGCTGCTCAGAAGCGTCGTGCGACCTCGCGAGATTTTTCCGCCGCCAGCGTCGCCGCCGCCACTCGCCGCCGGACCCCGGCCCGCAGGAGCATCGTTGAACCGCAGTCCTTCCACTCTCAGCCATCAGATGAGGACATTGTCAAGGATACTATCGAGGTCGTCGGCGACTCTTCCGATCTCGTGAGCTCCGATGATGCCTCGGACCATGACGAGAAGGACAACGACCATTCGGGTCGCACCTCAATCCCTGAAAAACATGAACAGCCTTCATCCCCTATCCGCCGCAGAGCCTTAGACGTCCATCAACTCATGTCCCCCGTCGACCAGCAAACTGTCAAGCGCGACGACAGGCACTCAAGCCAGGCTCAAGACGTCTCGGCCGTCGCCGCACCTTCTGGCATGCGCTCTAGTCCCATCATGGCACATCCTCGGCCGATTCGCTTCAACCATGTTACCATTATCAACGGTCCTGGCTCACGCCCAGAGGCCGAGCAGGTGCCTACGCACCGCACTGAATTCTCCCAAGATTTCTCATTCCAGCCCAAGAGAGAAGCCAGCTCTCCCGTGCGTCCGACCGAAAGCCTGCCGCAGAGAACGGCCCTGCCGGAAGCGGTTGAGTTGGCCACTCGGCAAACTGTGGTTTTCGGCTCACAGGAAAGCTCGGCTCTCGCCGTCTCCGGGAACCATGAAGCTACCGTCGCCGCCGCCACCACCAACAATGACCATGTAACTGTTGCACGACCTGTTGAGGAGGTACCGCAGCCTGCCCCTAAGCGAGACACTCATGGAGAAGTCGTCAATGGCCATGTCGAAGCCGCCAAGTATGACCTGCCGCCTCATCAGCAGACAGAAAGCTCGCAGCCTCCTGCTGCTGCGATGCACGGCACTGAAAAGCACGATATCGACGCTGCTGATTCGTTCAGTGCCCAGCCTGAAAAATCCTCTCAATCTAAACACGACATGAACGGCAACGCCTCGGAAGAGTCAGACGCAGATACACAGCATGATGTTACTGTCCACCCACCAAAAGCTGCGTCTCCGCGGCCCACTTCCATCCCCAAGACGACGAAAAAACGTTATGCATGGTCCCACCTTACGCCCTACATTGACGGCGAATATGTCACCCACTCCATTTACCCCGTCGCGGTTGAGGCTTCCGCACCGGCTTCCAATGCTGACGCAGCTGAGGCTGGCGGCGACGCGGAGAATGCCGACGACGCAGCGTACCAGGCCGACCCGAACGCTGACTACAAGCAGGTTGATGTTGACGCAGACGAAGATGGGAACGCGGACGCGGACGCGGATGGCGAGGGTGATGACGTCGACCGCGACGCTGAGCATGACGAAGATCTTGCGCCCGACAGCCAGGGCCAACCACTGTCCCAAGGTTCTGCCTATAACTCCGCGGCCCCTACTCCTGCCCTTACGCCCCGTCAAGGCTCACCGGTATTGCCCGCTGCCATCACCGGTACGAGCACGCCGGCTCCACTCATGCCCAAGCAGCGCTTCCGCAAGCAGTACAAGTTCAAGAAGATTAGAGATCCCACCGAGTTCGCTGCCTACCTAAAGGACACCAAGGAACTCTCGGATGAGGAGCTCTGGTATCTCCTGGAGAAGGCCAACGAGTGCCTCGTCGCCTATCAAGAGGAGTATAAGAAGTGCACCAGAATCGTAGACGATCAGGAGAACGCCCAACGTCGAGCCGCTCAAGACACCGCCTTCGAAAAGAAGACGGCAGACCTAAACGCCTTTGCCAAGGTAGACTCGTATATTGAAAAGGACTTTGAGGTGCAGGGCTCTCGAGCTACCATCAAAGAGAAGGACGCGGGGATTCTCGATCAACGCTGGCAAGACAGGATCATGGCAAATGCATACGGCTTCGAATACGACCCTCACCCCAACAAGATCGGCAACCAAGACCCCGGTGCGCAGAGAGAGGGCGGTGGTGAGGGAGGCCGACAGCTCCGAAGCCAGCCTCAGGCGAGCGCCAAGGCGGCCGAGGGCGACGGCGTCATTGTCTCGGGCAAAAGAGCCCGCAACCCCCCCAAGTTGTTCGACGGTGTGTTGCAAGACGACCACCGTGCAGCAACTCCAGGAAGTAACAAGCCCGGCCCCAGGAGAAGGGGAAGGGCTGCTGCCGCAGACAAGGCCGCCTCGCAAGAGCAGGAGCCGGATGAGCCGGAGCCCCAAGCAACCTCGCCAGCCAGGCCCGGACCGAAGAAAAGGGGACCGAGGGGCAGGAGGTCTGCCGTGGTGGTGTCTGAGCCTGGTACTCCTGTACCTGAGGAGGACGCCGTCGCGCCGCCTCCCGAGCCAGAGCAGGCGCAGCCCCTGAAGCGTAAGCGTGGGCGCCAGCCAAAGTCGGCGGCCGTCGTTATCGAGGAACCCGAGCCAGAGGAGCCAGAGAAGCCGGCCCCAAAGCGTGGTCGCGCGGCGAAGAGACAGAGCAACGGCCATGTCACCAGTACTGCTGAGACGACTGACGAGTCTCGCCCAACATCGTCGTCCTCCAACGCTACCATCTCAGATGACGGTTCAACCTACGGGCTGCGCCAGAACAAGCGGCATCGGAACTGGAAAGAGGAGACCGTCGCCGACGAAGAGGAACCGGAGCCGGAACCCCAGCCAAAGAAGTCTCGCATCATCCGTATCAACCGGAAACAGAGCGCGCCAGAGCTCGCGCCCAGGAAGACGGCGTCGGAGAAGATCCTCACAGAGCTCCACGACTTCTCGACATCGTCGACTGCGCCCGACTCTCCCCGTTTGACGGTGTCCTTTAAGCTTATTGGAAAAGACCACTGGACCCTCAAGCCTGCGCCATCCCCGCGCCAAACCTCGACGGACGTCAGCGAGTACAACCTTGCGACACCCCGACCAGCACCAGTCTCTGCGCCCGCATCCGCAAAGTCCTCGGCACCACCAAGCCAGGCCGGAGAGGAGAAGGACTACTCCACCATGACCAAGTCGGAGAAGATGTCGGCGTCAATGAAGAGTAAGTTTGCAACGATTCAACCTTTGCCCGACCAGGTGTCGCTAACACCCATTGCAGAACGATGGCTCAACGGCAGTATGCAGGGTGCCGTCAACAAGAGAAAGGCAACTCTCGCTGCGAAGAAGCAAGCGGCAGCACTTGCCGAGGCTCAAGCCGCCCAAGCCGCCCAGCAGAAGGCGATGTCATTCCAGCAAATCGGACCCTTCCCCATGGGGCCGAGCAAATAGATGTGGTTTATCCAATACCATATCGTCATATAACATACTATACCGTCGTGAGAGACGGCACGTGGGTCTGCCGCGTCGAAATGGCGACAAAGGCCACACGAACCCCGCCAAGGTTGACCAGGCGGTCATGAAAGCCACGAACACCATTACCAGCATTGATGCTTCTACTCCTTAGAGTAGGGTTTTTATTTTATTTTTTATTTCATCTTTCTCAACAGCTATCTAGCATTGTATACCCATTCGCATGACGACAGTCGCGTCCGAATGTCGTGGACAAGGCGGGTGAAGTAAACACAGACGACCTGCATCTGCCATACTTTAATTGTTTTTCGTCCAAGTACAAATAGCAACGGAGAGACAACCTCGGGAGACTTTCTCTCACACCATCGGCATCGGAAAGCGAGGGCATCCAATTCCTTTTTTTTTCATGTTGGGATTGGAAACCAAAAAAAGAGCGTACGGATATTGCATTGAACGGACGGAGCAGGCCGCGAAGCCTACTCTTTCCGAATAGGAGGGGGATCACAAGGGCCGTTTGCTTGTTCATCTGGTTTTTTTTTCTTGCTCATCTTGTGTTTTATTTCTTTCCACTTTTCTTTGGATCCCTGCTACCGAAGATGACTTCGTTGGCATGTGTTGGCTGGACTCGGAACCGGCTCAGAGGTGGGCATTCGAGATCATGTCGACGACAAGAACATGATGTGCTACCTCTCACTCGGTCGGGACGGGTATGAATGAGGGATCTGCTCTGGTTTCTTGCGAAAGATCATGTCCAAACGCACCCAAGACGTGGCCGGCGTCGAACGTGGTCTCGGATGAGGGGAGGTGAGAGGGGGATATGATAGACTGCATACTTTTGTGGCAATTAATCCTGCTGTCGAAAGCAACCTTGATGACGATGCAATGCGAAAGCCATGGTATTGTGATATTCCGTACCGTAGGGTATGGATCTGCTAGTTTTGTCTCGTATATGGGCTAACAGCCTCACGCGGCGATGATATGCCGTCGCCGTCCTCCTCGACGTCGCACCGAGACACCCTCGTTGGCAGACCGTATCCCACGGACACGGCGAGAGGCGATTAGCAGAGAAGACGACGAACGCCCCTAAGCTACGCTGGCCGGCTTAGCCTCCCCCCATATTCTCTCAGTTCCCTCATGCATATAAGGCCCCACGCCACAGCCTGTTGTGTCCATCTCGGCCCTGCCTTGTCACTGCATTAGGTAAGCGTCCACGTGCTTTGCGGTCGAGTGTGCGCATGTGCGCCTTCACACCAACTTTTACCTCACCGCAGGCGTTGACGTGCCTTGCGGCAGAAGTGTATCCGGTTTTTTGGAGGCGAATATTCACTGCTTTTTTTTTTCTTTAGCCACCACTACGCAGGCGTCAACATAGCTTGCAGTAAAGTATAGGTATACGATTCTTCAAGGCATCTTGACTGCATTACCTAACCCCCACGCAGTCCTTTTTTCCCTTGCCCACGCACGCGCCTGGTGCACCCGGGGGCAGCCAGTGGGTGGGTCTCTCCCTCTCCGCCTGAGTTAAAAACGCAGTGAAAAGTAAGCCAAACGACACCGATGCTTGCTCGGTGAAAGCTGATTCGCTCTTTGGGCTTGGTACGTAGGATGCCAGTCGGAACAAATATCTCATCCTCTGGGCGAAGAAGCCCTGTGAGAGACCCAGCCAGCTCGGCCAGATGGCGTACATAGATGCTTTTTGCAATCGCCATAGCCATCCCGTCCCGCAGAAGGCTCCGCTGCCGCCGGGTGAAGGCAGTCAGAAGTTTCGTCCCTGCCAAGTGCAGCGAATTGTGCTTTGGGAGAATCAGAGTCATCCGTCGCCGGAGATGCATCTCACGTAGGATTAATCCCAGGCTAGTCGGAAGACATCCATTCGTCGGTTCCTTCACTGCAACTTTAACCCCCCCCCCCCCAAAGGCAATGCTACTACATTGTGTTCCATGCTGACAGGAGGCGAGCTGTGCCCACTGCTTTCGGATAAACATCGGCTAGCGAGGCGTCATTGGCTCTTGGGCCCTTCCCGAGCAGGGCTCCCGCCTTGACCGGGCGGCACAGCTCCGGAGACCTCCGGCGAGCGGTTCCGAACTCCTCGGGGGCCGCACCAGGCAGGCCTCACAATGCACAGGACAAACAAGGGGGGGTACTTCATCAATCGCCGTAGGACGGCCGGACGGGAATGTGTATCGTGCGCAAAGAATCGGATTTTTGTATCTCCTCTGTATGCGAAATGCCTGGTATGAAATTTCTTTCCCTTTACACGCCACAGCCGAAATGCAGAGCCTGCCAGTTCCAGCGAGGAAACTAAAAAGAAATGAGACCAGGCCAACAACCCTCTTTCTGATTGTTTTATACCCTTCCTCTGCTCGGCCCCTCCGGTCACCGAAGAGGCCTCCCCAAGGGAAGGGTTTTAGGGGGGAGAATGGTGATGATGATGTCCCATGGTTTCCGCACCGGTTGACCTAATCCGTAGCCATAACGTCGTCCTTTTCGCCCTTTTGTTTCTTGACTTTGTGAAAGAAAACTCCTTTACATAACGACACCGGAGTTGCTGGCAATACGCTGAGAAGATGTGTCAGTAACAGAGGGTCGAGGTTCCTGTCCATCGTTCGGGGCAACTTACGGGCCAGAGCTCAGCAGCCTCCTTACCGACGGGGCCGGTAATGGCGGAGCCCTTCATCTCACCCTTGGGGTTGACGATCTGTGGGGGATTCTGGTCAGCAGAGTTTCCTTGTTTGCTTGCAACGACGACGGCTGGCGACGGGACTGGCGCAGAGGCCGAGCCCCATCCTACTCGGCGCGTCGCATCCTCCAACATCCGGGGGGGGGACTTACGACACCGGCGTTGTCCTCGAAGTAGAGGAAGACACCGTCGAAGCGCTTCCAGGGCTTGGACTGGCGGACGATGACGGCGGGGTGGACCTTCTTGCGGAGTTCAGGCTTTCCCTTCTTGACGGTGGCCATGACCATGTCACCGACACCACCGGCAGGCAGTCTGTTGAGGCGGGCACCGATACCCTTGACGGAGATGATGTAAAGGTTACGGGCACCGGAGTTGTCGCAGCAGTTCATGACGGCACCACTGCAAATCACATGTCAGCCAAAAGTTCCTTTTGCGCCGTCGCGTCTCCTTGTTCGGGGCAAGGAGACGGTCGGAGGGTTAGGGCTTGTTCGTACACGGGGAGACCGAGGGTCATCTTGAGCTTGCCACCAGGGGCACCACGCCTGTGAGAATCTGGTCAGCACTTCTGCGTCGAGTGTCAAGATTGCTCGGTTTCTCTCTCGATGGGCGCGGCGTTTCGTCTCGGCAGTCGGCGGGGGGCGTTTGCAGATTTTTTTCCCACCAAACGTCCAAGAGAAAGTCTCGATTTATCGCAGTTGTGTCTGGTCTTTCTCGCCGTCGTTTCCATCTCTCAAAAAGTCCCAGTCCTTCCGATCCCTCTGGTCGAATATTTTCCCTCCTCTTTATCTGCGTCGTTCGTGCATCGCGTGTCGTTTTGAAGCGCCCGCCCGCATCGCCGAGTCGCCATCCCACCTCCCACCACCTAGGGTAGCCAAGGCGGGGAGTCGAGAGTCGCGAAAGTCGCGCCGTCGAGGATTCCAGCAATTCAGAGCGGCAAGGCAATTCACTTACGAGAGTTTGGCCATTGTGTCGGTTTGGGGGTGTCGGGTTCAACAACGGGGCTGGCTGGAAGGGTTAGATGGCGGACGTGGAATCGTGCAGTAGCAGATCGTGGAACAATTTCACGACTTCAGGTGTGTTTTCGATTTCGTGAGTGGGTCCGCAGGAAAAAGCGGCAGAAACCCTACGAATTTTTGGGAGAGGGAAGCGAGTAGTGGCTTATCTTATCACCACGTGACCCAGGTATCATGGCTTACCTAATGGACATCTTTTTCCCAAGCTTAATGGGAATATCTAGCGCATCAGCGCACCAGCCACACTAGCGGATGCGGACGTGACACCACAGCCATCTTCATCGCTTTGGGGTGGTTAAAATTGCAGTGCATGTAAGGTTCTTAGACCACATTGCTGTTGGACAAACAGATACAAGGAGTCTTGATGAGAATAGTGCGGCAGAGATATAGACCTGAGGGTGCAGTTGAAGGTGATGGAAAACCCCATTTAACATGCGATTACGAATCTATGGCCTCGACAAAGACTCTGGCCTTCAGATTTCTCATTGTCAAACAGGTTGAATCAATATATGGAACCCTGTACATCATAGGAGTCCAGTTATGATAACAATGACGCAGTCTTTCCAGACTCCCGTTCGAGTCACCTTGGGTTATAGCTGTTGTCTCGCTAGCTTATTCTAATTGACCATATATTCCTGCATACACATTGACACTCTTCGTCTGCCCCAAATGCTACTTGAGTACGCAAGGTATTATTTTTCTGAAGTGTTTTTCAGACTTCATGTGTCTTATTTCAGTGCTAGGAGGCATAATTGATTTTTGAACTTGCCCTTCTGGGTGCACTGTATGCTTCATGATCACGAATTAAAATCTGCTACTGACATGTTATGCATCTTGAATGAAAGTTCCAAACATTTAAGTTCTCTCTTGGAGGAGAACAATTATAAAACGATCTATTCGGGTCAAATCGCTGCAAAGTCGTCGGGTTGAGACTTAAGCGTGGCTGAGCCGCCCAAGCAACTCCCCGATGTCACTATCAGAGTCCTCTGGTGAGGTACATACCGCGGACGATCTCACACGCGGAGGGAGCAGGGGTCCTGGAGGGGTAGTGAATAGAGGATGCAGGTTATTGTGTTGAAGCAGGTCCACAGGTGATGGGAGATGCATCGACGAGGCATCAGACTACGAAGCGCTGGGGGTGACTGCCTGACAGGCTCTTGACTGGCATCAAAACGGCGCATGCAATCATCGGAGCGATAGTAGTGCAAATCAAAACGAGTACGTCTGCAATGGGATACTGGGGGTATATTGAAAAGAAGCGAAGCTGAATGCCTCATGATCTACCGAGGCAGTGTGACCGAGATCACGAGAGGAAGAAGAAGAGCCAAGAAGCCAAAATCAAAGCCGTGCTGAATGCAAGCCCAACGGGGGAGCTCAAGCGTTGTGAGCTCCCCGAACTTTCCTAGCTGTCACCGCCCCTTCCGTCGCCACTGCTGGGGCCGCTCGACTTGGGTTCGGCGCCCTTCGCATCCGCGTCGGGCCGCACGCTCTGCGGGTTGGAGAAGAGGTCCTTGGGATCCCACGCTGCCTTGATGCGCTGCAGCGTCGGCAGATTGGTGCCCCAGTAACTCTCCTGCGCGTTATCGAGCATCGGATCGACGTATCCCGCGTACGTGCTGAGTTCACTCGGGCTGGCCTTGCGGATGGTCCCGGTGATGCCGGCGATGAACTCCTTGGTCTTGCTGTTCAATGTTGGGAGGCCGATGCCGTAGCCCTGGCAGAACATGATCTTGTCGCGATGGCTGTAGGCTGTGGCGTTCATGGGCACGTCGTTAATGGCGCCTCCCGTCACGTCGAAGATCAGAAACCAGATCAGGGTGCCGCGGTGGACCTCGTCGATGTACTTCATCAGGTTCTCGATGGCGTCGTCGGACAAGAGTTGGTCACGGGTGAAGGCAAGGCTCTTGGCGGTGAAGGGGGACCGGATATCGCTCAGCCAGAGAGCCGCGTCCTGTGCCTTTTGCGCGACGTCCCCGAGCCAGTTGTTGACGACGACGGAGACCTTACCTGTGGGGATCTTGTCCGGTATGCCCGTCGCTCGAAACTCGGCTTCGGTGCCGTAAAAAGTAGCTGTGATGGCGACGCCGAGCTGCTGCATGACGAACTCGCTGCTAAAGCGGCGGTCGAGATCCGGGTCTGAGATGAGATCCTGCCACTGCTTGAAGACGGGAGCGAGGTCGCGGTGCTTGGCGAAGGTGATGGAGTACGAGTACTGCACGACGTCGCCGGGCTCCGGATGGGTCCGCATGACGAACTCGGTGATGACGCCGAAGCCGGCGCCGGCCCCCTTGAGAGCGAAGAACAGGTCCGAATTCTGCGTGTCACTGGCGCGCTGGATCTTGCCATCGGCAGTGACAACTTCGACCTCGACAACGTGGTCGATGCAACTCCCCCACATGCGTGAGCTGGGCCCAAGACCGCCCTATTTTTTGGTGTTGCGTCAGCATGGCGAGGTCATGGTAGAAGGCATTGTCGCCGGACGCGGGGACTTACAATGGTGGCGTGACCGCCGATACCCACGCCAGGACATGTGCCGTGCGCCATGGCACGTTTCCCGTTGTCGTGCAGTTTCTCGGTAACGTCGTGCAGCCTGTGGCCTCCGCCGATGGTTGCTTGCCAAGTATTTGTGTCCATTGAGAAGTGTTGGAAATGGCCGAGGTCGATGACCAGGGCACCATCGGTGCCACCGAGGCCAAAGTTACTACGCAGGCCAGGTTAGCTGCGGAGTAAGTAAGGCCGATATCGACCGCCACGGCCACGGCCGTGGCATAGCGACGTACGCGTAAGAGTGTCCTCCCGACTTTGCCTGCACCTTGACGTTGTTGTCTGCAGCGCATTTGACGAAGCCGGCGACGTCTTCCTTGGTTTCAGGACGGGTGACGGCGATCGGTACGACGGCGAGGTCCAGGTTGTACGGCTTCACCCAGTTGATTTGATAGAGGGGATCATTCGAATAGCCGACGCAGGAGGAACGGCCATCGCAGACGTTGTTGAGGCAGGTCGCCAACGGGCTGCTGGGCTTCTGTCCCATATCCGCTGCAGCATATGAAACTTTGGGATAGCAGAAGGACAAGCGCCAACATGTAATGGGCGGCAAAGGGTCTACCGGCAGCTCAGATGTGGAAGAGAGTTGCGGTGGGACCGTGTTTATAGGTGAGTGCTCAAGGCGAACCGGCTCTGGCAATTTATGGGTGTCCTGGTCCTTCCGGGTTGGATACATAAACATCCCAGGCCAGGGATGGATTATGGATGGCCAGGCCCAGGTGCTCCCTTGCACCTAAGCAGCTGATCTCGAACCACTATAGCATATGCCTCGTGCTTGAGGGGGTTAGCGATAGACAGGCTATAGAGGTGTCGTTCCTGCCCAGGCAGGTGAAGAGGTGGCTGATGCATGGCGGGCTAGATAGACCACGGAAGGACGTTACAAAGTACGTACGTGTACGTGACTAGCAGCAGTACGGAAGATTGCCACCGTCGGCTTCGTGTGGCGGAGCAAGAAGAGCAAGCAAAGCTACCTTGATTTGGCACGTCATCCGCCATGGGCCCTGTCCCTGCTTCTTGTGCCTGGCAAGCATGGCGCTGAGGATATCCCACGCCGGGCCAGTCAGCGTGATGAGCGTGATGTGCAAGAAATACTTGGCGTAATGCGTACAAACCAAGCTTGTTTGGCGGGGGTGGGGTAGCATCGAGAGCGACTAGAGGGAGTCAATACCTAGGTTCGCGTGGAATCTTGGCGTCCGAGGGGCCCCATGCAATGCGGTCGAAATGGAGGAGGAACGGTGGCGCATTGGATGAGCGTTGGCGTACGTGGTCCAAGAAACACAGGGGCGCTATGCTATGGCTGTGCAAACGGCAACAGCGCCAGCCTATGACAGGAGCCAGATGAGCCGAAGTCATGGCTGTTGTGTGGGCGTACTCTCGGGAATCGAGAGAGGTGGGGTGGTGGCCGTCCAACGGCTTGTCTCAGATTTCGACCTTGACAGTCGATTGTGGGGTCTCGAGTGGTTACTCAGCGACCTTGTGGGAAAATTTAGAGTGTTGCCAATAGCGCCGGCTTTGACCTGTGAAGAGTACGGAATACCTACGTAGGGAGGGATTATCAATTGGATGACGTCGGGAGGGCGCTTTGTGGAAGGAAGGAACCAACCGCACACCTACGGGCTGCCAGGGCTTGCCCACCACTATTGCTAGCACCACTACTACCAGCGCCTGCCTGTTCTATCGCCAAGGTTCAAGTCGAAAGAGAGAAATATAAATAAAGGATTGAGGAATAAGTCTCAATCTTATACCTTTCTATGTTATAGACATCCAAAGTAGGGTAGGTATTTTAGCTTAAGACCTAAGCTACTAAGGACGTTAGCTGCATTTCATACCTTTTTTTAGTGGAGAATCTCCTCCATCAAACATAGCAGAACATCCGATCCGCCATCAATGGCTTACGTAATGGAGCACAGGTGTGCACAGTCCGCTCACCTACAATACCACTATCAGTGATCACCGCATCTCATTGCACTTAGCAGTGGTTGAACCTGAACGAGTGTTCAAAAACATGGATCATCTTGGGATACACCTCAAACAATCGCAACACTCCCTACGTGGCTGTCCGGTTCGGGCGAATGTAATATAATGTAAGGAGAGACATGCTTGCAAGCACAAATGTTGAGCTTACAAGAAGAGAGAGATGCCGGTCAAGATTGCCAGCAAGGAAACCCCGGTTTTTCGACACAGAAGACACCCAAACCTTATCTGTCTTTGCAGCTACCTACCTAGTAGTGTAAAGACATGGGGGCGACTGGCCATTTCGAGTATTATTTCGAGCTTATTTGGACTGGTAAGGAACACGAACTCGCCAGGAACGTCGCATGTTCAGATGGATGGTTATTCTCCATATTCTCCTGTCAGGATGTGGATGCATCGGCTCGTGAGCACACAGCACACAGCACCCAACCTCCAGCGGCTTCCTTCTGACATAGACAAGTCGGATATTCTTTCTGTAACACGACCTTCTTGACAGCCTCATCTCGACAGAATAGGCGAGACGGCTTGGTGCTGCCAACCGTTTGGTCATACGTCGAGCAGTACTCACTCATCCACCCACTCACCTACGTATCCGTATGTAGGTAGGTATTACCTTACCCCAAGATGTCTCAGGCGCTTTTGAGACACGTACAGTGCGCAACACAGTGTATATCCCAGCGCGGGCTCCGCATATTCCCGTGTCTCCTTCTTCTTCGACAGTGACGCAGGAAGCCTGCCAGCAACGCCGACACAGTCTTCCTCCCCATTCGAGTTCTTACTGTACGCGGCTGCCTGATGCAGACATACGTCGACTGACGCACAACAACACGCCGAATTGGCACGTCGTGATACTTTCCACCTCCATCTACCTATCTGCCTCCCACTCAGTCCGTCCGTTCATCAATACAGTCACAACTCCCGCGTCCCACCCACGCAGAACCCCCCGCGTTTCCGCCGTATCACGTCCCACTGGATGGTACGCCATGGCACTTTTGCTCTCCGCGTGCGAAAACACCGAAGCAACCTTGACCACGTTGCAGTCCCGGCGCAGGAAATCCCACATGCGACCTTTGGCTTCATCATTCCCCCGCCTGTCTCTGTGTCTGTCTGTTCCTTCGACCTGCCAGCCACACTGGTAGCCGCTGCAAGACGCTAGAGACATACTTTTCCAGCTGTTCCCCGCCAACGACCCGGAAATAGGAACACCCTCGCACCCTTCCGCAGAGTCGCACTGCCGCTTCGCTCAAGCTCCCATCATATTGCTGCAAAAGCTTCGGTTGCAACATAACTTTTTCCCCGCAACACCCCCCCCCCCCCTCACTCATTCCCTGCTTCGAGAAGACGTCTCTTCATAGTTCTGTGCACCTCCTTGCGCCAGCTTCCCGTTGGCATCTCGCGGAAATCACCCCTCTGGTCATTGCTTAAAGCAGCAAAGATGACGAACCTACCAGTTTGGCGACAGCTACCCGTGTCGTCGTCGACGGGCTTACCTAATCTCTTGGTATCAACCTCCTTCTCGACAACGTCATACACGATACACCTCACAGATCTGGCAAACATATGGGTTGAGTCTTTGGACCGAAAGGCCATCTACAAGCGGAGCCTCAACGAGTCCACCAGCATAGACCCTACGGATAGTGACAGCAACATGCGTACTTTCCTGTCCAAAATTAGATCCGTCTTTGAACCTTCTCACCAAGATCATGCTAAAGCATCCCTGTCAGTGTCGACGATCCCCAGCAAGGAGGCCGGAGCGGGAGGGCTGACTCTGAGCATCGTTTGCAAACTGGAAAACACAAAGCCTCTGGAATGGCCGATGTATCTGCAGAAATGTCCCCAATCTCAACTTGCATACGAACTTGTTGTCCCACTTGCACAAGCACACACGACCGGGCGAAGGCAGATTGGTTCCCTCAAGGACATCATCAGACAGAAAGATGCCATCATCACAAAGCTCCTCGACAAACTCGAGGCCACTGGAACTCGCCTGGAAAATGTCTTTACGGTCTTGTCCGCAAAACAAAAGCCCACAAGAAAGATGGCTGAAGACAAGGTCAAAGGACTGGCTCCCTTCCGGCCTGAAGACTGGATGTCTCAGCTGGACGAACACCAAGAGGACATGTCGAGTCTCTTACAGTATGTCTTTGGTGCCGACGGTCTCGAGTACCACCAAAATCCCGATGTACACAACACCGCGTCTCTGGACGACTGGTGGATCAAACTGCAATCGCCGTCTATCCCAATCGTGGGTACAACGTCAAGCTCTCGCTTAAATCAGTCGGGCATGTCCTCGACCGACCCCAGGCAGCTGGAATCCAAAGGTAGTGAAGCCAAGGATGCCGAGGTCGCGGCCGAAGACGACGACGACGACTTCCAAGTACAATCAACGCCACCGCATCTCATGTCCACTCGCAAACGTTTCGTCAATCCCCTTCCCGCAGAGGATGGTGACGGTACCACCAAGGACGGGGATACTCCTCCGATACCTGATAGCGTACCGGTACCCCCACTGGATAACAACGCCCGACCTTCTCGCCTGGGGACAATAGGAAAGAGGCATCAACCTATGCCAACTCGTACATCATCCCCCCCTCAAGCTCTGGAGCTGGAGGACTCGGAAACAGAGACAGTGTCTGATGAGGACGCTGCCGCCTCTCTAGCTGAGGAATCATCGCCGCCACAGCGCGCCGGATCGATGTCTGATACGAAGGATCCAAAGAAAGGTCTCGATTTAATTAGAGACAACGCTGGCGGGTCCAAGGCTCCAAGTTCCCCACGGAAAGGGGTTCTGGGCCGCATTGGGGGAGAGTCGGCACGTTCCAAATCACCCGAGCCGCCAAAAAGGACAGGACTTGGTCGCATCGGCGGAGGTGCTCGTCCCGTCACGACGCCCGAGCCAACAGCTATAGCTGCGGAAGAGCGAGGTCGATCCCGAGTGAACACAACGCTCCACGAACAGCCCAGAGAAACCTCACGGGATCGAGCGGATAGGAAACGAGATGAACTGCAGAAAGACTTGCAAAGAAAGGCCGCGGCAGGACCGGCGCGCAAAAAGCGAAAGTTCTAAGTCCACCCTAGTCCCCGATCTTGCAAGTCTCATTGCTGCTTTGGAGCTCCAATAATAGAACCCAGCCAAACGTATTGCGACACCCCTTGCCTACAAATCATGACAGTGACGAAAAACAGTGTATTCCAATAGACTTGATATGCCTCATTCATGGCTGTAGCACTCCAACTTACTGGTGTCACGCTAGCACGTCGCCAGCACGTCGCAACCGATGTTCGCAGGCTTGTGTTCTCGGGATGTGCCCGCGCGATCCGTCAAAAGCCGAAATAAAACCGTGCGGGACATACCCGAAGTTCCGAGTGAGCTCGGTGCTAACCATGTCATAGCAGGAGTCTTGATGCCAACCACGCAGAATGCTCTATGCAGGGGTTTATCTGAACGGCCCGAAACGATGTTCGCTATTCTCCTTGTATGACATCAGATGCTTGTTCCCGCCTCCTTGGTATTGAGTAGCTGAATCCAACATGCTCGGGGCAGAGCCGTCAAAAGAGTACAGACCAAGTTGAGTTACCGAAAATAATCCATACCTCACGAGTCACAACCCGTCGGCGAGCAACAGCTTTCACCTTGGCAAGGATGGAGCACGTTGCAGTACTGGGCAGGTTCTTATTCTTGGAAAGGCTAGCGACTTGCGAACTCGTTTCATGCTTCATTACGTCCGAACTTTGCTGGATATGCAACGTCGCGAATTGCCATGCAAGCTTGACCTATCAAAGCTCTTTCCACCACTCGTTCGACAGAGTTTGGTTTCCATGCATGACTCAGGTTCGAGACCGAGTAGAGGAATTCACCACGATCTGCCCCCCGACATGTGTCCGCAGCCGTAGCCCGCAATGCGGCCTTGCAGCATGATATGTAATGTTTCCACCCGACGTGCTCTCTCGATGAGATGACCAAGAGGTCGGCTTAGACGTCGCTGCAACGAGTCGGGGTCACGCAACTTGGCGTATGCATGGAAGGGATATGCACAGATGGAACCAGACGCTCCCTCGGATCACCCGTTTCCCGGCTGACTCGAGAGATACCAAGCGAGGCGTTGGCTCTTTCTGATGCTGCATCGGATGTGAACCCGGTGGCTTGTCCCATTCGATAGCCGAAGATATGACAAGTTGTACCTTTCGCACGTAAGGCGACAGAAGATTATCACGAATGACGGGCAGCTGCTTTCCCGAGCATGAGCGGCAGCTCACGTTGCACCAGGACGAAACTAACTTCGGGGCATATCACCGACTCCGTCAACGGCCGTACGGTGCTGCATCTTCGGCGCCGAGGCTCAAAGCGCAAGAAAACCATACTGGCATCAAAATAACCCTGACGTCTCGGCGAAGACGTTACGCGGCGGCGTATGGATGAATGACACAGGACGCCACCTACCCACCCAGCCACCCAGCCAACCAAAATCAACCACGGCAAAGAAGCCCGCATACCACTTGACGGAAAAGGGAGGGATATTTGTCTTGGGGCCAATGACCTGCTGTTGGCCGTTGGCCATTGGCATCTTCATTGAGCAGCCTGCATCAGGGTGCGGAGTATCGGCAAAGAGAAACTCACATACACAGAGGAGGCCGGGTACAGCTGCCACCCCGATCTAGAGCCGGCCTCACCGGCTTTCTCCATCGCATGGAATGGGACAGATCAGGAAGCATGTATCGGGCCGAGAAAACCAAGCTTCAATCGCACGGCACGTACAGAACGCGGGCCACTACTCCAATATCAAATTCGAAATTTGAAGGTGCTTTTCGGCCGTTGCTAAGGACAGGAATCAGGATGACGAACCGATCGCCGAAGAGACAGGTCCCATAGGTCGGTTAGAGAAACACCGCAAGTCTTCAAGACGACGAAATATTATCTATCACTTTTCGACTGGGCGTCACCCATGGTTATGCAGGCGACGGGGCCTGCGATAGGAGGACGTATACGACGTGACGCTGGTCTTCGATGTCCATCGGCGAGACGGCGCATATGATTAGATGCAGAAATGATACAAAGGGAAGGGGGGAAAAAGAAATAGGTTGGAAGCCTTACATAGACTTCAGATGCTACCAAGCCTATTGTCATGGACCGGTTAGACTGCAGCTTGCTTGCGAGAGCATGGGTCTTGCTTTTCGTGCATGCGACAAAGCATGACAGGGGGATATACCTGGACCATCAAGTTTGCTCTGGGGGACTGGCGGGGATGATGAAGGGCAGCAAACAGGAAACGGCTACGATGCGGCGTGTCAAGACTGGCGGGATGCGACCTCAGATTGACGGCGGAGAGATGAGTAACGAACGCATGGGGACGCATGGAGAGGTACGTAGGAATGATGAAATGAGCAATGCATATATCAGAAATGATCAGGAGCACGGGCAGATAGATGCGGATAGATGATGGAGGGTGGAATAGCGGTGGAAGAGATTGGCAAGACTTCTTTTTTTTTTTTTTTTTGGTTTTGGAAGCACCTGCCCTTCCTCACAAGTGGAATACCTAGTCTACGTATGCGAGCTCCCACTGTCTTACGTGCGTATAGAGGTCGGGTCTAGGTGCATAGTAGGTAGCACGAGTGCGGAAAGGATGGCAAAGTCAGAGAGGGAGCGCTGACTCGCCCTACGTAGGTGATATAGATAGCGTACGTAGGGCAGCCAAGAGTTCGGCAGCCAAGATGGTCTATCACTGACAGTCAATCAGTCGTGGGGTCGGTCGGCCGGCAAAACGGCAGTCGGATGTGACTGGAAGGAGCTGCGTCTCTTGTCTCGGTGTGGCAAGATCGGCGCCAGCACCAGCAGCAAATGACAATTGCAGCGGCCGGATCCCCCGCCTCCGGCGGTTGATGGAATGGGAGGTGTGCCCTCGTGGAGCCGTCGGACCCTCCTCGACGGGAGGTACCATGTACGTGTACCTGGGACGGGGTTGCTCTCTTGGTCCATAGCGCCGGCTGCAGTTGCGTCGCCCAGGAGCGCTAGGTAAGGTACACTAGGTAACTAACCTAAGGTTATATGGCTCGCTTAGCCGCCCTACGATGAAAGCAGTGCACCGGGCCGAACGGCGATTGACGAACAGAAAAACCCGAGCCGATTTGAACAGAACGAGATGAAGGAGGATTGGGGGGGGAAAAGGTTGCGAACTGATTACCGCAAAGAGACGATGAGAGAGTGTCTGTCTGGGTACCAAGTCTTCCTTATCTCAGCTGGTCGGAGGGAGGACGGCTTCTGATTGGACAAGAGCCCGGATACCCCTTGATTGACTCCGAGATACAACATCATTGGTCAGAAGCGCATCTGACCCACTTCCTCGCAGCATACTCAGTAGTAGGTACAGACTCGATGCACTCGTGCATACGTATCCACTTACTGAAAAGGGAAAGGATGGGGGATTTCCACTTGCCTCGGTAGTAGGTACGTACCTACTCGTGTCCAGTTTACCTAGGTACCAGTGTACAATCCTACCTACTTTAGGTAAGGTTAAGAGAGGGGAAGGCAGAAGGTGCGATCAACAATGTCTGTTTCAACGACGTGCTGTGCCTGCCCCCATCCTGCCTACTAATCATCGTCAACTTTTCTCTCCGATAACTCTGCCACAACAACACCAACAATCACCGACCTCCCCCCACCCACGATGCATAGCATAGGGCCACAGCTACGCATAGCAGCGGTCAACATTGCTTAGCCACCACCATTTATCATTTTGCCGGCATGTTGCGTCGCACAAGATGCATACCCCAAAAGTCGGTCTATGTCAGAATTAGATTAACGCATTCAACCCGAGCCTCCCCAGTTCCTCGTCCACCCCTCGCCTCTTGAGGCTGGTCAGCCCATGCTTGCTTGGCCTCGCGCTTCATACAGCATCATGTCGGCTAACGATGATCAGCACCTCGTATCACGGCTCGGCAGCCAATGGTGACGAAGGATGAGAGTCCATGACAAGCCAGATACCTATCTGCCCTGCGGCCAGTTAACCATGCGACTACTGTTGGTTGTTCTTTGTCGACCCAAACCAACCCCCTCACTCCAGTCTAGCAGAGGACAATCAAAGAGTCTCATTCCCAGTCGAGGGAGCCGTCCAAAGGGCTGTCATCATCCTAGTGGCGCGCTCCTGCCACTCGGACCAGTCAATTAAAGATGGACTTTGTTGAAAGAAATACCATGCATAGGCTGGGCACCGGTCCAACGGATCCCCCCGGTTCTTCGCATTGGAGTGAGTGTCCCGCTGTTGGCCTTTTTTTTTTTCTTTTTCTTTTTTTCCCCCTCAATCGCCCTTCATATTCAGGGCAGCCATCGCAAATCCCGATTCAAACCCGGCGCAATACCCATTTGGCCCTGGACGAAGAGAGCATGCTCACAGAAACACGCCGGGACCACCCGACCATGGTAGTTTCTGGTGCTGTTGGCCCATCCTTGGCTTGACGCCAAGAACTCTCTACTCCAGTTACCTAGCCGCTTAGGGAGGTGCGCGGACCGGTTGGCGGCAACTTGTGGAAGACTTTCGACATGGCGCACCCCACCCCCCCCCCCCCCCTCCAAACGGCTTGTGGATAAGCCTTATTCAACCCATCCTCTTGGCCTGATTTCGCCTTGCACGTTCACACCAACCTGATGCCACTAGCATGCGTACAAGTCTGCGCATCTACTAGGACCCAGATCCTGCTGGCTGGCCAGAACCAGGCACTCGGTACCCAATGGGAGACGTCGGAGTAGTGATGTCCATACCCACTTTTATTTCCGTTAAAAGCGGATGTGATGGGCAAGGATATTGTTCGCCCGAGCGTGCGCAGGGCGACGGGTCGCCAGCAATCGCCATCGTAGTGGCTGCATAACAAAAATCCCCGGCAAGGTGATACGCCGTCTAGCAGACGTCGAATCGAATCCAAACCCTAGGGTAGACCGCCGTTGTATTCATGCGCCTAACGCGCCGTTCTGCAGCCGAGAGTGCCACGTCAAGCGCGTTGTATTGCGGCCTGGTAGAGGACCATGTCAATACGGCCAGCCCCTTGTCGCTCGTCGTCTACACCACCTATGAGAGTCTCGCGCTTACCCTGCGACGGGTCCACCGTTTCCTTGATGACAAGGGAGGGAACGATAGGCGGCCATGATGCCGTGGCGTCTACAGATATCTCTCTCTCTGATCGGACCCCCCCCTGTTCTACGTCTCTTCCCGCCACGGTCAACAGATGGGTGCTGCTTTTCCAAATACCTACCAATGGCCCACCACAGCACCCTGTGCCCTGTCGCGAAAATCATTCTTCCACCGCGCGAATCTGGCCTTGACGTCACAAGGAACCCCCATGCACGGGTGGGTATCGGAGGTGCAGTCCGTCGTCAAAAGAAGACGAAGAAGGATGGGGGCTTTTTTGTCTGTAGCCCTTTCTTTCTACCTCAACCTTTGAATGGCCGATTCCTGTTACGCCCGCAGCATGTGGTTATCTACGGATACTGTCCGTCTCGTTGGATAACTCGTTGTTCCTGAAGAAACACCGGTACGCGGTCCAGATGCCTTGGCCGATAGTAACCATGTTTGTAAGACCACTGGGGTTACTAATCAGCTATTTCGCTGTGCCTCATGCACTATAGGTACGGCCAATCGTTCCAACATGGGTGTGGCCAAGGTCGCAAACCGTGGGCTGATGATGGCATTCGTGGGCATTTCTATTGTCTCACTGGCCCAGGCCTGCCTAATTACTTACCCCTGAGCGTTTCCTTGACGTCCACTCACAGGGCCGGGAGATGACACGCTCCCGTCCGTCCGTCCGTAGACTCTTGGACGAACCCGAGTGCCACCTTCTCTTTGTTCTTTCTCCAGCGTCCCCGTCGTCATCAACAAGTCGGATCCCCCATTGACATCTCCAACTCGACTCCAACTCGACTCCAACCCGCCATATACAGGCACACACACCCACACACATACACCCTGGTCCCCATCCTTCCCCCCCTCTTTGCTATCTGTCACTCCCCGTCCGTGCTCTGCCCAAGGAGCAGGGGCTTGGTTGATCATCGATCGTGACCCCCCCCCAAGTTTCACCACCCCACCTGTATCTTTGACGTCTCCTCTCCCATGTCCATCCATCTAGGTATTTCCAAATACGCATACTTGGCTGCGACTTATCTGCCCACCCCCACTCACACAGGCAAGGCGACAAAAAGATGAGAGGTGACATGCGACCACTACGGTGAGGTGTCAATGAGATAGGTATGCCCATCTACCTACCGAGTACGGAGTAGAGGCCCCCTTCTTTGCTCTCCCGGTGTGCTGGTAAATTACAGGTCCACAATGATATATGAGCCCAAGCATCCTTGCTCTCTCTAGCGAAAGAGGTGGCGTGGTAGGGGTGCGTGTGTGCCTTTTGCACGGGGCCTCCCTCCCCCTCCCTCTGTCTCCCGTGATATGAGCATGATGCAGCCCACAGCCAGAGAAGGGGATTAGGAAATGTAGCAACAAGGAAAGGTTGAGCGCATGCATACCGACGGTTGGTTTCGCTGAGGGTCGGTCCCCGGGGGTTTTTTTTTTTTGTCCCTTGCCATCGGTGAAGGCTGGATGGAACTCATACTACCATCCATGTATGTCACTGACTGACAGACTCACACATTCATCGACTTGTATACCCATTGATTCGTGCAACCGCTTCTTCAGGCCTTGCGGCGCAGATTCGAACGGCGTAAACTCCAATCCCGTGGTTTCTTATCCTTCTCCTACACACGCGCGGTCGGGCGGGCGGGTCTACCCGTCAGAAACCGCTCATTTCCAAGTTTACGTGCCTGTATTATTACGTTGCAGAAGAGGGGAGAGAAGGGGAAAAAAAATTCCCCTCAAAATAAGCAAGCAAAAGAAGAGAGAAAACTACCCCAGGAGAGAAGTAAAACAGTATCATAGGAGATATACATATAGATAAAAAAGAAAAAGAAAAGAGGAAAGGAATAGGAAAGGGGGCAAAAGGGATAATGGGCAGGTGAATAACTAACATTGTAACTGAATGGGGTTCTCGCACACGAAGGGGTGGAAGATGGATCGAATAAAATCAAATGGAGGAAAAAGACACAAAGACGGCGGCGATACGGTGTTGTGAGATTGGGGGGGAACAAACGGACCCCCCCACTTTTTCTTCTTCTTCTTCCTTTTTTTTTTGTTCTCTTTTCCATTTCGCAGAGAAGTACGGAGTATTCCGTAGGCTAACCACCTACTCAAACCATCACCCCCAGAAACAATCAAATTCATTGGCTGCCCCCACGTGTATGTTCTTCTGCATACCGCCGGCACTGTCCCAAATATTTCCGTGCTGCAAGCTCGTGTAGGCGTGCCTTTTTCTTTTTCATTTTATCTTGTCCTCCCCCCCCCCCCCCCCCATCGTGTTAGTCGACGAAAAAGAGGCATAAGAAAAAATAGAAGAAGAAGCAGGAAAACAAAAGACAAAAGACAAAAGACAAAAGACAAAAGACAAAAGGGAAAAGGGAAAAGGGAAAAGGGGAGATTTGGACAGTGAGAAAGGGGAAAATAGACAGTTGGGGGAGAGGGCAGAGAGAGAATTGCTTTGCCGCACCCCACCCCCTCCCCCCCCCCCCGACTTTGTTCGCTTTCTCGGACTCGATAGGGTAGGAAATGGGAAAAGGGAAAGGGGACATAGGTAGTCGATCTCGCACCCCCACACACACCTCCCCCCCTCCCTCGAACCCTTGCAGGTGTCAAAGAAAACGGACGCTGGAACCCCTGCTCCGCGGGACTAGAATAGCTGTCAAAGGTCGAGACAAGAAGAGGGTGAGGAGGGGCGTGGACGTAATCACTGATCGATCTTGGCGGGAAGACTGACCGGGGGTCAAGATGCATATCTCTACATACCTATACCTCTATACGTACCAGTAACTACGTACAACCCGACAGGCAAGAAGAAGCCATAACCCCCCCCCGGTCAAATGGTATTCATGAACCCCCTTGGCAAGACGGACGCGGTTGGAATAGATCCAACTGTTTCTCTCAAAGCGGATAGCTTTGCGAAACAAGGGGAAAAACCCCCCCCCCGAACCAGAGACGTGCAATTTCATGATCTCGCAGTCTGCTTTTGTGATCCTCTTGGCTGTACCCTGACCCCCCTCGGTTCTGCGGATCCACAGAGCTCATGCAGTGACATGCCTCTCTCTCTCCCTCCCTCTCTCTCTCCCTCTCTCTCCCAACCTCCCAACCTCCCTGCACCGCAGAAACGATATGTGTGAAAGGACAAAAGTAAAGACTTAATTATGAACAAGATACAGAGATACTTCATACAGAATCCCCCCCCCCCCCCCCCTTTTTTCGTCAAAAAGTAACCCTAGAAGGCGGAGAGACGGGAAAGGCCGCCCGCCAGTGGATATCAGCAAAGATCAAGACTCCATAACGCCGAGAGAGATAGCCAGGACTTGACAGGAACAGAAGCGGCCAAGAGGTCGGTTGTCGAAAGTTGGATGGAAGAACAAGGCCCTCACATCCCCCATCCCCGACGTAATCCGACGAGAGTATGGGCAATACCTAACTGTACTTTGCCTAGACCACCCTTCAAAGACCGCTACCCGGCGGGCTTTGCCAGGAGAGACAGCTCGGGATAGAGTCACCGGTTACCCGGCTAAGATGGCCGCGTCCTGGGGGCGGGGTTCCATAACCATTGTAATGTATTATTGTGTAGGGATCTTCCCATCTCCGGTTTTGACGGTAGCGAATTCGCCTACAAGCGGTCTGTCCGTCCCAGCGCCTGATGATGCTGCTACCAACTAGAGTCCTGGCTTTAAGTTTTCTCTATCTTGGGGAAGGCGGCTTAAAGTGACCGGGATGCATCCTCGTAATGAGGCACGCACTGCGTTGTTGTTTTCCACTATGGATGAAGCAATCTTTTTATTCCTTCTCCCGGTTGTGTCGGCTGTTGAAGCTCTTGACGGCGTTAGGACTGTCTTGTAGAAGATGCTCTTGCCACACGCCCTAGTGAGTTTATGTACATCCCACTGGTACAGTCGAGAGGAACGCGCTGCCTCCGTGAGCGTAGGCCTTCCCTGACTTCGTTCGGCAAGTATAGAGCTGCGGACGCTATCTCCCCCCCCCCCCCCCCCCCCCCCCCTTCCCTACTCCCCGGTAGTACAGCAGCACGGCCACCCTAGTCTTAGAACTAAGCAAACAAGACAAAACAAAAAACTTGGGCTTCGCAGCCGTTTTTTTCTACATGTGGGCGTCGGGACCCCAGCCGTAAATCACACCGTCTGTCGGGGGCGACGAGGTGTACGCGCCGGACACGTCGGCCATGTCAAACTGCTGAAGCTGGTAGGCCTGGGGATGGCCTCTAGGGGCGTCCGGGCCCATGAAGGTCACGGCCGAGGCGCCGCCGTTGCTGAGAAGGGGAGCGGGGGGGACCATGTGGCCCATGACGGGATGATGCCTCATGCCCTCGACGACGTGCCCCTTGGGGACGCCGCCGTTCCGCCTCTGTATGTCGGCGCGGGCCTGCCATCCCTGGAGCTGCGCGGGTGGGTACGGGTAATGCTGGAGGGTCTGGGAGGCGGAGCTCCCCAAGATTGGGGATACGGAGCCTGTATGCGAGCGCTGGCGCCTGGCGTTCCGTGCCGACGTGGTCGCGCGCCCTCCCCGCCGGCCAGACATGGCGCGCCCGGGCATCGACCGGTTGGGGTAGTCCGGGTTCTGGTAGTGGGTCGCACTGGCGGAACGAGGGGGGCTGTTGCGCCTGTGGCTGCCTCCGCCGTGGGTTGTGCTGCGGCGAGATGAGTTGGTGTGCGCGCCCTTGCGGGCGTTGCCCTCGCGGAAGTGCGTCGTCGGCCTGATATCCTTGACGTAGGCATCCACGAGGTACCATTCCGACACACGCTTCTCTGTGCCCGTCCGGCTGGTGTCGTTGTCGGGGAAGGTGATCTTTTCCCTCCTGTTGAACGCCTGGGCACAGGTGGGGATTAGTCTGGGCTTGCTCGCTTATAAGAGGATCATTAGGGTGAGTAGGGGGGGGGGGGGGGGGGTGGTGTGTGTGAGGGGCTCGGTCTTTTGCCGCGTAAGGTGTTGAGGATGCTTATCCGGCAAGGGTGCTGGCGCGATGTGGTAGTATGTGCATAGGACGCTTTCTAGGGGCAGCATCATGTTCCCATGAAAAATGGGTCGAGGGCGGGGAGAGCCAACAGAAAGAGGGGCGAGGGATTTCACTCACATCGTTCATGCTAAGATTATGGCGGATGCTGTTCTGCCACCCGGTGCTGCCGTCTTGCTTGTGGGTCTTGTCCGTGTTATCCCGGAACCACTTGTAAAGCTCCTGCAGGGTCATGGAGCGACGGGGAGCGTCTAGTAGGGCTCTGTGGATGAGCTTGGCGTAGGGCTCCTCGCCGCCGGTGTTCTCCTTGGGCAGTGCTGTGCTCTGTGTGGGAGGGTTCAGCTGGCCGCCAAGATCCGGCATCGTGTCGGGCTCCGCGCTGAAATCGCCACCGAAAGACGCCGGAGACCCGGGATAAGGGGACCCGGGAGCGTCCACGGAGGGCGACGACTCATATTTGAAGTGCTCGCTCTTTAAATGACGCGGCTCGAAGCCGTGAGGCAAGGCGCCGTTGTCGTAGTGCAGGTGAAGTTGCAGGTCCGCCCCGCGAAGGTCGTCCGTCGGCATGGAGACATGGTTGCTGAGGCCGTCATAGACGGGCTCTTGGGGGCGAAACGGGAGGTCGAACTGGGCGGTGGAAGCAGGGTGAGCCGTCTGGGCCGCTGCTGGCCAGGACCGCGGGGAGAGAGTGGACGGATGGTACGCCGTGGCAACCGTTTGGCCGCGGTATGAGTAGTTCGCGTTGGCGCCGTTGACATTGTCAAAGTCGTCGCTCGACATGCCCCGTGGGGACGGCCAGGCCGTCTGGTTCATGGTCGGCGACTGGTATGGCTGGCTTACAGCGGAGAGATGGTAGTAGCCTTGTCGTTGATGGTCATGGCCCGGGAACTGGTGCTGTTGATGTGCGGAGGCCACAGTATTGTAGTCTCCCACCATTTCTGTCCCTACGGCCATGGCGGATGGTGCTTGCGTGGTGCTGCCGATGTACTGTTGCTGCCGACTCACGCCATCGCCGGGCATCATGTGCTCCGGCTGCGAAGAGCTCGTAGTCATGATACTAGAACGGATGGTGTATCTATGTGACAGGCGCGGGAAGGAGCGTAGAGTCAATGTAAGGCTCCTGAAACAAGATAGGACAAGTTTGGGCGGGATAGAAGTTTCAAGATATGGGGAAGATATGATTCAAGTTATTACAGACACTGCTCGGTGTCGCCGTTGGAGAAATGAAAGATGAGGATGAGGAGATCTCGAGGTTCAGGAAAATGACGACCTATTGGGACAACGAGATGTCGAGGGCGGCGGCGATGATGAATGAAGCAGGATGGTATCGAATAAAGAGCGTCTCGGGAACGATTTTCTGAATGGAAGGCGAACTGCGTGGGTATTAATGCTGTGGCTGTTCGTGATGGCGGGTTGATAGAGAAGAAGCACTGATCGTTGCTGAAAGGTGTCTGGAGCAAGGGTATCGACCCTGTTGATTTAACAAGGCGTGTCCCCTACCGATGCCCATGTTGGCCAGAGAGAAGAGGACGTCGTGGTCGTGCAAGGTAAAGACGTATGCCGCTCAATTCGGTCATCGGCCTGTACACCAAGAGGTACGAATAGAGCTGAGGATGGGGAGGGAGGGAGGACTGACAGGGGACAAGGGTGAGAGTGGCGGCATGGGGTGTGTGGATTGTGAAAAGGAGAATATACATGGGGGGCCAGAGGGTGGGAGGGGCGTTAGTTTAAACCGCCGTGTGGATATCGCGGAACAAGAGCAATCCTTCTGCTCGCTCGTTGCTTGGCCTGGTATGGTGTTGTCTCCCGTAACCGCGGTAGCGCCATGTGTGCGTTGTATCAACGTGTATGTGTGCGTGTGTGTGTGTGTGTGTGTGTGTGTGTGTGTGTGTGTGTGTGTGTGTGTGTGTGTGTGTGTGTGTGTGTGTGTGTGTGTGTGTGTAGGTGTGTGTGTGTGTGCCCCTCTGTATGTGCGTCTGCGTGTCTGCGTGGTTTGTATATGGTTGCGTGCGTAGACGGGTCTGCCTGACGGCTATCATCTGTATGCCCGCTTGGCTTTTCTCCCTCTCCCTCCCTCCCTCCCCCTTCTCTCTCTCTGCCGCTGGCCATCTAGCTTCCTCCAACCTTTACTCCGATACACCATCTTCTTTGCCATGTGTGCCGTATTAGCTAGACGAGTATCCCAATCCACGTCTCCGTCAGCCTCTCTGATGCATGTGTACAGATCGGGAGCAGCCAATCTTCTCCGGACTTAAAGTGCAAACGCAAACGGACGGGGGGAGCTTAGTTGTGACTCTCGGCCGTCAAATACCTTCTTCTGCTGGGGGGTAGGCAATTATAGAATCGACTGGGATGGCAGGCCTTCATTTCTCTTGCGTTGGTTGAGGAACTGTTGGAGAAACAGCCACACCCTGCAGTCTGCCTACATAGCGGCCTCTGGGCTAAGTTTCTCTATGCCGACGGACAGTCGCTTGAGAATGTGAGGTGTGCAGCAGGGTCGGGGTCGGAATGGACTGATCTGTAGAATCTCCAACCATTCCTTGTCCTCTCCTCCTCCATCGACTCTTTGGCGCGAGAGATGCCTGGTTCGGCCGTTGGGACTAAACAACGCCACCACGCTTGTAGCGTAATCGTCAAGAGCTGCCGACCCATGATCCAGGTCGTCTGCGTGCGACCATCGACTGACAGCCGTAGCGAAGCCATGCTCCGGTGACCACAAGGACGGCCAGGACAACTACAAGGGGGCGTAATCACTCGCCCATCCGGGGCACAGGCGGAAAGGAGGGGGTGAGGTGTATGCAGACGGCACGATGCTAGTATGGCACACGTTCTAAGAGGGCCTGAGGCCTGCAATAGGCGGGCTCACCAGAGTTACCTATGCTGTTACACACATTCACAAAGTCAGGCCGACTTCGGGTTGACGGCCCCCATTGTACGATGTACAGCCTGGCCAAGACAATTCAGGTCTGTTGCTGCCACGGCTGGGCTGAGGTGAGCTTGGTAGTCACTCAGCTGCGCGAGGTATGAGGAGAAAAGCAGCAGTGGCAGCAGCAGCCTATCGCGGAGAGCAGCAGAAGGCCCATCGGCCGCATGCATCTATTTTGCCGAGAGAGCCAATCACTCACCGCCGTCGTCATGGCCGCTGCTTCAGAAATTCTCAGTGTGGCCGTCCAGATGAGGTTGCAAGGCGACCAGAAGATCTTTCTCCACCGGACGCAAACCAGGCAACATCGTGACCCCTCTCGCATTCTAGAATATGACCATCGTGCTGCGCCGTGTTGCCGCCATGGAATTCAAGTAGGGAAGCCGGTCGTCAAGGTAGAATTCCAAATCATTTCTGATCCGAGAAGGTGGCGCTTGTTGGAGGGGAGTTATTTCGAGCTACCTTGCCTTTGGCTACCGTGCCTCACGGGGAAATACCCGAAGTACTCCTCCAGTACCAGCTGCTGCTGCTGGTACATCTACTGGTACTGCTGGTGACGAAATCCCGGGCCATCGCCATGGTTAAAGCCCAGACCCAGTCGGTGAAGGGCTGGGATCGTCGACGCATAGGTCAGAGGCGAGGCATGCCAGGGCGAACGTGAGCCGGCCCATCTGCGGTGGTAGTGGAGGTCAGATCAGCAAGTAGCTGTAGCCATTGTGCTTGGCTTCCTGTCAGGCCAGTTTCATACAAATCCGCTCCGCATCATGTCAGTCGTCCGGAGTGGCGGCACTTGGCGTCTTTGGGGGGGGGACAGATAGACCCGTCTGGAGATGGCAATGTGAAGAGATTGACTGGCCAAACCAGTAATCCTGATACCATCGGTTACACGATAAGATGACAAGGAGGATATTGATTAGTTCAAGGCGAAAGCTATGGTCGCCTGTGTGTTTGTGCGTCCCTGTTGTTTTCCCAGAGGCCAGACGGCTTGCGGCCAGCGGCGGAGGTCGGCCTGTGTCTTTGAAACGTATGCGTGTGTGTGTATATACGCGTGGGAGATGAAGAAAATTCTGTACATGGTACCAGCCAGAGTAAGAGCGGCGACCCGGTGATGGAGGTGAGACGGAGGCGATCTAGATGGCAGTCGCAGATCTGATCTGCCTCTTATTAGGCCAAGAACCTCCAACACCAAACACTCTTCTGATGTATCCGCCCTGGCGGAGGACTCCCTTGTCACATCTACGATGCATATGACACGAACAAGTTTCCTTCTCTCCAGTCCGATTTCCTGGGGCAAATCACTTCCGATAGTAGATCTGCAGGTGGCATCAGGTCAGTACGCCGTAGTTAATCGGAACAGAGGAATAATGTGACTTGTTCCTTACCTTCTTGAACTGAAAATGTAGCTGCAAGATGCCCTGTATGGAAACAAGATTAGCTCAATAGCCATGGGCTAGGGTAGACGGGCGGATGAAATGTGACAGAAAGCAAGAGACAATTCCAAGAGGCGCGCGTGTAGGCGGTTGGTGCTGGCTGGTGGGTAGAGCTCGCGGGTGGTTGGAAAGGCGGTCTCGCCCCCCGAGTGCCTCTATCTCGGTATCGCAAGACCGACCCCTTCAGGACTGGGCCCTTCGAGAAGGCGATAGAGAGGGGAGAGGGGGTGCAACCGGAGCATAGAAAGCGAGAGGCCAGAGATGTTGCCAAGGGGCACAGCTAACTTTGCGGGCGCACTTTTCCAGCTATCCCTCCCCTAGTTGACTCTTGTGCTCGCCGTGCATGTGCAGGATATCGAATTGGTCAGGGAGATTAGGAAAAGGAGGTGAAGGGGGCCTTGTCAAGAAAGGATAGACGGCGTACGGGAAACACGACGGAACGTACCTTGTCAAAGGAACTCTTGAAACCGCGGTCCCTCTTTGCACTGTAATCCCACTCGCGATCCACGATGCGGAATGCGATGTCTTCGTATGGAGGACCCGCGATGAAACGGATAAGGCACGTATCCTCCTCCCCTGCAGCTGCAAAGGACTCGCCCCTTTTCCTCCCGTGTTCGCGAATGATTTTGAAGGTGGGCGCCTTTGTCTTGTCAATGAGCTCGGGGTAGAAGATGTTGAACTTGTATCCCTGGACAACCTTGGGCGGCGGGTTGTCGTGGTCGTAATGCGTCTGGTTGTACTTGTTCCATTCGTAGCCCATCTGCACACGGTTGAAGTATTTCGGTTTCCTCGGCCGGTACTTGTCAGCCCACTGAGGCTTTGAGCCACTGGGGACGGCCTCCTCTGCGGTGAATACCTCCTCGTCCTCGCCGATGCCACGAGCGACCTCGCGATCGTAGAGAGCCTTGGTGGCCTGAGAGAAGTCCTCGTTGCCCACCTGGGCAAAACGAGCCGTTCCCGGTGGCGGCGCACCACCCTGGGTTGCACTCGGAACAGAGACCGTCTTTGTGTCGGCCCTGCTTTGTTGATCAGATGACAGGTTTCCGGTGGCTGTAGGGCCCGAAATAGACCCGGCCTGCCTGGGTTGCTGCTGCTGCTGCTGCCCCAGAGCCTTGACCTTTTCCGGATCTTGTAGCTTGAGCATGGTTGCCTTGCTCTCGCTGATTGCATCGCAGATCTTCCTGAGCTTGGCCTTGGCCTTCCAGACCAGCAGGCTACCAAGAAGCTGCTCCCAGTAGTCGACATCGATATCGTCGTTGGAGCGTAGTTTGGCCTTGATCTGTGCTTCGAGGGCCTCGAGTTGCTCGTACGTCTTGGGGCGGAGAATGCGGTCGACGTCCTCTGACACTGTGCTGACGACCCGGGCGTCTGGGCCCTGCGGTTTCAGTTTCTGCCGCCTGTCGGCGCAGATGGTTTGCAAGGCTTTCCAGTACTCGCGGTTGCGTTGGTTCTGCTCCAGGGTGTGGTAGGACGTGATGTCGGAATCCAGCTCTCGCAGCTGTGGTTCGTCCAGCCCCTGCAGCACCTCCTCTGGAGAAGCCACATCAACATGCAGGTCGGCATCGTCGTCGTCGAAGACATCTCGATCGGAATCGATAAAGCGCAGATTGAAGGCCAGGAGATCAATAGGCTTGGCTCGGCCTTCCCGAACTCGAATGTCAGCCTTCTTCTTGGCCTGTTTCAGAACAAACTTGTCTTCGTCGGCGACAAACTGTCTGGACTGCTCATCCTGTGTCATATAGCTCGAGTTGTCTTTCTGACGAGGCCTCGAGGACGCCGGAGGAGGGTTTGAAGGCTTGGTGATGCGGTTATTGGGGTCGCGACGCGGCGACGCGATATCTCTGTCTCTTTCACGGTCTCTGCGGTTGGGGGATCTGCGCCCAGACAGCATCGCTCTGCGGCCCGGGTCCATGTTTGCTTCGTAGAGAGGAGAGGAGGGATCGGCAGCAGCGGTTCGATGTATCAGTAAAAGGGGTAGCTGTGTTGTTATGAAAGTCGTCAGGTTTTGTTATTTTTCATTTTCGCAGCATCCCATCGCCAGCAGCTGCGGAACAGGAGGAAGCCCAAGGCTTGAGAGCTAACGTCATCCTTATCGATAAGGTCACGTGTCGGTCAATCTTCGCCGAACGAAAGCCTACGGTAATAGGTAAATCCCCCAACTTGCTATACGTACTCTCGGTACCGTATACACTTGTTAAACAGAATAACGTCTAGGGCGTAAGCTAACTGATAATAGTTAGAAAAGCAGCAGATTCCCCAAGCCTAATATGAAAGGCGGTCAATCAGCCTACTTACGTTATCAGCAAGCAAGCCAACCAGCTAATCTAGGTTCTGTTACAATTTACTTCCGCAGCCCACGAACCAATCAACTAGCCCTGTTTCTGCCAGCACACTATACCTCTCACAGTCGCCACTATACCTCTTACTATTAGCCTGTCTACTAGACGTTATTCTATTTAACAAGTGTATACAGTAGGTAGATGTCTGCCTTCCTAGGTAGTATCTACTATAGACACTAGCTAAATCCGCCTACCTCTACTTTAGAGGCTAACGGTAAGGGGCATAGCGGCTGCTGTAACAGGTATAGCTTACTGGCAGAAACATACAATGGTACCAGGCCGAAGTTAAATACCCCGGTTAGGTAACTAACGTCTACCCCCCTACTGCAGAGCTTCACTTTTAGTGAATATTCCCCCTCTATTATAATGTCGGTTATGGGGGGTAGCATCATTCGGGTATTTTACTTACCCCTGTCACCCTGTAGATCAGGTACTAGCAAAAGTAGGGGCAGTCACGTGCGTCAGCAGGAAGTTTAGGTGTAAGCCTGGCTGACTGGGTAGGTGGATGGGTGGGTGGGCTGGTTGACCGCCTTCTATTATAGGCTCGGCTTTTCGGCGGCCGCGATACCCCTTGCCGTTAGCCTTCAAAGTGGAGGTAGGCGGACTTAGCCAGTGTCTACGGTAGTTAGCTAGTGTACAGGTACTACGTATAGCCTATAAGGAACCTGAGAGTGGGGTATATCTTTTCGGCACGTGCAGCCGGGCCCTGACTAACCAGTCAGACCATCCAATATAGGATCGGACCCCACAGCTCTGATCGAGGGACCGACCTGGAAGCCCCCCCCAACATCTCCGCTAAACCATGGCTCCGGGACGCTAAAGCTGATGCACGTCCAGATCTCCCGATTTCAGGAACATGGTGACGTATAAGACATCGGCCGATCGTGAGCTTTTCTCCAGCATGATCCCATCACCGCCTCTGCGCGAGCTTACTTGATGGGGTTCTGGGGCATGCAATTTGGGGTTGAGTTGGAAGCCCGTGATATGTGGCATTTTCAGTTGCAACATGCACCATTCCTATCCATCCTTTCCCATTAACTAGGTACCTGCCTGCCGAAGCTACTTACATATACGGAGTAGCTCTTTACCACATGCTCTCGTGTCGCGTTTTGCTGCCCAGCAACGCGCGTCTAACATCAGCTGCAACCACCGCCAACTTCGCTGCCATTTATTCCCTCACCTCTTGTCCTGCTCCCCTTTCCACCTCTATTTCGTGCAAAACGCGCTGGTACGGTCGTTTGACAACTAGACTCCGTCATCTCTCCACGATGCCACCAAAGTTGAAGCGCAAATCGGCACCTGCTGCCGAGCCCAGCAACTCTGGTAGGAAGAGAACCAAGATCGAGCAGAATGACCGGGACCCTTTGCGCCAGCCGCATCCCTTCTACAAAGACGCCGAGAGACATGGGATCGTCCTCCGCAAGTACTACCCTCACGAGATGAGCAACGACCGCGCACGCGCCTACAACGATGATCAACTTCCAAGACCCATCGAGGAGCTCACCTCCGCCCTGCAAGACACATCCAAGGCGCGCAAGGCCGTCAAACCCAAAGACGCTGTGGTACACTGGTTCAAGATGGATCTGCGCACCGCAGACAACCGATCGCTGTCCCTTGCGAGCGAAAAAGCCAAAGAAGCAGGGGTTCCGTTGATCGCCATGTTCATTGTCAGCCCTCAGGACTACGAGGCTCATCTTACTGCTCCAATCCGCGTCGATTTCATGCTCAGGACCCTGCATACCCTGAGGGGTGACCTGGCCAAATTAGACATCCCACTCTACGTCGAGACCGTCGAGAAGCGCAAAAGGATACCTGACAGGATCGCAGAGCTCATGGATCAGTGGGGAGCCAGCCACCTATTTGCCAATATGGAGTACGAGGTTGACGAGCTCCGCCGAGAGGCGAAGATGGTCCGCATGTTTGCCGACAGGGGCCTCTCGTATGAGGTCCTGCACGACACGTGCGTCGTTCCCCCGGGACAGCTTACCAGCGGCTCAGGCAAACAATACGCCGTCTATACTCCTTGGTTCAGAGCCTGGGTCCGCCATGTACACGACAATCTAGACCTTCTTGAGCTGTGCCATCCGCCTGCAAAGAACCCTCCCAGCACAAGGGACAAATTCAACAGCCTGTTCGACACGGACATTCCGAGCGAGATTGCCGACAGAAAGCTCGACGACGAGCAGAAGAAGCGTTTTCGCGCCATCTTTCCGGCCGGGGAACACGAGGCTCGAAGCCGTTTAGAGAAGTTCTGCGAGGAGAAGGTCGGCCAGTACCACAACAAACGCAACATCCCCCATGATTCCGGAACCTCGAATCTATCCGTGCACCTTGCCAGTGGAACCATCAGTTCGAGGACCTGTGTACGATATGCCCGTGACCGTAACAAGACCAAGAAGCTCGACGCGGGTATCGAGGGGATTCGTGTCTGGATAAGCGAGGTGGCCTGGCGCGACTTCTACAAGCACGTCTTGGTACATTGGCCATACGTCTGGTATGTAGCGGATCCCCCCCCCCCCCCCGCTCTCTCCCCTTCTTCGAGATTCCACGAACACTGACCCGTCCTGCCCAGTATGAACAAGCCATACAAGCCCGAGTACGCAAACATTGAATGGTCATACGACATGGACAACTTCAAAGCCTGGTGCGCGGGCCAGACAGGTTTCCCCATCGTGGACGCCGCCATGCGCCAGATGCACGCAATGGGCTGGATGCATAACCGGTGTCGCATGATCGTCGCATGCTTTCTTGCAAAGGACCTCCTTATTGATTGGCGTATGGGCGAGCGTTACTTCATGGAGAACCTCATCGATGGCGACTTTGCCTCAAACAATGGCGGCTGGGGCTTTTCTGCCAGCGTTGGCGTAGACCCCCAGCCCTACTTCCGGATTTTCAACCCCTTATTACAGAGTGAGAAGTTCGACCCGGACGGTGAGTATATTCGGAAGTGGGTGCCTGAGCTCAAGGGCATCACTGGCAAGGCCATTCACGATCCCTACGGCCGCGGGGCCGGTGCGCAGGCGAAGAAGACGGGCTATCCCCAACAAATTGTCGATCATAAAGGCTGCCGAGAACGAGCCCTGGCTGCGTACAAGTTTGGCCTTGGAAGAGGCGACTTGTAAAGCGTAGGCATTCGAGGTCTGGGATGGAGAGAAAAGAGAACACTGCCATAGCGTCAGGGCCGTATGTGCCATTGCAAGCAGCACATGCAACAGGCTGGCCTATTTTCACCTTCTTCAAAATCAGCAAGAGTTTCCGTTTCCAAGAGACTCACATTGGCATTTTTCTTCTATATGATCGATCCGGGGCAGAACTGTCGTCAAGAGAAGTCTGACCAAGTGGGATCACGGGTCTCTTTGAGGACAAGTTGCCACTTTACCGTCCGCAACGCTTTCTCGGCGCAACACCATATTTAAGTCTCAGTTCGCGGCAGCCCTTCCGTAGTTCTCAATGGAAAGGCACTAGTCTGGAATAGTTGTCATAGTCGCCAAGAGGCCAAGCTTAGAACTTCCCGATGACTTACAGAAAGTTCACGCCAATCAACTAGAGCATACAGCTTCAGATATCTGGGCCAGACCAAGTACTATAACTTGTCCGAAGCCAGTCGTGTGGCTATGAACGGCATCTAAGCAGTTTGAGGGCTTTGGAACCGACTGAATTCACCTGGAAGCTTACGGATGTCGCACCCGGGCCATATTTCCCGCACAACCATCCCAAACCAATTCCGATCAAAACCCAAGTGGTGGAAACAGCCATTTGGATGCTTGGTGTCGAGCCGTGGTCATGTGTCGACAAATGTGTGTCCAACGGCCCGATGCAACGTCGGAGGGTGATACTCCGGTCCAAAAGCAACGCCAAAAGATGCCATGTCCGATGCCGCGACCCCTGTCTTTCCGCTCCCGAAGATGACAATCCACCCCAATGATCGCATACGTTAATGATCACCCGTTCAACACTGCTTCACGCGGCTCCAGTGGGCCGGTCCGACCGAGAACCTTCTCCTCATCAAGCTTTTACGGTACCTGCGGCTCCAGGAATGCCGGGCTTGAAGGGGAAATGAACTCGTTCCTCTTGCACTACTTTCGCCTCCAGCGGGTCGATGAGCCGATGATATAGATTGATGGAGAGAATAATCACGTTGGTAACATCCCTGCTATGGCAGCAGCGAGCCATTAAAGCCTAGCGACCTCACGGCGCCCGTGACCGCAACGACGAAAGGAGAAAGGCGCTACGGAATGGAGGGTTCCATAATCAGGGAACTATAGTCGAGTAAGCTAAAGACAAAATGTGACGCCTTCGAGGATGCTTGGATGCCAGCTATATAAGAGAGACGGCTAAGGCCATGTGCTGGACCGAGACATTCTTACACCTCTGCACCTCGGCATCGAAACGTTTCAACTCGGAGATCGTTCACAATGAAGTCCCTTCTTTCTCTCGGAGCCCTCATCGGCGCGGCCTCGGCTCAGGCAGGTGCCTGGGCTCAGTGCGGTGGCCAAGGCTGGACCGGAGCGACGACCTGTGTCTCTGGCTACAGCTGCACTGCCACGAACCAATGGTACAGCCAGTGTATCCCCGGCTCCAGCCCGCCTCCGGCCGGAACCACTCTTGTTACGAGGACGACATCGACGGTCTCGCCCACGCCTCCCCCGGCTAGCAACGGCGGGTGGAAATGGGTTGGAGTCAACGAGGCCGGAGCAGAGTTTGGTAAGTCTTCCTGTCCACTTCAGACGATATTGAGCCTCTAATCATATTCAACCTCGTAGGCGAGAAGACTCTGCCTGGTACATGGGGCAAGGAGTTTACTTTCCCCGACCTTTCGACCATCTCCGTAAGTTGTCCATGAACCATGAACCTCCAGAAGCCGACGAGCGTCTTTCTGACGAGTGCCTAGACACTCCGCGGCCAGGGATACAACACGTTCCGTGTCCAGCTCAAGATGGAGCGCCTGACGCCGGGCTCTCTGACCAGCGGTTACAACAACGCCTACCTGCAGAACTTCACGCAGGTGGTCAACCACATCACTCAGAGCGGAGGGTGGGCCGTCCTGGACCCGCACAACTACGGCCGCTTCAACGACGCCATCATCACCGACACCAACGGCTTCCAGACGTGGTGGAAGAACTTCGCCACCCTGTTTAAGAACAACGACCACGTCATCTTTGACACCAACAACGAGTACAACACCATGGACCAGACGCTCGTGCTCAACCTCAACCAGGCCGCCATCAACGGCATCCGCGCCGCCGGCGCCACGCAGTACATCTTCGTCGAGGGCAACGCGTGGTCCGGCGCGTGGTCGTGGGTGGCCACCAACGACAACATGAAGGCCCTCACGGACCCCCTGAACAAGATCGTCTACGAGATGCACCAGTACCTCGACTCGGACAGCTCCGGCACCTCCCCGAACTGCGTGTCCACTACCATTGGCGTCGAGCGGGTCCAGTCCGCCACCAACTGGCTGCGCCAGAACGGTAAGGTCGGCATCATCGGCGAGTTCGCCGGCGGCGCCAACCCCCAGTGCCAGGCCGCCGTCAAGGGCCTTCTCGACTACCTCAAGGCCAACTCGGACGTGTGGACCGGCGCTATCTGGTGGGCGGCCGGGCCCTGGTGGGGGGACTACTTGTACAGCTTCGAGCCTCCCTCCGGCACGGGGTACCAATACTACAACAGTCTTCTCAAGAGCTACAATGTTTAAGCGTTGGGCGTAGGGCCCACGTCTGGGAGCACAAGCATGTCAAAGGGGGGAAAACGAGGGATCATCGGCTTGGCTGATGGGCATTGTTATCTGTACATATCCAATTCGCGTATATATATATATCTTTCATTCAATGGCCCAAAACGGTCAATTTTCTCCCAGTAAATGACGTACCATAATATTGTCATTTTCGTCGGAAAGTCTAATCAACGACCATCCAATTGAAAGCACCGGTGACATGCCGGCGTACCGCGCTCATTAACCCCGCATTTCCCGGCGAGTGTCGTTCTCATCCGGCCGCCAATGGCCGGGCTGCCTTTTCTTACAGGCACGTCTGAGAAGACATGGCTCTTATTTCATTCATCTAGGAGGCGATTTGAAGAACTTATATGATTGTATATAGATGTTTTCGGACTTTTAACTGTTTGTGTTAGAATGCCGAAGGAGATGTGATCATAGCCAACGTATAGGCCACAGTCCTACGAAATCAGGTGTCAGCGAGACATAACGAAAGGGCCAATTCAATGGTTGTGAGCTTATTTTCCTTACCACGGCGTCCTTTTCATGGGGTATCCGGCCATAGGTCAGCCTTTGATAGTGTTTTGAAGCCTAGGTCGTTCCAGCACCCAGCCTCAGAGCCACATGTCATTGACCTAATGGCTAGCGCGCCACGCTGAAAGGTAGAAATGCGATCACGGCCAATAGCCGAAGCGACAGTTTTTGCCAATTCCTACCAGCGAAGAACACGGTGGTGTTTAGTCCTGGGCTTCCAAATGCGTGCCTTTCCCTTCCCGTTCAAGACTATGCTGAGAGCTCGACGAACATTGACGAGACCTGGAGCTAGGACTAGACATGACTTTGAGGCTGAGGAGGCATATGGAGTGTTGACCAAATCTGGGGACGTCTGGACGTAACTATCCCTGTGCTAGCTTCTACAATAAGACGGACTCTAAAGCCCTCATTTGGGCAGCTATCTCACGGAGACCAATAAATCGGGCTTTCTCCCCTCTTTCTTGCGTACTAGCATCGTCATCGTATATAATCTATAGGCTTCACCATGTCAATTTACGCCGATCACCCTTACCCTCTTATATCCACTCCGACGTACCAAACCGCTCAAAATGAGAAAGATGCCCCAAAGGTCAATGCCCCTGAGATGTTTATATTCGCTTGATCAAAAGCTGACATGGACAGCCGCCCGACATGTTCACCCGCATCGCGTCCGAAATGGCGCTGATCCACAACATGGTGATCCGCGGTCTGAACTCGATATACCTGCAAGCGCCCTTCGTCTCACCCTCGGATTCCAAAGCCTTCCTGCGGTACACACTCGCTTGGTACAGTCTGCTGCACGTCCACCACTCTGGAGAAGAAGCCGACTTCTTCCCGGCCGTCGAGGAGTTGACGGGCCAAAAGGGTCTAATGGACTGCAACGTGTCGCAGCACAGAGAGTTCCATGACGGATTGGGAGCCTTCAAAACCTACGTTGACGCTTGCCTCGGCGGGAAGGAGAAGTTTGACGGCCCGAAGCTGGTCGCATTGATTGACGGGTTCGGAGAGGCGCTGACCAAACACCTTGGAGATGAGATCCCCAGCATCCTGGGGCTCAAGGATTTCGGCATCGACAAGATGGCGCCGCTGGAGCAGAAGTTCGCGGAAGAAGGCGAGAAGAGCATGGTGAGTGGCGTCCACTGGTGCGGCGGTCGCGCATGGCATACTGACGGGTGCGTGTGTCGAGTAGAAAACGTTAGGCCTGGTCAAGGGCCTACCCTTCTGCTTCTCCAACCACGACGTCGCCTTCGAGGGCGGCCACTGGGAAAACTGGCCCTCGGCACCACCGGTCATCAAGCTTCTCTGCCACCACATCACCTACTGGCTCCACACGAACTGGTGGAAGTTTGCCGCATGCGATCGAATGGGCAACTTGAAGCCCCTTTACGCGGTCCCCAGCGAGGCAGCTCACAGCTCTTGATTGTGGAATGGAAGGTTCCGGAATCATGAAGGTTTCGGAGGCTGGCTTGCAGTGTTGCCATTGGATTCCGACTTGCTTTCTAAAATACCTAACAGTTGTCCTGTATTTTACATCAGACACGCTGAGATGCATAGCTTAACTCGAGATACCCCACGAACCAACATGTCGGGAGAGTATTGGCCGACTTGTTAGGGGGCAGCATCTACACCACCAACTATGGAATATTTTTCAGATGTAGGCCCGCGGGATGATTTGCTGGCGGTTTACCTTGTTGGCCAACGAGTTCGAGTAATGCATTACGGAGCCACTTGCCCGGCCGATGAACTTTCCGATGAGTTACTGGAATGGATTACGGATTTGTTCAGATTCGGAATCACAAATGCAATTTACTTGGGCCATCTTCCTATGTTGTGCCGTGGTTATCTTTGACGAAGAAGTGGTGTTGTTTAAGCCGTGGCCCGAGCTGGAAGGTTGCTGTGAATGGCGAGCAAGATAGTATCGTCAAGAGGCACGGGCATGATGATGGTTACATAACACATGCATGACGCAGAAACTCAGCGGTACCAGACATATTGTGTTGGAAACAGCATAGCATCGGTGGATTCAACGCCAGCTTATGGGTGACCGGGACGGTGTGAATGCGCAGACAATGTCGCGGACTAGATTGCCGATCGACGGGTCTTCTGCGACACCATACGCGGGCCATCCTGTATCGGACGTACACGTAAGACGGGCCTGCTTCGATTTTTGGCAGTTTCACTCTGTCAGATACCTCCTGAATGTCTGTTTAAAATATCGGTCCACCGCTGGGGTGAAGTGAAGTGGGTGTTTGGCATAGGTAGGCGTGGATGATTCATAATGAGCCAGATTAGCACATGCAGGATGACTCACGAAAAGGATTCGATCTAGCCCGCTTCGGGAAATGACATGGGATGAACTAGGCTTAACACGTCTTATTCTTCCCCCTTGCCAGGGAGACCCCCGCTAGAGGTCGAAAAGCTTGCGGGGCCAGCCGTTGACGATGTTCTCATGTTTTGGCAGTCACAGTCCTCAGCTTTAAGTATAGCGATTTTCTTTCAATATTTCAAGAGCGATAGCTAGTTTACTTCCCAACCGGCCGAGTGTGAAGGATCTCTTTAGAAACAAACACAAAAATCATTCGGCGTCAAGCAGCTTCCATGGTTGTACCCAGGAAAATCAATAATAATACTCTCTCAACAACGCACAGCATGGACGAGCCCCTAGAGATTCTCGGCCAACTGCCAAACCTCAACATTTATACTCAAATTGCAGTCTGTTTCTCAGTACAAGATGAGGCCTCAATCTCGAGCATCGTCAGCACTCTTACAGTTGGCCTCGAGAGGCTCACCGCGGCATTCCCCTGGATCGCTGGACAGGTCGTCAATGAAGGCGCAAGCGAGGACAGCACAGGCGTCTATAAGATGAAGCCATACGAGACGACGCCACCCCTTGTCATCAAAGACCTACGAGATGACGTCTCGCCACCGACCATGGACGCCATGAAAAAGGCGAATTTCCCCTTCCACATGCTCGACGAGAGCATCGTCGCTGCGCGCCCGACACTGCCCATCGACCCCACCCTGGATGGTAAACCTCAACCTATCCTCATCGTCCAGGCCACTTTCATACCAGGCGGACTCGTCCTCACATTCCTCGGCCACCATCAAGCAATGGACGGTGTTGGCCAAGGTCAGATCATTCATCTTCTATCGAAGGCATGTCGAAACGAATCATTCACCGATGATGAAGTCGCGGCAGGAAACCTACCCCGTCATAACGTCGTTCCGTTGCTGGACAATTACCAGGGAGGCCCCGAAGTTGATCCAATGATCGTTGACCAGCCGAAAGAACCATCATCATCAGCACCCGCAACATGCCGTTGGACCTTATTCGACTTTCCCGTCAGCTCTCTCTCCGCCTTGAAGTCTAGGGCTATGGAAATGGTCAAATCAGGCTACATTACAACAGACGACGCAGTCACTGCCTTTACCTGGCAATCCGTCACTCGTGTCCGCGCGTCGCGTTTATCCCCTGATGAAGAAATCAAACTTGCACGAGCCGTGGACGTGCGAGGCTACCTTGGCGTCCCTCAAACGTTCCCTGGCGTTGTACAAATCATGACCTGCAACTCGTCTTCTCTCAAAGATCTTGTAAACGGCCAGCTTGGAGGAGTGGCATCGGACCTGCGGTTGAAAGTGGACCCCGCAGCCTTGAGTTATAGCACCCGCGCATTCGCGACGGCGCTTACTCGGTCCCCCGACAAGAGAGGCTTCTCCATGACTGGAAAGCTTCGTATGGAAAAGGACCTCATGCTCAGTTCTTGGGCGAAGCTTGATTTGTACGAGCAGGATTTCGGGTTGAGTCTGGGAAAGCCCGAATCGGTCAGGAGACCGCGGTTCACGCCAGTGGAAAGTCTCGCATACCTGTTACCCAAATCACGAGAAGGCAGCATCGCGCTGGCGATTTGCTTGAGGGATGAGGATATGAACAAGCTAAAAGAAGATGAGGAGTGGGTGAAGTATGCACAGTACATAGGTGAATGAGCAACCAAAACTCTGTTATGAAAAGACCCCAAATACACTCATCAACTCTCGGTATGAGGGTTTTAAAAGACCATCTGGGGTGCTCTGGAGTGATAACAAAGTTGTGATCCAACATGCCGGTCCTAATTGTGTCTTTTTTCTCTCAATAGTTGATGCCGAGCCTCCGTCTGGTGTTTACTCTACCGTCCACAATGCGCTTATGCAAATGAGGTCGTAGTCGAGCAAAGGGCGAATGGCCTCAAGCATGATTTCTCCTTGTTAGAATGAGGCGAGGGGCTCATCATATAGCGACGACGAATAATCTAACGGTTTCGCAAGGTCAAGCTGGACGTTACATGGTTCTAAAGGGTTGAAAGGTGCTGTGGAGAGAACCATGGAATTTACAACAAGCCATGTTATCCAGAAGTCTAAGTCCTAGGATCCATAGAAGAATTGTCGTCTTGAATTACAATAAAAACCGGCCTGATATGAATCTAGCAACTATTATACCCCTACCTGCTATTAACATGTTTAGGCTGTGCCACGCAGTTCTTGGCAGATAGTGCCTTTGCTCTCACCGCCTCCTTGTACGTTTCGTCGTTACCTATACTCCTCCCTAAGCACCTGCTATTGATAGAGCATCGCTTTACATGACTTTTGCATTTTTAAATCGGATTTTGGTTTTTTTCGAGGTTTGTTTTTCTTTCTTTTTTTTCCAAGAAAAAAAAATAAACTACTGGCGAAGATACATAACAAAAAAGGGAGACGTGACACCTCACCCGGATCCAACCTATGCGCCCGGAGCCATCCTACGTCAGTCCAGAAGATCCAGTGGACTTTTAGGGGATTAGTGCGCAGTATTCTCCAACTAAAAACCAGCGCTAGAGCGATGATTGTGGCTCAATCCTGTAACTTCTGTCGCGTGTGCGGACGAATCGTCCTTTGGAGGTTGAGGTATTTGCGCCGTCGAAGCGACAAACTAGACTGCCACGGATTTTAGGCCTTGCGCCTCACCTCACCGTTGAACCCAAACAAACACTGGGAAGCCAAAGCACTATCTTTTTGGCTCAAATAAAATAGCAGAAGCCATCTGTAGGGAAATTGCTAGTATACTTCTTTGCATTATGCTGGTATTCAATGTCTTCTCGAAGCGCAGCGACTAGTTACTGCAACCCCAAAGCTACATCGATGTTAATATTTTCCAATATGTAAAAACATACGATTCATGCCCGTAACCCTAACCTTAATACCAGCCTTCTTACCTTATATCTCGAGAGCAATCCTGTTTTCTTGCTCGTTTAGCTTTGAAAAGTGATGTAAAATAATACGTTAAAGTGTACCAGCTAGTGTATGCTCTAGGCTCTATCCTGGACGTCTTACTCGGTCTAGTTAGATACCTATGAAACACTAAAAGAATACGACGGCAGTTTATCCGCTACTAAAGAGGTGATGAGCGGCCCAGCCGAACTCAGCCCGCACTCGGGGCGGCCAAACGGCCAGGCCTCCCTTGAATAAAAGACCAAGGCCAACCAGGCTCCGAGCGCCAACATGGCATTTTATAAATAGGTAATCGGCCAGGTTTGGACAGCAAAGTTCGATTCTTACCCCATCGTTTGAGATATGCGGTTCAACTGCATTCATTCATTAATAGCGGGTACCGCCCTTCCCCTGGGCACAGCCAATCCCCTTTCCGCACACGCCCAAAACGGCAAGACAGGAAACTCCAGCGACAACATCCAGGCCTGCCTCAACGCGGCAAATATCCCAATCATTATATCATCTTCCTCGGACTGGACATCCGACATCCGGCCGTATAACGCTCGCGTGCTGTTCACGCCGGCACTTGTGGTGTCGGCGGCCAATGAGCGCCATGTGCAGGCCGCCGTGAGATGTGCTTCCCAGTATGGCAAGAGCGTCACGGCCCTCGGCGGCGGGCACAGCTACTCGTCCTCCGGGTTCGGTGGAGAGGACGGCCACGTCGTGGTACGGTTGGATGAGATGTTCGGCGTCACGCTCAATGCGGACAACACAGCCACCGTGCAGGCCGGAGCTCGACTCGGACACGTTGCGACGTCGTTGTTAAACGAGGGTGGCAGGGCCATTTCTCACGGCTCGTGTCCAGGGCGAGTAGCATCATGATCTGCCCATTTGGGTAGCCAGGCCGTAGCTAATGCCTTTATATCAGGGTCGGTGTATCGGGCCACAGCATCCATGGTGGCTATGGATTTAGTTCTCATCTTCACGGCCTGGCGGTCGATTGGATAATTGAAGCGACTGTTATCACTGCCGATGGCAATACAGTCAAGGCCTCGCCGAATCAGAACAGTGATCTCTTCTGGGCCATTCGTGGTGCAGGCTCGTCCTTTGGTATCGTCACCGAGTTCAAGTTCGACACCTTCGCGGCGCCGAGTGTGGTCACATGGTATACCGTACCGCTCAAACTCGAGAGGGATAGGTTGATTGAGGCGCTCTTTGCCCTGCAACAATACGCTCAGAGCAACATGCCCGCCGAGCTGAACATGCGAGCCGTGATCAGCCAGGACAGCACAGCTTTCGACGGTCTTTACTTTGGGACCGAAGCTCAGACGCGCAACGTCCTGATGAGCTTCTTTTCGCCTTTGGGAATCGATTTGAGCGGTGCCACTGTCAACGAGACAGACTGGATGGGCCAGCTGGAGCATTACGCCGGCCAGGAACTTGACCAAACGGGTCCGCAATCCGCGACCGACACATTCTACGCTTCGAGCCTTTTGACAAAGGAAGTACCCCAGGATGGCTTTGAGGCATTCGTCAACTACTACCTCAACACCGCAAAGTCGATAAATACCGGCTGGTTTGTTTTGATCGATGTTCATGGCGGCAATAACTCAAAGACGGCGCAGGTCGCGAACTCGGCGACCGCCTACGCGCACCGCGACAAGGTGCTGCTGTGGCAGTTTTACGACTCCTCTGGCGGCTCCACGTACCCCTCAACTGGCTATGCATTTCTCGGCGATTGGATGTCCTCGGTCACCAACACCATCTCCAAGAGTGAATGGGGTCGGTATGCAAACTACGCCGATTCGCAGTTGAGCATGCGAGACGCGCAGGACCAGTACTACAGGGATAATTTGCCACGGCTAAAGACCATAAAAACAAAGTACGACGCCAAGGGCCTCTTCACTTGCCCTCAGGGCGTGGGCTCCTAGGATAAAGTACGGAGTCACGTCGCATCAGAGGTTGCAGGCATCCAGCGTAAAAGTGCATAGCATAGTCAAAGATTCCATTCTTTCGTGACTAACTGACATGATATACCAAGTTCTTGTCGACTTTGGTAACGGGGGCCATTTCCGTATCAAAGCTAAGCTTTAAACTACCTATCATATTCTTCGACTGTGCGTCACCAGCGAACCAGATGACGAGGCTACCAAGCAAGTCGCTTGCGTCTAGTCCCCCGTCATTTACCCTAGCCATTTGCCCTACTGCCTTGAAATGCTTTGCTGCGGCATCATGTTCGCCAGTGAAGTACTTCAAGCGACATGAACAATCAGTATGTGTGAATAGCAGGTGCGAGTGCGAAATATCTCACCGCATCTGAGGCTAAAGCTATCGTTTTGGCAATGGTAAGCTGGCTGATATCCTTCCCTTCTCTTGTCAAGGTCTGATTGAGTAATTGGATACAGTGCAATCTGTATTTAGTCGCCTGCAAGCTTAAGATTTCGCTACGCTGCATGGCCGTCATGTGGCGGCAAGAAAAAAGTAGGGTGGTAGCTAGCATTCCAGGGTCGGAGAGGGAGGCGTGCAGGAAATAGGTACATATGCTTGTCCAGAATGGTCCGTTATCGCCCACAATGTCTATGTTCAGGGAGGGCATATGCACCATCTCTTCCAAGATTCGGTATTGCAGAACTACGTATTATAGATTGTCAGCCTTTTAGCCCCAGTTGGCTTTTGGGGGGGGGGGAGGTGCGCGACAAGCTTTCAAAGCCGTGAGCGTATACATAGATCGACCACAGCAGCGGGGATGGGGCTTCTAGTCAGGACAAGGATGACTGTAGGTACTTGCGGGTACATGCTGGCAGATCCCTCCCACTCCCTATGTAGATACTCTCGTGTAGGCGGATCATGTACTTACAGTGATCAAGTAGCCGTTTCTCCCACGGAGCAATAACCCTATTATAGCTATTGAACGGATCGGTCCTTGCAGCGCCTAGAAACGAGATGGGACTGTGCAGGAAAGCATTGCGGTGATCCGGTTTCGAAGGACCCCTATACGAGACCAACGTTCAAGCTTGTGGGTGCTGGCTTGACGAGAGGGGTGGCGTGCCCTCTGGATGTTGACCGTCAGACGGGGGACTCGGCTGGGCGTTGGCCTGTTGATAGGCGACAACCCGCTGTCTGCGGGCCCGGATGCCCTTTGCCGCATGAGATCTGACTTTCCGTTTCCAACCCGCTGATTCGCTTGGATGGGATATGGGGACGAAGACGAAGCCACCGCCGTCATGCGAATCCTTAGCGGAAGACATGGTAGCGGCACCACGCTGACTGTGGCGTACGGGTATGTTGTCCTCGGGTCTCGTCGCGCCGGTGGGCTGAACCGCGCGCCGTGAACCGTGGGACGAAGTGTCAGTGTCAGATGTCTACCCATACGGATGCTCCTGTGCTAGGGAAACGGATGTCATGTATCGCGAGAACAGGCTAGGCTCAGGACTTTGGACCGAAAAGAAGGGAATGAATCTGCTGAAGGTGGTTGGTCGTCGGGCGTTATCTTCAGCCCCGTGACCCCAGTCTATCGTCTACACTATTCCTTTCAGGGCTGGCCCCACACCTCCCTCCTTAACTTGGCCGGTACGGAGTATATGGTGATCGATTCTTCCATGTTCGACAGAGTGACATACGCAGCAGTTTGCTTATAGCGGTCCGAGACGCTGAAGCAGGTAGCGCTGGTGTCCAGATGGATAACCTTGAGACGAGTGGATTCAACAATCTCTCACTCGAATCTTCGTGATGAGAAAGAAGCTCGGCGACGTGATTCCACCGTGCCAAGGTAGGCGATTCCCAATAGGGAAAATGCTCTCTCGGCTGAGTGTAACCAAGCCAAGGGTCTTTGGCCGGGGGTCCTATTCGGCCGTCGGCCCCCGCGGGCTGATTACCGAGCAACGGGGATGCTGCTTCGAAAGTCGTCGAGAGCGCGATCAATTTCCAAATTTAAAGGGGGATTTGCCCCACAACGGATGGTTCAAGTACCTACCGTACACGTCTCGTACCTCATGTGTCACTTCAACAAATCAGCCTGCATTTGGCAATCTTTGAAAACTCGCCCTTGAGAGTCGTCCTCGTTTTGTCGCGCACCAAAGCTCAAGATGCCTAATAGCTGGGATCAACCCCTGGCTAACATGCCCCCGCTTCAAGGCAAGGTGGCCGTCGTAACTGGGAGCAAGTGTGTTCTTGTGCCCCAACCAAAGCCATTCGAGTATCCATTCTCACTTTTTTCACTTGCAGCGCCGGCGTCGGACTGTCGACTGTGAAGTTTCTGGCACTTCGAGGGGCTACGGTGTATTTCACGACGAGAACAAAAGACAAGGCCGATGCAACGCGTGCTCGTCTCACATCAGAGTATCCTGAGATCGATCAAGACCAACTGAGATGGTTGTCTCTTGATTTGGCCAACTTGAAAACCGTCGTCGCGGCAGTCACAGAATTGAAGTCGAAAGAAAAGAAGGTGGATATTCTGAGTGGGTCTAATACCGATGCATATAACACGAGGGTCACTGCTGACGACTGCTCCATGAAGTTAACAATGCCGGTGCAGTCTCATCAACCACAGACACACTGGGCCCCGGCTGGGAATATCACATGGCAGTCAAGTATGTTTTAGAGTCAAGTTGTTGCTCTATGGCTGCAACCTGCTGACTTCACACGATATAGCCATGTTGGCCACTTTGTTTTTACAAATGGCATATTACCACTGCTCAAGGAGGCAACGAGGCAAAAGGAGGCCGATGTGCGGATAGTCACCCTCGCTTCCAGCGTTAACTACACATTCCTGCCTTCGAACTACCGTTTCACATTCGATTCTCCGTCATTCTTGAAAAGCCCTCTTTCATCTTATCCCTGGCAATGGCGATACGTCTTACGCCATTTTCTCTTCGTCGACATGATTCGCTACGCGGTGTCCAAGGTTGCCAACATCCTGTTCGCCCAGGAGCTTCAGCGACTGATGGACGAACAAGGCCTCCCGATCTTGTCCATTTCAGTTCATCCGGGTGGCGTGGCCAGCGAGGGGAACCTGGACATCGGAAATTCGGTCTTTTCGCTTCTCAGATCAACTTTCTTTTTGTCGACGGATCAAGGTGCCGCGACATCTCTATTCGCCGCCACAGCGCGCGAAGTGCGCGAGAACCCCGAAAAGTTCAAGGGTAAATATCTTGAACCCTTTGGCAAGGTTGTGACACCGAATCCGGTTTTTAAAGATACGGAGCAGGTCAGAGGATTGTGGGACAATACTACTACTGAAGTCAACAGGTATCTTGCCGAGATCGGACTAGCACCGCTTCAGCAGTGGTAATCAAATGGCACTGTCTCAGAGCCGTTAGTCCAGTGTCGTAATATTGAAATATCTTCTTTCAGTCAATATCTCATTTGGAGTGGTATTTTTCAGAACATCTTGACATTTAAACTTCGATTAGACAATAAAGCTCTAGGTAGGCATGCTCACTTCCGAAAAAGCACACCCCGGAGGTATTTGGCATGCTGGTGGCCGATGACGAACGAATGGAGTAGTCTCTTCTAGATATATGTCTTTCCAGTACTTTCTGAAATGCTAGATCCTAATTCTTCTTGATGATATCTTTAGCAAATTCATTTCCGCGTAGTTACGAATCAATAATGGTCATCGATCATTTCTCAATCTCGTCTGACCTATATGAACATGGCTCCTCCCGTTAGTCCCAGAATTTTACATCCTACGTCCAGCGCAGCAATAAGCCGCCGAAACAAATACCCCCAACTTCCATCGACGCTTACTCACAAAGAATCCTGTCGCCACGCAGCATTACCATCACGATGCCACAAGACGGCAGACCGGCCGCCTCTAGTGCAATACCTAGGCTACGGTCATAGAGGGACATCAAAGCGTTGAGGCGTAGCTGCAGGAACAAAGACACTAGCCCTGCTTGATGACCGGCCTAAGGCCTGAGTGTTCAACCTTGTTGGTCAACGGCGGATTAGCGTCGAGTTGCTAAATTCGTCCCGGCCGTGTTTCCCCTTTACGAGCGCGCCTCGACCTGCGCGGTGACCACTTGTTCGGCATGCAATAATCTTGTTTCGATCGTAACCAGCCGCGGGGTCTTGCAAGAGGATGATGTAATTAGTGTTTACGCACCATTCTGTCGTTAAATCAAAATACACCGGCAAAGCTTAGTACGAACCCAACAGTCAACGCATAGAATAGATACTTTAGTCCTTGACAAGAGACGGGAGAGTTTACTAGTGCGCGATTGCTGCAGCATGGAAATGGCACGTACACCCATATGCTCCCAAAACGCGCCGTATAAGGAGTCTTTGCCGTCCTAGCTAGCTCCGGCCTGTTGACATGGAGACTCTGTCGGCGGTCAGGTTTCTTTGACCTGTCTTTGCGCGGCGCCAATGTGAAGAGGTAAAAACAACACTCGTGAAACTAGTGTGGCTGTCGTTGCCCACGACGGCCGCGGGCGGTAATCAAACACCCATCAAAGTAGAAATGCCGGCTGCTTCCCTCAACACGACGCTCTCGCGGCGCATTGTCTGCAACATACTTACTCAACTTCGTTTCTTTATGTTGGCATTGAATGTCGCCATGCTTGTTTAATGAATATTATTATTAATTTCTTATAGACTCTTTCTTCGCCATGGATTTCGAAAACGCAACTGGGCCCGGGCTAGACGCGGTTTCAGGCCAGGCCGAGACCAGCGGTGCAACGAATTTGGTGAACATTATTTGGGGGGTTAATCTCACAGCATTCGTCCTGGTCGGCCTCACCGTCCCTCTCCGGGTTATTGTCCGCTGCACGGTGACGCGCGACTTTTTCAGCGACGATGTATTGGTCATTATTGCGGCACTCTTCACCTTTGGGATCTGCTCGTTACTTCCACTGGGTACGTTCATGGATGCGCCACGTAGTCCATCCCGCCATTCTCATGTTGAGAGTCTGAAGTTAACAAGCATTCTAGCCACCGATCTTGGTCTGGGTCAACATTCTTCAGATATCGACTCCTCAGTGTTGGTCGACGATACGAAGAACCTGCTTCAGGTGGGGGATCTAGAGAGATCACGGAACCTTTCCTGGTCAGTAGCTAACAGCTTTGGCAGCTCCTCTTCATCGCGAACATCCTGTACCCCTGCGCGGTCGCATTTGCACGATTATCAATAGTATGCTCCTTTCTGAGACTCCTCACAGACAGGAATGCGCGATGGGTACTCTTTGCGACGGCGGCCCTGACTGGCGCCTTTGCCTTGGCATCTGTGTTTGCCGTCATCTTCCAATGCAACCCGATCTCAGCAGCTTGGGATCCGACTGTCAGCGGTGCATCGTGCTACCCCTTTCTCAGCTTTCTCCAGGCCAGCACGGCCATCAACATTGCCATAGATGCACTGCTGTGCACCATGCCTTTAGCGTACATCTGGGGGATGAAGCTACCCTTGAGCCAGAAAATCCGTGTGACGGTTCTGTTCACATTTGCTAGCCTGTAGGTTCCCTACCATTGATGGTTGCGCAGAATCCCACTGACGAAGGCTTAGCTCATGTGCGGCCGTCATCACCAAAATGTCCTATTTGCAGCTCCTAAGTCAGGCTGATTTGCCGTGTAAGTTGTAGTCTCAAGATGCATATCCGACTCAGAGATAGCCTTGACGTGTACTAACACTCGCCGAATCAGACCATTGGACCTCATGGGTGTTGTGCTCAATCGCCGAGTGCACAGTCGGAATCGTATGCAGCTCGGTGCCCCCGATCATTCCGCTTTTTGCCAAATGTTCTCGCGACAGGAAACAAGCTCGACAGAAAAGAGAAACGTCGGCCCGGTTCGCATCCTTCAAAAGAAGAACTCGCCAAAACCGTGCAGCCGCATCCCGTGTCATCAGGCCGATGGCGACCCCGTGGCAAGATCAGCCGCTCGAGACCACGAGGAATCCAGATTTCAGGTCTGACTTTCGCTGGTTGCGGCTAGAACATGAAGGACCCATCCGGACCTGGGATAGAAAGTCCCAGTTGTCAAAGGCGGAGCAGATCCTCGGTATAGCATTATGAAAGATGTGTGCAATTTAATTTGACTTTCTCTGATGCGGCTTCTGATCAATCCGGCTTTGGAGTCCGGAAGTATTCTTATAGTCTATCGACGTGAGAATTAGCACACCCTCGTGATTGAATTGGGGAGATGAAATGTATCTGGGGTGGATTGCACACGACACTGTTAATTATTGATGAAACGAAGAAAAGCAACTATTCTCCATGCATGAATCGGCAGTTCCGCATTCATATCCCCGTTCTTGTATGTTTGGACCGACAGTGACGGCCAATCGAGTCAAACATCACCAACGTCGTCTTGTAGCAACTAACATTGATTAACGCGATTAGTGATCCAGTGGCCGATTAGTGATTCAGTGGCTGATTAGTGATCCAGTGGCAAGGCTATCGTAGCGTATAGAGACGCACCATTCTCCCTGTTAACTGGACGATTCACGATCGACCGTTTGGGAAACAACCTTACTCAGAGATCGCTGCTAGATGGAAGCCTCCTTGTTCCCGGACCTGTTACCACCGGGCGTCAGTCTGATTCTCAATGGGAAAAAGCTTGAAACTATCAAAATAGGCGCTGTGGGTCACCCACAAAGCTTCTGGGGTATCTCGTAGGCTGCATTGACCAAGTCTGGCGTGTTTCTACACGGCGTTTGGGCCAGCGGTTGATCGAAGAGGCAAGAGCTGGAAGAAAGTGTCGAGTCTTAGGTTCGCCCGCGACGAATCTTAAGGTGCTGCAGACATGTGGTCTCTGCTCATCTTTATGTATTGGCATCTTGACAGCCGGCATTGGCACACTTAACCTCCAACATGATCGATCTCTACCAAGCCTATCTGAAAAAAAAGAAGAGAGAATGCCATGCGGAGTTCAACGGTACCGACTTGTTGTTGTGCCGATACCCGATCTTAAACCTAGGAGTTGATATCCGAGGCCCATTTGTTGACTTTTGGAGTTGAGAGAGTTGCAGGTTGAACAGGGAGAAAAAGAAGAAGAGGCGAAGACCTCCCGCCTTGAGTCGGTGAAACGGACGCGCAACAGGGCAAAGAGAGGGCCTCTGCAACTCAAACCCAGAGAAGCCTACAATGATTAGACTTGATTTAACAGAGACCAGTCCAGCAAAGCAAACTGGTTCTGTTCATTTGATGAACCATCCTCGGCGAATTGTGTGGTTTGGGAACGAACGAGTTAGTGCGTCTCAACTCTCATGAGAACAAAGCGACGGAGAGCATCGATGTGTACCCACTCCGAGAATTCTCCCGTTAGGTGAACCCGATACGCAGACATCCATCAAGACGCCAAGGGACCGGGAACGATTCGGCAACAACTCTCTAAACTCTATAATACTCCATGTCCTGGCTCGTTTCCATGGCAGAGTGGCAAAATAACAAGCAAACTAAAAAGCAGACATACCAGTCCAATGAAGCCTTGTAATAGTAATACCAAACCCTGCCCAAGACAAGATGAAACAAAGTCAGGGTTTTCAACATGAATCCGAGTTACTCAACGATTGAACTTGTTTGCACTTTACAGCTACGTCTAACAAGATGTCATGGGTTTCTTCACTGGCGGTCTTCCCGCCGGTGGGCGGAGCACACAATTTACAAAGCGAGAAACATTGACACTTAGGCCCTGGTCGGCTCATGGCCAATATTAGTGATTAGTGGCCAGGAATGACATTTCGTTACTTATGCCACCACACCCTTATGCTCAAAGTACCGCCAAATAGGTATAGTCCGTTAACAGCTCACCGCCTACTAAAATAGATAACCCTAACCCTAACCCCAAGCATCACAAAAGTTAGAGTTAAGGGGTTCAGGATCACCATCACTATTACCATCACTATCACTATCGCCATCAAGTATTACCCTCCTTTAAGCATGTAGGCTTCGCCATCAATTACGCTAGCCACCCTTTCGGTAATACAAAGATTAACAGCAGAAAAGGCTGTTTTAAATAACGCTTTCCCTCTTTTGGTGGTGGGATGCGGTGGATTCAGAAAGATACATTGCACAAATCTTACTTTCTAGTTGCAGCAGCCATCCGAGCCCGGAAACCCTTCCGGAGGAGTTATGCACACTGGAAATCTATCCTGGCCACTAATCACTAGTTTTAGACGCGAGCCGACCAGAGCCTTAGCAACACCCAGGTGCCGGATGATCCTGGTGCAAGCTGCTTGAAACTAAAGAGAGAGCGGCACTACCTAGAGACCATTGGGACTGAGTTCGGCCATGGTTTGATATCGTTCGGCACAAGGGAACCCTACTATTGTACACTGATGATGTAAGACCCGGGGGCCATACTGCGTCCGCACGACTGTTTGAGGACAACGGTGCGTCGCTTCCATTAAACTCAAGGTTTGGGGTTTCTAGAAGGACTTGATTTGGGGTGTAAATGGAGACAGGACTGAAAACTTGCAGAGCCCGTCAACGATATCTGCAGTAAAGACACTGACATGGTAAGGAAGGAACCGAGGGTCTGGGATTTTGGAAGAACGGAAAATGGCCGATGAATCGCCGTCTGATAAGGTTTTTGCTCGATTCAGTCGCCTGTTAAATAAGGTGCGGAAATATGGGGAATAACGCGCATGTGAATCGGCCATTTCCCCGAGTCATCAAATATCATGTAGCTCTGTCTTCGTCCGTTACTTTGCGGGAAGTGGCTTTACCGGTATTCCCATCATCGATGTGCTCCTGGGGCCGTGAGCAACACGAGGCAGTCGGCTTGCCATCTACTGTTCCAAACCCCACTGTCCCGCACTCGAAACCTTTTCGGTCAAAGACATCTGCAAAATGTGCGTAGCGCGAGATGTGGCGCCACTCGGGTGACAAAGAGGATGGCCGCTTCTTCTCACCACTGCCATATGGCACCCGGCCATCTTTTTCGTCACCCGAGTGGGCGCGGAACGTCCCCTCGTCCGAATTTCGCGGTGGCCTCGAACGCGATACAGCTCTTTAGGGGGGGGGGGGGGGGGGGGTGTGAGTGTCATCGCCGATGCCCCCCTTCACCCTCCTCCGGGCGCAACCCTCACGCGCTGGCAGGATGCCATCCTTTGTCTTGGCTCCGTCTTGAGCATGCAGGCCCTTCCAGGGTCCCGTTTGGCTTCTGACTCTCCTCGCCCATCAAACTGAGAAGCGCGGGAAGTAGCCTGGCTATCAGCGGGAAGAAAGCCGTTTCTAGACGCACTGACAACGGCCTCTGGCCAAACGGCTGCCAACCAGGGTCCATGCAGAAACGTGTCATAAACATCCGCCAATGTTGACTCTTTCCAGTCATGCAGCCCAAACGTGCTCACACTTCCCTGCTGGCAAATCTGTCCCGGAGCCGCTAACCCGCCTTGCGCACCTTGCCGGGGAAGTTTCCCGTGTCCAGCGCAAGGACAGGGAATAGCAGCAGGGCGGCAATCCATTTGGCAAACACGGCTCAAAGGCGCACCCGAGGGTTGCCGTGTGTTTAGATGTGTATGTGCGCATGCAGGATGGTTCATGGTGCTTTCTCGATCATGATGGCGGCCGAGGCAGTCGGCAAGGAGGAAGGGTACAATGCTCGTTATGGCGTCCCTGCTTTTCATCTTCTCCTGACGTCCGTCTTCGGGTGTGAGGAAGTTTGAGCCCATACTAAAGGAGAGAGAGGCGTATGCAACCCATCATCTCCGGATCTACTCCTCTCTTCTCGTTTGGTCGCCTTTTGCGTTATGGTCTCGTATTTTGCTCGTCTCTCTATATGTTTCCACGCAGGACATCTAGGAGATGGCGAGAATTTCGAGACAATTTGGCGGAAGCTCGCTACTGTTGTTTCATTGGTGGTGCTGGCTCCCCGTAGTTGAGGCGCAAGACATTACGGAGCTGCTCTCGCAAGTACCAAATTGTGCTGTAAGTCGTCGAGGCGGACACCCTCCATTCTACAACCGATAACCTTCCTCGTTCTTCTTCACTACATCTCCCTTGAATCTAGTCCTCGTTCTCTATATGGGGATCTGGCCGAAATATCTTCGAACAGAGGGCTGACTATGTGTTTCCTCTACGATAGCATCCGTGCATGAATGAGGCTATCTTACACGGGAACTGCACCGTGACATCGACATTCACTGTCGCCGAGTGCTTATGCCCTGACATCACGCTACAATCGTCATTATCCACTTGTGTGCAAATCAGCTGTCGTCTGGAAGACCAAGCCCGTAAGTCTCTTGTCGTCGATATGTCGTGCAAGTCAGCGTTGACAGGCAGGGAAGGTGCTGCGAAGCTCGAGACGAACCTCTGCGCCGCGTATCCGGAAGATTCGAGGAGTCAAGAAGTCATGATGATAGCTGTCGTCCTCTCGGCCCTTACGTTTCCGATGGTTGGTCTGCGGTGCTTCTCGGAATGGAAGACCACCGGCCGGTTATGGTGGGACGACTGGACGGCCGTGGTGGCAGCGGTCAGTTCCAAGCGTAAAAGCGACCTTTGCTGGGAAACCCAAGGCTAACGAGGACTAGATCCTGTTTGCTGGAATGGCGGGCACCGAGATCGCCAGCGCTGTCTTGGGGTTCGGAACGCACTACTGGAATGTTGAGTTCGCCAACGGCAGGAAATTGGCCCAGCTCTTTTACGCAGCACAGATACTCTACATTCTGATACAGGTCTTTACGAGGATCTCCATCTTGCTGTTCATGTCCCGCATCTTTCCGGCACGATGGTTTCAGCTCACCGTTCGGTCCCTCATAGTCGTCCTGCTGCTCCACGGCGTCGCATTTGTGCTAGCCACTGCATTCCAGTGTACCCCTATATCGTCCACATGGAACAGAAACAACCAGGATCAGACATGTATAAACGTTAGTACCATTTGGTACTCTGGGGCTGGTGTCAGCATCAGCGAGGAACTCGTTATTTTATTATTACCGATTCCCGAGTTGGTGAAACTCCAAATCAACACCCGGAATAAGATGGCGTTGAGCTTCATATTCAGTCTGGGATTATTGTTCGTTTTACACCAGCATCTCTACTGATTCGTGACCGAAACGCTTGCTAACATGACCATAGTGCTTGCATCACGACAATGATCAGACTAAAGTACATGGCCATATATTCAAGCACATTCGACATGACGTGGGACAATGTCGACGTTGTCATTTGGTCCTTTATCAGGGAGTTCTGCGCCATGGCCTGCGCGAGCTTCCTGCCTCTACAACCGCTGCTGCAAAAGAGCCTCAACCTCTTCTCCAGCAGCGAGGAAACGAGCAAAGTCACCAGCACGGCCCAGTCACGGAGCTCGATACCCTATGTCGGAAAGGACCTGCTCAACGAGCTGCCCGAAGCGCCGCATGCCGATGAAGTACCGCCGACGCCCATAGACATTGCCGACCAGCTGGCCGCCATGGCGGACGGGAAGCGGCAAGTCACCTTCACGAGAAACAAAGGGACATTTGTGCTTTCCGAATTCGAGCTGCAAGACGTGGGATCAGGGATGAAGTGGCAGAAGCACTCGGATGGGGATTCTTATTTGCTGACGCGGTAATTATTGAATCATGAATCTAGCGTTCATATGCACAACTAAACTTTGTTTCAATCGGATAAAGCCTGGAATCTGGGGCGGAATGAAGATACCAACCAGTTATCGTTCTTGTTTCAGCAAGGGTATAATATACTAACAACAATATTATGAACGAGCTCAGGCGCATGGCCGAGTAATGAACACCTTTCGCCTAGTAACTTGCCGCAGCACATCGTCACGGACTCATATCTGCCGGGTTTTCTCGTCCTTAACCTCTGTCTCGTCGGCTTCCATGTTCCAGCCTTCGTCCAACTGCCGACGGTGCTCTGCCGCCGCCAAGCCGGTCGTAACAATCAGGTCCATATCGAGATCTGCAAGCGCGCTGTGCAACTCAAAGCCGGGACCTCGCACAGCCCTGGTCACGCCTTTCAGCCCGCCCTCGAGCGGGTTGCCCTCTTCCTTTCCCCCACCAACTCCGCCCGCATTCAGCACATGCAACCTCGGGCGAAAGTGTGCCAGCGTCTTGCCGTTGAAGTCTACCAGTCTCATGCCTCTGCCCTGCTTGCCCAGCTCTTCCCAGCGCATCTCACCCACGCCCAAGAAGCGGAAGCTGAGGGCGTTCGATAGGGGGTGCTTTCGTGTCATTTTGAACTTGACTCCTCGTACGGCGACATCGAGTCTTGGCAGTAACATACGAGTTTTGATAGAGCCGACGGGACGGTCTTGAGTGGAGACGGCGTCGCATCTGATCCTCCGAACTTCCATCTTGGTCATCTTTTCGTTGTGACCGACGCTGTAAAGGGGAGCAATGCACCCGTTGAGCCTGACGAGGTTGACTGTGATTGCGTCGCCGTTATCTCGACTCAAATAGAGAGTATGCAGTGGGGCTGATGACCGTTCCATTGTGCGTGATTTGGCTCTGCCGAGCCAACTGCAGAATAGTTCAGCTTCGTGCAGCTAGTATCGTTGCGTGGGATGGACGGGGCTTTAATTGCAACATCAACGCGGAAATGAGGGACTAATTGCCGTGTTGCTCGATCTTCCTGACGTACACCAAAGACTTTATGCGCCTCTGCAGTCTAGTTTTCCAGTGGCTCGCTGGCTTGCTGCCTCCACAATGTCTTTCAGCCGAAGACGGGACGGCGAAAGCCATAGAAGGCGGTTCATCCATGATGCGCAGGCTTGATGGTGAGACGGATGAGCGAATTGATTGTCTCTAAGCGTGAGGGGCGGTAGAGCTTCCAGCCGCAGTTGCCATCCAAAGCTAGAGGGACAGCGGTTGACTCGTTGGGCGAAAGGTCGGTTCGCCAGTGACGTATGCAGCAACTGTATCCGTACTTCGACCGGAAACAGGTCGAACAAGCAGGGTGGCCCTCTCCAAGTTCTCTGCGCTCGGGCACCTGCCAGCTAACGATTACGTGTTCCGAGAAGGCGGAGCGATCAATCAAGTTGGCGACAAAGTGGCTGGACCTTCGTAAGAGGAACCATGTAAGATGCCAAATCCATGGCTAGGCGAACGAGACATTCGACCGGCGACCCGCCGACACCCCAAACTGATCGGTACGTTAAGTGTGGAAGGTGATCGGGATAAGAAAAGCGGCGTAGTGGTCCAATGGGTGGCCTGTCCCAAGGCTAAGTGAGGCGCAGAGAAAGGGAAATGCTATGCAGAAACATCAAGCTTTGATCGCCAACATGGTCGTTTTTGTTGTCCCTTGGCGGAGGCAACGGTGGATGAAAATGAGGTGGACACCTACATCGTATCCCTACATACTATGTAGTACCTAAGTGGGTAGGTAGCATCCATGGGCAAGATGTGCAACAATTGGGGAGATGTATCAATGCATTGGAGCGGAGAAGCATATTTATGCTTATACGCGCTCTGCAACAGACATGCCCCAACTATGCGCCTATCAGGGCGATGACGAGGGTGGTGCCCCGCTTTCACAACAACAGCACAAAACACAGTAGGAAGCACAGCAGGAGCTCCTGCCACTGAAGCTGCCTTGAGAATGAAAGCGCAAGAACGCCCGTGCACTGCACTGACTGACTGGGCCTTCCATTCTTAGCAGTGACGGCACCAAGGTTCGCCGCCCTCCATCATGTCTGTCACTTCTTGTATCCCAACACCATCACAACACGACATCACAATCCCTCGAGGCCAGGTCAACGTGCCCTTGTTCACGGCACCCTTGTCAACCCATGAGTCGGATGCGACACGGTCTCATTAGCAGCCACCTCCCTCTATGTGTAAGCTGCTCAATAGCGCCATGAATTGAGCTGCGCGTCACGATGCCTCCTCCCGAGTCCCGGCCCCTCCTCCTCCCCCAGAATCGCAAGCTTCGCCACCTCCGTGGGATTTACCTCCGAAACCTCAGCTTTGTTCGGCCCCGAGGCCAGACCTTCGACGATACCGCCTTGAATAAGACATCGTCCAAGCTTGAAGGCTTCCGCGATGCCCCTCAGCTCCACCATGCACTCTCTAGCGACAACTTCCGGCCCAAGGCGCCGCGCCGCCGAAGCACCGCTCTTGCTCAGGCTACCCCGGTCACGCGACAGCGCATGTTGCAGCTCACCATCGATGGTAAGGCCGCAGATGTCTTCTTTTCGCTACACTGCGATGGCGAGGACGAGCCTGTCTACATTAGCGAGATGAAGGAGCATGCCACTGTAAGCTGTCGGACCCTGCCGTCATCCCGTCATCCACCGCCTCCCAGCTAATGTTCGACCCGGTAGAACTTCAACTTCCAATTCTTCGACCTTAACCACCATGGTCCCTCGGTCACTCGGTCGCCAGTCGTCACCATCAAGATCTGGGCGCATCGGACATCATGGACCCTCCTGCTCCAAGACACTGTCGACCTTCGAAGCCTGCACTTTATCGGCACCCTCCAGAACCGCAAGTTCCCTCCGAACGGGCTCATTTTCCATCTTGCCGACGGCATCTACTCGCTCGATTTCCTTGGAAAGCCTTCCCATCCGAAATACGTCCCACCGCTCCATACATCCTCTTATAACGTGCTCATGAAACTCTCGACGTTGGACACCTCGATCCAGGACGCCATCGCGACACAAGAGCAGCTGACGGCTCAGATCAATAACATACTCGAAGATACGCCCCATAACGAGACGCCTGCCGCTGAAGAAAAGGTGAAGCTGGCCAACAAGTACGTGGCGCATGAGCTGCGGGCTCTCAAGGCTGCAGAGAGGCGGCGTGAAGAGCTGCGCGCGTCGCTCCAGTCGCGCAGGGAGGCCATCGCCCAGGGTCGTGCCTTGCAGGATAAGCTCGCAAAGGACATCCTTGATGCAACAGAGCACCTGGAAGCATCAAAGGCGGTGCTGGCTAAGACGAAGGAACAAATCCGCGGGCAACGCCGACGCATCTGCACCGACCTTAGCAACATCTACCAGATCACACCATGCTCCTCGGGCACCCCGCTATCCTTCCAGATCGCGGGCCTTGCCCTTCCGAATACGACATATGATACTGCCACCTCCCGCGGCCCGGACGACGACCTCTTGTCCGGGGCCCTGGGCCACGTCGCCGCGTTGACGCACGCTCTGCAGTATTACCTTTCTATACCGCTGCCATACCCCGTTACGCCATTCGGCTCACGCTCGTCTATCCGCGACGACATATCCCTACTCACCGACCTCAACTCGACGCAGGCAGCCCGTCAACGCGACTTCCCCTTATACCTCCCCCGAGGCGGCTCTACCGCAGCGCAGTATCGATTCGACTACGGCTGGTTCATCCTCAATAAGGACATCGAGGTCCTCTGCGCAAGCCAAGGGTTGAAGGTTGTGGACATCCGCCACACCCTGCCGAATCTCAAGTACCTCCTCTACGTCTGCAGCGCTGGAAGCGAGGAGGTCCCTGAACGCAAACGGGGCGGTGTCCGCGGTCTCTGGGCCGGTCATATCAGAGGCCGCATGCCTTCATCAGTTGCCATGGGTGGTGACGTGGATACGAGCAGCGCCGGCGGCAGCCGCCGCGGCAGCACTGATAGTGAGGTGCTCAGCCGACAGCGGGACGAGCTCCGAAGGGCCATGACTGTCCGCGAGGGGGCCGAATCGCCTGTGAACAACAGCCCCCATCACAACGGCAACGGTGGACCCGCGGGGCTACCCTTCGACGAGGTCAACGTCTCGTTGAGGACCAAGGGTATGAGGGAGAACGCGGGCAAGTAGGCCATATGCACATGCACAACAAGCACAGTGGTCGGGAGTTGGACACGAGAATAATAACCAGGATGGGCGAGAGTTGATTAGATTACGTGGTTTCATTGTTGAGATACCCCGGCGTGAAGTCGCCGCCATAATAAAATGCTAATCCTGTAATCGGGTTTTGTTGTCAGGGGTAGGGAATCGCTTGTCTTCTCCCGTACGTCAACCTCAACGCCCCATGTCTCCCACCTGGGTTGAATGAATCCGTGACTCGTCCCTCTGTTTGCCTGGAAGCCATTGCAATGCCATGAAAAGAAACACCCGTTCTTCCGTCCAACGCCGCATGAAAAGAAAAAGAAGGAAAGGAGAGAGAAAGCAAGCATGTCTCATCCCATGTGGTCGCGTCCATCTACAGAGATCCGAGGAACATGCCGACGCGCCACTAGCGCTCCGTCGGCACGAACTTGACGCTCTTCCTCCTCTCCCGCTCCCCCGACCGGCTCCCCGGGCTGGAGCTGAGGATCCCCGAGGTCGGCGCGCCGCTCGCCAGCGTCTCGCGGACGCTCTCGACGGCCCTGCTCTGCGGCACCTCGATGCTGTCGCCGCGGACGTTGGGCGGCATCACGGGGCTCGGCGCACCCGACTTGCCTCCGCCGGCGCCGGCGCCACCACCGCCACCGCCACCTCCCCCTCCTGCTACGCCGCCATTGCCGCCGACGCGTACTTTCTCCATGGCCATGCGGCCCAGTTCGTCTGATCGCGTCACCGACTTCTCTTCGCGCCACTTACCAGGAAGGCAGGCGTGGCCGCAGCCGTCAAGGGGACAGCAACCATCGCTGAGTTTGTATGTCCCATCGTCCGAGGGGGCGTGCCAGTCTTGCAAGCACGTGGCGTGGCCGCCGTGGGCACAGCCGGGGCAGTACCACCATGTGCTCATGATCGGGTCTGCAGGCTGGGCGCCCCCGATCCCGTCGGCGACGGAGAGCGCCGCGGCCGTGGTCTCGCGGTGGCCGCAAACGGCGCATGGGGCCATTGTCGTGCGGCACCGCTCGCATTTCCAGAGAGCCTTCTCGCCGAGAGACGGGTCGAGTTCTCTGGGTTTCCGGCAGTTGAGGCACATGAAACCCCCTTTGACGCCTTGCTGCGCTGGGCCGAAGATGGATGTGTAGTTCTCTCCCCATTCGGGAATGCCCTCCGGCCATCCGCGAACGCAGAGTTTACGGAGGAGGGCGGCCTGGATGAAAAGCTTCATGCCCGCAAGGCGCGAATGGTGTTGGCGGAGGATTGATGTCGCGCGGACCGGGTCAATGACGGACTCCGGCACGAGGGGCTTCAGGAGGAGGACCATGGCAGAGGCGTTGAGTGCGGACGTCCGCGTCTCGAAATCCAGGGCTCTGTTTATGAGAGTGTAAGGGTTCAGTGGTGGAGAATAATCCGCGTCTGGTTCCTTCGCAACAGGGTGCGGGTATGATGGATCTTCCGGCCAGGGGAAGTAGTCAGAGTCGAGTATGGTTGGCGTAGAGTCATGTTGAAGGGCCGGCGTAATTTTCGGCGGGGTTGAAGATGAGACGCCGATGTGGAGAGGGGCATGGTCTCCGTAGGCCGCCGGGAGAGACTCCGACTGTGATTGTGTTGATGGATCATCGGTAGCTGTATCAGATGTCATGGTTGTCTGGGAAATCATAAAGATCTCTTCGGGCGAATCCTTTGGAAGGCTTGCCCCTGGGCCGTGAAGTGCCGTCAGGGCACCATGCTCGGGCGAGTCTTCAAGCTCCTTGCCACGGATGCGACTCTCGTATTCAACCTGGTCTGTGACTCCTCTTTGCTCTTTGAGCTGCGTAGGGTACCTTACGATCGATCGCGTAGATGCTGATGTACCCGCTTCAGAAGAGGACGCCAAGCCAGATGTCTGGCGACTGCTCTCCGACATGGAGAACATCTGTGCAAGACTCCCATCAGAGTCCTGTCTCAGTGTGCGTCGGCTGTTAGGGGTGCGGGGGCCGTAGTCCAGAGGCTTCTGCTCCTTGTTCTTTGGCTCGGGCACATCTATAGCTTGGGATAGTGTGTCAGTATCATAAAAGTCGTATCCCTCTGTGATGGAGATCTGTGTGCCATCGCTTTCATGGCTTGTGGTAGACAAAGGAACCGAGTCCAGTCGCCTCCTTGGACTCCCATTGAACGTACTGTGAGCTGCGGGGGGCAAAGCAAAACTGTCTGATTCCATGACTGGTGGCAGCTGTGCCTCGGACGGAAAATCGCCCATGTTGGTATTTTCCCCGTTGATAGCTCTTGCAATGGGTGTTGTAACATTAGAGGTGCTCTCAATCTCTTCCGAAAGCAATGAACGAGGCCCTAAAGACTTGCCGTCGACGCTATTAGAGATATGAGCCGATGGCTTCCTTGGTGTTTCTTCACCATTTATCTCCACGACAACGTCCAACGCTCTAGGCACCCGTATTTTCGGGATATCTTTTGCTTTTGCAACGGACGGCCGCTTCTGAAACTGACCCAGGCGAGTTTCGAGGTGGAACTGAGCCCGCCGGGACAACAGCAGATTCATCGAATACGCCAGGATTCGCCATGTCTGGGCGAGACGGAATTGGTTAACATGTTCCGCCGCACGCGCGTATTGCTCCATAATATCGCAGACTCTCTTGCTGAGTGGCGGTCCATTGGCGACGTACGGAAGTTCACGATCCATGGTCTCGAGATAGCAGCTGGATAGGTATTCGTATATATCGACTCGTGCCGCCGCGGGAATGTGACCCACCGCCATGGACTGCTGTGTCTTGTAGGTGCCAGTCACCTTCATGGCCTGTTCTAAGCCCAAGACAAGATCGTCACTGACGCCTGATCCAGAAGGCGGCGTGGTGCTCAGAACAGGGACTGAACGCAAACTGTGTCTCCGTTTTCGGCCAGCTCTGCGACGCGGTCCCAAGAAGCTACCGACGACGTCTTCTTCAGAGTCGCTGCGGCTGATACTGAGCATTGGGGCCGTTGGGCTCGAACTATAGGATGTGCGTGGGGGTACAACGCTAGCCTGGTGATGGATGATTGAGGGTCGTGGCCGATCCTGTGGTCGCTCGTCGAGAAACATGACGGCATCACCACGAGCTGAGAAAGCCATACTAGATACCGGCTGTCGGTCAAGTACCTTGGGGGCGAAGGCGACGTCGCATTGGTTGAACAAACCGTCATTACCGGCGGTCCAGAGGAGATCCTGGTTCTGCCAGAGCAAACCTGAGGGGGAGAAGCCAAATTGATCGATCTCTTTGTATGGCATGGTAGGCCTGGCCAAGTCCCAGATATGCACACTGTTGATTCCGAAACGTTTGTGGCTCCCATCGTCGTAGGAGACGGCAACCTGGGCGGCACGCTTCCCCTGGGCGCTCGCTGACCAAAGGCCGGGACGCCAGGCAACAGCAGACACGGGCGCCGGAGTATGTATGAGCCATCTCGGCTTCTGCCGCTTGTCGGCGTTCTTGGACATGTCCCACACTGCGCATTTGCTATCCCAGCCACCACTGATCAGGTGGTTGCCATCGGGGTGCCACGATATCGAGGCACAGGCTTTATCGTGGGCGGGTATCTTGAGCAGTGGCTGGGCGACCTTCCGCACGTCCCACTTGAGAATGACACCAGACTCGGTACCGCAGGCAAAGTAGAAACCGTCCTTGGGCGACCACTTGACTTGGCGGACACCATCGGCGTTGCACTTGTAGGCCCCGCGCGGGCTGTAGGTGAGACCGCCGGATCGGCTCTGGACTGGGGCGCGGATGTCGAAGTATCGCACCATGCCATCCTGGCTGCCAGAGAGCAGGGTCGTCTGCCTGTGAGGGTTGATGTCGAGACTGTTGACCTGGCGCGAGTCCTCCCTCGTCTGAACGAACTCGAGTGCGGCGCCACCTATCGAGATCCTTGCAAGGTCGTAGGAGAATATCTTGCCATTGGCGCAAGCAGTGAAGATGGTGGAGTCGCCATGCCACTTGACGTCTCGTATGGAGAGCTGATCTGCCGTCAAGGAGCTCGATGCGGTCTTGCTAGAGGCAGATTGGGCCGTGATGGCGCTGCGGAGGTCGATAGCCTCGTTCACGGACAGGCCGTCGAAGACGATGGTTTTGAGAACATGCCTTCCGGCTATGACGGCGGCACAGCGATCGGGAGAGGAATCCAGGCACAGGATGGGAACGCCGGCCGAAAAGGTTGCATTTTGCGGAACGCTTGGTCGGTACGAGGCCTGGAAGTGAGGCGCACTTGTGATGGCGATGGAGTGGTGGGTGTCGGTGCTGCTGTCGGCAGTCACTTTGCCGAGGAGTTTTCTCATGATCTTGTTTTCGCGATTATACATGGATGTCGAGCTCGCACGGCGCCATTGGGCAGCGCCGTCGTTTCGTTGTCGTGTCGCGATCGGTGGTGTCGACGGTCGCGAGAAGAGGTTTGGGTTGAATGAAAGTGAGGTTTACGGAGCCGCGAGTTGCAATCTTGAAGGTTAGGGACGGGCCACAGCGATAGCGGGCGACCACAACTGCCTACCTAGGTACCTACCTACCTATCTATACCTACCTTAGGTACTTAGCTCAGTGGGAAACTCGGTGGGGAGCCCCCCAAGTCTCGGGCTGCTCAGATCAATTGCGGTGCGTTTGTGATAAGAAGATAACGATAAGACCTGCGGATGATACGACACGACCGATAACGAGAAGATTTTCCAGCTGCACGCACACTCTCTCTCTGTACTGATCGCTCTGATCTCTCTTCAATGTTGGCTCAGCATCCAATCCTCCCGTCAGCGAATCATCGTTTCCGGCTTGACCAGACATTTTTTCAGGTAAACACAAAAGAAGAGAACGATTAACCATTATGCAGTCCACATACGTATGTACACACGTGGTATTTTCAGTCAGTAGGGCGTCAATGGCCTGTACCGACCGACCACAATCCTACGGTTCCGACGTCTCAGTCGTTTCGTCCGTCTGCATGTCGCCCTGCAACGTCAGTTGCTCCCTCTCATAGGGTCTTCGTTGCCCATGCATTCCTTTCCTAGGCCCTGTTGTACGGCATTTATGGACGACTCAATCCGAAAGTTGCCGGCATCCTCTTTGGCGGATGGATACACACACATGTAACAACAATATCCTAACGTCGGACTTCAGGTCCTCGCCGCCGAGTGGCCGGCCCACGGCAGCAAGCAGCGACATCATCGCTGCCAATCTTGCTGCGTTGGTGTCACCTTCGAGACCTCATCCGTTTCGGCTTTTCGATTCTTCCTCTCGGTATTCTTTGCGTCTGGAGAACTCGATTGCTTGCTGCGTCTCGCGCCCTTCGGCGCTGCCCCCTGCCGAGCATTAGCGACTGACTTGTTGACGAGGCGAAAGAAAAGAAGAAGAAGAAGAAGAAGAAGAAAACTTACAAAAGGTGATGGAGTTCGTCTGCCTCCATGTCGAATATCCCTGAATCCGGACTCTGACGATCATGGCCCACTTCAATGGGGTCACCTAGCATGCCAGCAATGGGATTGACGTTGCCTGTACTTGGGCCCGTCGTCGGTGCTATCGACGGGTTCAAAACGAAGGGAGCATCCCCTGATGGCGGATCTGTCTCGGGTTCTAGCCTTGGAGTATTAGGGGTATCATCATTCCCCTGTTCCGAACGCATGTGTCCCAGGCGGTCTTCCAAGAATTCGCCGTCTTCTTCAGAGGCCAGGTAGCGCTCCATCAGATATCCGAGCCTTGAGTCTCCGGGGCCTGTGACGGCACTTAAGTGCGAAGGGCTTCGATTCGGCGGTCTGTACACGCCGGGTACTCTTCTCTTACCCATGACGAGGGAGCCGGTGTCCGAGGGAATTGATGATTGTTCCCGATCGTCGTCGCGAGACAGAGACAAAGCCCGCTTCTCATGTGACTGGGGACACGTCAGATACGATTCCAACGGCCCGGTAAATGTCGGTGTCGTCGAAAGGCTGGTCGAAGAGGATGCTACTGGTGTTGCTGGGTATTTATTGTCCGGCTGTTCTACCTGCCGTACGTCTTTCTCTTCCGGAACGACATCTTTGAATGGAGCCTCATCGCCGGCTATGACCGAGTATAGAGAGGTGGCAGTCGAACGACGAAAGCGCAGCAAGTCCGCGTCGCCTTTGTACCTTTAGGTGGTCAGTGTTCATCGATATGAGTTCGAGGAGAGGGTCGGCCACACAGGAAGTCGCCTGTCTTTCCACTTGGTTCCAGACTGATGCTTAAGCCGCCAGGCGATTGACTCCTGGCGCGCTGGGAGTTGGGTGCCGCAAGCTCTGCACCTATACCGATGCCAAAGTAGTCGATATCTTCCAAGCCGAGCCACAACCCAGGGTTGTCGATGGCCATGATGAATGACCGACGCTCAAGAATAAGGCAACTACCGCTTCCTCTCAACGACCGTCTCGCCTGGAGCCACTGCGGAGGGAGGCTGGCGGCGGTCAGTGGCGCGGAGAGGCGATACAGAAGTTTCAGCAGAAAGGGAAAATCAAAGGCTGCGCAAGGGCCTGCGTTTCGTTGTTACACGAACAGCGGCGTCCTCTCCGTTCCTCTTTCTCTTATCCCTCTTCTCTTCTGGTCGTTCTCCACCCCGGCGCGAGTCCCAAGCCTCAAGTCGCAAGCCGGCGGCCTTGCAAGGCGGCCGCTAGATATCAAAAACCGCGCTATCAGAAATCAAGAATCACTGGGCTGGGTTGCGGCTTGCCATACGTGGCCAGGGTGTTGCAGCCGCGTAAGTACCGGTATTCGCACGCAGGCAAGGGTAGGAAAGACTCTTCATTTTACATTCACCTCGCCGAGGGAGCGAGGGAGCGAGGGACGGAGGCAGGTCTCCTGCATTCCTGGGCAAGACATTTGGGATCCTCGAAGGATAGCCACGATCGGCTGAGATGGAGGGGGTGGGGAAACCACAGGGTACCCGACAGACTGGCACACCAATCACTGGGCGGCAACAACTAGCCATGGTCTCCTTGTGGCTTGCAGCGCGGGACGCCGGAGAGACACGAGATGGGCGACGCTGGTTAGGATCCCAGTCGTCGTTGTACATTCGTATTGGTCAGATGCATGTTTTCCCAGGCTTCATCTCAAAACTAACCCCTCATACGAGAGAGAGTTCCATTCGGCTGAAAATTGCGTCCGAGAGTACGGGTAGCTGCCGTAGTGCCGCTACCGACTGACGAGGGGATAACCTTGCCCATTTTTCCATCGGTCTGGTCTGGTTGGTTCAGTCTAGAGGACCAGTGACGGAAATAACGAACGACTAACCACCCGCTAGCAAGGAAAAGGAAAAAAGGCCTGCATGGTGATGAGAGTGTTGCAGTGCAGACTATCAACTACACTACCAGACTGGGCACGACATGCGACTGTCATAAAATATGGGAGCCAGGCCTTTCTGCATTCTTTCTTTTTTTCTTCTCCCTCCTCTTTCTCCTGAAATATCGAAACGTTAATCTCACAGTAGCTCGACAATCGGCACATGGTGTTTGGACTGGAACGTACGCCAAATTTTGAGACAGTCTCTTGCCTCCGAATACCAGACCCTTTCTTCACTGGCTGTTCACCTTTTGTCCCTCTTCTCCCACGTCTTTTGACTTGATCTTGGCATCTCGATGATGCAGCCAGGGCGGGGGTGACAAGATGGTGGAACTGGGGAGATGGATGATCATTCCTTCGTCCAGCGTCAAAGGGGTGGCTTCCCCTACCCCCTGTTCCCAGTCGTCCCGTCACGCCCGCTCCTCCTTACCATTCTGTTGGGACCATTGACAGAATCTCCAGGCCCCAAGCGGGTCCCGTGCGAACCACCGCGGACCATTTGAACCATGGATCATGTTTCGTGGTTGCCAACCCACTGCATAACATCACGTTTCTCAACCCCCCTCAGTGTCCTTTTCACGAACCAGCGTCCTGCTCTAGGTACCTCTTCCTGTCCATTCACAGACAATATCTAATTGAAACGGAGACATGAAGACGCCTGTCTCGGCATCAGCAAATTGAGTATCCCAGTTAGCGCCGAAGACTCCTACTTGCTGCTAGTACGCGGGCCACGCCAGCACCCATTACTATATACTGATTTCAGTTCAGTCCAGCAAAGCACTCCGTGGAACTGCCACTGTGCCCGGCACACAGAGCCTTGTTGGTGTCGGCGTTGGCAACAAAGATGAGACAAGACCCTGTCGCGCAGGTATTCAGACGGAAAAGCAACCTGATGGTCGTGGTGAAGCTAAACCCCAAGCAGATGCACGCTAGTATCCCGGTTAAAACTCGCACAGTGCCATTTCATGCCAGTGGAGAAGGAAAGAAAAGAAAAGACAGCTTCATCCTACTGCCCCTTTTAGTTCCGGATCCCACAAGCAAGTCCATGGCCACACAAGACCATGCAATTCTCCTCAAGAACGGCAGCCTACGTACTACCATGGCCAGAAAGCGTTGGATCCTCTAGGGTGCTTCCGGAGCGAGGGCCACGGTGATGCCTCGAAAGATGAAGACGACCCACGAACTTCGGCACGATCAACCACTCACCGACAGACTCGGTTCCGGCCGCTGCCTTCTGACAGGAGGCCTAGATGCGGCCGAGGCCTAGCTCAACCTATGCCGGCGCTTGTCGCTACATTGCATTGCTTGCATTTGCCGGCATTGTCGTGCTGCAGTAGCGAAATTGAACCATACGGCGGTCGCCGTCCGATTACCGGACGGTTCCTCGGCTCGGTATTCGGCCGGATCACTCCTATTTTCCCGTGGTGCGCTGGGTTGCTCACTTGCCCGGCCTTTTTGGCCATTGAGTGTGTATTGCATTGCGGTCCAGTGACGTATCATAGCGCATCCAGGGCCCCGTCATAGACAAATCCGTCGTCGACGGTAGCCCGCAGCTTGGAGCAGTCCGCGTCGTCGGTGCGCACCGGGTACATGTTCCCGTTGCTGCTGCAGAATGTGACCATCGTCTCGCCAGAGGGGTCGACGCGTATAGCGAACTCGCGGCCAGAGTTGACAAAGTATGTGCTAAAGTTCGATGCCCAGATTCCCGGGAACGGACTCTTCAAGAAGCTCGGGCACCAAATCGATGACGAACTGATGGGTCTCCGGAGAAAGGAGCATTTAGGTAAGCGCGTCGTCGAGATCACTGTCGAAGAAGTCTCCCAAGCAGGCCATCGGGAGCCCATACCTAACTATTGTCCAACGGCGCAGCGCAGGCTTTAGGGGGTACAGGCCGCTGTAGAGAGTGCTGACCACAGGGGCTACGGCTTGAAAAAAGCACACTCAGCTGGCGCCGACGAGCAAGGGGGCAGCGGCCAGCGCGGCTCGGACCAGCCCGAATGCGGGGTCGCTTAAAGCGGGAGTTTAATGCCTGCTCCGGCCCGATCCAAACCTCAGAAACGGGCGGGCCATGTGAAAGAAGTACACTAATCTGCGGAGGATCTCGAGAAGAGCGAGGGCCAGGCATGCATATGCTGAAGACATTTGATAAACATGGGAATGAAGGCATGGTAAAGCGCTGAGTCATCCGCATCGGGACGGAGGCCATTGAGCGTGACAAGTCACTAAAACCCCCACTACTGGTTTAGCTCCGCTTTCTACATACCTAGTAACGGGGGGAGGGAGGGAAGGAGGGGAACATACCCCCCCCCCCCCCCCCCCATTGCTGCCTAACTCCAAACCTCATCATCTCATCCGCATTTGATTCACTCCATCCGAACCCGTCCGTCCCTCTTAGCGAATGAGACTTTGCTGCACAGTGCTAACCGAGTTGTCATCCCAAATTTGTTTTTCGGTATCATCGAGAACCTTGCGAAGGCGCCGGGTCGTCTTCATGGTCGAGCAGCACGCCGCCTCGTCACGCAACCCAACCATTTCTTCCGGCAAGCTTCCGCAGCCACAAGCATGCCACCACGAACGCGATCGGCCCTCAAGGCAGACCTGAGGAAAGAAGAAAAGCCTTCCCCGAGTCCGTCCGTTTCCGAACCTTCAGCGGCAGGGCTCACTGGGCCTACACCCCTCCTCCTTCCAGATGAGGCTTCCTGGCACGACTGGCTGAGTACTTCCCACCGCGAGTCGTCAGGAGTATGGCTGAAAATCGCCAAGAAGAACGCAGACAAGCCGACCGTGACATATGAGCAGGCTCTCGAGGCGGCCCTCTGCTTCGGCTGGATCGACGGCCAGCGCAAAGCCTTTGACGAGCAGCACTTCGTCCAGAGGTTCACCCCGCGCAGGAAGAACAGCAGGTGGTCGAAACGCAACGTTGACAAGGCCGTGATGCTGACCCAATCGCGGCGGATGACGCCCGCCGGCCAGGCCGAGGTGAACGCCGCCAAGGCGGACGGCCGGTGGGACCGGGCCTACTCGGCCGCGAGCGTCACCGAGGTGCCCATGGACTTTGAGGAGGCGCTGAAGGAGAACGACGAGGCCAAAAAGTTCTTCGACTCCCTGGGCAAGACGAAGCGCTATGTCTTCCTGTGGCGCATCGAGACGACGAGGCGGCAAGAGACCCGCAAAAGGAAGATTGACGAGTTTGTGAATCTCCTCGCCGAGCATAAGCTTTTACACTGAGATACCCGGTGCCTGGTTTGGTTAGTCATACGTTTGTTTAGCCGATCGTCGCTGATATGGGACGAATGCCAACCCTGGCTTGAGACACATGCAAAATGTACTTTGTAGTTACATGCAGCCGCACGCTTGTACGAATTGGTGCAAGCACTTGCCCGTATTGGCTGGGGTCAAGGGTTCTCCTGACTGTTAGAACTGAATTCAACCCAGTGAATACAATACCATCAACAACCCGAGCCCGCGTAGACTGGCGTCTTCCGTAGTCCGACGCGGTCTAGGGTTTCCTGGATACTGGAACTCCTCTGCTGTACAGGCTGCTCGGCCCAAAGGGTGGCTTGCACCAATAGTATATTTAAAGAACATGTAACTTGAGCGAGAATCCCCTCCCCTCCCTCCCCCAGGAAAAAAAGAGAGTATGAGCGGAATCTGCCCCGCAAGGCAAAAGAGCAAGTTCCCACACCGAGGTTCGAACTCGGGACTCTCCGGATCTCATCAGAAGACTGAAAGCGGAGTATACTAACCACTATACTATATGGGACGCAATATGGGATCTGTCATTTGGGCGTTGCTAGCTTTACTATATTGGAGTGTTTAATGGTCAGCAGACTGTAGTGGAAAATGAAGAAAAGCAACTCTAAGTTCTCCACGCATAGCCGTTGGCGACACAGATTGCTGTCTTCACTTGATGAAATGGAAGCGCAACTCAAGAAACCAGTACGGCGATATTGATCATTGCCGCTTTAGGTCTCTTTGGCTGAATATACACTGTCGCAGCAATCTGTAGTGGCACGCCCAACAATGCATCCTCCTTTCAACGCTGTTGGACGAGCTCGTTGGCGTAACGCTGCCAGCGTTTGAGCCTTGTGTTGTCCGAAGCCACAGAGCTTGTCTAGCAAATGCGCATCACAAGAAAACCAGTATCACAGGAGGCTCATGTCTGTGTGGCAGATATCGTCAGCCACACCACGTACCATGTCACATGGACGAGCTCGAGGGCCCCCTTTATATGGGCCCTCCCCCCGTGGGATTCTTCTTCCCACAATACAAGCCTTTTCTTCATTCATTCGTATAACCCTATCTGCTGTGTGCTCCAGCTCGTGAGAACCAGCGACCTACAACCAACGTTAGAGTGGGGATCAAACTTATGGTAGTCAAGTAGCGTGTAAAGTCTGGACGTCTCAACTGTATCTCATGGGTCGACAGAGTGTATAATTGTGCATAATAGTGCAGTCGCCCTTCGGGTCGAGAACTGCTCGAACTATGACTATTCCCTTCCAGGCCTTTGTTGGGAAAGCGTCTTGAAACTTCATGTCGGGGTCTTTTGGAGCCTACTTGCCTTGTTGGACAGACTTACTCTGTACCTAGGAGATTTTGTCGGGATTCTTAGCAATCTCAGCCTCCTTGGTGAGGAAGTTCTGCTATTTATCATGACCACTTTGGGCTGTAGCTCGCCGGGCATTGGCCAACTCTGGGTGAAAGGATGGAATTAGTCAAGGGATATCTGCAAAGCCACCAGCAGTAGGGGCAGGGTAGCCAATCTCGACGAGTTCATCATCGGCGACGCGTCGGACGCTTTCCTGATCGATGGCCACCATAAGAGTCGTGATTCGTGATGCTGTGTGAGGAACTATCTGCGGAAGAGGTGTGCGAGATTGAGGTGCCCCTGGTCACGCCCCAGTAGCAAAGGGATGTCGCCAGCGAGATCACATATGTACGTGGCCGACGCCAACTACATCGAGGGCAAAAAGACTATTTCCGTGCTGTTATATCTTGATGACCTGGAGGATGCGGTAGAGGAGGTCGAGGTCTGCCACGAGTCTGAGCCAGAGCATGCTGATCCTCTGTGAGGCATGGTGGGTGGGTGCAGCACAGGCTGAGTTCTCAAGGCATCGAACGCGTCGCAGCAGCCGGCGTCAATGAATGCATTTTCAGCCATCCATGCATATTAAGCCTATAGGGGCACTGTATAGTCTTGCGGCTCAGTCGCTGATAAGGTGTCTCCGCGGGATGGTGAGGAATGGACGAGAAAACAGTGTCAAGCCCGAGAGGTTTCAATAACGAGTTGAGACTTGGTGACAACTTCATCCTGGTGAGAGGCCCTGATATATACATCAACGGCTGCTCAAGAGCACAGTGAGAGGTGCGAATTAAGCAAGGTCGCAGGTAGTTATCGAACAGAATGCTCACTCAGATTCTCGCCCCCCCCCAACACATGGAGTGCAGTCGAAGAACCTACGTACATAGCAAATGGGCATTTGTCTGCCGAGAAATGTCATCGGGCCCGGTAAATTCATTTGCAGGATCAACATAAACCTTGTCGACTAAAACCACTCCCTTCCAGTCTTCACTACCTAGCCCCAGCCTCACCACCGTTGGGTGACTGCATATTGTTTAGTCTATCGAAAGCATTTCCAAGGAAGGACGGAAGGCTGTGAGTTAAGCCCTGATCCGATTTGTCCAATTCACCTTGGCGAACCTATAAGACTGTCTTGGTTCTCAACGGCATGTCCACACCCCAAGACAGTGATGTTGGCATCAGTTGCAGTTGATGGCTGGCCCATGCCGTATCGCCTCAATTCCAGCGTCCCCCAGCCGCACCTTGGCTTCAGCCATCATTTCAGCCTGCAAGGTGCTGCACGTTATAAAGACTGTCCAAAGCCGCTAGGTTTCCTCTGTACTCCTCGAGTATGACCTTTTCGCTATCACCCTGCTTTCATACCTGGCGCAACATTTTCGAGCAGCGGATTTGGTAGCTAGCAAGTCAAACGATGGGTTCTCTCACGACATAATTTACGCCGCCGGCGTCTTGTTCGACAACAGGGATCAGTTTGGTCACGAGTTATTATAGTGGCACGAAACGTTTGGAAGTCAACTTGGTCGCCATCTGCCGCGCACAATGTTATGCCAAGAGTTTGCTATATCCGAGCCATCTGTACTGAATACCCATTTATTCGTCTCGAGGCGCTTCAATCATTGACACGATAGATATGTCGTGTCACTCGGAGACATTTCTCTCCATGTTAACACATGGCGCAGCGCCCTTGGCATGCATGTCTTAGCTTCTAGTAGTGCAAGCCATTCCAGCTCATCCTTATAAATATCCACCAGAACGCCTTTTGGAGCGTCAGTAGAACGACCTCGACCCCGTCAGGAATGGCTGTTACCATCAATCCAATGAGCTCATCAGGCGAGGCACAGGGTATCGCTTATCGTGCTCTGGACCACACTACGTATGAGTTCCGTCTCTTATACCTCAAACCTACTGCTGCAGAACACGAAAATCCCTCGCACGATGACAGAGTGATCGGCGAGCTTCAGCATTTCTCTCTCAGCGGCTCCCCGTCCTTCGTCGCCCTCTCGTACTGCTGGGGCCAGAGCGGCGCTGAAAGCCCCATCGTGATTGATGGCACAATGCTGAAATCCGGCTCCAATGCCGAGGCCGCCCTCCAACACCTTCGCAATGCCGTGGGCGTCTACGTCTGGATCGATCAACTATGCATCAACCAGAGCGACAATGCCGAAAAGGGCCACCAGGTTCGCATGATGCGCCAGATCTACACGGCCGCCACCCGGGTCGCTGTTTGGATGGGCCCCCCAGGAGACGACATCGACCTGTTCTTCTCTCACACCCGCGCCATGAGTGCCTTGGTGAGAGAGGAGAAGTACATCGACGTGGTGCGGGCCCACGCCGACATCGCCTTCCTCCAGAGAGTATCTCATGCGTTCCGCGCGTTCTGCAAGAGAGACTACTGGACTCGGGTGTGGATTATCCAGGAATTCGCCGTGGCGGTCGAGCTCGACATACTCTGCGGGCATGTATCCATAGGGCACGCCGACCTGAGAGAGTTCCTAGTTTTCCTTAGCACTATCTACGACAAACTTACTAGGATCTAGGAGGAAGAAGACCAGGAAGTGATGAAGACGCTTGTGGAGATGCTGCGCGGCTTCAAGACCCAGGAGAACAGCTTCCTCGAGGGCGTCTTCACCCGGCGGCGCAGATACCAGCTGCGGTATGGTGACCCGTCCGCGCGTTTGGCCACGCGCGCGATCTCCGAGGTAGAGAACGGCATGATGAATGGCAGCGAGAGTCTCTTCGCGGTGTTGGTGACAACGCTGGTGATGGAGATCGACTACAATCAACCGAAGTCGACGGATCACCGGGATCGCGTCTTCGCCGTGATGCATTTTGCTGACGACGTCGCCGAGTTTGAAGGTCTCTCGAACTACAGCCTCAGTTGCGAGCAGGTGTATCAAAATGTCGGCCGGCGCATCCTCCTGCAGGGCAACATTGATGTCCTGTCGTACTGCCAGTTTCCACGCGATAAGCCTTTGGCAACGTGGGCGCCCGACTGGCGGATGGGGATCAGAAGACCAAACAACGGGAACCCGTGGCGCTCAAGGTTCGATGCCCCAAAGGCCCCGTTTCAGGAGCAAGGTGTTCTTACCCCAGATAAAAAGACCGTACAGCTGCGGGGCGTTCTAGTCGATGCCGTCGCGGAGACGGGCAACGTCTGGGACCCCAACTGGGTCGAGGAGCTGGACTGCAAGGCTGCATTGGAATACCTCGACAACGTCGAGAACCTTTGCAAGAAGTCGCCCATGTTCGCCGAGAAAATCAAGGTCCAGGATTTCAAAGACGTCATACGCATCTGCATCGCGGACCACTACCACTACAAGGAGCCGGAGAGACAAGCCGAGCTGCTGGAGGGCTTCGCCCAGGCGGTCGTGTGGATGGGCAGAGGCGCTGGGAAGTTCGCCGCCGAAATGGCGGAGATGGGCATCCGTATGGACGACGCCATTGGGTGGCAGCAGCCGTGGTTCATGTTCGCTCTGAAGAATCTCCACTCGCGGCGGCCGTTCCTCTCGGCCTCGGGGTACGTCGGGTTGGCTCCGATGCATGCCCGGCCAGGAGACAAGATTGTGATTTTCCTTGACGGAAAAACGCCGTATGCCATCCGGGGGACGGAAGAGGGCTTTTATGAGGTAGTAGGGGAGTTGTACGTGCATGGCATCATGTATGGCGAGTTCATGACGGACGGCGTCGAGATCCGCGAATTTATGCTGCGATGAGCGGACGACAGACTATGCGTGAGCGGCATCTGCTCTCTTGGAACCGGCCCTGCAATCGACAGTAGCCGTGTGGCAAATCTCTACTAACAGGTGGGCAATAAATCCGGCCTCTCGCAAATGTACGCTTTCGGAGAACCCGTCGGGCGTTGTATAATCCTTCCGCTCCGCTCCGTTCCGTTTGGCAGATTGCCCCACATTTTCGGTAACAGTATTTTCCTACCGAACCTTTCCTACTAACGGACTCAAAACTTGTCTTGATCATTGCCATACATCAGAACCATCAACCGAACAAAAAAAGCTGATGAGGATGGCCACAAATGAGGCAAAACAAAAGCTGACAAGAGTGGGATTCGAACCCACGCCAATTACTTGACTAGCACCTGAAGCTAGCGCCTTAGACCGCTCGGCCATCTTGCCTTTACTGATACCAGCTGCTGCGGGGTAACTATAGATATATACCTTGGTTGTACACCACAGCCATTCAATGTGCCTACCATGCATAGGCGTAGTGTCCAACCCAACCCTTTCTCTTTTTTCTTTTGGATACACACCGTACACACCGCGAATGGACAGTGTCTGACAAGTAACGAACTTGTAGCTGAAACCCAAGACAAGGATGACGTCGACCGGCTGTTCGCTTGCATGTTGTGCTTCGAAACTAACGCAGTTCGCAGAAATAGCTACCAATCATGGACCATATAGGCGTTCCCCCCGTAGGCGCAGCTAGGTGTGGGGAGGGGACGAGTATTTTCGTAATACATCTGCATGTAAATTGGCTTGGATAGGCACCCATGATAAAGATTCATTGAATTGTCTACGCACTCCCTAATTCTGCTCGTGGTTAACCTTGTTTTCTGTTTGTATGTTTTCCAACTCTTGATATTCAGCATTCGTTCTCCTGGCGGCGTTTGGGACTCCCTATGATATCCGTTCTATCATCCCGTCAAGGACCGGACAATTCGGCTTGTCCGAAGGACTGTGTTACCCAGCCATGTGAATTGCAAGCGAATGCCGACGTGTCTGGCATTGGGGTAGGTGGGTGGGAACATCTTCGATTACGGTAGCAACAAAGCTATAAGTTAGGTAATAATCATTGACAATATCTTTGGTTCCCTAGGTCTTAATAGGATTTATGGGTACAGGATGGCTCGCCATCCTCATTGTCCTCTTCCGCTACTTTCTCACTTTCGACCCCACCGCCCATCCATTCACCAACTCAAAACAAGACGGAAGACATAGTCATCAACGCGCTCTAAAACCCAATGCCTTGGACGTCAAGATCACCAGCATGTTCAAAAGACTTCGCCAACTTGTCAGCCCTCATTCATATTAGGACATGGCTTTCAACAAGGTAACTAAACTAGGCTCTTCTTAGAGAGGACGCTGACCATTGTTATCCGGTAGATCCTACTGCAGCTATGCGATATTCAATTTCTTACTGGGCTTGGAATCCTGTTCAGTAGCTTCGTTAGCTTGGCCGATTACATGTCGGCGTATCACTAGGAAATCATCGTCTACCTAGCGTGGTTTTCAAATCTTACGCATAAGGCCTGCCTAATAGCCCTCCAGGAGTATTTGCACCACCATCAAATGGAACGGAGCTGCCGGATGATCGTGATGCTGGTCTTACTAGCTGGCTTGGTTACGGCCATTGTCCCAACCGGGTATTTCAATTGGCGCTCCATTGATCAAGGGACCGCCGGCGTGCCAGCCTCAAATGCTCGTTGCTTCTTCAGTAGAGACTTGATCCAGGCCGCATGGGAACCGCGACTTTGCAATGGATACGGACATCAGAAGATCGTCGATGGGTAGTACTGCAACAGAATATCTGCCGACGGCAAACACAGCCATCCATATAATACCACAGCTTACGAGTCCTCCATAATCTCAATAATGATTCTAACTTTCAGCTCTACCAGCCGGTCGATTAAAATGTTTCGGAAACTTTCAGAATTAAAAAGAGACGCTGTTCGACAGAAGATTCGCCATTGGGCATTGTCTTGTTTGATGGCCGCGGCCACTGGGGACCGACGTTTTGGAACCACAGCATCACGAAGGAAGCTTTTGGCCATCTTTAGGCCATTAGACCTGATGATTGCATTATATCTACTTGTAAAACTATATCTGGATGTGCTTTTATCCGAAGCAGCGGATGTAAGTACTACCTATCATTCCTACAGTCAAACGGTCCCAGATAAAACACATATTCCACTGCAAAGAGGTTTTCTGACCAGTAAAATGCGCAGGTCCTCTGGCTCTTGTCAGCCTCAATCTGGGGAACCATTCGTCTCATACAGGCGCGAGAATCCGCCGATGCCAGGGGCGAAGAGAATGAATGGGGCTTCGGGCAGGTCTTGTCCGTGTTTCTTCTGTTGGGTCCAGTCGCGACGGTCGCCCTGACAGTTTTTGTTACTTTTAGAAGTCACAAGAAATTGGATAAGCAAGAGGAGGATGGCGAATCTGTCAGGAAAACAGTAGCTTTGCTTACTGCTTATCGAGCTGGTATGAAGAAACTGCAGTTCTCACGAGATGAGCCACTAGTCTCGAAACAGAGATCACAGCAACGCAGCGAAGCAGTAACGATGTACTAAATCGGGTTTCAAGTCTCCTCCGAGACATCGAGGTCGATATGAATATCAGGACACCAACTAGGGGAAGGCTTTCTTCACCGTCCGAGCTTGAGGCTCCTCCACTCGACGAGTTTCAGCACTATCCAGAAAATACAGCCGGCACCGGGACCGACGGCGCGTCGAGGCCAATATCCTCAGTGGAAGCCCGCTCGAGAAATAACGAGGGGATCGTTTCATTGCCAAATCAAGAGACTGTGATGGGGATGGAATATGTCGACATTCAAGCATCACTGTCTTCCCGCTTTTCGCAATCTCAGTGGATGACTATCGTCATGTGGTTTTCCTGTTTCCAGTGGCTGGGGTCAGTGGTCATTGCATTTCTTTTGATTCCGGAAGTCTCCATGGAACCTTCTCGCTATCTGGATGACTGGGCTTTCTCGGTCTTGGTTATACAGCCGCTTAATTGCTACATCGCTGTGATACTTGGACTTGACATTGGTGATGGCCGAGCTTTAAAACTCCAGCTGATGCTCCTTTGCTTTCTTCTGTTCATAATACTTCTAGGCTGGGCTGCACTTCCAGTTTGGCCAAATACTTCGTCGTATTTCAAGGTGTGGTACTCGGTTCCTGCTCCCTTCATTATCACAGTTATTCAGTCTATTTACCTAACCGTTGAATGGAAGCACACTACATGTATAGTCGTTGAATAGTTTTGTAAACTATAAATAATTACAAAAGTTACAAGCATCATATTACCACATTGAGATACATATTTCATGCTGATATTGGCTACAAGTTTCCTAGTTTACTTATTACTAGTGGTAAGGGCGGGTTCATATAAATATATTCAATACTTCTAATTAATACGCTGCTCCTGATTGTAAATTGCACAATACCCTGTGTATAAAACAAGGGCAAAACCCCATGAATTGCCGTCCCATACCCCAGCACAAAGTGTGATGAGATGAGATGAGTCCTTTTGGCTATGATCTTCTCTTGTGACCAAAAGCTAGCTCACAGTCCGTTGAGATCAAATCAGATAGCACGATTGTGCGAATTAGATCACCCTTGCCATTGCGCAAGCCATACTCACGCGCCGCGTCCACGTACTTTGGCCTTGAATCACGGCTGACTCCGCCCATTGTTGCCGTCAGCCATGTTCTCCGTGCTCCTCCCGGCCTTCACCTCCTCCCTCCACACCGACCTCTCCGTCGTAGAGACGCCCGGCCCCTGATAGACGCTTCCGTAGAGGCCCGAGGCCCAGCTGGCGCCATCCTTGGCCTTCTGGCTCTTGCTATCCTTGAACTTGCGGCGGTACCATTTGCCGTAGGCGAGGAGATAGTACAGCCTGAAGCACAGCAGCGCGAACTTGTCGTGTTCCAGGTCCTCCGGGTAGTCGGCGCCCATGTCAACGGCGGCGGCGATGCCGGACATGATGGCGATCTCGTGCGCGTTGACCAGGGTCCACGAAGCGGCGAAGCGGGTGCGCTTCTTGGCCTGGAGGAACATCATCCAGGGCACGACAAAGACGTAGTGCGTCCACGAGTGGCAGAGCTGGTGCCACCAGTCGGCGCGAATGATCTTGTCCTTATCGATCTCGTCGTCGGTCCAGTGCTTGCGGTCGCGGCCTTTGTTCAGGTAGATGGTCTGGAAGACGTGCTGCTCGAACGGCACCTTCTGCGGGAACTGGCTCTGGTAGTTGGTGGTGTCGAAGCACATCTCGAGCTTGGAGAGGTCGGCGTCGTACATGCGGATGTAGTACATGGGCCTAAAGTTGTCCTTGGCGAAGGCGAGGCGAGAAGAATGGTCCATGTCGCCGTTCTTGCCGAGCGTCTTGACGGCCTTGCCGTCGTCGTAAAAATTTTCGTAGTACTTGTTCATGTAGTCGGAGTCGTTGTGCGTGATGGTGATGTCGTCGGAGAACTTGGCCGAGCCGAGGACCCTGCGCTCACGCCAGGAAGACGTCTTGCCGAGGATCTTCTTGGCCGTGTCGGCAAGCACACAGAGAACGATCTCGTCGTAGTGTTCCTCCGACTCGATGGCGTCCGGGTCGCCGCCGACGGGGTTGTGGCCATCCTCCACGGGGGTGCGGGGCTTGGTCTTGACGAAGACACCGCGCTTGTTCCGGTGGACGACCTCGGTGAGCTCGGTGGACAGGCGGACGGTCACGCCACGGGACTCGAGGTCCTTCTTCCAGGCGGTGTAGAAGTCAGTGAAATTGGGGAAGACAACCATTGGCGGGAGGTTCGACACCACGCTGTTCTTGTCGGCGGGGTACCACATTCCGTAGGTCGGCGACGTGCAGAGGCGCTCCAGCATGATTGCCGGGACCTCCGGGGTCGCGTTGCCCGTGCCAAGGAACAGGGCGGTCATGGGGAGACCAACGACGTTTGTGAACTCGTCGGAGAAGAGGAAGAGCTTGAAAACGACCTTGAGCGGCAGCAGCGCGAAGAAGATCTCGAACCACCTCATAAACCTGAGCATGAACGCCAGGCGGCGGACCTCGGCCTGGTGCTTCGCGATGAAGTCGGTCGGGAAGACATTTGTCCAGAACTTGTCGTCCTTGCCGAATGAGACTTGCAGCTTGACGGGGTCGGCGTGGTACCCCTGGCGGGCGAACATGGTCAGCGTGTGGTGGAAGATGTAGCTGCCGCCCTGCACGCCCTGGTTGAACCAACTTGCGCCATGTCGTTCTTTGTCGAGGGGGATAGAGAATGCCTGGCCTCCGCAATAGTCGACCGAGTCGATGATGGTGACATCAAACTTGTCAGGGTGGTTGGACAGATGGTAGGCCGTAGACATGCTGGTGGGTATCAGTCAGCAAACACATTCACAGAGAGTTGATGTCGAGGGTCAATGAGCATAGCAAGCATGGCACGCACCCGGCCGCACCGGCACCGACGACGAGGACTCTTTTGCGCCCATCCTTGCCCGTATTCCCGTTCTGCGACATGTTTTCTGGGATGTTCCTCTCGATATCACGGCCCGTGGGTTGAGATGCCATCGATGGGATGATGCAGGTTCAGAATCGCCGCCGTGGAAAACAAAACCGCTGACGAACCGCCATCAAATACGACGCGAACTTGTGTTGCTTCGCGTGTCTATGACGCTGTGACATAGAGTTTGATGAGGTCATTCCCCGTTCACTTACGCCAATAGATTAGCGACCGTCTTGGGGAATCGATCCGCCGCCCCCCAGAGATCGGAACTAGCAGGGTGCTTAATTATTAGCGGAGGACCCAACAACACACCACACACACATCCCTCATGTTGCCTACCTACACTAACAAGCCGAGGTATGAGTTGCTCCTGTAGCCAAGCGATCAGCATCCTGCGCTTATCCGTGTGATGACCCTGCGGTTACCGTGGGCAAATTTGGCTATTATTACGCATCGGGGTTGACAATTGAGCCCCCCTGTTAGTGGACAGACAGCGCGGCTAAATGGCCCTTACATACACCCACTAGAAAGTAGTTGTTCGCCTGGTCCCAGTACAGTTGGCGGTTAGTTTGCTCAACTCAACAACCCGCCGGCATCGCGGCTATTTGAGTCGTCACTCTCTTCATTTGTCGTGGACTATTCGGATTTTGCAGAGTGGCTCGTTGATCAGCGTGACACGCATCGCAGGCGGTACACTATGGTCTCGGTCTGGGGCTTCAGAGGCCCTGCAAGTGTCACACAAGGTTGCCTTTTGCTCAGGACATATATGCTTATACTTCTAACTTGGGCTTGAGCTTGGTTCATCTCAACGTACTGATGTTGCCAACCTACGCTGCTCGCCCTGCTCTACCCCTTTTCTAATGAAAAAGAAAAAGGGCATCCTATCAGACTTTTACCTCATATGGGACAGGGTATGAAGGTCGAACCACTTCATCCACATGCGATTTACCTTGAAGTATTACCGAGCTGCTCCGTCATGGCATGCATCCTACTTCATGGACTTGGGGAAGGATGCTTTCCCGCACATGCTCCTTTGCCGAGTATTACTTGCGGTTAACGTAGGTGACTGGGAGTGTAATAAACAGATTCAAGCGGCACCAGGGCCCCCTTGCGATGCTGATTTCTTGGGCATGTTTATAACTGTTGCGTGGAGAGGCTCGGCGAAATGAGCCCGCGACAAAAAGTGACTAGCATGTCAAAACACTCGCCCCAGCATGAAGCTTACATAGCAGACATCCCGCATGCTTACGTGTGGATAACTGCGCAGCTTCCTTCTTCATTCCCAGCACACCAGCTCACACGGGCCGCGTGCTTCCAGCATGGATGCATGCATGCCGTCGAGATTGTTTGGAGGAACGTAAACCGTAGTATGAGTTCCCATTGGCCCAACAGGTCCGTCCACCCTCTCCCTCTAAGGCTTCCCTGCCGCAGCTCGATTTCCAAGTTGGGCACGGGATAATGGGCATTTGGATCAAGTGTGGTGTTGCTATCACGTACAGAGTCTCGACCTGCGTGTCACAGCCAACAGTCCCTGCCGTATAGCCCCTCGACTGTGTATTAGAGGTCCTCAAACTTGGGCGCCTCTTCGCGGACCAGCCTCTCGGCGATGGCGTTGAGCCAGGCGCCTAACCTCACGCCGGCCCGCCCGATGACCTCCTCCACCACCTCCCAGTTGTCGTCGTAGTACTCCTCGCTCAGGTCGTTGCCCTTGAGAAACGTCAGCCCGGGCCGCAGCACATGCGAGCACACGAGCGCGTTAGACTCGCCCGCCCAAGCGGCTGCGCAGGCCCCCGTGTCGAGGTCGATGCACTGCTGAGCCGGCGAGGCGTCGACGCCGGCCGCGGCCTGACGGACGTGCAGGTCCGCTGCCCACGCGGCGGCGGCCTTTTTCTCGTCCGACGGGCTCAGGTGCGGCGGCAGACCGCGGATGCGGTGCGGCATCTGCGTGTCCCAGACCGAGTGCAGGCTCATCGGGCCCGTGCAGACGCCGTCGCGCGGCTGGCGGCGCCAGCAGACGGGGCGGATGTCGTTGCCGCCGCGGAGGAGGCCGGTGGCATGTAGGGGCTGGTGGATGTCGCCGAGGAAGTGGATAACGAACATGGTTGCGTTCTTGCGGTTGATGTGCGGGAGGGAGGTGTCCAGGATCTGGGAGGTCTGCGGAGGGGAATGTTGTCAGTCTCGAACGACATAGAGGGGGGAAATTGGGTGGTTAGAACGGGACGGCGCACGTAGTTCTGGATGGCGGAGATGACGCAGCCGCTAGACGGGCAGTCTTGGGGATACTTCATGCCGCAGAGGCGGGGAGGGTCATCGCGGGGATCTGAAGCTGGTGAGCTGGGTGTCTAGGCGTGAAGTTACAGTCGTGATCGGACAACGACGTACTGACGTAGTGATACTTGCTCGCCCAGCCCATGTGGCCCCGGAGCGTGTCGGCCCAGGTGGCGGCGTCGGAGATGTCGTAGTTGCGGTCGTTGGCGAGGAGCTCTCCGAAGACGGCGGCGGCCTCGTCCGTTAGGTACTTCTCGGCCAGGTAGCCGACGGTGCGGTGACCAACGTTGCCCCAGGAGAGGGCCGGCTGGACGGCGGCGGCCGCTAACAAGGCGAGTGATGAGCGCATCGTGTGGTGTGGTGTGGTGTCGTGTGGGGTGGTGTCGTCGCTTTGTCGTGTGCGAAAGAGAAAGAAACCAAGGTCAATCTGATGGCTCACAAGACATTGGGTTGAGTCGCGGTGAGTTGAGTCGAGCAGAGACGCGGTAGTGCTCTTATCGGATACCGCGACTCGCCTTCAACTAGCCGCCTGTCTGCGACACACTAACCCCGTTGAATCGCGCTATCGAGCTATCGGCTCTCAACGTGGCTGCCGTCTGATGTGGCACGTCGAGACACCAGCTCTCGTACACCTCCACAGCCGGGCTGTCGTCTTTGGGGGCTGTGATTGGAGGATATAGCTCGACAGGGCTGGGACAGTCGGTTTCTGAGACATTGCTGGCGAGAGCTGCAAAGTCCCTGGCCGACTCGGCGCAGCAGACATGGATTCGGATTCCACACTAGTAGATCAGGAAGCTGAGCGAGTCCCAACGGCCTTTGCTGGGGATGGAGTTAGGTAAATCTACCTATGCCAGCGAGTGAGGTTCGGCCGGAGTTGGTTAGTCGAGTGAGCCGGCCTAGGAATTTAAGCTTTCACTATTGCCCAGGCGGATCGTTCGAAACCCACACCATGCAGATGCGGTGTGCAGAGTGCCAAGCAAAGGATGGATGTGCTTCCAGCGTGGAGATTGACATTGTGCAATGTGCAATGTGCCTGTTGCGCTTCTGTGATGAGGAGCCAATGGACGAAGACCTGTGTACAGAACAGGTAGGCAGGGAAGAAGGCCAAGCTGTATGAGGTCTAGGTTGTATGGAAAGAAACCAGATAACGGGATCCGGGAATGACGTCTCATACATAAAATATACGTATAGGCGTTCTGTTCAACCACAGTGGGGTTTCAAGAGTCTCAAGCCACCCCACAGTAACCCTATAGATTTACCGGGACACCTAAAACCATACTTTCTAAAATATGTATATACAAGTAGACCGTATCTTGACTAATTATCTATATACTCTAGCTATAAGTATAGTATTAGAAGATATTGACTTCAGTAAGCTTTAAATGGCGCACTGTAGACAGGCTTGACACCTCTGATACCCCAGTCGAGTCAAGCCTGCGGCAGGGCCTTACCTAGGGACCTGGGTAGGTAGGTAGGTAGGTAGGTAGGTATCCGTACCTGCGATAAGATAAGGACCAGCGCTAGCGATGCCATTTATCGAGTGAGCCACTGGAGAAGGCGCTACGGTAGATTACCTGGTTGTAATTTGCAGGCAGGTACGCGTACCACCTAATCATGAACAGCAACAAGCATATCCCTGGTAGGCAGTTCAGTACCAGTATTGGGCACCGCAACTTGGAGCGCCCCGCTGTAGCGATTACCTACTCGAACCGGATAACACTGATAGGAGGGCGGAGACACACCGCTATCGCCAACCAGCCATGTCCGGACGGCGAGCCCCTCGACTCGTCAATCACTATCCACAAAACACGCGCACGACGGACGCATCGAGGGACGACAGCCGTTCAAAAGAGAGCAGCGTCACGCACACGAGTCGTGCCTCCCGCATCAATATACGTTGCGGGAAGAGACCCCGCTGCGATCAACAAAGTACCCGTATCAAAGTGGCCAGCAAGGCCTAACAATAGTAAAAAGAAAAAGTGCGGCCATGCCCGAGGACCACTTCCGACCGGCGCTGATCGTCGTCGACTTCCAGGAGGATTTCTGTCCGCCGGTAAGTAAATGTTCTCTAGCCTGCCGCGCTCCACCCCTTTCGTCGCATCCCGCAGCCTCGCGGGGAGGGGGTTGGGTTGGCGAGTTGTTGCGTCCATGGCTGACGTCGACTCGAGCATGGCTCACTCGCCGTGGCTAACGGCCGCGACATCCATCCGGTCGTCAACTCGCTCCTGCGTCTGCCGTTCGTGACCAAGATCGCCACCAAAGACTGGCACCCGAGTGACCACATCTCGTTTGCCTCCAACCACGAGGGCAAGGAGCCCTTTGTCGACGCCATCGACATCGTCAATCCGCGCAACAGCGCCGAGAGTTTCCGCACGCGGCTGTGGCCGGTGCACTGTGTGCAGGGAACGCCCGGCGCAGCCCTGGTGCCCGAGTTGGATGTCTCAGCTATCGACACCATCCTCGAAAAGGGCCAGAACAAGGACGTCGAGATGTACAGCGCCTTCTACGACCCCTTCCAGTCGCCGCGGGTGTCGGACAGCGGACTCGCATCGGCGCTCAGGGCCAAGGGCATCACGGACGTCTATGTCGTCGGCTTGGCTGGCGACTACTGCGTCAACTGCACCGCAGTGGATGCGAACAAGGAAGGCTTCCGGACCTTTGTCGTCGAGGAGGGCACCAAGCCGGTGGTTGCCGAGGAATGGATCAAGTGCAAGGACGCCTTGGAGGCCAGCGGGGTCAAGATTGTCACCATGGAGGGTCCGGAGGTCCGGAGGGTTGGAACGGCTGGACGGGGATGAGGGCCCGACACAGAGTCCTTCTCCCCCCTCTAATTCGTCTTTTCGTCCCGACTCGGGAGAGCCTCCGAGGAGGGAAGCCGGGGGGGCGTTTCTTGTTTCCTCTTCTGCATAGGGCCATGAGGTGAAGTTGGATACCGCGTGTTCCACACCGGTACGAATGCGCAGTACTGCGGTCCTAACCAGTGTGGGTAGATAATCTCGATGGTAAATACCTACTTACATACTACTACGTAGAAGCCAGTATTGCAGTGTCTCGCTCACTCCTCCGGGTCCCAGAGTCATATATCACAACGAGCAGACCATTCTTCATGGGCTTCACCCCACCTACGCCGCAGACGTGTTCACCTGTGCTTGGGTGGAGTGTCGGCGGGTTGGAAGAGGAATCGGTGAATTGACTCGGCGGCAGGGGACCATCAGCTGGCCCATGCAGGCGCAGCAGAGAGAGCTAGTACCTGTCTGCATCATAATATACTTCGTAGCGTAGTAATTTGTTCCACTGCCGTCAGCGTCTACGCTACAATATACGGATGCACATACCTACCTACCTAGCAGCATTTGAGCAAGGACGAGCTAAACTGATACATGTATGAACAAGGACCGGGGGGGGGAGAGGGCGGGCACTGGGCAGGGACTGTTGCATCATGTCAGATCAGGGCTGCAAGAGGGGGGGGCACACAGACAGTCCATGGAAGAGGAAGTGGACTCGAGAAACACAAGCAACGGCGGACGGGCTTGGCCGAAGCGTATCGACGTCGAGCAATATCTGGGGGGAAGAGGCGATGACTCGGGTGCAGCATGGTCAAAGGATGGACGGGCATTTGTACATTGATTATGCGAAGCGAAATGACATGAAGGTAGAAACGGGCCTCGTTGTGTCTCTTGCCTGGCCTTATCGAACTTCCCAGGTCCGGTCAATGGAAGGAAAGGAACCCCACCCCACTCTTCTCCAGCGGAAGAAAGAGCGGACGTGCGGACTGCATGGATGCAGTCAGGAAGAGGAACCCGCCGCCGCACTTCCCAGGGATGATGGTACATATTCCTTCCCTCTCATTTCGAATGCAACCCTCTGAACCTTCCAATTGCCTCGTCTCGACTCAATCCTTAATTGCCCTAAGCCGAGCCCGGCAGCTGCCGTTTTCGGCACCTGGTTGCTGAGACCCGCGTTGTCAGGTACCTAGAGTAGGTAACTATCAGAAACCACCGAAGGAGAAAAGATGCAATGGAGCAAGCCTATTTTTTTTTACCTTGCCTTATAGCGGCCGCCCTCAGCATCTGCTGCGCTTGCTGTGTCTGTTGTGTGATGATGTTTATCCAGATCAGAGACCCACTGTCTTCTTCTATGCGTACGTACGTATTAGTCTGGTAGAAGGATGGATGATGAAGAGACCAGGAGAAAGTCTGCCGCGCCTCTGGCTGAGGTGACTTGATGTTTCCTTATCGGGAGAAGGCAACCGCGTCATCGATGTCGCACACAAATGGGATCCCGCCCATAGTGTACATCAGCAAGCGGGCTTTGGGATTCGCAACCTTGAGGAGCATGTACTATTATATGTGACGTTGTGGAACTCATGTGACTGTATATCATGCATGTATGCTACTAGAAGCACACAGCCAGCGGGACGCGCCATCTGTGCGGCGATGCAGGTGCAGCTCACCTAGCCAGCCCAGTCCCCTGTGTGGCGTACCTATGGCGCCCCAGTGACACATGCCACTCACTGGAGCCTGCGTCCAATGGTCGGCAACAGCTCCACACTTTGGCGGAATGGCGACAGCTTGGTGTGGCCTGTTGCAGCTACGACCGGTACCCCCAACGTCTATCGCGCCTGCCCTGGATTGTCAGGAACAGTGACCACGGCATGCAGTAATTAGGTAAGTAGACACAGCATGTACCTACCTCAACTGGCCCTGTGTGCTACCGTGGGTCCACATTTGCTTTTTCCCTAATCTGGCCCGAGAGAGAGTTGGTTCTACCTCCAGTGCGGATCATCGTCGCTAACTTCCCCTTTGCTGGGCAGGACCACGTTCAATTCATTCGACTCGTCCGATGTATTATCATGTTCGGCATATTCGCCCAATTCGCATTTTTTCATATCCCCTCTCGGGGGTAGTTGGGGAATGTCCAGCACGTACACTAACTGGCAAGCGTCGTCTCTCACCATCGTCCCGGGACGCGCCAACAAAATCCCAGCCCCGACTTGCCGGGATTACCATCATGGCAATTTCTTCCCTGTTGTGGATCTGCAAACTACCTACCTACCCGTGTACTGGTGGTGTACAAGCTTAGGGATGTGGTGTATGGGAGTAAGTACTTGACTCCCTACCAATTTCCTCCCTAATAGGCTGGTATTCGCTCTTGTCTGATCTGCCGCTGCTCTTGTACAGGGCACGTACTGGTGCTCACTCTCTCGCTGGTGGTGGTGTGCCATCGACCAGCATTCGAGACTACACTATCTCGACCAGCACTCGCTTTTATTATTGTTTTAATTTTCGTCTTCACCCACCGCTGTATGCTTCCCCTGTGGCCCCCTTCTGCTGTTCTTTGCGGAATTCTCACACATCCTAGCGGCTTCTCTGCTTGCTTCCCCCCGCCACCCCCAAATCCAGAGGAAACTCGTCGTGCCTGAGGTCCTTAAGCTGCTTCGTCCCAACCCAGCTGTGGGGCCTCCAGATCCATTCCCATCCAAAAAGGTACTTGGCTGCCCGTTGTATCGCGAGGTTCTTATTTTTATTGCTCCTCTCTTTTATCTCTCTCACTCTTCCTCCTCTCCCACTTCCCCCCCTTCTTTTCCTCCTCCCCCCCCCCTTGCAAGGCCTCCTCTTCAACAGGAACTGAGCAACCAATCCACTCTCGCCCTTCCGAGCAGAGCACTTCAACGGCTCCTTGCGACTTCGGCTCTCCGCGACCACCATCCTCGATCTCCGATACTGTGTCGCAATCCTTTTTAATTAACCCCCCCTTTTCCAAAAGTTGACCCTCGTGCGTGAAGCTTGGAAGTCGTCAACTAGTTGTGTGAGTTTTGAACACTATAGACGTCAACGGCGTCTGCTTCTCAACCGGTACGACCCTCCTCTCTCCAATTGGCGGCGAGCGAGCGCATCCCCCACAGATCGTCCGCGTCGCCAAAATTCCTCAACCCAAATTCCTGCTCCGTTTCCTCCCCTTCTCCCCCTCGACGTCTACTTGCGCACTTAACCCCCTCGAGGACCGACATTATGAACCGTTTGCTGGCATCGATTGCTGACTTCTGAAACTGCAGGATTCGTCTCGTTTTCTTCTCTTCGGCCGTTATACCCCAATGCCTTCCTAATAGACCATCTCGATACACCGCAACTTTCGCCATGATATCCTCAACACTTCTGCCCCGCCGCTTTCGCGGTGAGCAGCCCGCCGTGCCGCCCGCTGCTCCCTCCTGGGTAAACAAGAAGATCACGCCCGCCCTCAAGTTCCTCTCCAAGCTCGCCTGCTCTCACCCGATCCACACCGTCGTCATTGTCGCAGTCTTGGCCAGCACCTCGTATGTTGGTCTGCTGCAGGAGAGCTTGTTCGATGCCACCATTAGCGTCCGTACCGCCGATTGGTCCTCCCTTCTCGAGGGCAGTCGGATACTCCACGCCGGCCCCGAGACGTCGTGGAAATGGCAAAACGTCGAGCCCGACGCCTCCATCTCTGGCGAAGTCGACCATCAGGCCCTCCTGACCCTCGTCTTCCCCGACTCTCAGTCTCCCGAGTCCGCCAACACCGCCCCACGCACCCATGCTGTCCCGATTCCTCAGAACTTGTCCATCACCTCGCTGCCTTCCACCTCCAACTCCCTGACGAGCTACTCTCAGGACAGCGCCCTCGCCTTCTCCGTTCCCTACTCCCAGGCCGCCGAGTTCCTATCTGTCGCCCAGGAGATTCCCGATGCTACTAGCGACGAGATCGAGACCAAGCACGGAAAGGAGAAGAAGATGTGGATCATGAAGGCCGCCAAGGTTCACACCCGCAACAGCTTTGTTCAGTGGGCTCGCAATGGCTGGACCGAGTTCCTTGACCTCCTCAAGAACGCTGAGGCTCTCGACATCTTCATCATGGTCCTCGGCTACCTCTCGATGCACCTGACCTTTGTCTCTCTGTTCCTCTCCATGCGCCGCATGGGTTCCAACTTCTGGCTCTTCACCAATGTGCTCTTCTCCTCCGTCTTCGCCTTCCTGTTTGGCTTGTTCGTCACTACCAAGCTTGGTGTGCCAATCACCATGGTCTTGCTCTCCGAGGGCCTGCCTTTCTTGGTTGTGACTATCGGCTTCGAGAAGAACATCGTTCTGACCCGTGCCGTTCTTTCTCACGCCATCGAGCACCGCAGGCCGCTGGCCAGCAAGGAGGACAAGAAGTCCAACAAGTCGGACGTTTCATCCCCCAACGTTATCCAGTACGCTGTCCAGGCCGCCATCAAGGAGAAGGGCTATGAAATCATCAAGGACTACGCCATCGAGATCGGCATCCTCGTCTTAGGTGCTGCCTCGGGTGTCCAGGGCGGGCTGCAGCAGTTCTGCTTCCTCGCTGCGTGGATTCTCTTCTTCGACTGCGTCCTCTTGTTCTCCTTCTACACTGCCATTCTGAGCATCAAGCTCGAGATCAACCGTATCAAGCGCCATGTCCAGATGCGTCGCGCCCTCGAGGATGACGGTGTCAGCCACCGCGTCGCCGAGCACGTTGCCAAGAGCAACGATTGGCCCGAGTTCAACGGCAAGGCCCCCAAGGAGGCTTCCCTGTTCGGCAAGCAGATGAAGAGCAGCAACGTACCCAAGTTCAAGGTCCTCATGGTCAGCGGCTTTGTCCTGATCAACGCCATCAACATTTGCACCATTCCCTTCCGAAACTCCAGCTCTCTGCCCAGCCTGGCTTCCCTCACTGGCGGCCTGAGCGCCGTCGTGACCGCCCCTCCTGTCGACCCCTTCAAGGTCGCCTCGAACGGCCTAGACTCCATCTTGGAGTCTGCCAAGGCAGGCGAGCGCCCGACCGTCGTCACTGTTCTTACCCCTATTAAGTACGAGTTGGAATACCCCTCTATCCACTACGCCCTTCCTTCGCCTGCCAGCAAGTCTGGCCACAAGCTCGACGATGAGTATGACCACTTCGACAGTTACGGCGTTGGCGGCCGCATGGTTGGCGGCATCTTGAAGAGCCTGGAGGATCCCGTTCTTTCCAAGTGGATCATCGTTGCTTTGGCCATGAGTGTCGCCCTGAACGGCTACCTTTTCAACGCGGCGCGATGGAGCATCAAGGACCCCAACGTTCCCGACCAACAGATCGATCCCAAGGAGCTGGCCCGCGCCGAGAAGTTTAACGATACCGACTCGGCCACCCTGCCCCTTGGCGAGTACATCCCTCCCACTCCGAAGCCCGTGACGCCGGCCAGCACCGACGATGAGTCGGAGCTGGCCATGACCCAGACCAAGTCCTCCGACGAAGCGTCAAGTCCCGTTGAGAAGCGCACTATTGCTCAGCTGGAGAAGATGATCGCCGAGAAGCGCGTCCACGAGATGACGGACTCGGAGGTGGTCACCATGTCCCTCCGCGGCAAGATTCCCGGTTACTCTCTTGAGCGCGCGCTCAAGGACTTCACTCGTGCTGTCAAAATCCGCCGCTCCATCATTTCCCGCACCAACGCCACCTCCGACCTCACCAACGGCCTCGAGCGCTCCAAGCTCCCGTATCAGAACTACAACTGGGAGCGCGTTTTCGGCGCCTGCTGTGAGAACGTTATTGGTTACCTGCCCCTTCCCGTCGGTGTCGCCGGCCCTCTTGTCATCGATGGACAGAGCTATTTCCTCCCCATGGCTACTACGGAGGGTGTCTTGGTTGCCAGTGCCAGTCGCGGCTGCAAGGCCATCAACTCTGGCGGCGGTGCTGTCACGGTTCTTACTGGCGACGGGATGACTCGTGGACCTTGTGTCAGCTTCGAGACCCTCGAGCGCGCTGGTGCTGCCAAGATCTGGCTCGACTCGGAGGCTGGTCAGGCCACCATGAAGAAGGCCTTCAACTCGACTAGCAACTTCGCTCGTCTCCAGTCCATGAAGACTGCGCTCGCTGGCACTAACCTGTACATCCGCTTCAAGACGACCACCGGTGACGCCATGGGCATGAACATGATTTCCAAGGGTGTCGAGCACGCTCTCTCCGTCATGGCATCCGAGGGCTTCGAAGACATGAGCATCGTTTCGGTCTCTGGCAACTACTGCACAGACAAGAAGGCTGCCGCTATCAACTGGATCGACGGACGTGGAAAGAGCGTTGTTGCCGAAGCCATTATCCCCGGCGATGTTGTCAAGAGCGTGCTCAAGAGTGACGTCGACACCCTCGTCCAGCTCAACGTTGACAAGAACTTGATTGGATCCGCCATGGCTGGTTCGGTCGGTGGATTCAACGCTCACGCCGCCAACATTGTTGCCGCCATCTTCCTTGCTACGGGCCAAGACCCTGCGCAGGTTGTGGAGAGTGCCAACTGTATTACCATCATGAAGAAGTGAGTCTACCCTTTCCATTTGCTGTGACATTCAGTAAATACTGACCTTGCCCAGCCTCCGCGGCTCTCTTCAAATTTCCGTTTCCATGCCGTCTCTCGAAGTCGGTACCCTCGGCGGCGGCACCATCCTTGAGCCCCAAAGCGCCATGCTTGACATGCTCGGCGTTCGCGGCCCCCACCCCACGACCCCAGGCGAGAACTCGCGCCGTCTTGCTCGTATCATCGCTGCCGGTGTCTTGGCTGGTGAGCTGTCGCTGTGCAGTGCGTTGGCGGCTGGCCACCTGGTAAGGGCTCACATGCAACACAACCGTTCTGCACCGCCTACGCGGAGCTCAACTCCGGCTCCGGCCAGCGGTAGCATGACACCCGTCGGCCTGGCCATGACCAGCACCGCCGAGAAGGCGGCCAGCAAGAGTGCGGCGGCGGTTGAGCGGGCGCGTCGTTGAGTTGGATGAGTTGCTGTATATAGGCAAAACACGATACGAAAACATAATTACGGAGTTTTTCAAAGGGAATAGAGCAAGCAACTCATGGCGATTAACATGCAGAATTCTCGCATACGCTGTATTGTGCTTTCTGTAGCAGGAGGAGGAAGAAAATCATGCCCCTCGCGAAAGGGTGCGCTGGCCACGCCAGCTTATATGTATGTAGAATCAGATACATAAGAGCTTCTTTTGTCCTCGTCTGTTTGGTCTAAAGCCTATCCGGGCATCGATGATTCCTCACGGTCGTCCGGGTGGGGTGCGTTTTGGGGTCTTTTGATGATCAAAAAAGGCCCTTGATGGCATGTCTACTTCAAGATCACTTACAGACTTGTTTGCAGACTTGTTTGCATCTTGATCGCCTTGACTAGGTAGTAAGTATTCAGGATACCTGGGAACACAAGCAGAACGAAAGAGTGTCGTATAATTATTTCCTTTTATGTAAGGTTAATCTACTCAAGTCTTAATCGACCGCCTTGTCACTCTGACCCAAAAGTCTCTGGCGACGAAGAAAATGGCGCTGAGTGTTTTGATTGGTCTTTCCGGATTCATGACAGCGAAGTCGTATCTTCTCAAGAGCTGGTTTTGGTCAGTAGCTCACCGATCATGCGCAACCAGGCGCCAGATTACTCACCTCGACGAAGACCTTGTTGAGTTCCATAATGGCGATGGGCTTTCCAAGACACGAGTACTTGCCGTGGCCGAAACTCGTGTCCAGAGCAGCATTCATCCTTCTCAGTTCATCCTTGTCCGCGCCGAGCCACCGTTCCGGCCGGAAGACATCGGCGTCGGAGCCCCAGACCAACAGCGAACGCCCGACACCGAAGAAGTTTTGTCCTACCTGCGTGCCGCCGGGGACGAAGTAGCCGTTGAGCATGTCGCCGCCCTCCGGCGTCTGCTTGAAGCCGAGACCCGTGACCGGGGGGTAGAAGCGCAGACCTTCGTGGATGACGGCCTGGAGGTAAGGCAGCTTCAGGGCTTCGGCGTTGGTGATCGGGGCGCTGATGGCGCCGGCCGCAATGGCGTCGTCGATTTCCTGCTGGAGCCGGCGATACGCGACGGGATTGTTGATCAAGCAAAGCAGAGTCATGCGCATGGCTTGCGCTGCCGAGTTTGTTCCGGCAATCCTGAAGGATGAAGATGAATGACTGGCTTGAGCGCTACGGATTTGGCTCGGGACTTACATGTGGATGTACACAAGCTGGATGAGCTCATCACGGTTCAGGCCCTGGTTGATGAAGGCTTGCATCATGTCCTTTTGCGGCTTCGCTCCCGGTTGGAGCCTCGATTCAGCGTAGTTCCTGGCAAACCTGTGCGTCGTGTCAGTTGTCCGCTGCGGTCGCATCACTCTGATGCGGGCACGTAATGGAGAGCTGCGCCGAGAATGGTGCACTCACCCCATCAAGCGGCCGAAGCCGAGTTGGTCGCCTTCGCTCGGCAGCATCAAACGGAAAGGCCATCTGTGGACGAGCCGGCCCAGCCAGGGAAGCACCGAGACGACATTCATCACGGGGAGAGACGACTCGTTGATCTCGATGTACCGGAACAAGTCCCGGTCGGTGGCGAGGAAGCCGAAAGGGCCGCCGAAGGAAACGTCGCCGATGGCGTCGAGGGCAAAGAACTGCGTCTTCTCGGCGAGGTCCAGCGGTCGGAAATCCGAGTCCGTGGACACGTAGTGCTGGTCTATGAGTCGGATGAAGTTCATCAGCTGGCGGTCGATGCCCGTCTCGAAGCCGAAGCCTTCGTTCTCTTTGGCAGCGTACTGGAATATTGTTTGACACTGATCAGCTACAGAAACTCGGAACGGCGGCCCTGTGGTGGGAGCAAATGACTTACGGCCGGAGCCATGCGTGCCCTCATGGCTTTGTGTTCATTTTCATCCCGCATCGAGACGACATTGTCGACGCCCGGGGTGATGCGGCCGGAATCGTAAAAGTCGCCCTTGGTGTACGGCGACCGGACGGCGGATATCTTGCGCAGCGAATCCGGGTCTGTGCAAAGCAGCTCATTTGGGCCGATGCGTGCGAGGGGCCCTGGAACGATTGATCGACGGTTAGCGTCCGTTCTTCTCTCTCTCTCTCTCTCTGTCTCTGTCTCTGTCTCTGTCTCCCTCCCTCCCCCTATTCTGAGGGTAGTGAGCAGGGCCAACAGAATCACATGATGGGTAGCGTATTCCATGGACCCAGAGTGTTGGTGTTGACTGAGTAAGAGAATCCGTACGCTGTGGGATACGAGGTCAACTCACCATACTTCCTGGCAACGTCGTTCAAATGCTCGTGGTATGTGCCTCCGATGGCCTTCTTCAGTTGCCACAAGACTGAGACAGAGGCAACAAAGGGTCCGGGGATTTTTCGCAATCGGTACCACGACCGAAACTCCCACACGAAGAAGGCGATTACGGCGACCAGGGCGACCAGCTTGACCAGTAGCAGGCTCGATAGATTCGAGCAAGAAGCGGATTTGTAGTCGCCGATACCCTCTGTTAAGGAGCGCACACCCGCCATTTCTTGGAATCCTCCGTCGCTCCTTGTCGTCTCGCTCAGGCCCTTCCCTCCCGGCAGCTGCAACAGCTCGTCGAGTCAGCCGTTAGCCCCGACTGCGTCGCTCGCTCGCGTGCTTGGATCACGAGTGCCGGAGCGCTACACACGGTTCAGTGACACGAGGAACGCTGGGAAAGTGGCAAGGCAGGCAGTGGTTTCGTGGTTGTCGCTTTTCCCTCCGGTCCCGGGTTGTCCCCGCGTTCGATGCTCTCCAGGTCAATTCTCTCGGTCCCAAATCAGAATAATCATCCGTGTTCTCTGTCGTCGAACTTAATTCCCCTTTCGTATGTATGTGTTGGTCCGTTGCACCCCTCCCCTCCCCCCCCCTGTTGGGTTGTTGGTCGGTGTTGATTTCTGACCAATTCTGTCACTATTTCTTTTCGCCGACCCGACAGTTTGGTAACGAGTGGGTAAGAAAGAGGCACAGATGACAGCACAGTGCAGTAGCGAGACTCAATTGTAGTATGTAGGTAATCCAGGTCCGGAGCGTACGGTGTGGGAGGACGCAAGACAACAAACAATACCAAGCAAGCGCGGGCCCGGTGAACTTTGTATGACAGAGGACTGACTGGTGAGAGCAGTAAACGCCGAGTGTGGAGGGAGCGAAAGATTAGAACATGTGGGAGCAGTAACTCTTTATCGATGAAAGTTCCGACAAGTGCCCATGACCAGACGCTGAGGAACCGAACATGCTCCCCCCCCCCCCCCCCCCCCCAGGAGAGACCAAGTCAAATAAGGAGGGTAAGCAAGCCGGGGGCAAGCCTGGATCGAGCTAAATCCTTCCACTCAGACGCAACGCTAGGTGAAGGATGGGAAGGATGGGATGCACACGGCGCCTCGGGGTTCTCTCATCCCGACTCGGTTCTGTAGACTGAGTAGCTTCTTCGGGCGAGTGGGCTGAACAGCAGGTCATGGAGCTGATCGAAGACATGTTAAGATTAATGCAGTCAATAAGCTTCATAATGGGCCAAGGTGGCTGGGCTGTACAAGGCAGTGAGACTCTCTAATCGCCGTAGCATCGACGACCGCCACACCTCCGATCCCTTGGAAGTCTGGGCCTCCTCCATGGCTCAATGTCTTTGTCCATGTTGCTTTGTTTCCGCCCAGGCGGGCCCAACTCCAGACGTGAACAAACAAATGCCTTTACTACTAATCAGCGGAAGCCCAAGTACAGAATGGCCTCACCTTGGCTGGGCAAGCAGGGCACACACCGTCTCCCGAGTCCCATATGCACGTTGACAATGCAGGCTGTTGAATGGCAGCCGGCGACAAGCACTATACCATCTCACCGGTCACCCCATCCTACCTCCCTTCGACGCCTCATATGCTCATTTAGGTCCAGGCTCATCACCATCCTTCTACAATTTGCTCGCCTACGGACGCCCTACTGTTGCTCATGCTACCGTGACACCCCCTGCCCCCTCCCCTACTAACTAGTTCGTCCCGACCTTGCACCTGTTACTTGTCAGGTCGCATCGAGAACTGCGCTAGAATGAAACCCATGCGGTCATGGCCCCAAGCTCCTGCGACTGGGGTGCAATTCTTGGGCAACGGCCGCTTAGCCTGATTCATATGACTCTGTCTGTATTCTGCATCCGTTAGAACCTGAGATAACGCCGTCCTATCACTGAGGCCAAATCCCTCAGATATCCCCTTCGACGGCTAATTGCTAGTTCGCTCGATTCAATCGCTTCTGCATTCGATATGATGCAGTATTCCCAAGTCGCAGAACTAGCCAGCATAATTGAAAGCTGACATAATCACACCAATGAGACTGCCACACTCAGCGTCAGAGCTAGGTGCCATAAGAAGCTAGGTGTGCCACAATAAAAGACACCTACTAGGAGGCATTTATTATGTATCGTTTCATATGCTATCTATCCCCGTCCGGAATTGTGGCAAAAACACACCAGTCAACCTCGTGGCCTGATTGTTTGCTGCTTGCTTGCTGCTTTGAGTAACAAACACAGCGGAGACACAAACAGCAAAAGGATGGACGATCAGGGAATCGAACCCTGGACCTACCGCATGCTAAGCGGTCATTATACCACTAAACCAATCGCCCATGTGGTAATGATCTAGCCCGGACTTGAACCGGAGACCTTCAGTGAACCAGACGAGAGGGGTGAAGCCCTCGACTTGTTAGACTGACGTGATAACCAACTACACCACCAGACCATGTTGTTTGATGGCTGGGTGGAAAAGAAGCGGCAACTTGAAGGTCCGGCAGTGGGTAGGTGTCGAACGTTTGACGACGATGTGTGGAGAGCATCGTGAAGCGAGGGTGGGGCTGGAGCAGAATTCTCACCCGTATTGACCTTGTGGGGCACGCAGGGTCTAAACTTAATGCATGCATTGTCAAACTAAGTTGACCGTGGACTTTGATTTCGATCCATGCTGTCACAAGATATACGATCGAGGCGTTGCATACCGGCCGTATTTCATAGCGACGTTCTTGTGATGACATATGTCTAGTTCAATGTTAGATCCCTCGACTGTGCAGCCCCTCATTACGCCAGTTGGCCTCAATTGTGACGAAGAATGAGAGTGTTGGCCTTGACGCGCTTCAGTCCGCATACCTCGAGAGCATCCGCCTTCTTGAACAGCTGCCTCCAAGCATCAACAGGCCTTTCTTTAGCACCGAGCGGTGCCGTCATTGTCGGATCGTTCGAGCCTTGAATATCGGGTCTCGGCCAACTAGAGCGGATCCTGTTGATCTATGTATAGTTGGACGGCAAATGTTTAATGCAAACAGGGTTCACGGGTGAGCAATACCCCTCAAGTCTTGTGGTATGTGGGTGTGATATAATTAACAGTCAGCAAAGGCCTGCTTCGATGATACAATCTTACCGTGAAACTGTCGACGTGACCCAATGTCTCTTCGGTATGTGAAGGAAATGTTCCACTCCAACCTGAGCTCCCAGGTCGTTTCTTGTATGTTCAACCGGTAGAATAACCTTTCACCTTTTTAGGTTTCCGTTTTGGAAAGCTCCACTACGGGGAGATTCCATGTTTGACGAAGCAGCCATATCTGATGGAGAGGACCAGGTCTGAAGCTTGATTCTGCAAACGAAAATGGGTAAGGTCACTCCTTGTAAGCTGGTTATGCTCCAATTCCCGTCGCCTTGGACTACTCTCGCTCATATTTCGTCAGTTTTGGTTATCTTGTTGCAACAGGGAAAAAAAAGCTCTCGCGGACCGGAAATGTTGCCTTGGGGTCTTTGCTGAAGAATTACGCCTGAGAGGTAACAGACTGAGAGTGTCTAGGTAGCACATAGCAGCATTATCTGCGAAATATAATACGCCATAGGCGAATGTACTAGAGAATATACAGTTTGATCGTCTGGTTATGTTGTCCCCATCAAAGTCTGTGAGTTGTTGAAAGACCACCGAATGCTGTGTGATTTTGATCTTGCCAACTTGTCTCACAATGTCTCTGAAGAGCTTGCCAAACCTTACTCCTCATCCTCCTCATCCTCCACCAGCTCATCGTCCGCCGCCTCAGAAGCAGCAGTGTCACGCTTGGCGATGTCCTCCTCCTCATCTTCCTCCTCGTCTGCTTCCTGGGTAGCAGTGATGTCACGCTTGGCCACCTCGTCCTCCTCATCCTCCTCATCCTCCAGCTCATCATCCGCCGCCTCGGAAGCGGCAGTGTCACGCTTGGTGATGTCATCCTCCTCCTCATCTTCCTCCTCGTCTGCTTCCTGGGTAGCAGTGATGTCACGCTTGGCCACCTCGTCCTCCTCATCCTCCTCATCCTCCAGCTCATCATCCGCCGCCTCGGAAGCGGCAGTGTCACGCTTGGTGATGTCATCCTCCTCCTCATCTTCCTCCTCGTCTGCTTCTTGGGTAGCAGTGATGTCACGCTTGGCCACCTCATCCTCCTCATCCTCCAGCTCATCATCCGCCGCCTCGGAAGCGGCAGTGTCACGCTTGGTGATGTCATCCTCCTCCTCATCCTCCTCCTCGTCTGCTTCTTGGGTAGCAGCGATGTCACGCTTGGCCACCTCATCCTCCTCCTCCTCCTCTTCTACCTCTCCCACCGCCTTGGGAGCGGCAGTGTCACGCTTGGCGATGTCATCCTCGTCCTCATCCTGTGTGAGTTGAAGATCCCGATACAGGAGGCTCTTCGTCGACTTGGCACCTGCGGGGCTCTCCTCGGCGAGAGCGGCAATAGCAGCGTTGAGCTCGTCCTTGCGGGCGATGATATTATTGAGGGGCGCAGCCATGGCTACGGCAACCAGGGTAGTGAATGCAAGAGTGAAACGCATGTTGACGGTAGTGAATTAGTTGAAGAAACTGTTAAACCGGAGGTTGATTCGAAGGAGAATAGCTCTAGAGTGGAATAATTCAAGTTGTTAGCAGGCTGATATAGGGATAGCCTGGGTGTTGTAAAGAACGAAGTCGCTGGTTAGAAAGACAATCAGTAGACAGAGAAAGGACAAGCTTGGGTATTTATAAGAAGTAAGAGTATCCTCAACACTCTTTACTTTATATTTCCTCTATTATAGAGGTCATATATATATAAGATGTTTATATTTATAATCTACTATACTAGTAGATTAATGTCACAGGTCAACTGCGGCCAACCTCGGACCCACTTTACGGCCTTGCCGGTAGATCCATCGGTTAGGCCGATAGCCTGCCAACTAGTGGGTCCTAGTGAGTACCCCACTTGTCCCTACCTGTTAACAGGCTATAAGATAGCCGCTACCAGCCATAGCTCTAGCCCTCAGATACTCAACTAATCTATTACCTATCTAACTGTATTAATTAATATATATTATAATTATGTAAGTATATCTAAATATATAATTAACTAAAGCTAGGAGAAGGTTCTATAACATTAAAGATCTCTTAAGATCCTACCTTTTAACTTTCTTAATTTAATAAGATTACTAGGACTTCTACTTATAATTATTTTAGTTATATAACTATAAGGTTAACTTATAAGCAGCTTACGTAAGTATAGAAGATTCTAGTAAGCTAGATATATCTATATAAGGGCTAGATTTCTTCTATTTATAGTTTCTATCTTTCCTTCTCTAAGTAAGTACGGAGTAAAGTAGTATTAAATATACTAATTATTATACTCTCTCTATATAGAAGTGTCTCTTATATTTTTTATACTCTTATATTCTCTATCCCTTATATCCTATATTCTTGCTTCTATAGGGTATACTACTATATAAGAGATATACTCTCTTATATTCTATTAGGCTGTTAATTCTTTATAAGAGAGCTAAGCCTTCCTGTTGTGCTAACAGTATTTTAACTCCCACGACCAAAAGGTGACAAGCGATCCGGTGCATTCCACCCCCTTCGGCAAGATCGAAGGGTCTTTCCACGCACGCTGATGCTTCAGAACCGGTTGTTGGAAATCGAATGACACGTCACTGACGGCCTCTTGACAGCGCAAGCTCCATTCTCTTGTCACAACACGCGGCCTCTGCCTCGCATGCTCGAATGATTCTGGGCAAAAGGCTATTGATCAGGAGGCGTTTGATGTCGGGAGCATCGTGGACGTGTTTTAGATATCGGGCGAATCGCATCCCTTGCTCCTCGCGGGAAGCCTTGTACAAGGGTTACGCTTTGGTCGGCAGATGGGAGCCGAGCCAAGTTCGTTCGAGGTGAAGAAGATCGGCCAGTAGGGTGGCGCCCCCCCACATGGAGCATACATGGGTTGAAGGGGGACGAAAGATCGGGTGAAGCGATACTTGTCAGGAGTCTACCATGTAAGGTGCCGTGCGAAGAGGCTCATGTCTGGTATTCCAAGCAGTGCTCGGACGGCGGCTGCGGACATGGTATTTCCTCCTCGCATGATTTAGGAAAGCTGTGGTCAACCTAAAGACTTCAAGTGTTCAGTCGCTGAAGCTAGGCCCAGCTCATCAATTGGATATGGCGTTTACTACTGGCGTTGTAAGCGGTGACCGTTTCCTCTGGATCTCTCTCTGGGTCTATGAGTGTTCTGATATGATGGCAACTGCTGCAGGCGAGCTGCACAGGCCGCTACCAGTTGTCTCTTGAGAACAAACCGCATCGTTGGGAGATCCGGGGTGCTGCTTGGATTTGGCCGATCACCAAGCTCCCTTGTGAGAAACAAAGGAGCTTCCTGATACGTCTCAATAAGGGCCCGATCCGGCCCTCCCGTTTCGATTTGCGTCTGGGATTTACCCACGCTTGTTGCGCAAACTGCTTCATTCCGTGGCCGGGATTACATGTTTTTTTTGCGTGGCCGCAAGTCATCGCTTATTTTAGAGTTTATTACCGGATACCTTGCGTATTTTGTAGTCAAGGCTATTATGAAAGGTGACTCACTGCTTGCACACAATATTGTTGGCGCGGCGGAGGTGCCGACAGCACATGTAGAGTTGGCGACCAAGCTGGTGACGCAATGAGGATGACGCCGTCAGTAGGATAGACGTGATTAGGTTAACATGTACAGGATAGGGCAATCTTTCCAAGCCATTTCGACTATTCTACGTCAACCGCTGATGTTTGATCATAGTCGCCATCACGTATTCTTCGACTTGGTTGGCAGGCGATATTCCATGCCCACCGTCACGCTGCCGAACCAGAGCGCCAACTTGTCCACAATAAGGTTCTTCCTCCCGTACCAAGGCCCCTGGTTTGTTACGACTGGCATCCGGCCATGCGCTCGTTTGAAGTAGTTGGAGGTAGCATCGACACATGGTAACCTGGGTGAGCTTCTCTTCTCCTCCTCCGACAAAATCGGCGTGGCGGATACAGCGCCAGTCTTCTTCATCTGCTTGATAACACGGATGAACAGCCGCGACATGGTGTCAGCCCCGGGGGTCCAGGTTTGCGTGACGTAGCCGATGATGGCTGCCGCATTGGGAACTCCGTCAAGCATGCACCCGCGCCAGCAGTACTTCTCACCGACCTTGACTTGAACGCCATCAACTGTCACGTCGGTGCCGCCAAGGAGCTGAACATGCAGGCCCGTCGCAGTGACGATGATGTCAGCAGGCAGGTGTCGCCCGGATTTTGTGAGGATACCATCATTTGTAACAGTCTCGATGTGATCCGTGACAATTTCCGTGTTGGGCAGATGAAGAGCCTTGAAGACGTCTCCATCAGGACACATGTTGAGACGTTGCTCAAAGGGGTTGTAATTGGGCTTGAAGTGAATGTCGACCGGGTAATCCTTGGGTAGCCGGCGTTGGGCATCGGATCTGAGAAACTTCTTGGCCGTGGTGGGAAAGTTCAAGACAACCTGGATGAAGAACGTCTCTAACAGAAGGTCCTTCAACAGAATGAACCAGTTGGCCACGAATAACGGGAGAAATTTCTTGACTGTCTTGTCCGTCGCCGACTCGGGTGCCATGGCAAAGACGTAGGATGGACTGCGCTGGAGAATCGTGGTGTGTCCGGCGATTTTGGCCATATTAGGGAATAGCGTCATGGTCGTGGCGCCAGACCCGATGAGAATGACGCGTTTTCCGGTATAGTCAAGGTCTTCGGGCCACCATTGGGGGTGAATTGTCTGGCCCTCGAATTTCTCAATGCCGGGAATGTGTGTATCGAGCGCCTTATCGTACGAGTAGTACCCAGAGCACACAAATAGGTATTTGGCCTTGAACTGCTTGTTCCCTTGAGGCGTTGTGCAGTTGAGTGTCCATCGTGCTTCGTCGCTGTCCCAGGTCGCTGCTAGGGCCTTGTGTTGGAGCCGGATATGCTGGTCGAGGTTCTGCGTCTTGACCGCGTCTTCAATGTAGGCCGCAATGGGGCCGCCTCCGATGATCTTCTTGTCGTGAGGCCAGGGATGCCACCCGAAGCCAAAGTTTGTCATGTTGGAGTCGGAGCGGAATCCGGGATATTTCCAGTAGGACCATGTCCCACCGACCACGTCACGCGCCTCCAGCACTGCGAAAGTGCTATCTGGCAGCTCGGTTCGCACACGGTATGCGGCATTAATACCGGAGATGCCTGCCCCGAGAACGAGAATGTCGAGCTCTTCCGCCATCGTGTGGGTCATTGCTGTTCAGGCTGATGATGATGGCAATTCAATGGTGGAGAAGCTGTGCCGGAATCCGCAATTTAATGTTTTCTGAGGTACGATTTTTCTCGGGGGCGAATAGCGTGCAGAGTTTCTGTTGAGGACGTGCACGCGTCCATCAGATGGTAGGAAGCTTTCACTAGTTGGATTAATTCGCATCCCTTCGGCATGGCGGTGAACGAACAGCCACATGCCGCTACCAGCGCCACAGACAATTCCTCGTCCGTGTCCCCCAGTCACATTGGAAGGAAAGTTGTAAGGCTTGCGTGCGTTGGTGTTGGTGAAATATGCATATGCGAACTTGACTGATGAGCCAAGTATTGCTGTCGTTCTCCCGGAACCCATGCGCATGCGTTGAAACAATCGTTTGATTGCATTCGTCAAGTACAAGACAATCCACTGAGCGCCTCTCGAATTGACTCCACGAGCAGCCATCCCATCCGCCTATGCAGCTGCTTTGCTACCGAGATCTGTATCATCCTAGCAGGTTATCGAAACTATTCAAGCGTGCTTCGTATATCGCTTGATGTAATGGCATGCAAGTCTGTGATCGTGAGGAAGATTGATTTACAATGTAGCCTCGAGGGCCTAGGATTCGAGTCATGGTTTGGATGTGTCGTGATGCCTTCGGCACCGTGCGGGCCCCGCGCAAGATTTCTCCGGGGGGCTGGAGAAAATATTGATCCGGTTTGGCCCCACACGGGCTGACCCACTCGTAGATACGTATTTCTTCTCACACATAGATAGTCAAGCCGTTTTCCTATGCGCTTTCCTACCCAAAAAGTGCCTCTACGACCGTTTATGGTAGCTATTGCTGCATGTATGGTTGAGTAAAACGGGAAGAATAAGATTGATTGCCCCTTTCTACTGAAATAAGGTTGTGGGTGTTGAAAGTGAAGACACAGCTGACAAACATTTCCTGATGTGACGCTGACTATGTTATTCTGGGGTAATAGATTGATTACTTAGGCCAAGTGTCTATAGAGCTTACAGATAACCACGATGTGTCAAAATCTAGACTAGTCTTAAGCAATGTGAGCATGCATAGCACATAGAAACATCCTACTATATGTGCCCGAGGTAGATATACTCGAAATCTCTCCAAGTCTATCAGGATCAGCTAATGAGGTGAATCATCGCCGTCACTTATCGTATACTAAGAAGCTCGAGTCCAGGTTCGATCTCATTGGATTATCCGAAAACTCCCTAAAAACCCCCGAGTCTGTCAGGATCACACCTTTTGACGAGGTCAAGGGCTCAATCACACGGTCTCTAGACATCCCTACATTCCTATCCACCAAGACCACTTGTCGTTGATGCCTAACGCCGACAGCATTGGCTCACGTCGCTCCCTTACACACATCTCCGTCATTCGGGCCACGGGGTTAGGTCTAATCTTGCCGGGTGAGCGGGGTACGCATCTTGGCTCGACAGTGGAGGGGTTGATGTTCATACAGAACACTTTGTGGGGTATTCTCATTTTTAGCAGCATCAAATCGGATCGGAGCCCGATGGCCGGGAGTGCGCGCAGAAGCAACGAATAGATCTGCCATCGCAAAGATTAAGCCAAACGGGAAAGTTTATCCCAGCTGCGTGCTCAATTTAACATTTGCCCGACAGGATCCCACATTGAAATGCGGGGAAGTCATCGAATCGTGTACGATCCCGGCCCGGTGTGTTCGGGGATGACTCGGGAACTTGTATCGTCAAATCGCCCAGCGGCGTTGGTAGAGGAGAGCGGCCCCAACACTCACGGTGTGACCATGGTATAAAAGTGCGGCTCCTTACTTTATACATATATCAATTTAAACTATCAAGGTTCTCAAATCGTTGTTCGTCTGTGAGCCCGAGCTTTCACTTGTCCAATCTATATCCCCCATGGCTCCAACTCTTCATCCGCTGATCGATAACGGAATTACCAAGGGAGATCCCAACTTCTCTGGCGGCACACTACGATGTCATTGTAGGAGCAAACCAGTGGAGGTCCTGCTTGGAGGCAATGTTGCCCACAACCACGCTTGTGGATGCTCGAAATGCTGGAAGCCCGCTGGCTCCCTCTTCTCCGTCGTCGGCGTTATTCCTAGGGAGCAGGTCAAAGTAACAGCCAACGAAGAGAAGCTCCACATCATCGACGACTCGGCAGTCATTCTCCGAAATGCCTGCAAGGAGTGCGGAGTTCATATGTACGGCCGCATTGAGAAGCCTCACCCGTTCAAAGGCTTGGACTTCGTCCACGTTGAGTTGTCGGATCAAAAGGGGTGGCAGGAGCCTCAGTTTGCGGCTTTTGTGTCGTCTATAATTGAACAAGGGTTCAATCCCAAGGGTACTGATGGAGTGCGGCGCAAGTTCAAATCAGTTGGGCTAGAGACCTATGACACCTTGTCGCCCACGTTGGTGGATCTCATTTCTACGTGGACAGCACAGCAGAATGGCCGACTTCCAGCAAAGCTATAAAGGCATTTGAGGAACTGCAACGAAAGAAGGCCCCACGCAGTCGGGCCAATATTACAACATGAAATCTTGGCGTACCTTCAGATTGAAGAATAAGGAAGGCCTGGCTGAAATAGCAAATCTATTACACAATGCTTCGTAAAAGGAATAACATCGGGTCATATCTCATGTGTATAAACACTCTTACAGCATGAATGGAGTGAGGCGAGGTATCCAGATCAGACCTGGACTTCTACAGTTGCATGTGATAACAAGAACTTTGGGAGCCCTCACCTACCTCACCCTCCGAAGATGCCCTGATGAGTCCGTTTGCTCTGATTGGTGACTGGTGCTATTTGAGGCTGGGTAGGCGAGAAATCTTGTGCTTTTTTAGAGGGTGTTCATTGCTAGTACGCCGCGCACTGCACTGCCGGAGTCCTGTTCCCCTGCACGCTTTCAATATTTTTTAGTTCGGAGCAATCATGCTATTTGATCAGAGGACAAGATAGTTTAGAAGGCACTGTCCACGCCACCAATGGTAATTTGATGCAGAAGAAAAGTCTTAGTTTCAGGGTGGATGTTTCGACTTTTAAAGAAACCAGGACCTCAAGGAAACCACAAGTTAGTTTAACTGTGGTTCGATCAGGCATTGCCGCACAAAGATTTTGCCCTTCCAGAGGTCCAAAGTCTGTGTCGCAGTCTTTGAGCTTGTGAGGGCAAACCCGCAGTGATGAATATTCAATAAATAGGCTCGAGTCACGTAGTTGAATTGAAGACTGAGCGATTTTGTGAAATATGCATTTCATTATGTGCATTTCTATGTGCACGCATCTAGCTAAGAGATTGGCAACTGGTCTGCAAGACCATCGGCCGGGGAATCATTTGACGCGGGAAATAATTATAGCCAACTAGGATCACACCCACTAGTGTGGGAGTTGGACGCAAGACATGGTGGTATGACGACAGAATTAGACCTTCTCAGCAACCTGAGTGGCGTTGGCGTCTCCCTGAGCAGAAGCAGCAGTGGGCTGGTTGGAGCCAAGGAACTTGGTCTTCTTGAGCAAGTTGAGCTCATCCTCCTCAGCGTCCAGGTGGTTGAAGCAGAACCAGAAAGCAATACCACCAACCAAGGCAATGATGGCAACGGAACCGTAGTTCCAAACCAGGAGAGGGTCCTCAGAGAGAGGGGTGAACGCCTGGCCGATAGCGGCAGAGACAGCACTCATGAACAGGTTGACGGACATGACGAGGGACTTCATGTTCTCAGGGGCCTTGGAGAAGGCGTACTCGTACGAGGTGACATTGGTGAAGATCTCGGCAAGACCAATGAGGACGTAGGGGAGACACTGAGCCCAAACGTTGATCGGGGCAGGTTCTTCGCAGAGGGTGGCGTATTCGTTGCAGGGAGACATCTTGTAGATGTAGTGCTGCATGACAGCAGCAGCAACCATGGAGGCGGCGGCAAAGAAGAAACCAGTGGTCATACGCTTGATGGGGGTGAAGTTGAAGCCCATCTTGCGGAAACCCGGGTAGATCAAGTGGTCCAGGATAGGAATCATAATGATGATAGACAGAGGGTTCAGGTTCTGGATAACGTCGTTGGGGGCACCACCGAGAATCATGGAACCAGCCTGCGAGGTCAGGTTGTTGGTCATCTGGTTGTAGGCGAGGAAGAAGACAGGCAGGAAAAGGAAGACCTTGCAGGCCATCAGACCACGGCGAACTTCGTCAACCCAGGCGTCGTCATAAGTCAACCAGCCAGGGCGCTCAGCAACGGGGACGTTGCTGGGCTTGGCGTTCTCCCAGTTCAGCTTGGTGATACCACCGGAGCGCTTGGCAGCGAAACCGGACATCTGGAAGAACTTCTCGAGAACGGAGCCGGTGGGGGGAGTGAGGTGGTAGTTCTTCTTGTTCATGAAGAGGACGACAGGGCAGATGATGAAGAGGATGGTGGGCAGAAGGAATGCCAGCCAGAAGCTGTGGTACTTCTCGACGAAGACCATGGAGATCTGGCCACTGACAGCACCACAGTTGATGGCGAAGTAGAACCACAGGAAGATACGGCTGTTGGTGACGGCGGGGTCAACGATGACGCGCTCGCCCTTCTGGACCTCGACGCGCATGCGGGTGTCCTTGTTCTGCTCAGCAAGCAGGGGAGAGATGTTGGCCTTGAAGAGACCGGTACCGCAGCACAGTGTGAAGAGACCGATGAAGAAGGGGGCAAAGGCGACCTTGCCCTGGGAGAGGACGCTAGGGGCGGCGGAAATGACGAGAATGATGTGGGCAATGGTCGAGACAGCAATGGCGATGTGAATGACCTTGTAGCGACCAAGCTTAGAGTCGGCCAGCCAGCCACTGCGCAAATAGTCAGTTTGCATATTCAAAAACATAGCTAAGGGTAGAAACATACCCGAAGAGGGGGACCAGGTAAGCCCAGAACTGGTTCACCAAAGAAATACCCTGGGAGGCTCTTTGGCCCATACCCAGCGCACCGGCAGGAACGTCGCGGCCGTAGGTAGCACCAGTCGTCGAGCCCTCCGGAAGGGGGCGCATGACGAAGTTGGTGTAGAGGACGGAGGAGCCATAGTAGGAGAAACGCTCGCAAAGCTCAGCAAAGGCAATGGTGTAGATACCCCAGTGGATGGGGCCCGAGACACGGCGGAGGGTGTTGAGCTCCTCTTCCGTAGGCTTGTCCGGGTACTCGTCGTCGGACTTGGAGTCGTAGTACTGGTCGTCAGCGGCAGAGGGGGCAGCGGCAGCAGTAACGTCGAAAGAGCCGCGAATCTCCTTTTCAGTGCCCTGGGCGGCGGCCGCGGGAACGTGGGCCTTGGCCAGGACATCGTCCTGCAGACCTCCGGCGTTACTCATGGTGAGAGCGGGGTTGGGAGACACGAGTTAACGAGTCTTTGACAGCAATTGACAAATGGGTCGAACGAGGACCTGAGCTGTTGGCCGTTGGGTTGGAAAGGCTGCTGATCGCAAGGGAAAGGGGTAAGGGGGAGTTCTCGGAAGAGCATGTTGAAGCAGATGCTTTATATTCCCCAGCAGCTATTTCCCAGCAGCGAGGCAGGTCCATTGCAACTGCATCCGGCAGCTGGTTGGTATCCGCAGATACACAGATGGACATGGGTTGATTACTCTAGCGCATGGAAGTGGAGAGGAGGCCAGGAGGGAGGGATGTGTCATGGATATGGACTCGTGCCAAGCACACACGGACAGGAAAAGGCAACATGGGATGGCTTGGGACGGGCCAATCGATCAACGGGTGAGGGGTCAAGGTTTGCTCCAACCACGACAACAAGGTTCCTCAGCATTCTTGGTGCCATGCTTGTGCAGGTGTGCGCGCGGGGGGCGCCGCCGGGAGTGGAAGTTGATCTCGCGTTGACCGTAACCATCGCCACGGGACGGGAGGCGAAAAGGACTAATACCTAATCGTAGGTCTTCTCGCTCACGCTACCCCTGAGGTGGGTAGCGGGTGCAAAGTGGAAAGCAACGACACACGACACGATACATAGTACATAGTACCCGATTTGGATAGATACTAATATGCATGAGCACTGTCGGAGACGACGCTGAGTTCGGGCGGACGTGGTGTGGGCGCAGGGGGGGGGACCGTCGAAGCAGAGCCGGAGGTGGGCGGTGCACGTAGGATGCAGGGAAAGCCGAATGAGACTTATCTCTACCTACCTAGCCATAGCAACGCACGATCCAACTGGCGAAAGCAGGCTGGACCGAGACAGAAGCCATTTGTGGATGACGGCCAGCTCTAGTCAGGGAGAGACGATGGGACCCCTCCCGATGGGCCTGATGGACCGTGACGGATGGACTCCAGGACAAATGTCCCAATTAGGCAGGTCGAAGGATCGGGGTACCGTCAGTATCAAATAGGCGGCGACGTTGCTACATGCCATGTACCGGTACTGCAATCTGTGTCTGAAGTTGGTAACGGATTACGGACGGGCGCGATAAACACATGCACACTCCTGTTTGACGGATTTGTGGTTTGCAGCTCGCTGTAGAAGATTCCGGCCACATAGCCAAGTTAGACCAACAACTCAGTATCCAGCAGCTTGCAGGACTCTGCCCTGCCCTGCTGGCCATGGCGGAAATCGGCCCAGCGTTGGTGAGAGCTTAACGACACTTACTACGACCAACCTCGGCGGTAACGTTGATCGACCTTGGCATTACCGCCACCGCGCTCGCTCCGGCGCTATCATTGGAGCGTGTGCCGGGCCTAACTCCTGTAACTGTGTTGGTACGAGAAGCTCGTGCGCTCGTTGGCTTCTGTGATGGTGTAATGGTGCAACACGGAGATGGCTACCTACCCGTATTGGCGTCCTCCTCGGTTCGCGGAAGAGTATCAGCCTGCCAATGCTGCCTAGCGTCCCTCCTGCTTTAACCTGCTTCTGGCGCGGCTTCGAGAACAACGGATGAAGGATCCAAGTGGGCTGGCTGGCTGGTGATAACCGAACCGAGACTGCTACCCCAAGCCGTTGATTCGCGGATGCGCCACATACCATGGAATGATTGCCGATGATTAGCTTGCCTCACTGATCGCAACTGGCCATGTCCGGTCATGCAACGTCCTGCCGCTACCGAACCAGACAAATCCATTGGGTATTAGTGGACGGTGTGAAGGCGCAACTCGACATCATCGCTGTGGCATGATACCATACACTTGGCCAAGGTCCGGCAACTGCGCAAGAGTGGGAAGTTGATCTTTGCGGCGGCAGCTCGTAACGATAGACGAATGGCTGCCTGCGGCCTTGGCTTGAGGGATGAGCCGTCTCGAATAGTAAGGTCGAACTTGCGAGCCGATAGTTACCGCATCCTTGCATCACGATGTCGTCCGCTACCACGACAAGTTGACACGTTTGGTCCTGGTGATGCCCTTCCATACCACACTCCCTGCTAATGCGACACCAACGCAGCTCTTCGCTCTTCTTCCCTGGACCTTCCCCAGGTTGCCATCGAGTCGCACCATGCGTAGCTGCGCTTCAGCACCTCAAGCCCTCGTGCTCGGGTATCCGTCTCTGTATCCGCAGACGCACAGAAAGAGTAACATGCCGCATGCCTGGCGGCCAATGTTGTAGTTCTTTGTGGCGTCGTCACCAAACGCCGCCCCTCCCCATTGATAAGAGCCGTTGCTATGGCCCATAAGCTTAATGTTGCGCCGCCCATGTACACTATGCCCTTCGCCTGCTTGGTTGGCCGCAAAGGGGGACCATCCCTGGTTAGGAGATATGGCCCGGGGGATTTTTGTCTGCAGTTCTTGGAACGGACCCATTCGAAGGTCCTTTTGGATAAGCTCGCAAGGTAAGGCCAATCGGGTGAGCGATTCATATCTGACCCCATCTCCACTGAATACCGCCGAAATTGTGCAGGTTAGAGGGGGTCGAGGGAATGTGGGAGTCCCCGGTCTAAGACGGTGCTAGGTAGGTAGTTTAGCACAGAGTGGGGGGGTGCACACGCTTCAGGGTTTTCTCTTAGTCAAGAGGTTCTGGATTCTTGGGCAACGTTTTCCAGACTCCGAGAGATAATGAGATTGCCCGCAACTGAAGTACGGGGTTTCAAGGGACTGTGAGGGAGAGGTGGAATTCCGTCAAGCGCCAGACGGCGACAGATACCTTTTACCAATGTACAGACAATGAAAGGATTCATGAAGGCCTTGGCTTCATGTCCAAATGGGATCGTCTCTTCGAAAGTGCCCCTAGATGTAGTGTATGTCTCGTTTCCGCCGAGGGCCAAGGCTCGGTTGCCAGCATGTTCCAAGCATTGGTTCATTGCTTATGTTCTTGGCCATGCAGTTTGCAAAGCGCGCTGCCGAGGCATGTCTGCCAATTTTCGCCTCGCCCGAACCCCCCCCCCCCCCCGGGGAACCAAAGCCCACATGCTGCTGTCGCAACGTCGCGTGCCTACAACTCTTTGCCGCCGCCCAACAGTGCGTGCGATGGCACAGACGAGGCAAGCGTCGATTTGACGGAAACCAGTTCCACCACCCCATAATATGGGATGGCTTGACAGATTGTCGAATGTGTGTGACGGCGGCGCTGGCCGCACGGCTCATAGTGTGTGTGTGTGTGTGTGTGTGTGTGTGTGTGTGTGTGTGTGTGTGTGTGTGTTGGAATTGGGATGTCGCAGCTAATCGTCGCGATATTGCCAGAGGCGGCGGTTGGATGTGTGCGAGTCTCGATCGGGACACGAGCGAGAGGGAATGAAAGGCACATCTCACCGGCTTATCTAGAGAGAAGATGGGAAGCAACATACGAGCACCATCTTTACTGGCCTGACTTTATCTTGGCTGTCAGCGTGTTGATTCCAGGAGAGGCATGTGTCGCGTTGCTTCTTTGCCTGGGGTGGCGCTTCCAGAGAGCCTAGTCACAAACATTGTGCCGCAGGACGCCTATTCCTGGCGCGTGTCAAACAAGAGGATGATGGCTTCACTCGCTGTCCCCCTGGTTCTCGTGCGCATTGTATGCTTTCTGAGAAGTGATAATCGTGCCGCTCATTTTCTTATGAACCCTTGAATTCATCAGATTCTCTCGCCCTCGTCCATGGTTTGGGCCATTGATCCCTCCCTGGTCAACTGGCACGCCACAAAGGGTGTGTGAGGTGAGTTACCCTTCGGGACGAACGCATGCACAGTGATGGAGCCGGCGCCGACAGACGGGATGGGTGTGAGGGTGAGGATGCCAGGATGAATTCCATGTTAGGTATACCGAAGGTAGCGTCCAAGAGTTTAGGCAATACATTTGGCCCTAGAAAATCCTCGTGTGCCTCATCTCAAACAGACAGTGATCACTGACCACACCATAAACGATGGCCTCTTGGTACTTGGCAGTAAGACGTGACATGATCGGGACGTCTGCTTGCCCAGCTTCTGCCCAGCCGCTCCAATCATTGCCTAGATTTTGCTTATATCGACAAGCTTGCGACTCGCATGGACGCCGAGGAAGAAGGGGGTGGGTGGGTGGCAGAGGTTTGCCGTGGTAAAGCTTGACAGAGCTTGAAAGCCCTGCTCCCGGCCCCTACTGCGTATTGGCACCGAGTCAAGGCGACGCCGCGACGGAAAGGACGCTGGAGCAGCGGCCTCCAAGAGTACACGGCAGCGCCGAGAACTGGGCCGAGACATGGAATCGATAATAGTGGGAAAGCTTGTGATCGACGAACACCACGTTACATCTGTGAGCGGCGGATACCTCCTATCATTCCGGGCTTGCTATTCCTCGTTCAAGCCTAATGCTAGGGGCAATCCTAGGGCACTCTCTACGAGTAGCTATGCAATTGAGGTCACTCATTACACTAATAACTGTGCATCAATGACCATGATCCCTCCGTTTGCTTGGCTGGGAATCTAAGACCTGTTCCTAATCCTTAGTACCCCCACGCCGGTCTAATGACGGGAGGTAAAGGGGCAAAGGAGAGAGAGGGGGGACAGTTAGCACCAACTGGGCCTCAGATGCAAAACGGGACATGTTTCCAAGGACTGACTGACCGCTTTTCGTCGTCCGTCGTGCGAAGCTGCCAAAATAATTTAGCAAAGGGTATTTTTTCAGATGGGGGCGCAGGGGCGATGGCGTCATTCACGACTATTCCAAAAAAGGGGGGAAAGAAAAAAAAAACCACGTTCTTGAACCGCGTCGTCCAGCACTTGAGAGCTGGTCAGGACCAGCCTACACTACTATATAGGTACATAGTATCCGTATGTTAGTAAACTATCCGTAGTCTACTACGTAAATGTCAACCCCACTCGCTTCCGGGCAATCTCCATCGCTACTCCAGAGTCCGAATGGGCAGATGGGCTTCATGGGCTATCCATGACTAGTATCCGTAAAGTCTGGCCAGTGAGATGGAGAACCGACTCGGAGCACATAACAGGAAGTGGTCTGCCAAACAGTCCCAGTGGTCCCCATGGGGGGGGGCCGGTGGATGACAAAGAGTACGTAAGCATCGAAGATAGATATAAGAACGCGGTCCAAGTTCTATGAGTCGATATGATTAGATAATTCAATACATGGGCCGCTGTGTCGAACGAGGTCTGATACCGGCAGAGACCGAGGTACCACTTTTCATAAGCCAGAAAGTGTTGATACCGCAAGGACGCTAACAACAGCGGAGGAGGGATGATCTAGTGCCGGGAAGTAAATGTGACACTGGCCGCCAGAGGACTGCGCCGCTCGCCGAGGTTCGGGAATCCGGAACCGGCTCGGTCCTGTCATCCAGTTCCCCTCATTCTGCCGTCTGGAGTTTGTTCGCACCACCATCTCAAGCTGACGTCAAGTCAACCACGCTCCAAATCAAACCTGCCTCTAAACTAACTGAAAGCTCTTGTTGCCTCTCTGATTAGCCCGTTTCTCTTGAACTGCTTGAAACCACCAGCATCGAATGCCAGTAAGACTGCGTCTGCACAATCGCCTTCCCGTAATTACCTGATTAGATACGCTTCATCAAGCCTGCCGAGCCGGCCTAGAGCTCCCTCGTTGATCCACCGTTTCGCTCGCAGATCCCACTCAGTCGTCTAACAGCACCACTACGCCAGTTAACCATTCTGCCGCGCGCATCTGCAGCCCCATAAGGCGCCTTTCCGGGTCTAGACTCCTTGCAACCATGGTCCAAGTCACTCAGCTTAAGATCGCCGTTCTGGATGATTACCAGGGCATCTCGGAACCCCGGTTCAGCAAGCTGGACAAGTCGCTCTTCGATGTAACCTTCTTCAAGGACACCTTACTGCCCTACAACCACCCCGGAACCCCTGAGCATGTCAGGGATGCCTTGGTCTCGAGGCTAGAGCCTTTCGACGTAATCTGTAATCACACCTCTTCTCATATTTGCCGTCGTTGCATCCAATCACCATTTCAGTACACCGTCTGCATTTGTTGTACAGCAGGGAAAAGGCATATAGACTAACATGTAGCACAAGGTACTATGAGGGAACGTACCCCATTCCCCAAAGAACTCATCGCGAGGCTGCCCAATCTCAAACTTCTTCTCACAACTGGCTTGCGTAACAACAGCCTCGACCTCCCCACCTTCAAGGAGCGCGGCATCCCCGTCGCTGGCACTGCGGAAAGGTCCACTGGTAAACAGGCTGGCACAAACAGCACGACTGAGCACTGTGTCACACTCATCCTCTCTCTGGCGCGGAACATCGCCCGTGATGACCTGGCCGTCAAGTCGGGCCTGTGGCAGACCGAACCCGCCACCGGCCTAACAGCCAAGACACTCGGCGTCGTGGGGCTGGGGCGTCTCGGTGTCTCGACGGCCAAGATCATGCACTTGGCATTTGGCATGAAAATCATTGCCTGGAGCCCGAACCTGACGCAGGAAGCTGCCGATGAGAAGGCAGCGGCTGAGGGCTTGCCCGTCGAGGGGCCTGATGGGGAGAAGACCTTCAAGGTCGTCAGTCGACACCAGCTTTTCAGTATTGCCGACGTCCTCAGTGTTCACCTGGTGCTCTCCGACCGCTCTCGGGGGCTCATCGGCGCCGAAGACCTTTTCAGGATGAAGAAGTCTGCGTTTTTCGTCAACACGTCTCGTGGGCCGATTGTAGTCGAGAAGGACCTGTTGGATGTGCTGAAGAGAGGTGGCATTCGGGGCTGTGCTCTGGATGTCTTCGACCTCGAGCCGCTGCCATTGGACAGCGAGTGGCGTACGGTGAACTGGGGACAAGACGGGCGCAGCAGAGTACTGCTAACGCCTCACATGGGGTATGTTGAGGAGAAGGCGTTGAGTGAGTGGTATGAGCAGCAAGTAGACAACATCAAGAGATGGCAGTTGGGGGATGTTCTCGCCAATGTACTGGCGTAGATAGCGTCGACAATAGCCAGAGTTTTTTGTTGCCTATAGTAGTTATGAACTACTGTCATAGATGTAACAAAACTCCAACCCCGTCTAGGTTATCGTGATGTTACTCCTTGCGGACCCAAGATGTCTCTACGAATGTATGAATAGAGGATGTGATCAGTGCCTGACATACCCATCGACACTTGCAACGAACCGTCGAAGAGCGTGGATCCGCCTCTAAGTTGGGCGTGCTATCTCCCCTGCCCCCCCCCCCCCCCTTTTCCTCCTTCTGTTCTTTCTTTCTTTTCTTATATGCCAGAACATAACAATATTCGCTTCTTTTGTTTTTCATTTGCCCTTATTACAATCTTGATCACCCCTTATATCACCCCCTATCTGTTTAATTCGTTCTTGTTTACTGTCGCCTGTTGAATGGCCTTTTTTATTATGGCAGACAGTCCATGTGCTGTGTTTTCTTAATTTGATCGATTTTCCGTCTTTCGGTTCTTTTCAGACTGGGAAGACTTTGTAGCGTCTGATTCTACCAGTATAGTAAGTTTAACACAGATTATTTATTTTTCATATCGCAAGTATATCCCCGCTCTTCTTTAGAAGCTGTTGTACTAGTCACTTCCAATTCATTGGAGAACTTGTATTTATATTTGATACTAAACCTCAACTTCCCTAGGTTTTCGCTACTGCTTACGTCATAAAACGCTATACTAGCACAATCATTCCTGAATAGACAATAAGAAGATAGCCATGCAGAAGGCCTATTCACTGATCAGCTCATAACCACTCTGATCGGACTGAGAGCCCACCTCTCCTAATATATGTGAGAATCTGATCGGCACACGCTTGTTATCCAGTACGTAGAACTAAGCAAAACAATCCCCTGGCCCTCTTGGTTCTGATCACCCACCTCATTACCCGATGATGAGCATCGCTTTCTTGCCACTGTGCCAATTGTCGGCGGGACAAAGTGCAGATGCTGATTGGTAGAAATGTCTCTTGTGAAACTCTTAGCGTCTACAATGTAGTCGTGTTATTTTCATTCGAAAGGGATATGTTATCGAGTCCGAATAGTCAAGCGCAACAAGAGATCTTTGTGGATGTGTACAAAATCAATTTCGCAACTCCAACCTTGATTCGGGTGACGTAAAGTCTCTGCCGTGGTCGCAAGACACACCGGGTGCAGCGAACTGTTAGAAAACATCAGGCTTAAAGCTTGATTCCCGTTACAAAGTCCTCTGTCAAAAATATGCACCCAACCCACTGGCGCTACAAGCAGGTAACTGAAACCATGTGCTGGTAACTGTACTCGATAGGACATTAGATAGAATTCAGATGAACCTTAAAACCAAATGGGCAATATGGCGGAGCTCCGACTTTACAAGGCTAACATACTTTCAATCGAGTGCTGAGTGTATGGCGAATATCAACGGCACGATCGGGACTATACATGTGCCAATTTTCGGACACGAGCTGCAAGGAATGCAGTATTACTGTGGACTTTCAAATGGTTTGTCAGTTTAATTATATCAGGGAATATGCTTGAAGAACACTTGGAAAATGCTTCAAAATGCTGTTTTCTGTGTGCGACACCGGAACCTCTAGGCTGTAAATCATACAGTTATTTCCAAAAGATTTATGCGTAACACTGAGAGCAATACGCCGTCATGAGAGAAATATTCAATGACGAAGTCTTTCATCTCGATTGTCCGTTCTTTCGTCCCTGGCTGCGGCGAAGTGGCGTTTGGACGGCGGCCACGAGTGTTGTGATGTCACCTTTCAGCGGAAGTGCTCATAGATGTGAAGGGTCGGCTTCCAGCGAATACATCATAGACGTCGAGCGTCGCTGCTCGACGGCCCCAAGTATCAGACGGCCTAGAAGGGGCATAATGATTCTTTTCTTAGGATGTAAGCCCGATGCGGACTGTGTTGGCATGCACTCACCGGCCTGGGGGAACTCCCAAAAGGGAGTCGAATATCAGTAGCAACCACAACAGTTTCATAGTCGTGTCAATTACTACTAGATGAGCAGTGACTTTCATGCTATTGCCGGTGATGGTAAATGAAAGCTTTTCTGACATGGACAGAAATGCCACGCATAAACAGAGTTTCAAAGTCGGTCTGACTGCCAAGATGGCGATTCAATATTAAGGCTGGCTCCAGCAATGTTACACATACCCCGCGGACAGACCGCATTCTAAAGCACGCGGGGCGGTTAAATCTATAGTCTGTGTCATTTTAATGCCGACATGACCACTTTCTACCATTCCTACGGCAAAGGCGACTCTCATCAGATTGGAACCTGGCCTGGTGCACGGTGGATTTCAAATATGCCCCAGGTATCCCGCCGAGGCCCAGACTACAATGGCAAGGTCGTCATAATGGCTAAAGGGGGTGTACACTAAATAATCGACAAATATTGATATTGGTCGTTCCATAAAGTTCATCTATAAAACAGAGGGACACGCGGACGTGTAGTCGCACGGTCAGTGCCGAGTAGAGCTTGCTTGCCTCGGCCCGTAAGCCCTACACATCGAGCCCCTGGCCCTGATCACGAGTTCGGAAGCTGGCGATGTTTCGGAAGTAGGTTGGGATGGCAATTCTAACGTCACTAGGTAGACTAGTGATGACAACCTTTTGACGTGAATCCCAAGCTTCAAGCACCTCTTATTCGTATTGTGCTCGATAAACAGATCTCTATATAATGCAATCGGGTTTTCGATCACATTTAGTTTGTTTCCAACAAGAAGCACACCCTTCTCTATTACCAATCTCCCAACAAGTACATTTTCCATCAGAGAGACTCTTCGCCAAGTCAATATTCCACCAAGCTACTTCTATATTATTTATATTGGGGAAGGAAGCGAGGATGAAGCTAATCAGCTTTTTTTCTACTGTGGTGGTCCTACACATTGGTGTTCACGGCCTTCCGGTTTCGACCACCAATGAAGAAACGGGGGAAAATCCGTGAGTAACTGTATTCTGTATGAGCATTACATTTGAACTAACAATGTCAAGAGTTGTATCCATATGCAAGAGCAGTAATCATGTACAAAGATCAGAGCTTGCTGAAACCGACTTTTCAGACTTGGCTGTCGACGAGATCCTCACTGGCAACGGGAACGCCGAGGACATCGAAGATATTGCCCTTGAAGACGACGAGGTTGATATAGAAGGCCTTTTCAAGAAAAAGAAGAAGGGCAAGAAAGACAAGAAGAAAGAACCACCCCCCAAGCCGGCACCTGAGCCGGCACCTGAGCCGGCACCTCAGCCTGTGCTCACTCCTGTACCTGTACCTGTTCCAGCTCCTGTGCCGGTGCCGGTACCTCAGCCGGTACCTCAGCCGGTACCAGTACCTGCTCCCGTACCTGTACCTGTACCTGTACCTGCTCCTGTGCCGGTCCCAAAGCCTGTGCCGGTTCATTAATTATCGCCTTTTGACGGGCTTTATGCTGAATTCGCTGGCTAGGTCGCTGCGAAGTACGGAGCGCTGCTCGACATCGTTAGAAAAACCATACACTTTCGGTCATGACCATTCTTGGTCAGGGGACCACCACATACATGCGTAGCTACATCACAATAATTACAGGAGGAGCTCACTGCTACATCATTATGGCGTTAATAAAACCGAACTGAAATCTACCCTGCCTTTTGAGGCCCAACCGCAGATTGGCGTCTCGTAGCTGACCATGCTATCAGCAGTTTGCTTATCAAAGAACGGTCCGTATAACAGACTGATCTGCGTTAGCGAAACAGTACTCAGGCCTAAAACTCCACCCCCGTCGACTGAAGGCGAAGAGCGTGTTGAATCTTGAGCATACGTCATACCCTGTTTGTTGATGGCCTGATAATGTCGGGGGCTTATTAGTTCCCTGATGTTCCCTAGTTAGGCTTTCTAACCGTATTATAGCCATTACCATGTCGTGACGCGAGTATTCCGCGCTCGTCGCCTTGCCTGTCGGATTGCATTAGATTTTGTGCTGGGGCCTACTGCCGGCACGAGATATAAAAGATAAGCAACTCTTTGAGTGGACATTTTCTAGACGTCTAGCTCCGAGGAGACCCATCTTTGGTATGGGGACTCAGTAACGAGACTATGAATGTACAACCGTACCTCCCTTCGGTCCTTGGATAGTTGCGAACATTCGGAAACAATGGCGGCCTCTCAGAATCGGAACCCGTTCGCGTTTATTCCACAAGTCAACCGTGGCCACGGCGTATGCTAATGCGGGAGCCGACACTGGTAGCGAGACCTCGCTACCCGAACCTGTGCCAGTGCCTGCGCCTGCACCTATAGTAATCGCGCCCTCGCATAAGCCTGCATCGCGGGCAGTTTTGGCCAAAGGCTCTACCGCCGTGGCCTTCCGAGCATAGTTTAGACATGGCTATTTTGTACAAGCAAGCCATCAACTTAGTTCTTTTGGGATCTCATTGTCAAAGTTTTCCGTTTTCTGAAAGCATTGCCACGGCGTCATCTCTTGGGGTAGTATAGCGTTTCATATACTTGGTAATAATATGGATGTGAAATTGAAATTCTCTGAGATACTAAAACTCTTACTCTCGAACTTTTTGAGTAGTGTTTGAAGCTGATTTGATGACCGATGAAACAGATCGGCCTCTGGTATTCTGCAGACGAGTTGCAGCTGTGCCGTATTTTAAAGGTCGTTGGCATACTCAGAGCCTTTCCCTTTATGGCGACTGCCTTATGAGCTCGCCTCTATTTGGAGACATAGCTTAACCAAGTCTCCATCTTGACATTGTTTATTTATGCTCATTCGTAGACAGGAATAAATCTAAGGAAACTCAATAGCTTTCACTCTAAGCAATGGTTCCAGTAGTTGTTATTTATTTATTGAACGTCATGTTCACCTATATAACCTGATTGCGTGACACCTGTGCTACATGTCAACCAGTAACGCACAACAACTGCCAGATCAAAATCCACCTCAATCATGACTGCACACATGAACAAAATTGACGACAATGTGGTAGGTGGACGCCTGTAGGTCAGACGGCATCAGCTACAACCGACGATGATGGTACTGTTGCAACTAACATCGAGGTTGCGACAGCTAGTCGATGAGATCCATACATTACTCCTTAGATGTGGAGTTGCAATGCCATAATTCATGCTACCAGGTCGATAACGGAGAAATTCAAAACTCTCAAGTACAATGAAATCTTACAAGTCATAGCCCGGAACTGATGTTGGGGGGCATGTATTTACAAACGTCATGGTGGGAGCCCATACATATATCAACGCATTCAGAATGGCCTCAATTTATTAAGTAAACAGCCATTCTTTCAGCTTTGGTATTCTGATCTGTTGTGTTCACTTGAGCAAAGGGCCAGGATTCAGTCTTGTACACACAGACTGATGCATGTTTGCAGGCTGCTACGCAGTTGTGAATACAGCCAGTAAAAAAAGGTCCGCGGATGAAGAAGGCGCGACTCTTTTGGGAAGCTTCCCTCCTTCCTCTAGATTTGTTACTTCTGCGCTATCTCGCTTTTGACAAAGCCCTTTTTCTTCCGCCAATATTTTTCTTTTCGCTGTTCTTCTTCCTTTTGACAACCCTTGTCCCCCAGCCTTCATTTGATTCCTACCAACTCTCACAAGGTCTCTCGCTACGCCTGGCTGAGCGGACAAAGGGTGTTGGACAACAAATACTGCTCAGAAAACATGGCTTTCGCTTTCTTGGTACCCCAGGCTTTCAACCTGCCCGACCCAGACACCGGCGGTCCCAGCAGTTTCCCTCTTGTGAAACTCCCAAGAGAAATCATCATTGAGATTGCAAAGTTGTTGGAGGCTGATCCGGACGCCAAAGTCTCGCCGCTGTCGCTTGTCAACCGAACCTTGCGGGACCTTAGTGTTCCTAGTCTGTTTCGGACAATGCAGCTCACCACCGCCGAAGACGATCTTCTCGAACACATGGACAGTATTAATGGCAAAAGAGCAATTCTGGACTCTGTGTAGTAAGTCTCTCAAAAGCAGTCACTAACAATACATTCAGGGCATACTGCTGACCTGTTTCAGTGTCCTGGGTATCTACAGTGAGGGTTCTTCAACCGTTCGCACACCCTATCAAAACATTCACCTGGGATATGGTGAGAACTGCAAGAGAGGAACCGCAGCCATACTTGCCGATCTGATCTTAGACCTACCCAAATTGCGGGATCTCCGGCTGGACTTGCGCTTCAAAGCCAACACTAGCCTGATTGGACCCTTGCGAAGAGCTTTCAACCAGCAGTATATCATGTTCCCTAACATAACGGCACTCACTTTTCCAATGAAGACCGACATCAAGTTCATTCCGGAGGTCTTCCCCAATCTGCGCGCCCTCAGCCTGGAGCTTCACAAGGCGCCTGGTCAGACTCCAGACGTTGTGTACATCTCGCAGCATATCGAGCTCGAGTATCTGGAGCTCTGGAAGGCTCGCTGGAGTTATTTCGACTTTGCCAGTATCCCAACTCTCTTCCGCAATGTCAAGCATCTAACCATTGGCGGCATGATGGGGTTTAGAGGTGCCCTTGGACACCTGCATTCACTCGCTGTGAGTCTTTTTCTTCTTCTTTTTCTTTTGCCTTTCTTTTTGCAAGTCTGCTTTGCAAGCCTGAAGATTGCAACTGCTTACTAGTCTGTGACACAGGATGTTGGCACTGCGCTTCAACCGATGCCTAATCTTAGAGTCCTTGCCATCTCGAATGAGGTCTTCTTCAACCGCCGGACCCAGAATGTCAAGGCCTTTGACAGAAGCTGCAGGATTCGTGAGAATCTGGAGCGTTCAGTTGGTTGGACTGCTCGCAGGGGTGAGAGGTTGGACGATGCTTGGAAGCTCTTTCGCTCTCTCCCGAATCTTGAGGTGGTCTACATCATGGATCGGCACTACAATGCACACTGCTTTGTGCCTGTCAAAAACAAGGATGGTCGCGTGATTGATGCTCAAGTTGCCAGTGGACAGGAGACAGTTTGGCCGGTTGTCTGAGGGCTTGGATAACCCCAGGATGACATCTATCTATGGAGAGCGCAAGGGACTATTAGGTGGAGGAGGCAGAGTCACCGAGGTGCATGGGTCTCAAGCGGCAGGCCTAACTAGCTAGTGAGCATAAAGTTTTAGCATCAGATTTTGCATTCACAAGATCTTTCTTATCCCAACGAAATGCCTGTAGCGGAAGCAATTCAGTGAGGTGCGTGCGTTAACGTACTGTACTGACCGGTTGCTAACGCGAGGCCTCAAAATTGTCCTGCAGTCCCAGCATTATCTTTCTTTTCTTTTAACCTCATTGGATTCCGCTCATGTTTCAGGGTTTAGGCAGATATAATGGAATCTAAACTTTGAACGCCTTGGCCCTTGAGTACTAGGTGCTGGAATATAGCTACTAATAGGCTGTGGCTTTGGCCCTGAGTGGTGACTGACGTACTGGAGTCTGGCAACGATGGTACTGTTGAACCTACTATCCAGGTTGTGACCGCTTCGTACAAAAGAGGCCTGCGCCTTCATTTTCCTCTTCTTTGCCGACTTCAACTCACATTCAACTTCAAAGACGCCTTTGAGAATTTCTTACCTCGCCTTTGGAGTCTCAGTCCCCACCTTGAAATACCCCCCTCTCAGGCTTCTTCTCCGAATTCTTCGTCCGGCTTCATCTGCTTCACCGGTTTCTTGTCGCAAGCTACCCTCGAGTCCTCGACTTCTTCAGCAGCAGCGAAATGGACACCGTCAAATCGGACCTTCTCGCGCCCGGCGGCGAGCCCACGGCCCAGGGTGTCGCTCCCGTCGCGAAAACCTACCTAGTCACACTCCCGAGAGAGCTGGTCATCGAAATCATCGAAACCTGCTACGAGATGAGCGGGAGCTATCACTGGAGAAGATATTACAGCAGTAGAGAGCGTAGAATCGTTGTGTCGCTCTCCTGCGTCAACAAGTGCCTTCGGACCCTGTGCATTCCGATCCTATTCCGGGACTTGAGACTCATGACCCAGGAAGACGAGCTTCATGCTTATCTAAAAGCCCTCGTGGGCAACGAGGCTATTCTTGAAGCCGCTCGGTAAGTGCTTATGTCTCGCACATCTCATATAACCAAAAAGTGCTAAACCGACTAAAGATACCTGTGCCTTCTCACCTTTGGCCCTGGCAGTCCATGGAGTGTTCGGGACCCATTTCCTCCCAAAAGGCCCTGTAAAGCACTTACTCCTGCGCTTCTAGTCAAGGTTCTCAGCAAGATGAGCTTAATGCACCTTGAGCTCGACTTCAGAGACGGGCACAAGTCCCTAGCGCCGTGGTTCCGCAAGGAACTTGTTGCGCAGCGTGTCACCCTGCCGACCATCACGCTCTTGGATCCTCCACCCTCTGAGATGGTCGATCTTGTTCCAAGCGTCTTTCCTAACCTGCGCAACCTGACCCTGAATATCCATCGCTCGCCGAAGAAGACGCCTGGCCTAATAGCCATTGCACCCGAGCTCCAACGCCTCGATTTCCTGGAGTTGAAAAATGGATGGACGTGGGATCTTACTGCGCTCGAGGAGATTGCTGAGCTCTTTCCATTGAACCTTCGTCTCGTCATCGCTGGCAGCCTTGAGGAAGACGGTATGTCGGTATGTTCTATCATGAAGGTCGCCCCCCTTCTTCTCCCAGATCCGTTCGTACCCCTTGGCTCCAAGATTGAGCTCTTACAGGCAGGCTGCCGTTGGAAAATAGAGCAACAGACAGCTGCAAAAAAAGGGGAATAGCGCTAACAACGCGCAATAGGGGCTTATTTCTGTCTTCAAGAAGATGGCCAATTTGGACCAACTGCACTTCTGGTCGAAGGATCCAAAATTCCCCGTCAAGGATTTGGGAAGAAGAATGAACCAGGACTTTGCGTTGAACTTCTTCCGACAGTGCCTCCGGTTGGAGGTATTGAATGTCAACAACAAGGTTTACTACCCCGTGAGGCAAGGAGACAGCGTCGTCGAAGTTGAGACGAGTTAGATGGAGCTTGGCTGGTAGGTTATGTCGAGGACAAAACAATAGGCGGTTGCATGATTCGTAGAGTGGAGAGAATGGGAAGATTGCGGGTGAAGTCTCACAAGATGAGCCGGTTAATGGATTGGGTTTGCAGGGCCGGATCTGAAATACGCGAGCTAAATACGTTTGAGGAACAATGCTCTAAAAGATTGGTACAATCTACCTTCGCAAAGATTCGGATGTCTCCATGTCATGGACGCGAGAGGCTCGAGTAGATTTGCATTTATCAATACACACCTTGGCCGACAAGTTCGCTACGGCTAGCCTACATCTTACTCGGCATCCTCATGCCGCCGTCCAGCCGCAAGACGGTCCCGTTGAGCATGACGTTCTCAATGGCGTGCCTCACCAGGGCGGCGAACTCGTCGGGCTTGCCGGCGCGGACGGGAAACTCCATAGAGCGCTCGAGGCTGGCACGGACCTTGTCGGACATGACGGCGGTCATGCGGGACTCGAACAGGCTCGGGGCGATGGTGACGACGCGGATGCCGAAGCGGGCGAGGTCGCGGGTCATGGGCAGGGTCATAGCAGCGACGGCGCCCTTGCTCGCGGCGTAGGCGACCTGGCCCTTTTGGCCGTCAAAGGCGGCGGAGGAGGCGACCATGACGACGACGCCGCGCTCGCCGTCGGGGGGCGAGGGGTCGTTCCTCGCCATGAGGGCGAGAGCCTGGCGGGTGAGGTCGATGGTGCCGCGGAGGTTGATGTTGAGCACAAAGTCCCAATCGTCGAGGCTGAAGGGGTTGCCGTTACGGTCTAGGATCTGCGATGCGAGGCATGTCAGGCTCGGACGGGCAGGGCGGCGTGGATCGGGTGGCATACGGTAGAAGGGTTTCCGACGCCGGCGGCGGGGATGACGCCGCCGAGGGGCTTGCCGGTCTGCTTCACCCAAGCAGCGGTGCCCTGGACGGCGGCCTCGATGCTGTTGGTGTCGAGGACGTCGCAGATAAAGAACTTGGCCGAGGAGCCCAGCTTGGAGACAAGCTCATTGCCGCTCTCTTCGTTCATGTCAAGAACGGCGACGTTTCCCCCATTTTTGCAAATCTCTTCCACGCAGGCTTGTCCCAAGCCTGATGCGCTGTCATGGGACGCAGAGTCAGCGTCAATGACATTTGCATGTGATCAAGGATGGACAAAGATGGAAGGGGAGGGGGCGTCTTGCTTACCCACCGGAAATGATGAATGTGCGGCCTTGAATCTTCATTATGATGTGAGTCGTTTGTAGTTGGAAAGTATAATACCACGTATGTCCTGACACATGCGAATGGGAGTTAGGGTGTTGATGGAAATGCCAGTTCGGGTTGAGGTGAACTCACAGCGAGCGGGTGGCTCCACTGCGAGCTTCGGTAGTCCGGTCTCATGCATGTCAAGCCTCGGCAGCAACGGTCTCGGTGAGCAGCAGCCCGTCAAGGTGAGGGAGAGGAAGAGAGAGAGAGAGAGAAGCTTGGGCCTCCCCGTTCAAAGAGGCGTCTGGCGGCAGCCACGAGCTACGAAGATAAGGCGAGCTTGTACGAATACGTATCTGTCTTGCCAGCAGCCCAAGGTATGGATGCCCAAGTGCATTAACAGGTTGGGGTAGTGTAGAGTAGAGTTCCCAAGGTGTCTGTCTACCTAGGTATATAGGTACGGATCACGGGTAACTACCTATTCGTACTCGCGATACCGCATCTACGTATAGGTACGTATACGCAGCCACGGTGTACGTACCCGTAACGTGACGCGCTCAGACCCACCGCGAAAGGGTACGTATCCAAGGCACAGCAGGTGTGGTGAGAAAAGGCAGGTCCATCTCATGTGGAAGGAACTTCCCAGGTGCTCGGTCTGCCGTCATTGTGTTGTCTCGTCGTACACCCACCCAAAGTCCCCAAGGGCCCAGGTCCAAGAACAAAAACACCACCACCACCGTCAACCGCCCTTGCTTCAACTCGAAACGTCCGCTTGTTTTTATTTTATTTTATAGCTCCTGGTCGTTGCGACCTCAACGTCGCCTGCCAGTTCTTCATTCCTTTCCGCCATATCCGCTTATCAACCAACCGACTGCTGTACGATCCATCCCCTTGCCGTCCTTATCGCTGCCACGCCGTTGCCCGACTTTTCCGATTACACACCGCACCGCATCGCACCACCGCCATATCGCACTGCGGCAAACATTCCATACAGCCACGATGACGAGACCGCGTCGCTCCAGTGCCGCGAGCGATGAGAGCAGCGGACCCGCCGGCGAGGTCAGGAGACCCCCGACATCCGTCGCGCGACGAGGAACACATTGCTGACGGGTTGCGCAGGAGTTGGGTAGCATGTACGACTACCTGGCCAAAATAATCTTGCTGGGACCGAGCGGCACAGGAAAGTAGGTTGCATCGACGTTGCGGATGAGAGCGGGAGACCACGACTCCCGTGGTTCACGCTAGCTCGGAGCAAGTAACTAACGACGGCCTTGCGAAACAGGTCCTGTTTGCTTCACCGCTTCGTCAAGAACGAGTGGAGAGTTTTATCGTCCCAAACTATCGGTGTCGAGTTCGCAAGCAAGATCATCAAGGTCGGCACCGGTTCCCGGCGGAAACGGATCAAGCTACAGGTACGGCTGCCACGTTATTCCCTACCGAGGAGACCGCCGTATTGACATGTTTGGGCTGGGCAGCTTTGGGACACGGCCGGCACCGAACGATTCCGTTCCGTCTCCCGATCCTACTACCGCGGCGCCGCCGGCGCCATTCTCGTTTATGACGTCACAAATCACAGCAGCTTCCGCGGACTGCAACCGTTCCTTAACGACGCCCGCGCCTTGGCATCTCCCAACTTGTCTTGCCTTCTGGTGGGAAACAAGCTTGATCTAGCATCCGAGCCCCTCATCGACACAAGCCTACCCCCGCCAACGCCGAGCAGCGTCGGTTCCATGTCATACTTTGCGAATGGCTCCGCAGGATCCGGAGGTACCATGGTGTCATCCCTCGGCACGCAACAGAAAGCCAGCGAGGCGCCGGAGGGTCGAGAGGTCAGCAACGCGGACGCAAACAGATGGGCGGGAACGGTTGGGATCCCCGTGGTGATGGAGGCGAGCGCCTTCAACGGCGAGAATGTGGACGAGATCTTTGCGAGGCTTGCTAGGATGATTCTTACCAAGATCGAGTTGGGCGATATCGACCCTGACGACCCGATGAGCGGCATTCAGTACGGCGACGGGTACGGCGGAGGGTGGAACGCGGGCGCCAGCGACGTGGCAAGCATCAAGAGTTCCATGACGGGCGCGACGCTCGACGAGGCTGGTGGAATCCGCAGACGAAAGGGCAGGCGAAACACGCGCAGCGGCGCGAACTGGGGTCTGCGTGATTGGGAAGAGGTTTTCACGTTGACGAATCGACGTAGAGGCAACAACTGCTGTTGAAACCGCCAGAAGCAGGACGACAAGAAGACTCGGGAGCGGTCTTTGTTTTTTGTTTTTGTTTTCCCTCGCAGAGAGCGAGGATCTGCCGGCTCGAGACAAAGGATGCTATTCTTGGGGAATGGAGTTTTGCAAGGAGTTTTCATGGGAAGGCCCTTCGCTGGACCGGGATACAAGCTGGCGGGGCCGGGATGCTGTTTGGATTTGGTTTACCTGACGATGGAGGAGCCATATCGGCTCCACAAGTCGGAGGAAATATGGAAGCTGGCGTTCGGGATAGATACCTCGTCCCCACATCGGGGACGGTCGTACACATACACATTCTTACAGCCACATATGTTGATGACAGACGCTTCATTATATCGATATTCTAGCACGGGCCGATCAACCCGTCCCAGTGCATGTCTACTCGGGGAATGTGATGGGAGAGAAAATGACACGTGAACGAGACTCGAGACGAGGTTGGCTAGGTAGGTAAATAAGATGCCCAAAAGCTTCATGTGGAGCACTCTCCCCTTGGACGTTGGTTCGCCATGAGGTTATATCCTCAGGAACGTGGAAACATGACCGGAGAATAATGATGCAGCCGTCCTCCCCAGTCGAGGTTCCTAAAGAGGAGAGCGGAAGGTCTCCCTCCGTGAAAGGACCCCACTGGTACGATACTTGACTTTGCCTGCAGATGGGGAATTCGGGGGATTACATAACCTTTTTTTTTTCTGGGTTTGTTTTTTGGGGTAATGGTGGTTCTCCACTAGCGGAGGCGGACCGTTGATTCTGTGCTGGACCCCCTCCGACTAGACTGAGAGGAGAGACAGGCCATCTTTATCATGATCATCTCCTTCTTCTTCCAGCGTTAGGCCATGTGACTAGTATAAAGGAGCATCACGATGAGGCTTTCTCAGCCCTGTAGCTATGTGCGTGGTCTTCCTCCGGATGCAGCCCATCGACTTGATTCAGCCGGTGTACCTCCCCTACTTGCTTTGATAGTTTGTGCTTATTGGAGAAAAGAGGCGCCCCTTATTCTCCGCGCGCGTATCTTGGGCCAGAGGGGGGAAATGGTGTGTGGGGGGCGGAACTTGATACGGCTAGAAAGGGGTGCGAGAGAGAGAGAGACAAACTGTGTGGGTAGTCGAGGGAATGGAGATGAATCTCGGCGGACGTTGCCCCGTCGTTCAGACTGGGACAAGTCGGAGCTGCCTCCTCACCCCTGGAATTGCCATGTTGGTCCTGCGTCAGGAGCAAGAGGTGAAGGGAGGTAATACGAGGGGAGGTGATGGCGGCATCCACCCATTGATGATAGAAAGTGTGGGAGAGAGAAAAAAGGGCGAGCAGTAAAGTGACAGACATATGAATGTGAGTGAGTGAATGAGTGAGTAAGTGAGTAAGTATATGAAGGACGACACATGCCGCCCCTTCACCCCTCGAGCAGATGCTTCTTCATCTCACCTTGAATGCGGTACTGTTCCAACTTTATTTTATATTGCACGCAAACCCCGTATCTTTTATCTATTTGTTCATACTGATTCCAGCCGCCCAATTGACCCCTCGCCACTTTCCCCCGTATCTACCCCGCCATCCGCCGCGGGGCACCGACGCTCGGCGCTCTCTCCCCCGTCGGGCTTCATTGTAACTGTCATTGACCTGTGCTTCAACTGGTGAGTTTTCGACGCCGCAACTCGGCCAATTGGTATACCATCACACCCCAATTCAAACGCCTGCCACTATGCGTCTTCTTCCAGACCTCATCCGCACCCGTGCCGCTGCTAACACTCATCCCAGTCGCCACCACCAGCCCCAAATCATGGCGTCCAGGACCGTCATCCCCATCGACAAGAACTGGCAGTTCAAGCAGGCCGACAAGGACGACAGCGAGCTTCTCGCCGTCAGTCAGTTCCCGACCAACATCCACCTCGACCTCATTCACCACAACGTCATCCCCGACCCCTTCATCGGCAAGAACGAGCTCGACGTCCAATGGGTCGGCGAGAGGCAATGGCTGTATAGGACCGCCTTCGCTGCCGAGGCCGTCCCCGACGGCGCCAGGGCCGTGCTAGCCTTCGAGGGCCTCGACACCTTTGCGACCGTCGTCCTCAATGGAAAGACCATCCTCGAGACGGACAACATGTTCACCCCAGAGCGTGTTGACGTCACATCCGTGCTCAGCAAGGATGGAGACAATGAGCTCGTCATCACCTTTGACAGTGCTTACCTGCGCGGCTGGAAGCTGGTCGAGAAGCATCCCGACCACAAGTGGGGATGCTGGAACGGCGACAACTCGAGACTGGCAGTCCGCAAAGCCCAATACCACTGGGTAGGCTCTCCCCAGTCTCTGATACTAATGCTGTTTTCACTGGCTGACCTTTCTCAGGGCTGGGACTGGGGCCCGACGCTTTTGACCTGCGGCCCATGGAGGCCTATCAATCTCGACATCTACGAGTCCCGTATCTCTGACCTCTACTTCGAGACCACCCTCGACCATTCCCTCAAGAGCGCCAAGGTTGTCGCCCATGCCACCACCGAGGGCAAAGCCACAAAAGTCCGTTTTGACGTCTCTCTAGACGGCAAATCCCTCGCCTCCGAGACCGTCGAGGCCGAGGCGGACGCCGGAACCTCCGCCACCTTCCAGATCCAAGACCCTGCTCTATGGTACCCCGTCCGCTACGGCGAGCAGCCCCTGTACACCGTCACGGCCACCCTCCTCGCCGGCAGTGACGAGGTCGACACGATTTCCAAGAAGATTGGTATCCGCAAGGTCGAGCTGGTGCAGCGGCCCCTCAAGGAGCAGCCGGGCACATCCTTCTTCTTCCAGGTCAACAACGTCCCCATCTTCTGCGGCGGCAGCGACTGGATCCCCGCCGACAACTTCATCCCCCGCATCGGCAAAGAGAGATACTACGACTGGATCCGCCTGCTAGCCGACGGCAACCAGTTCATGGTCCGCGTCTGGGGTGGCGGGATCTACGAGGAGCCGGCCTTCTACGACGCCTGCGACGAGTTGGGCATCCTGGTCTGGCAGGACTTCATGTTCGGCTGCGGAAACTACCCCGCCTGGCCGGAGCTCCTGCAGTCCATCGACCGGGAGGCGAGGGAGAACCTCAAGATGCTGCGCCATCACCCGTCCATCGTCATCTGGGCCGGCAACAACGAGGACTACCAGTACGCCGAGAGCGAGAAGCTGACGTATGACCTCGCCAATAAGGACGCCGAGAGCTGGCTCAAGACGGACTTCCCCGCGCGGTACATCTACGAGAAGGTCCTCGCCGACGCGTGCAAGGACCTGATCCCCGACACGTTTTACCACTTTGGCAGCCCCTGGAGCGGCGAGGACACGAGGGACCCGACCGTTGGCGACCTGCACCAGTGGAACGTCTGGCACGGCAGCCAGGAAAAGTACCAAAACTTTGACAAGCTCGTCGGCCGCTTCGTATCCGAGTTCGGCATGGAGGCCTTCCCCTCGGTCAAGACCATCGACGCATACCTGCCCAAGGGCAAGGACGACCCGGACCGCTACCCGCAGTCCTCGACCGTCGACTTCCACAACAAGGCCGACGGCCACGAGCGCCGCATCGCCCTGTACCTCGTCGAGAACTTCCGCTACGCCCCGGACCCGCTGGAGCACTTTGTGTACTGCACCCAGCTCATGCAGGCCGAGTGCCTCGCGTCGGCGTACCGCCTGTGGAAGCGCCAGTGGAAGGGCCCCGGCAGGGAGTACTGCGGCGGCGCGCTCGTGTGGCAGATCAATGACTGCTGGCCCGTGACGTCGTGGGCCATTTGCGACTACTACCTCCGCCCCAAGCACGCCTACTACACCGTCAAACGCGAGATGGCGCCCATCTCGATCGGTATCACGCGGACGGAGCACAAGTACCCGCGCGACAAGTACACGCGCGTCGACATCGACACCAAGACGCGCATCGAGATCTGGGGTTCGAACCTGCAGCTCGAGGACCTGGCCGTCGATCTGGTCGTCAAGGCGTGGGATGTCGAAACGGGCGAGGAGACGTACAGCGAGACCGTCGACAGGGACTTCGTCCTGCCGGAGAACAGGTCCACCGAGATGGCGGCGTTTGAGGTGCCCGTGAGACGAGCGGGCGACGAGGGGCGGACGGTCGTGGCGGCGTACCTCGTGCGGGACGGGGAGCAGATCGCGAGATACGTCAACTGGCCCGAGCCGCTCAAGTACCTGCACCTGCAGAAGCCCAAGAGCCTGAAGGCGGAGCTGGCCGAGGGCGGCGGCGTGGTCGAGGTCAGCGCCGAGGTGCCCGTCAAGGGCGTCGCGCTGGAGGTGGAGAGCGACGATGTGGTCTTCAGCGACAACCTTGTCGACGTCGTCCCGGGGGAGGTCGTCAGAATCGGGGTCAGAGGGGCGAGCAAGGAGACCAAGATCGAGACGAGGTACCTCGGGATGTTGGACTGATGGTCCAGCTTGGTATTGAAGGTATTGCATTTAAAGAGGAGGAAAACATGACGGGCGGAGGAGGAGCTGTCACTGTGTTGTAGGAAAGTGATGGAAATAATCACCAATGCGTGTCTCTCCTCCTCACCCAAGTGCGGTTATTAATTACCCAGTAGTACTCATCATAGCAGCAGGAGACAACAGTGGTATCGTTTTACTCTGTTGATGATATGCCAGTAACTTGATCACTCTGAGAATAAGTTGGATCTCATAAATTAATCTTGATTAACTTTCATTAAAAGAAGAAAAATGAGTAGGTATCATTTAAGCCTGGGAAACCAAGAAAAGCACAACCCCGATCCTCTCGGGAGGGGTTCTTCGCCATCCCCAACGGGTAAAGCCCTTCCAAAGAACAAGTGAGACGTTCAGGAGAAAAAGGAGGCTTTGATCGATATTACACATTAGAACCCCCGCCCCCCTCAGTTCACCCGACGCAACGCACCCTCTCTCGTCGGTCCTTCTTCATCAGCCCCCACTACTCGGCCGCGCTTACCGGAGCTCTTGCGGGGGATAACCGTGCGTCTGCCCCTGAACCGGTGCCGGCGAGCTGCTCGGCGAGGGCGCGTAGGGCTGGTCTGGTTGCTGCTGTTGCTGGTACTGCTGGTACTGCTGGTACTCCTGCGGCGGCTGCTGGACGTACGTCGGGGCCGGTGAGGTTGTCTGCTGGGGATACTGATGCTGCTGGCCGGGCATCTCTTGATATTGCTGAGGGGGCTGCTGCTGGCCGGACATCTCTTGGTATTGCTGGGGGGGCTGCTGCTGGACGTAGGTCGGGGCAGGCGAGGTCGTCTGTTGGGGGTACTGCTGAGGATAGAACTGCTGCTGCTGCTGCTGTTGTTGTTGTTGTTGTTGTTGTTGCTGTTGTTGCGGCTGCTGCTGGTACGCCGTCTGCTGCGTGACGAAGGGCTGCTTGGGCTCCATCTGGATCTCCCCCTGGCTGGCGTTGGCCTTGGCGGCGGGGGTGTTGAGCTTGCGCCACCGGACGAACTGGACGACGGTCCAGATGAAGGTGACGAGGAAGAAGATGAACTGCAGGGCCGAAAGGCCGGCGACGGCAGCGAACATAGCGAGGGCTCCCTGGCCCATGACGATGTAGCGCTTGAGGATTGTGCAGCGGCCCGAGTTGACGGTCGAGCCGTCCGAGGAGCACGATGCAGTGACGGGGACGACGAAGGTGGCGCGGCGGGCGGCGTTGGCGCCCATGGTCGCGAGCCAGAGGATGACGAGGAAGAGGTCGAGGGCGAGGACGGCGTAGGTGTTGTACAGGCTGCGGGCGGAGGGGACCTTCTCGGTCACGACGGCGTAGAGGACGATGATCCAGGTGAAGAGGGACTACGGGCTGTGTTAGTGAAGGCTCAATATGTGTCTCGTGATGCTGAGCGGGGGAGGTTTGGTGGTTCTTTGGCTGACGAATTCGTTGCTGCGGGCAAAGGGATAGATGAAGATCTGCCGTTGAACTCCGAACATACAATTGCGACGGCGAGGCCAAGCTCGTCCAGGTAGACCCAGTGGATGATGGCGGCCGAGAGGCCGAGGATAACGATGGCGAGGAAGAACTGGACGCCGCGGATGGCGGCTATCCAGACCGGCGTCACGATCATGGGAGGCGGGGTGCTGGTGGAGCTGTGGGGCGTATACTGCTGCTGCTGAGGCTGGACCTGGGATTGAGCCTGGACTTGCGGCTGCGCCTGCGTCGCAGGCTGTTGCTGCATGTTGTTCATGATGTCTACGCCCGGATAGTAAAAAGGGGGCGCTGTGGTAGTCGACAAGCAGCGCCCGGGATGGGTCGAAGCAGGAGGAAACAAACGTCGAAGTGACCGACAGCCTATGCGTTCGCGATGGACACGCCACGTGTAGGGAGGGGTATATCACAGGTGATCAGGTCGAGAGGACGGCCAAGGACGGAGGACTACAAGAGTTCCGTGGAGGAGGAGGAGCGAGGTGGCCGGTATACTTATGGGCTGAGACCTTCATACGATGTGGCACAGGCGAGTCAAGGGAGGGATAGGACAAGCCGCCGACATCGTCACCCGTCCCCTCCCCCAATTATGCCTCTCCTGTGCTGCCTCTAGCCAGGGGACAGACAGGGCATTCCGTTGCATGCCTCTCCGCCTCCATTTCTTGTTCGTTTGTCAGCCATGCCTCATGTGCTTGAGAGGAGACACCGGCGGCACGCCACAGAAGTCTTGTTTTTTGTGCAATTATTTCAACTCGCTGCTACTACTTCGTGACACGCGCCAGCCCCACGACGCTTGCTTGAGGGTCCCGGGCGCCATTAGGTAGCCTGCATCCGCAAGGGCAGGCTTTTTTCGAGGCTCGTTCCGCAAAGGGGATAGTGAAGGACGAGGGAGAGAAGAAAAACGCCCAACTGCCTGCCGCAAAACGCTCAGCTACTACGGGCCCAAGCCCGAAGCGGCCGTGAGGCAGAATTCGAGGCAGGGATTGTGGAGTGCGAGGGCAGGCTCAGCTCGTCTGCAAGATAGACATGGCTCTCTGTCTGTCTGGTAGGGGTTTGTAGGTGCGGGCCGACTGGAAAAGGCACGCGCCCGGCAAAATGGCATGTAAAAATGGAAGTCATGACATGAGCGTTTATGTTGTTGTTGTTATTGTGACTGGGCCCTCTCTTGCATGTATGTGTGTGAGTCCATGTCTGAGGACTGACTGTCCAATCCGATACACGGAGGCCAGGCCGAGAGAATTAAGATTCCGCGCTGACATGGGCTGGAGGGCGGAACGGGCGACGTGTGGGCCCCGAGGGCGTCCGGGCTAGGCCGGTTCGGGACCCTGCAGTGGGACGCTCGAGTTCACTAGTGCAGCTCCGTGGCTTCGTGGCGTCTTCAGCTGAACGGGAATATGTGGAGTTTTGCGCAGGGCAGAGAGTCCTCATCCAAGTATTTATTGGCCGTATTTGATGGATGGGCTGCCTACAGAGTAGGACCCCTATCAAGTGAACAAGCAAGGTTGACGAGTCGCCGAGATAGGAAGAGACTCCTGCCCTGCCGGTGAGTCACGGTCTCAGTGAGGGTAGACAGTTAAAACATATAGACACACACACGACGACCCCATTCATGGGCTTGGCAAATAGCTCTGCCTGTCGACCAGTGATGATTGCTTTGTGTTACGTTTCAGGAGCCGACGCCGACTCTGCACGGGCGTGAATGTCGCATGATGCGAAAGACCCGCGCGGCGATGCTAGACTAGGGTTGAGATTTGCGTGGCCCCCCCCCTCCGTGGCCGGGACCAGCAAAAGCGAAGGCCAAGAAGACAGGCAAACAGTTTGATTGGAATAATTATCTGCATCATTGTCGATCGTAAACCCATATATACATGCCATCTCAATGTCATCAAAACCATACATGCTATGCCGCATGCGTCGCGGGGGGGGGGGGGGGGGAGAATACACTGCGAAACCCGCCCAGACGCCCACTTTTCCATCAACACCCGCTTTGCCAGTCATCTCTGTGTCTCGTGCCTCTCATTCTTTACCTGGTGTCGGGCCGCCGGGGAGAGCGGTCTTCTAGCAGCATCCGCCCTGGTTGCCGCCCTCGGCCGCCTTGGCGGGGTCGACCTCGGTGCTGAAGCTGGCGTCTACCTTCTCGTTGGGGCCGGCGATGAGGATCTTGATGACCTGGCCCTCCTTGACCTTCTTGAAGGCTTCCTCGGCCTGCTCGAACTCGACGATGCCGGTGACGAGCTTCTTGACGTTGACGCTGCCGTTGGCGACGAGGTCGATGGCGAGCTTGTAGTCGCCCGGGCCGTAGCGGAAGCTGCCGCGGGCCGTGACCTCCTTCAGACACAGGGCCATGATGGGGAAGTTGATGTCGGCCTTGCCCATGCCGCCCTGGACGTAGGTGCCGCCCATGCGGACGACGTGCAGGCTCGTCTGGATCGAGGGCTCGGCGCCGCTGGCGTCGATGACGACGTCGGCGCCGGCGCCGAGGTCGCACTGCTCGATGATGGCCTTGGCGTTGTCCTCGGCCGGGATGCGCTGGGAGAGGTAGGCGTGCGTCGAGGCCAGGCCCCGCGCGAAGTCGAGCTTGGACTGGACAATGTCGACGCTGACGACCTTGGTGGCGCCAAAGGACCGCGCGACGGCGGCGCAGAGGAGGCCGACGGGGCCGGCGCCCATGACGACGACCGAGGCACCCGGCCGGACGCGGGCCTGCTTGGTGATGTGGACGGCAACGGCCAGGGGCTCGATCAGGGCACCCTCCTGCAGGGAGACGTTGTCGGGCAGCTTGTAGCAGAAGTCGGAGGGGGCGACCCAAAAGCCGGCCAGGGTGCCGTCGTACGGCGGGGTGGCGGCGAAGCGCATCTCGTGGCAGAGGTTGTAGGTGCCGGCCAGGCAGTCGCCGCAGCGGCGACACGGGTAGCCGGGCTCGAGGGCGATTCGGTCACCGACCTTGAGTGTCTTGACGTTCTCGCCGACCTGGACGACGGTGCCGGCCGACTCGTGGCCGAGGACCATGGGGTCCTTTACGACGAAGTGGCCGATGGCGCCGTGCTCCCAGTAGTGCACGTCGGAGCCGCAGATGCCCGTGTAGTTGACGGCGACGAGGACATCGTGGGGGTCCGAGAGCTTGGGGACGGGTCGCTCGGCGAACTCGACGTCGTGGGGCTTGTTGAGGATGAAGGAGAGGTTCTGCGACTAATCAGCGCCGTGTTTCCGACGGGGGGGGTCCCCCAACGCGCGGGATGGGTAAGCCCATAGTCGAGGAGGTTGGAGCTCACGCTTTTGCCTTCAATGCCGGCCATGATGGATGGGTTGTCGGGTTGTGCGGGGGAGGTGGAGGGGGGATTCGGTTTCACCAACAGGAAGATAGAGGGAGGGAGGGGGTCGTCACGGCGATCGTTTCAAAAGCTACAACCTGAACAGATTGTCTAGGGGTATCTTTGGAGAAGCACAGAAGTGAACAGAGACGTGGGATGATGACAGAGGACAGCGAACAGGCTCGGGGTATCGTGGGTCGGCGCGCGATGGGTTATATAGCTATGACTGCGGGCCAGTCCCGCAGCACGGCGTGACGGATACAATGGGGAAATACGACGGACAAGACGTATGTGTCTGTCTGTCTGTCTGTCTGTCCTGTCTGTTTCTCTCTCTGTTTGGCCGTCAGAAGCCGCCGCAAGGTGGGATGGAATAGCTGCCGGCAACGCGCGGTGTTCTATGCGACCGACCGACTGTCATTGCGGGCGCCTCTGGGACCTTCTTCTGGCTGGATCTGGAGCCAGAGAGAAGGGCTCCACGCCAGTGATTATCCTATGACATTACCCGCGTCCATACGCCATCTCCCTGCCATGGCGGTCGAGACTCCCGCCTGGTCGTGGCTCCAGTTGTTATCATATGAATATTGGGGGGGGGGAGCTGTCATCGGTGCGGGGTGGGGGAGGGGGTTAAAAGGAGGGGATTAGGAGACAGTTGCTGGGGAGCTTTGTACCTGTAAACTGCTAGTTTAGGTTTCCCACGCTGTCTTTTTTTTTTATTCTTTTTTTTTTCTTTTCATTTTGGTGGGTTTGGACCGTCGCTCTTGGTCACTCTCTCTCTCTCTCTCTCTCTCTCTCTCTCTCTCTCTCTGTGTGTGTGTGTGTGTGTGTGCATGCGTATATCCCCCTCTCTACTTCACTTTGTAGGGGCTTCTTAGAGAAACAGCTCCATTTGTCGGTCTCTACGATTGTTGTTAGAGGAGCACCAGAGTTGCAACGTCCCAGTCATAATGTTGTTGTTGAGTCTTTTCCCCAAGCGTTGGAACGAGCGTCCGAGGTGTCATAGGTGCGCAACGGCACCGACCGACACTAGCGACCCTGTCCTGTCCTGTGGCAGATTTATCCAGCACTTTACCCGCTCCAGTAGGAACTCGTCAATGGAATCCGGTAGCTGGGTTCTGGTGGGGGAGGGGGGGAGCCACACCTGGGTTATGCTGGTCACACACACAGTCCCTCGACCTGTTCATTCTGCGGCTTACCGCTCTTTTTATTAATTTCCTTCTTCTCCTTCCTCACCTCATGTTTTATCGCAATTATGGGTTCTCTGTCACGTTGTCGGGTGATCGGGCGCCCGTCATGTGGTCTCTGAAAACTTTTTGCTACATGCATGTAGTAGTGTAGTAGTAGTAGTTTTTGTGTCAATTCCCGTTCTTCCATATTTCGTCTCTTTTTTGTTGAGGTACTCGGCCGAGCGAGTTTTGTCTCCCAATGCTATGCCTCCAATTCCGTTCTCGAGTCTCGGGCATGCTTATATGCATGGTCTGGGTTTCCTTGTACGGCCTGTGCTGGGAGGGCTCTTGTCTGCAATTGAAGTTCGGTAACTCGCGTCCAGCATCGGCTGAACGATCGGCAAAGGACTCCATCTCCATGTCGTCCTCCCGGGGTTTGGGTGCTGCTATTCATCCTTCAGACAACCCACAGCCCTCTCTGCATACGTTAATACCAAGGCTGGGTCCCGCCTGGCGAAATATCGCTGTCGATATACCTCCCTGTCGGCTGACATCCCGGAAAGAACCACGATTTTGGTTTCTTACCTTATTCTTGCAACATGGCGCCAATCGTCTCGGATCATGGTCCGGAGCTCATAGCACTCATATACAGGGGTTCGGTCAAGCCCATCGACGGCAAAGAATGAGACGAAAGCAAGTTTTTGCGTCAATATCTCTTCGTTATTAAGTACGACAAGGAGAAACTCGTACCTGATAGCCTTCCACTGGTCGCATAACATATACCCCTATTGTGTCGTTGGAACTTGTTGTCGACGTGGCGACTGGTTAACTACAGATCCTTCCAATGCACCATAGTGCTGCATACTTGAATGTGTGCTTACCTATTGTCACTGAGCCGTCGCTGTGCCCGCCGGAGTGGTTGCGTTCGTCCTGTCGTTATATGTCTTGTCTTTGCCGTTTGAGGGCTTACACGGCAATCCTCTACTTACCAAAGAAAGAACTTTCGACTGTTTACCCCCCGCATAATCGATGGAGATGTCAAGGTCTGTTGTGAATAAAAAGCTCTTTGCATTCTTCATTTTGGTTTGCTCAAGTCACTAGCTTTGTGCCAAAATCGCCAGTACACGCTTTCCCGCTCTCCTAAAATAATCGATCAACACAACTCCAAGGCATATTGACATACCAAACCCGACTTCCCCTCAACTACAACCGAGGCGTATTCGCTGAGGTTGGCTGCGCTTCAACTTTCTCAGACACCCTTCATAGCCACAGATTGCCGATTTTCGTGAGGCCACCAAGTTGTACGAGTTGGTGGCATTGATACATTCCTTCCCGTAATGGCAATTTCCATGCCCATGTAGCGAAGCGGTCTCCGTGCTTCCAGACTGACAATAGGCTGACGAGCGAGTGATTGTTCATGTCCGAGCTTATTTCGTGTTGATATGGCCGTAATCCGACTGATAGGTATTATCGTGGTTTTCTTTGGACAACCTCGAGTCTTTGGATGCCACCGAGCGGTACGAGTCCAAAGAATGATGGCAGTCCTCCCCGCAGTTATTCGCCGCGAGTTTAGCAAGGTTGTCCCTATATTTCTGGTCATCAGCGGCTGTGTTGTGGTCCCCTCCGGAGGCGCTTGAGCTGACATAATTACTGGAGTGATAGCCATGGCCATGGCCGTAGCCGCCGTGGCCGCCGTGGCCGCCGCCCCAGCCACCTCCGCCATAGCCACCGTAGCCGCCGTGGCCACCGCCGTAGTCGTCGCCATCACCATAGGCACCATAGCCGCCGTGGCCGCCGCCCCAGCCACCTCCACCATAGCCGCCGTAGCCGCCGTGGCCACCACCCCAACCACCGCCACCATAGCCACCATAGCCACCACCACCGTAGCCGTGCCCGCCGTAATGGTTATAACCTCTCGTCTCAATGTTTTTGAAGGTTGGGTCAACAGTTGAACCAGCAGGAGCTTCATGTCTTGCTTGCACATCCTGATTTCCGGCTTTGGCTTGACTCTCGGTCTTCGGTTTGTCGGTATCCATGACGGGAGCCTCACGTTTGCCTTTGAAGCTGGGTGGTGTGCCCATGTAACCCGGGTTGAACTCACCCCTACCCCCGCTGTTGGGCCCAAAGTTGCCAGCTCCGGCTGCCATGTAGTCTGTGAAATCGTGAACTGGAGCTTCGACAACCTTCGGCAACACCTCCACGGGTTGCGCGGGTACTCCAGTCAACCCGGCTGCTAAAATGATTATAGTGAGAAGGTGCATTTTGCAAAGCTAAGATTGGTGCTTTCTTGAGCAAGAGAAGAACAAGAAAGAAAGAAAAAATGGGTAAGAGGTGCTTGGCTCTGTGTGTCGAGATATGTGGGAGGAAGTGATATTGTTGTATAGCTGAACTGCTCAGATCATGCTTCCAATAAGTCCAATTCGAGGGTGCGCTATGTCGACTTTTATACCTTTCACCAGTCGGCTGCTTGTGCTAATCCCACTCACAAAAACACCCAGCCAGAGTGTGCGGGGTTATCTCGTGAGTCGTGCCCATGCCGAGAACATCGCGACTTCCGAGTTCCTCTTTCAGCAGCTTCTTCCGAGATTGAAGGCATTTAGCGAAGCTGGCGTAATCGTCGAGTCAACCATTGGCGATGTCGAAGCGAGCTGTTATTTCAGCCAAACCTAGGGGACCAACTTCAATTTCGTGATGGTCGTGTCATAGTAGAGAAATTTGTCTATCCGAGTCGAAGAAGGAATACGAGATATTGGATGGCAGGCTTGCTGAGATCCGGATTGGATGAGCATCAGACTAGGTCCACCCATGAATCTATCATCAGCATAAAGAAACATCAGATATACGAAAGCATCATGCGAAGACCGAAGCGACTAAAATGCCGTGTAGACTATCAATAAACTTAATTGGTTACTCGGCTGTGGAGTGAATTATCCTTTCCACTCTCCATTGCCATGTGGGTTGTGTGATATCTCTATTGGCATAATAACTGCTTCCATCAAGAGCACCCATATCAAGTAAAAGGTTAAGCTTTTACCCTATAGAAGTGCATAAACACTTACCCCATCTAGACTTACTAAGTGCACTCTCTAGAAACTAAAATTGCTTAAGAAGGAAAACGGCAATCAGGATATAGGAAAGAAAAACGATATATGGGATTCTAGTTAAGGTTAGATTCAGATAAGATTGAAGCTAATCTTAGCGTATTGAACAAGTTCTTAAGGCGTCGAGGGCTGGTTGGGTGAAGGGAAAGGGAAGTAAGTATACGAGCAAAACTACACTGTCCAAATAGCCGGACTCCATTCTGATTGGCTCGAAGTTAAATAACGAGGGTTGGCGGGAAATGCCATCCACGCATGACATTGCCTCTTCGAGTGACCGCAAGCAATTGAAGGTTCGAACGTGCCGTTCGAACCATATGCCGATTGGTCTATACAGCCCCATCCACGAACGAGGAAATGGGCAGCGTCCACTAGATGTCCTCTCGGCCTTTAAGTTCTCAGCTTCAACGATATTGGCGGGCAAACAAGCCCTATCGAACGACCTTCCGTGAGATTACCTCCCCAATTGGTTGTTGTTGTACGGGATGCGAAGGCAAGGTAAAAGTTAAAAGTAATTTTGAAAAGATGGGATACACGCTTTAAATAGCAATTGTATCCGGTTCATACGTTTATCGATGGCGTCTGGCCGATTTTAAACTTCACACCCTGGCGGGGATCCGGGACGATGCAATATTGTCAGATCATATTATCGACAGCCCAAGCTTCACACACGTGGGATGGCAACCTCCGTCTCCGAAGGTGGTTTTTAGTCTGTTTTCATCTAAGCAACATATCCATCGCAAAGATATATGCCGCGCGGCGCTTGAAAGTACAACTCTGGGGAGGTTTCTTGTCAAACAAACCGCATGATATAGATGATTGTAGATTTCAACAAGAACAGGAAAGAAAGAGAGAAAGCAAACTTGCCACCGTTTGAATATGTTATCCTGGGTTCAAGTGCATTCACGTCACTCATCTGACATGGCTGGCCAATTGCCTATTTGGGCAATGTCATTGGCATTGGTCCCAGATAGTACGTCGAAGTTTCAGAACTTATTATAATTAGTAGGAGCTCGCCTGAACTATCAGAGCCCAGATGCAGGAGTAGGTAAGCATTAGCTGATTTACACATTCCCATGCAACACGCCCGACTTCGATGTTCTCGACATTGGCATTCTACCAACTGATAACATAGGGCAGGCAGTTCATGCTGAACTTTGTTTTCCCTGTATCGTTATTAGTCCCAGTAAAAATGAAGGTTTGAGGAATCCAGAGTGAGGCTACAGGGAGCGAGGGGGTGCCTTGTTAGTGAAGAAAGCTCTTCCGATCAACGGCACGACTGTTAGGGTTAGGGGAGTAGCGTGCGTGGCATGTGTCTGTGTGTGTCTGTGCCCGATAACGGCAGGAACCTAGGTTCAGTCACTCAGGCAGCTAGCTTTTGGACTGCATAAACGGATGCGAGGTGAGCCTCCAATAGCCTGGTGAACATTGTGAGCCAACAAGCATGTTAGTGTAGGCGCCGACACCAAATGGCCAAAAAGCCTCTGTTTCTTTGTGGCATTGACGACAGAAAGCAGGAATAAGGAAGGTAAGAAAGTGATCTCTTCTGCTTCAATAGCTCTTGAACCGCCCCCTCCCCTGCAAATCTACTCTTCCAAAAGGATAACACTGAAGAATGATGCGACCAAGCCCTTCATATCTTGCTGCTGAGGCAAGCGCCTATGAGTGTAAGGAGGGTGTATATACAGAGCGTGATAGTATGATGAATCGACTCAAGTATGTGTCAAGCACAAAGGCAATCAAGGACAATCAAGGTATGAGGCGAGTTGCGAGTGGCGAGTTGCGAGTTGCGAGTTGTAGATGTACTATGCGTGAGCTGCGAAATTACAACTCATACAAAATTTGACATTGAGGCAGCTTTGTGATTTGAGAACATTTTATTTCCTAAAATATTTGGAAACGCCTAAACTTATTGCCGTTCACAAATTGGATTTAATTAGAGCATAATGCGCCTGCCCTAGTGATAACTGAACTCAAGGTTCTTGTCTGTTTTTATATCACTGTGAGCAAGGGCATAATCGCCAAAGGACAAGAGGTCGCAATTAAAATCAATTCCTGTAAAAGCCAAGGCTTTCTTCTGTAGTGTGTTGTTTGAAAGGGGGGAGTTGGCAGAACATGGAGCAGTCCATACAATAATAACAAACCTGGATAGATTGATGACTACACCTTCAACCTGTATCTCTCCCCCAGCCGGGTGAAATATCACTACCCTCAATTTCCTCTAATCCTTTCGCTTTTTCGTTCATGTGAATAGACAAAGTCCCCTTCCAAAAACTAAGTGATATTTCCCTTGACGATGCCTTGATGGCGGCAAGTCTGTCCGGTATCTATTATTGTGGTAAATTCCCAAATTCGCTGCTCCATGGCTAGTGGGTACGCAATGCTTTGAGAGTAGACGCTCAATCACTTCATACGGCGTGTGATTTTTCACTACTAGGACACCATTCTTCGTAAATAGCCGGACTTGCTGAAGTAGGAGGTCCAGATTCCCCCCCTTCCAAGTAATCTGCCTTCCTGGGAAAATTGCGCAGTCTAGCAAATCCTCTTTCGGCAACATATCCGAAGTAACCGTAATGTATGCTGAGGCATCTGTTAGTGCTCCCGAGGATTGTGACGAGAATCGGCAGTTCGATATTCAAACTAAAATATATGAAGCTAGCGGATGTTTCAAGGGCAATAACGACGATCAGAACTAACTACGGACCGTATCCGTACATATGCCCTGGTATCTTCATTGCATTAAAGTTACTTGGCGTGCCCAGGCCCCTGGTTTTCATGTTAACGACCCAGAGACGGTGAGACCCAGCCGTGTCTTTTCAAGGTCCTGAAACACGTGCTTCGGAGCAGATGCTGCCTTGTGTTTCCCAATAGCCCATCAGTCTGACGAGAAACCTTGAGAAAACATCTGACGCGCGACCATCTTGAGATGCAGACTTGGATTACGCTGGTGGGCTGGCCCGGAGGCCCCTGAAAGAATGGAACGGCGGGTGTGTGCGCCGTGCCGTGCCGGGATTATCGATCAGCACTTGCGCTAGACAAGCATTCAGACCAGGTCTTGTCGCGGGAGGCCTTTCAACGGTGCCTAGCTCACATTCCTTGTATCCTGATTAGAGGCCTGAAAACGGGCGTTCGGGAAACGAAGTCCCAAACTTGTTGCTGTTACGGCTCTCGAAAGGAATGGCACCAAACTACTAGGTTTCTCCACACGCCCCTATTTGCAACTGAACCCAATTTGATAGCTTTTTGCCGTAGTATCCTGAGTCTGACGCTACTAAAAATATTGCTTCATTCTTGGCTTTGACAAGGACTACTTTGAGGGCGTTTTCCCGGAGCGCTAAACTCCCATGATTAACAACCCCACTAGACTTCTAACCGACATAGTGGACGAGACTGCCTGGGTGATAACACCTATATTGCCAACCACTAGAACTTAACTTTGAATTGGAAAGTATACAATTCTCAGATGATCACTTATCAGAGATCGGACTGGTGTGAAAGTGTAAGCTAGAGTCAGTATCCGTCAAGATACCCTATGATTTCTAGATTCGGAAGTCCGCCTAAAGTTTCTGGTGGAAGTTCCATGGGGGAAGAGCAAACCTTGGGAGTTGCGTAGGTGCTTTACACATCCTTCATTCAGTATTCTTGTGGATATGAAGCGGATTCGCAGTATGAACCGGCAATATTGGTATCCAGTAAGGGCGGAAAGGTGTCAGCGGGCTTCCTAATACTCGATTTCAATGGCGTAATCAAGGTCTTGCTGATGTTACTGTTGCGTATGGTTTTCCATCGAGTCGGTGGGAAAACTGGGAACTAGCATTGGGAGGGCAAATGATACTGTTTTATAACGTCGCGACGCGTGTGCTGTAGCTGCCTTCAAACTCCAAAATATGCTTGCTTGGGCCCTCCCCCCCCTCTCTTCATCACATAAAAAAGACAGTAAAGCAGCGTGGCTATTTGAATAGGTGCTGAACCGTTTCCCCCGATAACCTGTCTACTCATAACGTTCATCCAATAGGAAAGAACAGTTTTCCGGAATCCCATTGCATCGATGACCCTTTTTATCCGTGATATCATTTGTACACTCTTTTCAGTGCTTGAACTCCAGATCTCCTGTCGTAAATCGTTCAAACTTGACTCTCGCAGAGTCGACGCCTTGGTCGATGAGATACTGTGACATTTCGGTCATGAAGATCTCAGGACCGCAGATGTAGTACTCAGCGCCACCGTGGCCAATATAGAGTTCTGCGGGGTCAATCCGGGTGAGGTCCATACGGAGGCCAAGGTCGCTTGATGAGGACATCGAGTCGTCGTCCAGTACATCGGCAATCTGAGAGCGGAAGAATTTATTACTGAAACTGATGCGCTTAGACGCAATTCTGCGGATATGGTCCTCGAAAGGTGCTGCTCGGGCCGAGCAGTGAACCCAAGAGATGGGGCGGACGGCCTGGCGGTCGATGATGGTGTTGCAAATGGACATGAGAGGGGTGGCGCCAACGCCAGCGGAGATGAGAACGACAGGCTGGGTACCGGCGGCGTGTGTGTCGAAGAAAAAGTCGCCGGTAGGGTGCGTCAGCTCGACGAGGTCGCCGGGCTTCTTATCGTTGATAAGGTAGTTGGAAAAGACGCCTGGGTTGAGGTCGATGACAGCGCTACCTTTGCCGACTTTGACACCTTGGTCTCGTTTGACGGTGATACGATAGTAGTCAGGTCGCGGCGCGTCACTGAGCGAGTACTGCCGTGACTGCAAGTGACCCAGTGCCGGGATGTTCGCGCGAATCGAGGTGTACTGGCCGGGATAGAAGTCTGGGAGTTGCTTGCCGTCCACAGGAACCAGATAAAAGGAGAAAATGTCGTCCGTCTCGGCAACCTTGCGCTCGATGCGAAACTTGCGCCACCCTGTCCACTTGTCTTGGTCAAATTCACGGTACATCTGGGCCTCGCGGCTGATAAGCATCTTGGCCAGAATCGAGTAGGCCTTTGTCCATGCCTCACGGGTCTCTGGTGTCATAGTTGGACCAAGAACCTGGCCGAAGGCCTGAATGAGGTACTTGCCGACAATATCATACTGCTCAGGCTGGATACCGAGGGAACAATGTTTATTGCACATGCGCTCGAGTTTGGGGATGAGTTCGCTGATGTTATTCAGATTGGATGCGAACGTCAGGATGACGCCCGTCAAGGCACGAGGTTGACGGCCGTTGGCCTGGTTAACTTTGTTAAAATAATCGTGAAGTTCTGGATGGGCGCGGAGCATATTGGCGTAGAATATGGAGGTGATGGTCTCGCCATGCTCGCGGAGAGCGGGGATCGTGCCCCTGACGAGCTGTGATTGCTTGTAGGTCAAGGCCATGATTGTGACAAGACAAGACCTTTCTTTGGCCTTTTGCCTAATGAGTTTGGAACTCTCAGTTGATATAGAACGGTTTTGGTGCCAATGATAAAATCACGCCTTCAGGCTTGTTGGTGTGTTCGGGTTTCTGGACTTGACGGGAGATGGGATGATTGTGATAGCCAGTTGTGTGATCCGGAGACAATGATAAAGGTCTGACGGATAGGTTATCGAGAATTGGACCGCAAAATGTTTAAAAACATGAAGAGGGAGGGCCCTTTAAGGGTCAGTTTCGGCCCCACGGGAAAGATATATAAAGCCCGCCGGATACGGTAAAAGGTGAAATTGTCTACAGCCACACCTATAGGCAGACTGGAGTCTGGCCTTATCCTCTTTTTCACCTCGTTGTGTGATGTTGCTGTGTGGGCTTAAATGTTCAGGGGACGGCATGCTTAGATTCAGGTGCCGGCCGTCTCAATGATTGAATATCGTATGATGTTTATTTCATAGTGCAAAAGACAACCCGATTCCCCATCCGAACACAACTCTCATGGGTCATACATGCATGGGTTCCTGGCTGTAAGACCCACAATGAAAAGTTCTGGGCATAGTCTACGGTTAGTTTGAGGAACGAAATCACGGGCAATCGGGCTTTCGCGGTGAACAGAACTGCGTGGTAAGCTTCAGCCCTGTTCAGTGTGATTGTAAATTACGAAGTCAGTACCACTGTGTATATGCCGCGCATACCCGGGGCGACAAGGGGGAGGCATGGACATTGACAGGGTTATTCACTGGGCCCTGAGGGCGAATTCGAAGGCTGTCCAGTGGGACAGCCTCCGAGCCGAAAGTAGGTCAGGACGCTTCTGGAAGTATGCTAAAGGGGCAGAGTAACAATGGATATGCGCATTGTATCCGTAGTGGACATAGCTGCTTGGAAAGGCTTGTGCCTCGAGTGTCTCGGTTGGCCTGCGGTGGAAAGTCGGGAAGTCGGGTGTTCCAAGAGTTCTTACTGAGTACTTTATTAACAAAACGCCGCATCGAACTCATGTCAAGATGGGGTAAACACGGATATTTTCCCTAACAGGACAGACGTTCAGTGACACGCGATGCTCAGTGGGGAAGACGACATGCCACAGCAGGGAATTGCCGAAGTGCGGTTACAAACTCGTATGATGAGCTTATGGCTGCCGAGATGTCCAGCATGGGCCGCCCAATCATACCACACATCGATGAAAGTTTACCTATGCCCAGTTCCGTTCCTCAATTCCATTGGGGAAAATAGAAAATGTTTACGTCTCTGCTTATTTTCCTTATTCTTCAAATTTATGCCCGCTCGATGGGGGAGAATTACTTTCTCTCTAGGTCTCTCGAAGACTCAGTCTGATGAAGGATAATACGTAATTCATGGCAAACAGAAAGAACAGTTCATCTCGGCAAAGCAGTGAAATCACATTCAAGTATCCTTGTTCCAGTTCCCTCCAAGTGATGGTAGTGTAGTTTTGATTCATCTTGCTACTGACTGGCCAAATCCAGGCAAAGTGCGCCCCGTTCGTTTCACTCGCAAGCGTCACTTTTCGCTTTTCAGCACAGCTGGAACGAGACGCCATGGCCATGTTGATGAACGGAATTCCTTGAGCCAGCAACGTGTTGTGGCCCCATCAATGATACTAAGCAACCCCGCTTAAAACGCCCCCAAACTTACCACTTTTCTGGATCGGAAACAATCGGGAGATCAAAGTACATAGTGGCAATGACCCGCACGCTTGTTAGATTCCCAATCAGGGGTTCTCTTCACTGACCAAGATCAGTACACGATGGACCACTGATGATTAGTTCAGTTATCAAAATAACCGTGCAGGCTTGCAACATGCTCTTCGTGCCGCCACTACAGACAGGCTGATTGAAACTAGAGGAGAACGACCTCAGCTAGAGCATTTCCCATACAAGGCAGAACATGTGCTAATTCTTCTTCGCTTAGGCCTCGTTGCTCAATGGGCCGAGGCAAACTGAGGGTCGTAACGTGACATGTCATTTTTGGGATGTCCCCCAAGGAGCTAATGGAAGCTGATCAATTGTTCCCCGTATATCCGTATTCTTTGGCAATACCATAGTTAACCAGACCCCCAGAGCGAGGGCCCTTACGTTAATAATATGGTGGCCGTTTCAATTACGATTTGTTTGTACCAAGGTCTTTGGTCCAACATGCCTGATGCATTCATCCCGAGAGACAAGTAACTTGCGTTTGGCAAGCAGGCATTCACGCAGAATCCATCTGTCCCAAACAGCATGGCAATCTCTTTCTACCTTTTTCTTCCTTCTTCTCGTAAATTTGCTCGTCTATACAAGCGACATTTGCCCATTTGCCGGATAATAGCTGAGAAACGAACCAGCCAGTGATCTGGGTCGCTTGAAACAGCCCATGCTTCCGAACCACGCGGCCTCCTAAACCCACAATTTCCACAGGATGATGCATGGAAAAGAAGCAAGCAAGGATGCTCGCAGTACATTTCTTTTTGATGCTTGCAGATAATATCGTAGACTCGGAGGGCAGACCATGAGGCATCCGAGTTTTAATTTATACCATGGAGCGGGTGTCAACCATCGTATTGATACTCTCCGCTGTTAGTAACTGGTTTTTCATATCACTATATGGGTCACACTTCTATTTTCTCTGCTCGAAGTTCCCGACACTCTTGTCTCGTCGCATACGTTAGCATTGAGGAATAGTTTCAGGGCGAAGCTCGAACTGAGCTGATCGATAGCCCAATCATCAAGCTTTCAACAGCACAAACCACCTCGAATGCCACATTGTTCAGTTCTATCCCTTCATTCCGAAAGGATGTATGCCACCTCGACACACGTCTCCAACAACGGCGATGTTCCAACGCCTGTACCCAGGTTCCGCTCCAACGGTTTCTACGAGGATGTGTCATTGAGATTCCTAGGAAGAGCATCGCAACGCAGATCATGAATGATTGTCGGCTTCCTAGGAGCTCACAACTGCCAACATGAGTCATTGAGGACAAAGTCCCGACAGCAGAGCTCAGCGAAGCCCGAAACTATGGCAAGTCGTCCGAATCGCGTTAGCAATGTGATCGGCCAGTTGAGGACCTCAATTATCTGAGTAGTGCGTTGGAATGCTGGGGCTAGGACCTTGGTAAATCTGACGAGAGACAATGCACTCGAAACCATATGGAGGTGTACGAGATAACGGTAGCGAGGATAAGCTCTTGTAGCCTCGATTATACACGTGGTCGCCATTTTCATTAGTCGCTTCCCCACACTGGTTGGCTTTCTAGGCCTCGTGGCTAAGTAGTCCATTAGGGTGTGAACGGCCGCTGCTCATGAGTAGTGATTAGTGGCCAGGAAGGACTTTCTAATACTTGTGCCATCCCAACTGTATGCTCATTATACCAATGAAGTGACTGTTCGAGCTCACCGCTTACTTAAATGGTCAAGAGGTTGAGTACTGCCCTCCTTCACACATCTGGGCTAGTCACTAATCACGTTGGCCACGCTTTTTTTGATGCCAGGATTAACAGCAGAAAAGCTAAATTTGAATATCGCTTTCCCTCTTTTGGTGGTCAGATGCGATGGATTCAGAAAGATACATTGCACAAATCTGACTTTCTAGTTGCAGCAAGCATCTGAGCCCGGCTACCCTTCCAGAGGGGTTATGCACGCCGGAAATAACCCTTGGCCACTAATCACTACTCATGAGCAGCGGCCGTTCACACCCTAAGTGCTTGGTCTTTTCAGGCGTATGGTAACGGGTAAAGGTCCCGTCTTCTCTCATTGACGCCAGCGATATCGTAGCACTGTGCAGTAGCATAAAGTATAACACGCAAGTCGTACGATGACGCGAGTCAGCTGAAGCAGATATTTCTCCAGTCGCAAGTCCCTCTAACGAGTGAGTTGGATGGTGAAATTGAAGTAAAGGCATTAACTGAGTCGACGGTGTGAAACTGGCGAATATGGCACACCGTATATCGGCTCCGCATGTTCAATGCCCCCCCGATCTTTTGATGCAGCGTTGGGAGACGTAAAGGGCGAGGCAACAGAATCGTCATCTATCAAACCGCGGCGCACCCGGTTTACCGCGGGCCAGGTCTTAATCAGTCAGGCCCGAGATCGGCTCCGAACCGGGGCTGATAACAACGACCCCGCGTCTTTTGGCGTGTTGCTATCTTTTTGACCAGAACGCGTTGAAGCTTTGGCTGATTGTCTTTGTTTCATTATCGCACTGAGATTGTATCCGCAGGAAAGGTGCAGGTGAATTCTGACAGCCGCCTCACTCATTAACAAGGCAATCTCATCGTCGTGTATCATACTGCATTTCCGAGTTTCGTTCTGTTCTCCGCTAGAGCACCTTCAATTATTTGCAACAACGCCACAATGCCTGATAATCCCGTCCCTGTACCAAACGCTATCAAGCCATACTGGCGGCAGGAATTGCATCCTCTCGATAGCCACCAAAGCTCTGAAACCTTACCCGCAGAACAAGATATTGTCATCATCGGTGCCGGATACGCGGGCGCTGCTCTAGCTTACTACCTGCTAGACGACGTGGAAGATTTCTCGCGTCCCACCGTCACCGTCCTCGAAGCCAGGGAAGCATGCTCCGGAGCAACGGCTCGTAACGGTAACTGTCTTGCATCGATCGAACCAGCTTGCGCTAACAGTAAAAGGTGGCCATGTCAGACCGGATCTCTTTGCTGGCTTGCCCAGTCGTATCAAGAAGTTCGGCCAAGAGGCAGCGGATGAAGTGGCTCTGTTTGAGTTGGCCAATTTTCATGCTGTAAGGGATTTGGTTCGAGACAAGAAAATTGACTGCGATTTCAGAATCACCACCTCGATGGCGGTGGTTAGAGATGAAAGTCTCGCAAAGCAGATGAAGGACAGCCTTGATGAACTTTTAGAACGGGGATCGCCAACCGCGAAGCTGATTCACTATGTTGATGGAAAAGCTGCTGAAACATTTTCAAGCGTCAAAGGGGCAACAGCTGCCTTTTCATTCGAAGCGGGCTCAATTTGGTACAGCCTCATCCGAATTATCAATGGTGCATCACAGTGAACCGGATCCTAACTTCTGCCAGGCCATACAAGCTGGTTCTCTTCCTCCTGTCGGAAGCTGTCAACAAGGGAGCCCAGCTGCACACCCACACACCCGTTACCAATGTCTCGGAGACACAAGAAAACGGCTTCTGGAACGTCACAACGCCCAGAGGTACGATTAGAGCAAAGACCGTGCTCTACGCGTCTAACGGCTACACCTCAACAATACTTCCCGAGTACAAGAATCGCATCATCCCAGTCCGCGGCATCTGCAGTCATATTGCCGTTCCTGATGGCACTGCGCACCCTCATCTTCCAATGACTTTCTCGCTGCGGCATGGACCGAGCCTTTTCGACTACCAGGTCACAAGACCAGATGGTAGCATTGTTGTTGGCGGTGCTAGAGTCAAGGTCATCCCGCGTGTAGAGGAGTGGTACAATGTCTGGGACGACTCCGAGCTGATTGAACCTGCGGCTAATTACTTTGACGACTATATGCAAAAGAATTTCCGTGGGTGGGAGGATAGTGGTGCCAAGGTAGACAGCATCTGGACAGGAATAATGGGGGTAAGTTGCACGATACAATGGCGCTTTGCGTATATGGGGACGAATCCGAAGCATAGCTGACTCGATGGGACTAGTACACCAACGATCTCTTCCCCCATGCTGGCTCTGTGCCATCTAAACCGGGCCAGTACATATGTGCGGGGTTCAACGGGCACGGCATGTCGTTCATCCTGTTGACAGCCAAGGGTGTGGCGAAGATCGTGCGGGAGAACGTGCCGTTCTCGCAGTCCGGTATTCCGCGGCTCTTCGAAACAAGCGAGCGGAGGCTTCAGCGGGAAGAGAACGAGCTCCTTGCCTAATTGATATCCTAGGTTTCGACATGATCTTAGGTTACTTAGGGAGTGAATAGACTATACTACATGGCCGACATAGTTACCTTTACTCTGAGCCCACTCAAAAACCTTAAACTTATATATCAGTTGGGGCGTTGGGCCCTGGAAACAGTCTCGCGTCGATGCTGAAAGGTCAATGTCGACTATTTCGGGCACCACTTCTAAGAACGACCGGGACAGGGGCGGTGGAAATGCAGCGCTGTCTGGGGATGCCAATGACTATCTTCTGGTTCGGCCGACCCTGCTGTCTGTAGTGGTCCGATTGCGGGATGCAACAGTAAACAATGACCATAGCTGCAAGGCTGGTGCTGATGAAGTGGCTCCTCTCCAGGTCGAATAAAGCTTCTGAACAGAAAACCCTGTGCACGGCCAAGTGAAGCAGTATGACATTAGTATCGACTAGTGTGCACTATTTCAATGTCCAGGTATATTGATACTGGAAGCTAATTATCGAATAAGATGGCTTCTCATTATTCATAAGTCGTCATACTAATATATGTGAAGTATTATGTACTACCGTTCCTTGGTTACACCGACCATCGATGCTCTCATTCGGTCAAGACCCCTTTCGTTCAATGTTATCATTATGTTGGATCACTAAAGGTAGAAGTTAGCTTTGGCCCGGCACCACGTTGTCGAGACTTTCAACTTACAATGTCGATCCATCTGGCCATCCACTTATTGACGGCAGCCTTGGCCTCATCGACGAGACCAAGCTCAAGAAGCAGCTGAACGGAGCCACGGATACCGGACTCAAGAGCCGATGCGATCCAAGCGTGTGTGTAGGAAGTGTGCTCTCCGATAAAGATCATCTAGTTTTGGCCATTAGCAACAGGACACCGAGCACCACCAGCAGGGAGATACTCACGTTGTCGTATGTCTTGAAGTATTCGGGGATGTACAGTTGGTGCTGGCCAGCGACCGGGCTCGCCCAGCTGGCACTCTCGAGAGGGTCGAGGACCCAGCAGCGGCGGTTGTACTTGCCGGTGAAGAGATCCCTAGTGTTTTCGCCGTGAATCTCGACCATGGCATCGAGAACATTCTGCACATGCTCCTCCTCTGAGACGGAGGCCCAGCGGTTACCCCAGTCACCGGAGACATAAGAAGCCAGCATTGTGGCCGGGCCGGTGCCGTTGATGTTGTACGAGGGGTAGCAGGTCGAGCCGATGGCGGGGATGTCGGAGGTCGTGCTGCAACTGCCAATAATGGGGTTTTCGTAGTGCTCCCAGAAGCGCTCCGAGAACTCGAGGGCAACTTTGCAGGCGCTGGTGTAAGGGAGTTCCTCGATGGCGTTGCTGATGGTCATGGGCAGCGAGGGGAGGCGCCACTTGCGGATGATGGAGAAGGGAACAGCCAGAAGGGCGTAGTCGTACGAGGCGCTCTCAAAGGTCTGATTCTTGAATGACGCGCGCCATTGAAGGTTGACGCGGGAGTTCTCGGAGTCGAACTGGATGCGCTCGATCTTACGGTTCATCGTCGTGATGTTGTCGACGTGGGGGTGGAAAGACGAGGGAAGGCGGCTGAGGCCACCATCAATAGTCCTCCAGGACGCAGCCTCGAAATACATGCCCTCGTAGAGACTGTCCCAGAACGAGCTGTCGCTGTAGTAACCGAGAGCGTCGGTCGAGTTGAGGGAGCCCTTCAGGTAGTTCACCATGAAGCCAAACTCGGACCAAACATCTCCTCCGAGGCCTTTGAGGCCCGAGTCAAGGAACTCACGGTGAGCTTTGAACATGTTTGTGGCCATGCGGACGGAGAAGTCGCTGCCGGGGAGGTACTTGTCAAGCTCCTCAGAGAGAGTGTTTGTGGACTCATCATTGACGGAGGCAACGGCGAGAGAGGAGTTGGCGGCGATCTGGGCAAGGGTCGGCGGCAGACCATTAGCCAGCTTGATGCCGTTCTTGTATGAGAGACCGTTCATGTTGCTCTGAATCCAGGGAATAAAGTCGACACTCAGGTTCTTGTCGTGGTTGTTGAGCTCGTTCATCTCGGCGGCGAGCTGGAAGACGAGCTGATGGTCGGTGATGTTGTAGGTCGTGTTGGTCTTCGGGTCACGGTAATGCTCAGGGAAGCGCATCGGACCCATCTCCTGGTAGGAGTAGTCGAAGGGACCACCAGTGAGGTATTCAGTGTGGACGCGGCCACCGAGACGCTGACCAGCCTCAATGATGCTGATGTTGGTCATACCGGCCTGGGAGAGGACGAGGTAGCTCATCAAACCAGACATGCCGGCACCCACAATGGCAACGTGCTTGGACTTGGCAGCATCGACATCAACGACGCCAGGCTCCTTGTCCTTGAGTAGATTGACGCCTTCGAACCAGGGACCAAGAGTGTCAATGCCAGTGTCGTTGTTCATTTGGATAGCTGTTCCGCGTTGGTATAATAAACAGTGCTTGACGACGGCGAGCCGACTTACATCTCTTCTGGACACGGCGCTTCCACTTGTGGTGGAGCGTCTGAGGCTCACTTCGACCCAGCAGTTTGCCGGAAACACCCCACGCAGAGATACATTGGTCAGACGACGCATCCTCCGGGAGAACCCAGACGAGACGCTGAGAGTCGCGCACCTCAGTCTCGGAAATGGTGTGATGGGCGTCGTCTCGTGAGACACCCCGGCACGACCCGTAAGTGAAGGTGACGGTCTCGTTCACAGGCTTCTCGAGACCGATATGGACGTTGGCAACACGCGATGAGACTGCGCTTCGTGTCTCCAGCTTCATGGGAAGGCCAGAGGCAGCCGCAAGGGCGCTTCCGGCAACGAAAGAGAGAATCCAACGGGCCATTATGAAGAAAGAGGATCAGACAGAGGATACCCGGGTGAGCTTGGCGTGAGGGTGAGTCTCTAGATTTCTCCTTTTACTTCCTATGGACGGGCCCCTATCACTTTATAGGAAGACGAGCGAGATGTTGCCGAAGGTAACCATGCTACTGCGGGTACGTTGTGGCAACGATGCCAATATCGACGTCCAGACCAAGGCTCGACTGGCGGCTATAGCAGACCCCATCCCAGGATGCCTAATCCATGAACATGACAATATTGGTCATCGAGCGGCGGCCCGCTTGCAGTTGCACCGCGGCAGATACAACGTCAAGGGTAGTTCTTGTAAGCAAGTCTGACCTCCATCGGGGTCTTCACCAAACATTTCTTTGTGATACTATGCCGGATGAAGCAGGTGCGAGGAGCCAAACCGAGCTCTCTCGGTGGCTCACCATGTGGTTGTCATGCATGCTGACGTCGTTCACGTACAGACGTCGCCGGCCTCGAGTCCCGGGTCATTGGGTACTGATCCTTATCAGTGGAGAGGGCGCGGTGCAGGCGTCGAGATACGACGAGAGAAAATGGCGGTGGCTTCAATCCCGTTCGCAGGGCGTGATAGGAACCGACCCCGTTCACTTGGCCTCCGGATGCTGCAGCGGAGAAGGCATTCGATGGCCTGCCTGCGGGGCACTGGCTCGGGAAGACCGGGGATTTGTAAAGTTGTAGGGCCTCTAATCCACCGTATCTTTGACCCGCGCCCTTTCTTGGATTTCGCGCCCTTGCGGGGGGAAATGGTTCTGAAAAGGACGGGAGGATGGGACCGGGATGACATGACACTTATCCGGCTTACTCGGCGTAACTAAGAGGTTGCAATCGGTGTTTTCTTTCGAGACTCTGCGTGGGATGGTGCAGGATCTTCGATGGCCACCAGATAAGATACTTCCTCCCTATGAGTTGGCAATAAATAGATGGGTGTGATGTCTGTATGATGGAACCGAGGACATCTTATTCGAGGGGCGGAAGCCAAGACGACGCGACGCTTGCGGTGCTTGGCATGCTGCTTCTTGTATTCCGGTATTACTTGCAGAAGAGGCACTGGGGTAGCGAGGCCTATCGAGATCCAGATACTTTTTGCAGACGCGAGAGAGATTACCTAGGTACTACGTACATAGGTAGTAGACACAACTCTGCGGTAGATCCTCAACTCGTTGGCCGCGGGCAGGCCCAGCCCGCTCGCTCCGGTCACGGCCCGGCTCTGATGCGGGTCGTTGATCCAGTGAGTCCCACGAACTGTGGGTCCGGGTGGGAATGTTCCTGGAGTTTGCCTGCCGGCGTTGCTTCTTATGAATGAAACGTAACTCTGCGCTTTAAAAATGCTTGACGCAAGTTGAGATAAGGACAAATACCTCAAGCACCTCAGGGGGCTTCGGCGAACAAGAGGGGCCGAAGTCCACTAAAAATGGGTGCGAGATGACCAATTTGAAAGACGAGCGAAGAGATAGGAGATACGCCGGCCACCCAATCTCGGCGTATCTGGTGGTGGTGGTGGTGGTGACTAAAAGCGAAGTGATTCAACGGGGGAAACCAAATGTATTTACATACTTTGAAGTTGGGATAATTGAGCGAGCAGTTGTCGTCTAGTAGCAACTTGGGCTTCTTAGAGTTTCAGCAGTTGATTCTCTTTTAAACGGGGTAAAGTAACAATGGCTCAAGGGTCAGAGCCGCAGACAGTCTTCTTCGGCATGATGGCATCATTGGCAGCCAATTGGCGCCCTCGAGCGACCAAGGTTCCCGAGCGGAAATCTCCACAGCTAGGTATACCTACTAGTAGAGTGCCGAAACTCTGGGAGAAGGGGAACCATTTCCCCTCTCTGATCTGTCACGATCTGTGCATTAATCCGAACCAGATTCTGGGGTACCGGTAACTACTATAGTCTTGCGGCCGCAACTATACGCCCGCAAGACCACAGCCATAGTAGCACACACACCTCTGCCCAGCCGTATTCTTCAGTGCTAGGAACTGCTGCATCCTCACGAGCGGGCTAGGCCGAGCTGCACCGCAACCGGGTTCCTCGATAGCACGCAATGGCTGAAACCGCAGCATCAACCGAAACCCCGCCATGGTGGGCAGCCTTTCCCGCACCCAAGGCCAAGGCGCCCGAAATCGAGGCAGAAGAGGTCATGCGGTTGCTTGAGGCTCAAGATGCGGCTGGTAGAGACGCTCCCCGCCATTTCCTGCTCGTTGACGTGCGCCGCGACGACTTTGAGGGTGGCACAATCTCAACGTCCATCAATTTCCCCGCCCAGTCCCTCTATCAGACGAGACCAATTATTCATCAGCTGTGCAAGCAAGCCGGTGTCAAGCGTGTTATATTTTACTGCGGTGAGTTTTCCGCTTATCTGTCTGTCCGTCCGCTAGACTGTGTAAACCCCCTTCGGCCTCCTTCTTTCCCTTGCTGAAGCCGCCCAGGGAGCAGTAATGGACGTGGTCCACGGTCTGCGAATTGGCTGCAGGACTACTTTGACGACATTGGCGAAGCTGCTATCCAGGCTGTCATCCTCAAAGGCGGCATCAAGGGATGGGTGCGCAAGTACGGCAGCCGCAAGATGGACTGGTACGATGAGAGATCGTGGGTCGATGTCGCAAAATAGGGCAGCCCCAACATCCACCCCATGTGTCTGCATAGCTGCGGCGTGTTGTTCCGTCCGAAGGTGACATAATCTTTTGCTGGTATCTAGCATATTTCATCCCCGTCCTGTCTTGAACCGAAAAGGAAAAAGAAAATTGGAAAAAAAGCATTCTTCTTTTTTGCCGTAATAACGCCATGTAAACCCTGGGATGCGATCTTGCGGAACTCGACCTCCTGGCTAAGATTCTTCGTTTACCGCTGATGGTTGCGGTCATCACCGCCAATTCTTTCGAGAGCCTCGAGCATAACGACTGAGTTGCCACGGATGACCTACGTCGTGTTAGCTTCTAGACAGCACGTTCGTCAAGTGAGTTTTGGGTACACATACAACCATGCCTAACCGAACCTTCTCGCCGCCTTCCTTCTCTTCGACTGCCTCGTCCAAAACGATGTTCAGGAAGACCTGCGGCGTAGTTTAGCAATGCTCCATTCTTCCCAAGAGTTCTGCATCGACCACACATACATCGTAGCCGCGGAGAACACCGATGACCTTACGGCTGCCATTGAGTTGGACAAACAGTCGCTTATCGAGATACTGTGGAATCACTGGTTAGCATTATACGCTCGAAACGGGAGCAGAAGGGGCAACGATGCTCGGATGGGAGTTGCAGGCCATCCGTTTTGTTATTGGCAGTACATCAAGCAAGTCCGGAGACTCTGGTATGTCCGTCAGGAATCGGGGCTTCCGTACCTTCTTCAGCTCGGGCTGTGCGGGCGCCATCTTGTCTATATGTGAGTCGAGTGAAGGGGCGATTCGGCGGGTGGGTGGCTGTTTAGATAATGATGTCGCGTGAAATTGCCTTTGGGACGCGACAGAGCTCTATTCTACCTGTCTGCAGCCTGGCCGAGGGGATCTGAATTTGGGTGGCGTCACGTGGCGATAAGAGCCTTATCGCACCGCATTGAACCAAGGCGCATCCGCCTTGTGAATTTCGGATCTGCCTGCCATCAACGGGCGTAGAGTCAGTTCAATGCCTACCATCTGTCCAAAATGAGCGCGTTTACACCAAAAAGAAAAGCAAAAGTCATCAAAGTCCTTGACGATGACGAACATGATACCGGAAAGCCCTCGCCGACCGGCCAAGAGCCCGTGAACAACGGTGAGTCTACTGTTCCGCTCCAAAGACCATGCGCTGATCCTGTCGTTCGCAAGGCTAACGGGATGCCAGATGCTGCACCGGTAGCAGTCAAGTTTACGAGAAAGCCCATCCGCCAATCTGGTCTGCGCAAGAGCATCAACTTCAGCGAGCCCGACGATTCGAACGGCGGAGTCGCGGTTGGCGATTCTGCGAAACCAAAAGCTGTTCCCACGCAAGATAACGACGAGGACGACGGCCCGGTGGTGATTCGACCCGCGGTCAGCCGTTCAAGCTCGCTCAAGCAGAAGAAGCGCAAATCCACCTCAAGACTCTCGTTTGGCGGAGCTGATGTAGGTGACGGCGATGATGTGCCGAGGGCCGAGTACACGACACCAAAAAAGTCGACGCTGGGCTACCAGGCGCTCGAGAATAGCGCCCTGAAGAACAGGTTGCCTATGCGCACATTCCGCGACGAGGACGAGGACCGCCCGAGATATAGCAAGGAATACCTCAGCGAGCTACAGAACTCGACACCAAACACGCCGCAGAGCTTGTCCTCTCTGCGCATGCACGACGAGGATGGCATGGTTCTGGATGACTCCGAGCTTGAAGGAGCCCTGATCGTCAACGAGGGAGACTTTGCGTCCCGGCCGCACCAGACGAACATCCTCACCGAGGCCGAGATCCAGGAGAGGAAACAACGCCGGGCAAGGCTCGCGCATGAACAGCAAGATGGCGACTTCATATCCTTTGACGATGACGATGTCGGCGGCACGTCTCTGCGTAAAAAGAAGAACGACACGCGCCTCGTGCGCGAGGACGAAGACCTTGGTGAAGGGTTCGACGACTTTGTCGAGGATGGGGGCCTATCGCTGGGCAGAAAAGCCGAGAGAGAGGAGAAGGTGCGTCGGAGGCGTGAAATGGCTGAACAGATTCAAATGGCCGAGGGCGGTTCGGATGACGAGTCCGACGCGTCGGAGGCGGAGCGGCGTGCGGCTTTCGAGGCAGCGCAGACGAGGTCAGGGATGGACGGTCTTCAGAAGCCCGAGCGCAACCCTGCAGAACATCTGCTGCAGGTCCCGCCCAAGATCACGCCGCTCCCGAGTCTCACCGATTGCCTGTCGAGACTGCAGACGACGATGCGGGCCATGGAGTTGAATCTGACGGAGAAGAAGAAGCGCGTTGAGGCGCTGAGACAGGAGAAGGACGGTATCATGACGAGAAAGGATGAGGTTCAGCAGCTTCTTAACGAGGCTGGGCAAAAATACACCGCCGCCCTCGGAAACGGAGTGTCGGCTGAATCAACCACCCATTCACCCGCCAGGCAGATCACGAATGCTGGAGCGAGTGAGCTGAAGGTCGAGAGAGGCCTGGAAAGTCTGGGTACCACGCCGAACGAGCGTCCCGACGTGGGGGAACTTGGCTAGAGGTAACGGCAAAGAAGAAAAAAAAAGACCATCATTTCACAATTCGATACCCTAGAGATTCACCCGGAATCATGTCATCATAGCTTCAATTGTTATTTTTTCGATTGTCTAAGAAATACCCTCTCCGTATCAAAGAGAGAAATGTCCTGCCAATGCCAACGCCGCATGAGAATACACTTATGGTACAAACTACCACTTGCCGATTATAAGCACAGTCCATCCTTGCCTTGCACCACGGCAAGGCCCGCCCTGTTTGTGGGATATCAACGACGGTCCTATTTCGTCTTGCCAGACACTCCAGCACCAATGACACCGGGAAGCTTCTCCTCACCGACGCTGAAGAGCAGACCGATGGCGGCGGTAAGGAGACCAACCAAGGCGATACCGAAACCAACGAAGAGCCAGAAGGGAACGCTAACGTCAATCTTCTGGCAGGCCCTGCCGCCCCAGTGCGTACGGCTGCCAGACTCACTCTCGGTACTAAGACACTTGCAGGCGAAGCACGTGCCCTGGTCGTTGCCGTTGGGTGTGGCGTACTTGTTAAGGCACTGTCCGTGTCCCGAGCATTTGTTGGTGGCCTTGTCACACGCATCCTGGGAATCGTAGCATGATCTGATGCTTCCTCTCTTGATGTGACCCGGGAACGGAGCGGTGCTCTGAACGGGACTAGTAGGGGCGGGCCTGTCGTGGTCGTCCGTTTCGGTCATAACCACCTCGACTTTGCGGCGACGAAGCTCCTCAGACTTGGAGGACCAGTGGCGGACCTGCGAGTTGCGAGACGACTCAGGCATAGCGATAACGACCGTTTCCATCTCGCCGTTAGCAGCGAGCTGCTTCAGGAGAGAGACGCTCTCGGAAAGGGAGGAAAGGATAGATGGGTCCTGGGAAAGAGTCAACGTCAGTTATCCAAGAGACATAGGACGCGGTCGACGGGGTAAGTGTTTACCTTGTTAACATCGTATCTGACAACCGATGACTTGCCACTCCAGCATTGCTCCGCAAAGGGATTGATGGCCTTATCGAAAGCACAGTTCTTGGAGGTGACGCCGACAGAGGGGAAGTCATTGGCCAGCAGCACGTCGTTGGCGGTAGTCGAGGGGGCATCCCCAACCCTGAAGCTAGGCCCAGAGCCAGAGAGCGACTTCTGGAGCGACTTTGCATGGTCGGCAGTGATTCCTTCCAACATAACGACCAGCTGGGACGGGTTTGTAGAGGCGGCATTGCTGAATAGGCCCTTGGGGGCCTTGCCAAACTCGTTCAGGTAGGTGACGGCCTTCTCATTGGAGATGGACTCGGGGAGGTCCCAGGATGCATGCTGGCCCTCGGGGGATAGTCGCTGCAGCAGGATAAGACGGGCAATCTGTCGTGGTAATGATGGGATATCGGAACTTGACGACTGCTTGGATTGCAGGAGATATACGTCAGCGGGCTGGTCGGAGGAGAGCGCAGTCGCGACGCCGGCCAGGGCAGTCGCAAGCCCCACGGAGAGCTTCATTGTAACTTTTGGCCTGAATGGAGCTCGGGGATGGAATCCGGAGAGATGGCGATGTGGAGGGGCGGGGGAGGGCGTGATGCGGTTGTGTGATGCTGCTGCTGCTCTTTCTCTCACACTTTACAAGCTGCGAAGTCGAGCTCACAGTGCTGCGGCGAGTGGTGCTGCCAGTGCTGCATGTTTCCACTTCCTGAGTGTAATCCACTCATCTCCCCGTGTCCCGTGCCCGGAGCTCGGTTGACAGGTTTTTCCGACGGCTGTGTGGCTGTTTGCTTGGGGTGGGTGGGGGGCGGCTGCTGCACCGTCTGTGTGCCTTCAATACTTACTGTAGGTGGCCTCTTGTCAAATTGCGACCCTAAGCTGTATACTCCGTATTTGCACTGATCTACTGATTGCGCCATGCTATCGGAGCGGCCCTGTTGACACTGTGTGCCGATTCGCCTCCAACAGAACCACCTCAAACGGCGCATTCGATTGTCGGACCAACTTTACAAGGGTCCTCGCGATTCCCCATACAAGCAAGCAAGCCACACTCAAACCTAGCTACCGGGGTAGGAGCAAAGGCACCGACATTCAGAGCAGCATTGTGTTGCTCGTACATCTTTTTTTTTTTTTTTTTTTTGAATATTTCTTAAATTCGAACCCTTGACGGTCCATGTTTACCTCTTTGACGACGTCTTTCTTGCCTCCGCCGGCGTTAATAACAACCTCGGTCCATTTTCAACAATCATCGCCACGCGCATCTCGAGTTTGATATCCCGCCATCGGACCCTCGCAGCTGTATCGAATCCAGTTCCTCCGTCTACGTCCACCCGGCCACCGAAGCTCGGCGAGCCTGCTGTCGGCAACGATGTGGCGGTTGTTTCGACCACGCACGGGGGCAGCAAGCGCGAGCACTCTGGCTGCTCGGGCGATCGTGCCAAAGGTTCCCGGCCGGCAAACCGTCATCGTACAGAGGGTCAAGATATCTAGGCCAAGATTCAGACCGAGGTGCGTAGGCAAAGCATTATGCAGGCTTCAGCTTCATTGCTAACTTTCGAAAGAACATTCTTCCTCGGTGCAGGCATATCGCTTGTCTGTTGGCAGATGTACTGGTCGACCGTTCTGAATCCCTTTTTCCGACATGTAGACCGAGAATACGAGAGCCTCTCAGTGGCGGAAAAGAAGGCGTTGGATGAAGAAATGGATGAGGAGGCGGAGCCGTGGTTTATTCCGTTCCCCTTCACAACCAAATCCGTTGATCAACCACCGTACAAAGGCAGTGACCCGGAGTGGGAGCAATTTTTGAAGATCAGCAGGGATAAAGAGACCCAATTGCAGATGCGCAGTAGGTAGCATCTCTTGCAGCGCATTTTCACGTCGAGTTTGCTGATGGAGTCCTCTCAGGTCAGCTCTCACAACGAGTTAAGGCCGCCGTCGAAGATAACCCAAGAATCACGGCCAGCGGCGGTAACCCGGTGAGGATTAGAAGATATTGGCTGGATATTGATTTCCCTTACCGGCCACCACCGGTCTTCTATTCCTCTGGGTGGGTCGTCTTCGTTTCTTCACTGTTGCGTAGAAAATACTAATATGGCTCTACAGACTGTTGGTGCAAGGCGATGGTATCTACTGGTCCAGGCAAGAAGTTGATTCATTTGCCGTCAAACGATTGGAGAAGGTGCTTTGGCCACAGGCAATGGCTGTTTCGACATGGGCATTCGCATCGACGCTGTTTAAGCAACACTTTACGGCCATATCCCGGGCACTGGGTTTCGAGTCCAGCAAGCCCGTCCAGCCTTTCCCGCCGATACGAGGTGGCAACGTACAACAGAAAACCCAAGGGCCTCTGCCGTCTGCCAACAGACAGACTCCGGATGGCACCCCGGCAGAGAATGCCTCTCACGACGTCAGCAAAACAGCGGATTCCCGACAGACGGACGGGCCTGAGAGCGGTGGCAAAACCAACTTCGTCAGGGACGTGGCCATTTCCCACGCCGAGGGTATGAAGCATATCACGGCGGGGCCAGTGAGAGAGTTCTGGAAGAAGCTATCGCAAACGTGGTGGTCGCCGAACCGATACCCTCCGCGTGGCTGCGTCCTCGTCTCTGGGTTCGTTGAATGCGAAATGCCCAAAGCTGTAGTGGTGATTGATGTCTGGGGTTTCTGGAACCCCAAGACGAAAATGTTCGATTCCGATTTGACCTACATGAGACTCAGAAGATTCCAGCCAAAGCGCCAAGGTCCTTTACGGGCGTGATGGAGTTTTACGAGATAAGGGGGTCGGAAGTAGAGGAGTGACATTTGCATAAGGGCGGCGTTTGGGGTAGCGGCGACTATCTACTTCACTTCACCTCTTGGGTTTCTGTGGCATTGGTTGGCGATTTTGATTTCGCCAACAAGACGTGCATTGGTTTAGGAGTTTTAGCGTGAGCCCCCGAGGTCGCCGTCAAACGAAGCGTTCTATACAATGGTAGATTGAGCGTTTGTTTTGTTCGATATCAAGATACCTTAGATCGGCTCAGAAATCGTTTTGAGCCGGAGCTGCTGAATAAAGGGAGGGTTCAAGGTTCCTCTCTTCTCGATCGGTTTTCAGAAACAACTGCCATGTGAATCTGTAGGTTGTACGCCAACTAGAACCTCCTCCTGCCATCCCGACGTCTACCTTCAATGCGGCTGCCTCAATCTTGCTGTCTTGAGGGAAATCGCGCCAGTGCCCTGGACATGCAAGCAGGCAGATATTACCTACCTACCTGAAGCAGGCGGTTGAACTACCTTACCTGGTAGGCATGCAATCAATCCCAGCAATTGACGTTGCCTTGCTTGGGTCTATGCACACTGGCTGACCATGGCCCGCTCGTATTGATACCTCATGGAAAGTGAGGCCAAACAACGTCTTCTCACCAATTGACTCAGACCGAAACCAGATCTCACGACCAGATGACCTAGGAAGCCCTGGCAGGAATATATAAATATGCTATTTTCCTTCCTTGTAGCAGCATCCGACACATTATACGCCAGCTTAGGGAGGAAGACACAAGAGAGAGAACAAAAACACTGCGAAATGCAATATTCTTCCTCTGTCATGACCAAGCACCTCCAACGCCGTCTGCTCCGGGACATCACCGAGTTGCAGCAGGAGCCTTATCCCAGCGTCAGCTTGCACACCAGGGACGACGACCTTCGGCGAGCATGTCTTGTTCTTCGGCCAGAGGGCTGGATGCCCATGCATACCACCGTCATATTCGTCGATCGCTACCCTTTGGTTGCTCCCCAGATTATGATGAACACAGTCGTGAATCATCCCAATGTGATCGGCAGCTACATCTGCGCATCTGTCCTCAATACCTTCGAGGGCTACACGCCGTCGTACACCCTCAAGGGCATTGCAATCCAGATGTTGAGCTTCTTCAACAGCTGAGAGAGCTCCAATGCTTCGTCACCAAAACCAACTTCCGGAACACAAAGCTCGGTGTAGGAGTCTCAGTACCCGGGGGCAAACGAGCCATCGAGTCCGAGGTCGATCTTGTTTCTCTGTGTGCGTATCAGGATCTTCGGGCCCGCCACTCTATTCACCACATCAGCTTTGAGTATTGGCTGCCGCTGCCCCTTTCACGCCGCCACTGGCAGTCGATTGAGGAACACATTGCGCCGGTAATACAAAGCCTAGTCACCGCTATCGCATTACCGAATACGAATAATTCGGAATTGGGTGTCCTGGCCACCTTCATGGAACGACATCGTTGTGCACCTCAATCAAGTTGAGAAACACACCCCTCCCCGCAGACTATTGTACGGTGCAGCCTGCAGGGGTACGTTGCGCCATGCGTCCGAGAAGGCAATAGAATCATACTTTCATCTTTTCCACCTGTTACTCTGTCTTGCAACGGCGGATTCAAAGCTCGTTGCGGATGCCAACAAAAAGGTTCAGGGGCTTATGGATGGTGAGAGCTCCAAGGTGTCCTGCCCGAATCTTGGTCACCTTCTCGTCTGCCTGCTCATCAGCGACCTTGAAATCACGGAAAAACTGAGAAAAGCAATCATCACGGAAGCTATCGCCCGAAACGTGGTTTGGATGCTGGACAAATCAGGCGCCAACATGCCAGAGCTGAGCTACCTTGAGCCAGATCGCGTCTCGGTGTACCGCCTGAAAAAGACCTTCGAGGCTAGCCATACCTCGTACCGATTGTTGATGTTCTCCGAGCTCTTCCGTGGGATCGCTAGGCCTTCGAGAGAAAAGACGCTAGTTCAGCTTCGAGACGAGCTCTTCGATCGTCACGGAGCGCCCCCTGCCGGCGCCGCTCTACAATTATCCTCGGAAGTCCGCCGCCTACATAATATCGATAACTCCCAGCAAGTCTTCCGGGAGATGGGCATCGTGAGCCTACCAAGTGCTGAGAAATTCACGAGCGTCCTGCGTGAGTGCGTCCGGGAGAGCATGCAACGGGGGTACTCGGTCTGGGGTTTGCCGGCCACCATAGCGCTGGGCCTACGGCGCCAGGTAGACCCAGAAGTCGGGCTTTTGGAACCATATGTCGCAAAGCCCCTACCTGGCGAGAATTATCTCTACCAGGTTACCTTTTTCCCCAATAAGAGACGCCAGCGGTGAGACCCTGTTCGATGATTGATGGCCGGTACGAAGGGACGAGTCCTCTTTTGAAGAGCACAATAAGTTCTAACGACAGAAACAACCCAAACTGTAGGGGTTATTACTATATATTTTCCGAGTTAAAATAAGAAGAGAAAAAAACATTACAGACCGTGGCCCGGCCATGCTGCATATCCACATGAGTACCTACTGAGCGCACTAGTAGTACATAAAGATGAGTGAATTGAAGGCGGCTCGGTGAGCATTGATGCCTTCGGTGAGAGGGATAAGCGCTTCAACCAGCACATCAGCTCTTATGTAAGCCACCCTTCTCCTTCGCCCTCCCTCCCTCAACGTCCAACGCCTTTCCTCTACTCTTCTCTTGAACTCTTGAGTCACATGTGTAGCCCCTGGACGAGAATAGCTTCCCCGCCCGAGGCGACCATGCTTCCGGTTCGCCCAATGCTTCGTCTTCAAGAAACAATTGGGCTGCTCACCCAGGTCGTCTACAAGTGCCCACCGCCGGCATGACATTAGACTTACAGCGCCTGCGTACTTGTTCAAGGCTTATCCTCTGGCGGCCTCCCTCGTCCCTTTCGTACGAACACGAACAGAGCCAGAAGATATCACGGTCACGGCCATATACTCTGGCTTCAAGACGTGGAGCATCAAATGCGCAAACCCAATCCAGAGTGGTTTTCTCAACACACTTTCATGACTTTTGGCCCGTCAACATCCCTGACCTCTCAATCTGTTCGATGGTCTCTTCGCGAATACCCAACGCAAGCAACCATTTAGAGCCCAACCCATCCTTCCAAAAGCCAGACGCATCGCGAGAGATTCAATCGATTACGCTACACAACGCCAGGAAACATCATCGTCTTCATAACCGAACACCCGTGGAACGACATCCGCATCGCGATCCAGTCTCTCAGCATGCATCAACGCCCTCCTACGATTGACATGTAAGCCATGGCTTCTTCCACTGCGCCAAATCAATGTTAGCAATCATGGTCATCCCAGGCAGATGCGCCGCGAGAAAGAGACGGCGGGGTCAGGGAAGCGGGCGGCACCGACTTTGAGACAAGACCCTGTCACGGCCGGCGAGGTACCACGCCTCGTTGATCCGATCCTCGTCGGGCTCGTCGCCTAGGCAGGGGAAGAATTGGACGTCTGTGGATAGCGGCGCGATGTCGGGGGTGCGGAACCTGGGGATACGGGGGGGCAGCTGTGCTGACGGCTGCTCGGTGTAGGCCGAGACGTCCTCGAAGTCATCGGTGTGGCCCTCCTCGGGGAAGAGAAGGAAATCTTCATACAGCGCATGCTGGTAAGACAACCCATTCTCGTACCGGGTAGATTCGCTCCTGCTGTTGGACAGAGCGTGGCCATCTCCATTGCCGGTTTTGTGGCTACTCCATGATCCGATTGCAACAAGAGTGCTGTGGTCCGCGCTGCGTCTGTTTTTCCGCGATCCGGGCCTGAAGTTTTGGTGATGCGTTTGAGGCCGGTGTGTCGACTGTGGCGAAGTGCATATGCTGGGCCGCTGTTCCTCGAACATGTGTCGAGCCACGATGTTGCACGAGTAGTCAGTTGGGTAGAATGCCCGCATCGACCCCGGGCTTTGGGAAGCTGGTGAGAGACGACCAGGTGCCCTTGTAGGGTTTCGTCCAGGCTTGGAGCCACGAGGGGATGTAGCCTCTTGCGGTGGCATTCGTGAGTGATACTGGTAAGCTGGGCTCACTGGTGATCTTGATCGTGGCAATGGGATCCATCCCGCATCAGAATCAAATACTAAAGGTATGGAAGCCATGTTTGTCCCTCTTGGCAGGACTGGTAAGGGATATCGAAGAGATGATTGACGAAGTCGGTGTTGGTTGAAGTTTCCGATCAAGTAGGGCGAGGATTGACGAGGTGGACGGGCTGGGAGGAAGATGAGATGATGCCTATTCTCGGCTCGGGGAGGCAGTACAGTAGTGGTGAGTGGCCGAACAAGAGTCTGATGAGGTCTGATAGACTCCAATGGCCTGTACGTGATGGAAAGTGATGGTCAAAAGGGGATTTTGGGTGCTGGGAAGGGTTCGTTGATGAGATTGGGAAAATCGAAGAGGAGATGGGGAGGTTGTAGAGAGGAGGGTGGTGGGATACTCGAGGGTCTTCTATGTGAGTGCCCGTCCCCGAGTGCTCTCTCTTCCTCCTGGCCAATCGGCGGCTGTGGTTCCTCTCACCTCCCGTTGAGTGCTAACGACCCCAACACAGTACCCAGGCCCGCACTAGGCCAGCCTTCCTCCTGATACCGTCCGGTATTGTTTCTGTCGCCAACTTCATATTGTCGTCTTATGGAATTGATGCAATGGCTCACAGGGTCGTGAGAGGTCGTCAAGAGGTTGCTGGATATCTTTGGAGGCTTCTGGGCATCGTCAGATAGCGCTGGCTGTAAGTCTCGAGTTCCGTCTCTCCATTGTCTACCCTCGTGTCTGGAACACTACTGGCATCGTTGCTTTGGTCCCTCAAAGTCTTTTGAGATGTGTTTCGACCCCGTTCTGTCTCCCCTTTGCTTCTCTTGCCTATCGGTCTGGGTATGGGTCGGCCCATGGCCATGCCAAGGAACCTCTGTCTGGGATGGGAGACATTGATAGGATTTCCATCATGCCTTGTGTGCATTGAAGCTTCCAGAAAAACTTGCAGTGATATTGGTTCTTCAGCATGATTAAAGAGGCTGATATTCAACGCCGATTCCGTTGTCGCCCCTGCGTGGTGCCGTAGTTCGGTGCAGGCCCAACTGAGGCATAGGTCATGTGACTTTGCACTGAGCCAAAACAACTTGCTTCCTGTCATGCTTTAGAGCCTGGCTCTTGCGCGGATCATATCCAACGAATGCACATGTCATCGCAAGAACGCTGGACGATACGGCGCACCAACTTCCCAGTCAGAGTCCGGTTGTCGGCCTCCCGCCCACCTCCAAGACCAAAAGTTGATGCGCGTAAAGAAATTGATGGTCTTGAGACGGTTCGAATCCCAGAAGAACAAGCCAAAAAGGCGGCAGTTAATCATTCTTATGTCATTGCAAGTCGATCCGGGGAATGTTTGATATGCCCAATACCAGGCCTCTTCTGGCCCTTTATCGGCATCTCCGGTTACTAAGGACCGTCGTACATGTTCCTCGTATTCGCCCTCTGTGTAATCCAAGAGGGCTTTCTTGAAAGGGAGTTCTAGAATACTCAAATCGATACATTCATCGACGGCGTCAGTAAACCAGGAGTAGATTTCGCCTACTCGGTTGTAGCTGGCGTAGGGCGGCTGCTGTGGAAGATTCAAGAGGAGCTGGTAGAATCGTGTAGCCGACGATGTTGTGGACACTTTATAGAGGAACCTGACTCCAAAGCACAATAGCCGCGCTTGATTCTGATTGATGTGGCAGTCACTGCGCTCCAGATTGGGAGGCAGGATCGGAGGCGTCCAGTACACTACCTGCGCTTCGTTTCGTGGGCCACAGTGGTGCGCCTGGAGGGCCTCGAGCTTCCGTAGTTCCATAAGAGCGCGCAACGCTATTGATAAGTCAGCGTCAATAATCATAACATGGAAGTAGAACAGCAACTTACGAGGGCCGATGACAACCGCCGCGAGGAGGTCTCTGGTGGCAACCAGTTGTTCGATTTCCCAGGGCGACAAGCAGTCAAAGAAATGTGCTCGTTGGAAGTTGACAACATCCAGATTGAACCGTACAACTTCCGGGTCCTTAAATAGGTTACAGTAAACCTCGAAGCGGTATAGTGCCCTCTGAAATCGGGCCGCTTCAGCAGCTGAAGGTTTCTCGGTCGTGGCAGACACCTCAGGCCAGTTATGCATATAGTTGACCAGACCGCATTGCTCCTTCACTAGACTTTGCAGTGCAAGATCTTGAAACTTCGATCCCAGATGGTCTACACACTTGTGCAGCCCTGACAGCGCGGCGCCATCCGACAAGCTCATCATGGGGGGGATAGGGGTTCGCCTCTTGAGGTATTCGTCACTGAAGTTGGCGACCAGGTTAAGGTCTCTCGGGTCGAATTTGGATGATTCGAGTGCTGCTATGGCATCCGAGAGAATACGGTGGCCTACTTCGTTCAGGAGCACCTGCCGGCATGCCGAGGGAGCGCAGCGAAGGTGTGTTGGCGATACGAGAGCTGTGTTCCTGAGACAGTTGAAGTCGGGCAGATAGGAGAGAATCGCAACCCATATTTCATCCGGTATGAGTGGCGTCATTTTGTCGTTTAGGGCTTACTCTTGGCCCTGTCGAACAGCATCAGACAAAGGATGTTGGCCTTGACTGAAGGACTCTATTCGCCCTGATCGGTGCAGGTGTCCAGCGTGTGTGAGACTTGACAAGAACGTGTCCTCGGATCTCAGCCGTTTGCTTCCGGAAAACAAACAACGCAGACTTTGATGATGAAGTGCAACATCGGATCAACTCTTGACTCGACGCTGGACTGCATGCAGGATGACTTTTAATTCTCGGCGCCAATGGGAAGAGCGGCTTTAGTAAAGATTGCTCGGTCGATTACAACCCTAAGCACTGAGCAAATGAGCGTTTAATCGGACAGCCCGATCAGGAGGATAAGAGCTGTCGTTGTTAAGAGATGAGCGTTGGCCGCTGAGCCGGATGCCCCGATATGTTGTCGTCGTGAGATGACTATTGATGCAGCCGCCGTTTGGTGGTTGGATACCTGTTGATCACTCCGTTAGTCGGGCCTGAAGCGTACAGTGCAGAAGGCTGGCTTTTGGGCACACAAGGGAGAATGTTTACTGTGTGGGTCTCCGCAGTGGCATCTGCCAATGAAGCTCTACACCATACCACTAGTCCGTAAACGGCTAGCGCCCAATTGCTCTCAAGTCATGTCTCCGTGCAGGAAGGAAGGTGCAGTAAATTGCTGGTCAGCAGCAAGCTCGCGTCAAATCCCTTCCCCAGCCACGGTACCTCTTCGCGAACGTCACCCTCTCCGCCCTATCCCACTTCGCGCCATCGAGCCTCAATTGTCGCAGCCTTACCACGGAGCAGCTTCCGCCTCTCATCCGATAATCCGTTGTCGCGATGGGCAAGAAGAAGCGCGGTCATCCCGATGTCGAGGACGTCCTCGCCCGGCCGTGGTGCTACTACTGTATGCCTACACCTGCAGTGCTGATTCGATCCAGAATGCGCATGCTGACGTTGTTACAGGCGAACGTGACTTTGAGGATCTGAAGCTTCTTATTTCCCATCAAAAGGCCAAGCACTTTAAGTGCGACAGATGCGGTCGCCGACTCAACACGGCTGGAGGTCAGTAGTCCTCGATGCGCCTTCCTAGTCGTGCCATCGCAAGCTAACGTGTTTTGCTGCTTAGGTCTCTCCGTCCATTTGAACCAGGTCCACAAAGAAACTCTTACCCAGGTTGAAAATGCACTACCGAACCGACAGGGCCTTGACGTCGAGATCTTTGGCATGGAGGGTATTCCCCAGGACATCTTGGATCAGCACAGGAATCGCATTATCCAGAACTTCTACCAGGCCCAGGAGGATCGTCGTATTGCCACGGGAAATCCTCTTCCGGGCCAGGCAAAGCAGCCAAGGAAGAAGCTCAAGGTTGAGACTCCAGAGGAGTTGAAGGCCCGTCTTGCCGAGCACCGCGCACGGGTTGCCGCTGGGCATACCCCAGGCACCAGCGGCAGCCCGGCCAACGGTGCCCCCTCGAGCGCAAGCCCGGGTGCATTCGTGAGCTATACTCAGTATCCGATTGAAGGCGTGCTCAATGCTAACAAATCAATGCAGAACAATTCCCCGTACCCCCCACCGCAAGCGCCCTACGGAGCTTCTCCCGATCAGAGCTTCCCACCTGGTGCTGCGCCCGGCGCCCCTGCATTCCCGCAGCCAGGCTACCCACAAGGCAACTATTCCGGCTTCTCTCCGTCATCTCTTCCCGCAAGACCGACGAGCGGCCTGCAAGCGATGCCCGGTCTCCCTCAGCGGCCCCCTCAGTATGGCGGGCAGTTCTGGAACGGCTCTGGCGCCCCGCCACCTGGGTATCCTGGAGCATCAACTGTCGATGAGTTGGTCTCTGGCGCGGCGCAGCACGGAGACGAAATCGACGAGCTCATTCGTAGGGCGGAATCCGGCATCAAGGCGCCCAAGAAGCCAGAGGACGAGGCTGCAGAGGAGGCCGCTGGCGACAAGAAGTCGAAGAAGGACAAGAACGGCAGGATGTTCTACGCAGACACAGAGGTCAGCCCAGAGGAGCGCATGGCGCAATTACCTAGATACGCCTACGTGCCGCCTGCATCTTAGCCAAAATTTGGCTAGTCGGATGTTGACGAGAGGCGTTGCCACTCTGACGCGCTCAACCAACGGCGCGTGCCACAACCACACGCTTCCATCAAAAATGACGTGATTTTCTATACTTGGGGCGACGACGACGACGGCATCCCACCGGAGCGGAGTTTCAATGGCGCAGCAGGATTTGGGATGTATATAACTTGTAAGGAACGCACGAAAAACTCCGTCACTGTACTCATCGTAGGCTGTGGCGCTGAACAATATGACAGGTTCTGCGCTCCCTGATAGACATCTGCTCGTGATTTTTTTTAGTTGATTGAAAGTTGTTGAGATTGGCAAGCTCTAGACCGTCTGCCACATCCATATTATATTGGCTTAAGTCCTTCAAGATATGCGCTGGACGACCAGCCTGCTCGAATTTGGACTCCGACCGAAAAGTCATGTCGGTCTGCGGCATAGTATAATACCTTGCCCGAATATACCTTCTATCTGCACTTCTCCAACAACTCATCTCTGATGACCCAGGAGATATTTTTCGCACACACAAGCTCAGCCGTGTGGCTAGACGACACTGCAAGGTCGTCGTTCATTACGTTAGGATCATCGACGGCATGGTACTTGGTCTTCTGTAATGCTAAATACAACATCAAAACTTCAACGTTCTGAACCCCTCCCGTGCCAAAACGGGCTGGCATAGAATCAAATTGAACCGCAAACTGATTAGGGGCCAACACAAATACATCGAATATAAACGTGTTGTATCAATAAAAGTAAAGCTGTAAAGCTTAGAGGGGCCTTCAGCTTCATACATGTCTGGTACCGGTCAACCAAAGGCTGTTACCCGAACTCACTGATGTTGCTCGATCCGGTGTCATAATCTCTATGTGTAGACTGCAAGCCAGGCCTCATCTTAAGGAGGCCAGCTGGTGTTCTTTCAGTCTATAGATTCAGGGTCTCTATTCATGTTCAATGTGAAGTAATGCCCTGATGAGACCTACTTGGCGTATTAATGCCTGGTGAGCCTACGATTGTCCTTAACAACTCCAGGTGATTGGAACCGGATAAAGCCGCCGGACCTGTTAGGATGATGGGCTCATCTACTCCACCCCGGGGCGTCCGGATAATTCGGAAACCGGATGAACATGGCCTGGACGACCTCGGTGATGGGGAGATGGCATACTCGTCTTCGCTATCAGGCAATAACAACGTGGGGGAGATGCATATCACGGCTAAATGCGATCTCTCCACTTCCAGTACTACTAGCGGTGTTTTCCCCGCAGTTCTTGTGCCATGGACACCCAGATCGACGAAGCTTTGGATCTCCAAAAGGAACGCACTTGGGGTAGCTGTCATATTCTTTCCCCTACTTCGTTTGTCTTCTTGGTATAAAAGTCAGAATTATGTAGTGTTTGTGCATTAATGTTAACGCCACACCTCGGCACTGTCAACTCTGGAGAGACAACTTGGTGACCTGACAGTAACAAAGCATAAAACCAACATTGATGACACTTATGATAGAAGCTTCTTCGTCGGTAGCCGGCTCGTAGCTTGAGCTAGGGTGGCTCACCAGTGTGGGGTAATAGACTTGGAAGCCACCCGCTTGGAAGACCTGGCTACTGTGCTGCGTTGAGTGCGGGGATGCCCTACTCAAGCGTCTTGCAGATTGAGGTCTTGCCGGCACAATCAACCGAGGGAACCATGGATTGTCTCTTCTGGCAGGGGCCCGAAAAACCCTCGTTCGCCCTCTCCCGCCTATCACAAGAGAAGTAGAAATAGCCCCTTTACCCGTTGACTAGGAATCATGACCCCCGTCCTGGCCGGTGATATGTATGCCCAGGCGTCCCTGCATGTGCTTTCTCTCCCATTATTGGTGGTGAAATGGTCAATGGGCTATTGGTGTCATTCTTCTGGGCTCTATGCACGGGAAGCGTCATCCTGGCTTGGTTTAGCGACCGTTCTCGGTCCGGGTGATAGATGGGACCACTTGGTCGGATATTCTGGTTTGTAGTTATATAATGGGTACAGCTCGTGTTCCATTGACAATGCGTGGTGCCCCTCCGGTCGTTACCTTGCTCTTGACCTCTCGCAGTCTTACTTGGTGAATCTGCCCTTGAGCCTTTTCCAGCCCGCAGTCATGGCCTTCGCCAATTTGAGGTCCATCGCACTGGTGACGCTCTCCGGTCTGACGCCCCTGATCTCAGCCCTTGGACAGAAACAGATCATCTCCTTCGAGAGCGGATCAGGCAACTACCAGATCGCAGGAGGGGACGTTGGGACTGGCCAGATCCTGGTGTCTAGCGATGACTACTGGGGTGTCATTCGAGCTGCCGGTGACTTGGCGCTTGACTTTGGTCGCGTCACTGGCACGACCTATACCCTCAGCAATGGCGTGAATGGCTCAGAGCCCGCTTCCTACACCTTTGCCCCGGTGGATGTGAGCAATAATACTGTTGTAAGTACCAATATTCATGTGTCAGGGCCTGATCTGCCCAAAGACGGAGAACCCTTTCTTCAGACATCGTGGAGAGGGTGGCGCCTCTGATATAAGTGAAGCCTCAATGCTGACCACTACAGTACCGCGTCGAAGACGAACAGTCCTTCACGGGCCCCAACTATACCGATCCGAAGCCGGGCAGCACAGTTGTCATCGCTGGTACCGTGGGCCATTCAAAGTTCATCGACGACCTCATCGCAGCCCAGAAGCTCAACACGAGTGAAATCGAGGGGCAGTGGGAATCCTTCGTGAGCCAATTGGTTGAAAATCCCGTCCCTGGGTGCCCCAAAGCCCTCGTCATTGCTGGTAGCGACCCCCGAGGTACCATATACGGCATCTACGATATCAGCGAACAGATTGGCGTCAGTCCCTGGTACTTCTGGGCTGACGTTCCTCCCAAGAGGGCTACCGAGATTTATGTCTTGCCCGAAGGCAAAGTCCAAGGCTCACCTTCGGTCAAGTATCGCGGTTTCTTCCTCAATGACGAGCAACCAGGCTTGTCCAGCTGGGTCTCGTGAGTTACACAGCTTCCATCACCAAGAGCGTGATACTGATTTATTGGCAGATCACAATGGAACGACACCTGGAACGGCGCGGCAGGATATAACCACCACTTCTACAGCCTTGTTGGCGAGCTTCTACTCCGTCTTCGTGCCAACTATCTCTGGCCAACAGTCTGGGGCAGCATGGTTTACGTCGATGACCCCTTCAACCAGCCCCTTCTCGATGCGTACGAAGTCGTTCTGGGCGGTTCCCACACGGAGCCCTTGATGCGTGCACAGAACGAGTTCGGGACATTCTACAAGGGCCAGTGGGCGTACAACCTAAACAACAAGACGATTGACGAATACTTCCGGTACGGTGTGCAGCGTGCGAAGCCATACAGCCGTAACAGTCTGTGGACGATGGCCATGCGTGGCACGGGCGACACGGCCATCGAAGGCAACTTGGGCGTTGAAGCTATTATCGAGATGTTGGAGATACTCGTGCAGAACCAGCAAAAGATTATTGCCGAAGGTCTCGGCATTGAGTCTGCTGCCGAAGTTCCGTCCTTGTGGTGTCTCTACAAGGAGGTGCAGTCATACCAGGAGAGAGGCCTCCACGTTCCCGAAGACATTACCCTCCTCTGGGCCGACGACAACTGGGGCAACGTCCGAAGGCTGCCGCTGGTAAACGAGACGAGCCGTAGCGGTGGCGCTGGCTTGTACTACCACTTCGACTATGTCGGCGGCCCACGTGACTACAAATGGATCAACACGATCCAGCTGGAGAAAACTGCGGAGCAGATGTCTCTTGCTTACGCGCGAGATGCCCGCCGGATTTGGATCGTCAACGTCGGCGATCTTAAGCCCCTCGAGATCCCGATTAGCCACTTCTTCGACCTCGCGTACGACACGGAGAAATGGGGCGTCGACGGCACTGGGGAATGGCTCAAGTCTTGGGCGACAAGGGAGTTTGGCGATGGTCACTCGTCCGAGATCACGGACATCTTGACCAAGTACGGCATGTATGCCGCTCGCAGAAAGTTCGAACTGGTTCAGCCCCAGACCTACTCCGTCATCAACTACAATGAGGCAGACGCAGTCTTGGAACAATGGGCCGCCCTGCATAAGCAAGCTCAGGCGGTGTATGATGCCCTCGATGAGGAGTATCGTGCTGCCTTTTTCGAGATGATCCTGCACCCCATTACCGGCGGCGAGATCCTGCACAAGATCCAAATCAACGGAGCGAAGAACCAGTTGTACGCTGGGCAGAAGCGCAATTTGGCCAACAATGTCATCGACGAATCCAGGGGCCTGCTTGATGCCGATGCCGAGCTGACCAACAGGTGGAACGAGTTGCTCGATGGGAAATGGATACACATGCTGGACCGTAAGTACACGGCGCTCTCGGCTTGAGGGCACAACGCTAACACGAAGCAGAAACCCATCTTGGATACGATGACTACTGGCAACAACCCATGCGCAACACCCTCCCTGATATGCGCTACGTCCAGACGCAGTTCCCCTCGTTGGGCGGGCAGATTGGTGTTGGCGTCGAGGCCTCCAACGCCAGCGTCCAGGGAGACGACCAGTGGCACTCCAACTCGGGCAACGACCTCACCGTGCCCCCTCTGGACCCGTACGGCGCCCTCACGCGCTACTTTGAGGTCTTTGGTCGTGGCAACAAGGAGTGCCCCTGGGAGGCCAGCCCGTGGCAGCCGTGGGTGAAGCTGTCGCAGTACAAGGGAACCGTCGGCGGCGAGAACGGCACGGATAGTCGTGTTTTCATCTCGATTGACTGGGAGAATGCGCCGGCGGCTCCCAACGCGACGCTGGTGCCCATTAACGTCACGTCCGGGTGTGTGGGCAAGGAGAAGTACGCTGGCTCGGGACAAAGGGTGATTGTACCAGTCGTCAACCGCAAGGTCCCGTCCAACTTCACAGAGGGCTTCGTCGAGTCTGACGGACATGTGTCGATTGAAGGCCCGCACTACCAGAAGATCATCGAGCCGAGCGGCAGCTCGAACAGCAGTGGCAAGAAGCTCAAGTACCACGTGCTCGAGAACTACGGCCGCACTCTGGGGGGGGTCACGTTGTACCCGCTCGATTCGGAAAAGGTCAAGCTCGGCGAAGGTCCGGCGCTGGAGTACAACATGTATCTCTTCAGCAACACCAGCAAGGCGACGGTCACGCTGTACATTTCGCCATCGGGCAACTACCTCGGCGACGGCAACCCGCTCGAGTATGGCATCTCCCTATACCCGACCGGTGGTGGCCAGCCGCAGCCCAAGACGGTGCAGCCGGTGGGTAAGACACAGGGCCAGAACATGCCTTCGGGATGGGACGGTGCAGTGGCCGATGCTGTCTGGGGACTCAGCGGCAACTACACGAAGACAACGTTCAACGTCGCCCAGGAGGGCGCGTACACGTTGCGGGTCTGGGCGCTTCTTCCAAACATAATCGTGCAGAAGATCGTAGTCGACCTTGGCGGCGTAAGGAAGTCGTATCTCGGACCCCCTGAAAGCTTCCTGCTGGGACGTGATGAGCAGGGCGCTGCACAGCGAACAGCATTTACCGACACGCCTGGTATTCTCGGGGGTAAACCAGAGTAGGTACAGAGTGCGGGAGGTTGGTTTTTGACGTCGAGAACGAGTGGCTGATGTGATGTCGAGAGGGAATGATTGGCTGGGCGAGGCAACCAATGTTGATTACCTAATACATACCTCCTAATGAAATAGGAACATGAACAATACCTTTTTTGAACCCCAAATAAACGGCCCAGTTAAACCCAGTCCAATGCGATGTGATTTGTTCCCCCCCCTAAACCGACTTTTCGTTGGCCCATGGCACACGTGACTGACAGGCTGACACTTTCTCCATTTACTAGTAGTGAGGAGGTGAGGCTTTGATTGTTTGTGGCTGAAACCAAAGCATCAGCCTCAACTTGCTGACCCAACAATGTGTGGCTGACCATGAACCACCCTTTCTTATTCGCTTGTCTCTCAGAGCAATGGATCCACTACCTAGGAGAGAATCGGGCTTAGCGTCTCCACACCTGCCTCGCTTAAGTGGCTCCCGGTCGCCTGGAGCAACGGTGCCAGAAAACAACAAACGTCAGTCAAGTCAGTCACTCGACTGACTCTCTGCTCTGCTCTGCACAGTCAGCCCAGCCCAGCACAGCACAGCACAGCACAGCACAGCACAGCACAGCACACCAAAACGAAACGGGGGTTCTTCTTCAAGACATTCAACCCACACGTCTCCATCCGCGTCTCTCCTAACCTCTTATCCATCTGCGGCTTCTCTTCCACCCAACGTCGACCGCCAAAGGTAGCAGCAGCAGCAGCAGCAGCCAGGAAAAAGCTGCTCTCTCTTTCCTCACTCTCCTTAGCAACCTCGCTCCTCTTGCGCCGACTGATCATATCCCCTTGATTCCCTTCTCGCGCTTATTTCTCCCACATCTCTTTCTCCTCGCACATGCTTGGCCCGCGCTGCCAAGCGGCTTTGTTTATTTCTTGACCTCACCATTCCCGTTCCGAGCCACTTTCCCAAAACACGGCGCGAGACGAAACCTCTATATCGCCTTCGCAAATCGCTGCAAACATGGTCGCTGACCCCAATGCCGCCTCCATCACGGTCGCAGGTTCGTCGCATAGCCTCCATCGCCGTGCTGTGAATGCAATCACTAACGTCCATTCCCCTCATAGTTCGAGTTCGACCTTTCACCATTCGAGAAGCTGCACAGCTGTACGTCAAATTCACAGACGAAGTGCCATCATCCCACCAGCCTACTGACATCAATACAGAACTCGCAATGATGAGGGTACCGTCTTTCTCGGCGACGGCTCTCTCGCCGCCGCACCGCCAAAGCTTCAGAGGGGTGGTATTAGGCCCGTCATCAAGGTCGTCGATGACAGATGCTTGTGAGTGCTTGCTTCACCTCCCGCCAGCTGTTGACTTCCCATACTGACATGACGCTCGCAGAGTCTTCGACCCTCCCGAGGACAACCCTGTTCACAGGTTCGGACGCTCCGTCGTCCCCAACGGCAAGAAGGTCAAGGATCAGACCTTCATGTTCGACAGAATATTCGACGAAAACGCAACACAAAACGACGTGTACGAGGGCACCACGAAGCAGCTTCTCGATAGCGTCCTTGACGGCTACAATGCTACTGTCTTCGCCTACGGCGCCACCGGTTGCGGCAAGACGCACACCATCACCGGCACAGCGCAACACCCCGGAATCATCTTCATGACCATGCAGGAACTATTCGAAAAGATCAACGAGCGAAGCCAGGACAAGACCACCGAGATCACACTCTCCTACCTCGAGATCTACAACGAGACCATCCGCGACCTGTTGATTCCCGGAGGCAGCAAGCAGGGGTTGATGCTCCGCGAGGATTCAAACCAGGCCGTCTCTGTCGCAGGCTTGACAAGCCATCACCCCAAGAACGTGCAGGAGGTCATGGATATGATCGTCCAGGGCAACGAGTGGCGTACAGTCTCCCCCACCGAGGCCAACGCGACCTCGTCACGCTCCCACGCCGTTCTTCAGATCAACGTCGCGCAAAAGGATCGCAACGCCGACGTCAACGAGCCACACACCATGGCTACGCTCAGCATCATCGATCTTGCCGGTAGCGAGCGTGCCAGCGCCACGAAAAACCGCGGCGAGCGTCTGCTTGAAGGCGCAAACATCAACAAGTCCCTCTTGGCCCTGGGAAGCTGCATCAACGCCTTGTGCGATCCGCGCAAGACCAACCACGTACCATACCGCAACAGCAAACTTACTCGACTCCTCAAATTTTCCCTCGGTGGCAACTGCAAGACGGTCATGATCGTGTGCGTCAGCCCTTCGAGCGTCCACTTCGACGAAACACAGAACACCCTCCGATACGCCAACCGAGCCAAGAACATCCAGACCAAGGTCACCCGCAACGTCTTCAACGTCAACAGACACGTCAAGGACTTCTTGGTCAAGATTGACGAGCAGATTGCGCTGATCAACGAGCTCAAGGCGCAGCAAAAGGATGCCGAGAAGATCTTTTACGCCAAGTTCCGAAAGCAACTGGAAAAGCGCGACTCCGTCGCCCGCGAAGGCATCCAGCGTATTCGGGTGGCCTACGACAACTCTGCAAACGACAGGCGGGACAAGATCAACAACATGAAGAAGTTGCGGGCTTTCGAAAGGCGGATCGGCCTGCTTTCGGCCTGGATTGCCTCCTTCGACACAGTCTGCGATCAGCGAGGAGACGAAGATTCAATGCCTGCGTCCCTCGTTGCCATCCGCAAGACGGCCCAAGGCATCTTGGTCGAATTGGAGCACAGCCGCCACCACATTCACCAGAAGCTGGAGCACACCAACTGGGAACGATCCATCGACACGGCCCTTCACCACAGTATCAAGCAGTTGCCAGGGGGCGATGCTGATGCGGCCGAGATTTACACACTGACTCGCGAGGCAGAGCTACTCAAGGCTAATTTCGGCAGAGATGCCAACCGGGAGGTTCTGGAAATGGACAAGGCGGGCGATGCGGCCATGGTCCAAGTTCTTCTGACCGCCCAGTTTGACATTTTGGCGTCGCTCGAAGACACATTGGAAATGAACGAAGAGGATGCAGTCGCACACGCAAAGCGTATTATCAACCGTTTGCTGGAAGCCGGCTTCACGGCAGCTTCCCATGTTGTCAAGCCCGACGGTGCCATGATTCCCGTGGAGAAGTTTTCACCTAGCAAGCGTGGCACCCCGAAACGCAAGAAGGCGGTTCTCAACAATCTCAACAATACATCTCCCGTCCGACAGCCCGCCTTTGCTCCGCCTGCCGATACTGCGCCCCAGCCCCATGTGTCTCCCTTGAAGGTGTCTCCTCGGCGTAAGAAGACGGGCGCGCCGCGAAGTCCTCGCAAGGGAGTCTCGTTTTCGCCGGTGAAGAGGAAGTCGGAAGCGAAACGCGCTGTTCGGTGGAGGGATGATGAAACTGAGCAAGGAACCCTGGCAGATTTCGAAAAGACACCCAAAAAGTTCGAGACGACACCAGAACACAACTCTCCCGGCAAGAGAAGCCCAAAGATGCCACCCCTACCCTCCTACTTGAGAACAGCATCGCCCAACCCCGACAAAAGCCCGACGCTGGAACTTGAAGGATCCTCATCTATCCCGCCGGCCAAGCCTAACAGGTTCCAGGCTGGATTCCTGTCCAAGGGCCGCGTGTCGTCCATCGGCTCCGGGTCTCCGACCATGCCGGTGCCGACAATGTCGCTGCCATTGGGCTTGTCTCCGTCGTCGGACAACGGAGGGCGGGTGTCTCCCTTGCGAGCTCTTGACGTGCAGCGTTCGTCCAACCTGTCACCGCCGGCGTTCCGCTCTAGAATCGCGAGAGCCAGCCCACCGCCGAGAACGTCGCTCTCGGGCAGTGTCTCAGCCGACGAGAACAACCCGCCGCCGTCTTACAATGCCTCCGGATCCGAGTCGGAGTCGCCCAGCATTGATCCTAGGAAGCTTCGATCTGCGATGAACTCGATGAAGAAGGTCCGAGGCGAGCACCGTCGCGTGTCATCCATAGGAGGGTCGACTGGTGGCAACGCCAGGCGCATCTCTTCGGTCAGCTCTATTAGCACAAACCACCGGGCATCATTGAGCTTCTCGGGCCCTTTGGCCAGCAACTCAAACGGCATCTCCAGACAGCGCCGGGCCAGTGCGGAGCGAAGACTCTCCCCACCCATAACTTGCTCCCCTCCCGATGTTAAGAGCGACCGGGCGTTCACGGCGGGGCAGGCAAGGAGGATGAATCTGGGAGGCAGTTTGAGACTGGAGGGAGGAAGCCCTCAAGCGCCTCCAAGCCGGATGGTCAGCGCCGACTTCAAGAACAGACGCATCACCATTGGCAGTCTGGCAGCTACCGGTAAGATCGAGAAGTCACACGCGCCCAGACCCAGCGTGGCAGGGTGGCGTTGATTTTCTTCTGGTTTCAAACATGGTCACTTTGTGGCTCGCGAAGAGATGGGCCCGGCATCCTCGACTGTTCTGTTTGTCAATCAGTTGCTGTTTTTTTTTTTTTTTTCGATTAAGGGAGGGTAGGCGTTGGGCAATGTTTAGATGCTGGCCCTTGAATTCTTTTGCTTGCTTTCTTCTCATCGTCTGGTGGGCCTGGTCGAGGGTCCATGTATGGTTGTTGTATCAATAGGTGGAGATCGGAGTATATTCACAATTCATCTGATGACAAAGGCCCGTGCGGCAAAGAACAAATCATTCAACAGTGACATGCTTCAAGTTGGAGAATGAGCTCGGCCAAGTGTGCATGGATAACTGGCGTAATGCCGTAAACTGTCAGTCACAGCAGAGTCGTTGCTTGATTTTCTCTCTAGCTGCATGAAGCAAGTTCGCTATCTTGGTCCGACATTGGTATCAGAAGACGGTTCTTTCATCGTCTTTTCGCGATCTGCTGCAGATGGGAGATCATCTCATCGAAGACAAGGTGGCTTCATGACAAGTGCTGCTCTAGAGTTCCGTTGTGAAGGCTATTTGCAGAGGAGCCCCTCGGGCTGGCGTTCTACGGCATGAGGTTCTCCGGCTTGGCTCCAAGTAGCTGGAACCCTTGCGTTGCGTTTATGACTCGGCTTGACGGACAAACGCGGTCGGCCTGGAGAACCGAGGAAAACATTGGACGGCCAGCCATCGGATGGGGCTTTCGGCACATGATGGGAAGAGTCAGATAACAAGGGACACGAAATCCCGCAAAATCGTGGAATGAAGACGATGCCGACCATGTTAAGCTACAGGACAGACCGGCCTTGAGCTCGCCTCGAAAGGATGACGGTATCTTCCTGGGGGGGACCACAGCCGCCGAGCGCGCACATAAACGGGACATGGAATGGTCGCCTTGACCACAGACTCGTTTGGCCCTTTGCACAAAAGGGTAGAGCCGCCTACAGCAGGGAAGACCCTGGCCAGGGAGCTCTGCAGGCGCGCAATCTTATTGCAATCATGCTTATTCAACCGTTTTCAACCAATCAACTGTTATCGCCGGCAAGATAGTGTCGAGTGGTGAATCGTGCAAGCAATACAAATAGATTAGGGGGAGGGGGCAGAAGAACGGGGCCTATAAACGTTATTCTCTTATCTTCCGAACGAGGCCACCGGCTCAACCGGCATCGCTCTCGAAATGCTGCCGCCCAGTCAAGTCGCAGCTTTCATGTCTTCCACGATGGCAAAAGAGAAGGCCGGGGCGCGCGAGGATGATTGAGGAATGTGCGAAAGGGGAGCCGTTCCACAATGTGCGCAAACGGGATGCTATTCGATGCCAGGGGGCGGCGAGTTCAGTCAACATACCCGCGTGAACTTTTGCAAAAGGCGTCATCATCCAGGCCGGCGCTTCGTGAATCCCCCCCGGGGCTATGCGCGCTTCTCAAAGGAGAAGCTGGATGCTCCCAGAGCAGGGTTCAGGCCGTAACGACGAGAGCACGTCAAGGCCGGTTTGGGTAGTCGGGGTCTTTCAAGAGCGCCAAGAACGTCGGCAAGCGCCTAAATGTTCAAGTTGCCGTCTTGGCTCCGATCTCGTACCTGCGCGGCCCCGGACTGGGCAATCCTGGGCATCGCCGGGGCGAGGGCGAGATGAAGACGGTGATAGGGCCGGCCAGGGTATCGAGGGTTGTAATCCCCGCTCTTGGTGACATGTGGAGACTTGGCAGTAAAGCTTGTCTTTATATGCCGAGGCGCCCAAGAGGCCCAGAATCATTGATGAACTGGACGTTCGGACATGGGTCGTCCCGGTCTGTGACTCGGAGCCCCAATGAAATATTGGATTTAGGCCGCGGTACGGCCTGGCATTCTCCCGGAGCCATATCCCGAGTAGGTAGGTGACTTTCAGTTTCAACGCACTCGTCGACTCTTGACTCGACGACCCCCGGGTACCTTTGTTAGAGGCCTCGCCCCGGGACCATCGCGACGAACGGCTGGCTCTATGACACTCTCGATTGGTTGGCGAAACCATGTGCCGCGGTTCATCCCCATCCCGGGACCCCTCTTCGTCATCAACTTTCTCCCTTATCCGGCCTTTAATCCTGATTCTATTCAACCTCTCGCTTCCACCGACTAGGGAGTCACGAAGTTGTCTGAGTCGTCGGACCCCTTCGACCTGCTCTTTTCCATCTAGCTCAACCACACTGGATTGTTCGTGCTCGTGACGAGCTCTGGCCAAAAGTTCCCCCCTTCCCCTTCCCTACTACCTCTGGACCGGGGATAGGCTGGCGTTTGGATGATCCTATGGGGAACCGATGGGGCACCGTAGAGACCTCGGCTGGTTGAGGCTGGTTGGTTGCTACGAGCTGTCGATTTCTCGTGGACCCTGTCTCTTTTGTTATTGTTGTTGATCTTCTTCTTGCGCCACTAATCGTGCGCAGACGCTCTCCGACCTCACCAAACCTGGTCCCCTGTACATGCATCCTCGAACTACGGCAGGTCGACGAGCCATCACACGATGTTCTCTCTTGGAAGGTGGTATCTCTCCCCGGTTATCTCGTGCCGGACATTATCTTGGCTCAACCGAATACCCCTCAGACTTGTTGCTGCTGCCAGTTACTGTTGCCATGTCCAAGGACTATCATGTTGGCATCTCTGGCAGTCCTGCTGCAACTCGCAAACGTCTTGTCCAAACTGATCCCCATTGCACGTCCTCCTACTTGTGCAGTCAAGTCGTATGCCTAATCCTGCTCCTAATCGTACGTACATCCAACTATACACTAACACTATGAGGCATCTGCATCCTACAACTATTGAAAAGCTTATGAGATCGACCAAGGGAAGAGAGCGTGCCAGTGCGGAGGGGGAGGGGTGGGGCTGAATCGATGAGTGATTGTGTGGGGGGTCCCGGCATGGTAGCACCGCTCTAGCTATATCGACGATTGTGATGTTGACACGGGGGTCTGCCGAGCCCGAGGTCATCCTATCGTCGCTTGGAAGAACCTCCATCTGGGACTCGATGATGATGATATAAACCGTCCCGTCTCTCCCTCTCATCGTCCTTTCTCATCCTCATCCTCATCCTCTTCTACCACTCTCCAGCCCTCAGACTCAAGTCTTCTCTTCCTCTCACTCTCTCTACTTCAGTCCTCCAGGTCTCTTCAGTCCCACTCACTTGTGTTCTTAATCCATCACAATGACTGCCTCATCTTTCGTTTCGGCCCTCGCCGCCGGCCTCGCCCTGGCCTCCACCGCCGCCGCCCTCCCTGCCGCTACCCAGCAGGAGAGCAACTTCTCCGTCGAGCAGGTCCCCAACACCCGCTACGTCCGCTCCGGTCCCCTCGCCCTGGCCAAGGCCTACCGCAAGTACAAGATTCCTCTCCCCCAGGACCTTGCCAGCGCCGTCTCCAACATCACCAACGCCCGCCTCGGTCAGCGCGACACCGGCAGCGAAACCGCCAACCCTGAGCCGTCCGACTCCGAGTACCTGTGCCCCGTCAAGATCGGTACCCCGGCCCAGACCCTCAACCTCGACTTCGACACCGGCTCTTCCGACCTCTGGGTCTTCTACAGCTCGACCCCATCCAGCGAGCGCGACGGTCAGACCGTTTACAACCCGAGCAAGTCCCGCACCGCTTCCCTCCTCTCCGGCGAATCCTGGTCCATCTCCTACGGCGACGGTTCCAGCTCCAGCGGTATCGTCTACAGTGATGTCGTCAGCGTCGGCGGCCTGTCCGTTTCCGGCCAGGCTGTCGAGGTCGCTCAGACCGTCTCGGACGAATTCAGCCAGGATAGCGACAACGACGGTCTTCTTGGTCTTGGTTTCAGCAGCATCAACACTGTCTCGCCCAACCAGCAGACTACCTTCTTCGACACTGCCACTCCCCAGCTGAGCTCGCCCGTCTTCACAGCCGACCTGAAGCACAACAAGGGTAAGTATCGTCCGTCCCTCAAATACAACGAGTTGGGACATTCACTAACAGTCAACTAGCCGGCAAGTACAACTTTGGTTACATTGACAACTCGGCCTACACCGGCTCCATCACCTACACCTCGGTCGACAACAGCCAGGGCTTCTGGGGTTTCACCTCTTCCGGATACCAGGTCGGCTCCAGCAGCTTCACCAAGAAGTCCTACGAGGGCATTGCTGACACCGGCACCACCCTCTTGCTCCTCCCCGACAGCATCGTCAAGGCCTACTACAAGCAGATCAGCGGTGCCAAGTACGACTCTTCCCAGGGTGGCTACGTTTTCCCCTGCGCGGCCACCCCCCCGTCCTTCACCTTCGGCGTTGGCAGCGCCCGCATCACCGTCCCCGGCTCGTACATGAACTTCGAGGCTGTCTCCTCCAGCTCTTGCTACGGTGGCATCCAGAGCAACTCCGACATCGGTTTCACCATCTTCGGTGACATTGCCCTCAAGGCCGCTTTCGTTGTCTTCGACGGCGGCAACACCCAGCTCGGCTGGGCTTCCAAGACTCTCTCCTAGATTACCTGGAGGTGACGCAAAAGGGAGACATAATAGGAGACTGCGGTCAATCACACTTTGCAACCCGAAGGATCTGAAATCGAGGACTGGATACAGGACGGAAGAGGACTGGGTTTCACATTGTCTGATGACCGCTTCTCAAGTCACTTGACACTTTCTCATGCATATATTTCTTACTAATTACTTTTTCTTTTGTTATCGGTAGTAATATATATTTATATATATTAGTCAAGGTGGCTAGAGGTAGCTGAATAGTGGTTGAATGACAAGACTTGCATATTCCAAGAACAAACCGCTTCAAATAGCTTGATGTATGCAATTTTTCCGTGTATCTGGCCCATTCAGACGTTTTTCGTTTGTAGAGTTCCCCTACCTTGTTTTGCTCGTCTGTATATCCCCCTTGGATTTTCCCCCGAAATCTGACGCAACATATTCTCTCCCATTCTGGCACAACTGGGAGGCAAACGAAGCAGCAATTGCTACACTCGCAGAAACCACATTTGCTCACTCGCTACGTTCCGAGAGCCAATCACCAACGCTCATTCCCGCTCTCATTTCCATAGCTCGTCCCTCCTTACACCTCTCACCACGTTTCCGTAGACGGACAACCTTGGCACGTGGCAAAATCCACTTCATACTTGGCGGCACCTGCGTCTTCCGAGTCCTACCCAGTTTCGCGGGCGATTCTCTATCCTAGCCAACGGGGCCGAAGGCCAAGGGTGCCAAGAAGTGTGGGCAGAAGGGAAGGGGGTCGGGGAAGACGAAAAGGTGTGAACATTCGGATTGGCAATACCGAGGTGCAGACGGTAGCTGACGGAATAGGTAGACCGGATTATCTCATAAGCGGTTCAGTTGATAAATGGGAGAGGGCCTGATGCGAAAAGGAGGAAATGCCGGTAGAGGGCGAAGAGCTACAAACACATCGTCTAGGAGATACTTGCTTATATCCAGAATGAAGCATATTTTTGCTACGATAACGATGATGGCGACGGGGTAGTGAATGACTGCATCTTGGATGGCTAGGAGGCTTCGACAGTTAGCTGTCATATACCGTAAATGCAAACCCCCTGGAGATCGATTGGCCGGATCCTTCCAATGAGGTTCAAGAAGCCAAAACCCGGAGGCGACATAAGACGCAGTGAGCTCTCACGTTTCTCCTTGGGTAACCCTGAACTGGAGGCTGTCGACCCTACAACAATGATCGCCACCATCACGATTAGCGACATACTGAATTTCACCTAATATCCTGAGGTTTCGATCATCCAGTGGAAGGTTGGCAAGAGGAGATTTGGTGCCCCGATGACATATTTGAAACTCGACGGAATAGAAGAATTACACGACTACCTCGACACGGCATGGCCAGCGACTTACCACTGAATGCTTCCAAATGCTCGCTCACGCTTCTGCATGTGTCTTCTACCGTAGTGATCTCAAGAACTCTGCATCTGTTCAACCTATCTTGGCGCGGATGATGGGAGGGACAATAGCGTGACTGTCTTCGGCTACACGGCAGACTTGACAATATCACAGATATGATGTCTGTCTCACCGATTCCGTGAGTTCTTTCTACCTTATGGCTACTGAATATGATGCCTCCACAAATGCTCGATGCTTACTGTACGCCATTTCGACCACCAACAACATAAAGAGAGAGAGCGCCCCAGGATGCCTTCCTTGACTAGCATCCTGAGTTGTTTCGAGGGCGGGACGCAGGGTAGGAGGCAAGCGTGATAGGTGTGCATCCGAGCCCCATGTTGCCGGTGACCGGCCATGTGACAGACCCGACAAGTCAGAGATGCTATGTGATTAAGGCAGCGTTATAGGGCATGACGGGACGGGTTGGGTACATAGGGTCCAAGGGCTCGGGTCCGGAAGCAGAGAGCAGCATACGAGGAGGGAGGGAGTGGGATGCGGCATTGCATGATGTTGATCGCGGCTGAACCAGCGCGGTATTGGCGCCGCTGTCTGTGCCCCAGACGCAGTCGAATTTTTCCGTCAAATGAACGAGATTCGGCGCTCAACGCCAAGCCCATTGGCGTGCTGCCATAAAGTCTAGGGGGGTTGATGGAGAGGGTGGTTAAAGAGATTTGGGGGCCCCGTTTTGGCTATCCTAGTCATCAAAGTCACTGGCAAGGAGTTCACCTGATTCTCGGACCTGGACGAGTAGAAGGGCCAGAAGTCCATTGAGAATAAAAGTATAGATCGAGTTGTTTGTCTTGTTGGAGGAGGCAAACAGATGAAGTCAGCCAGCCAGCCAGCCGACCAGGAACCATATGGGCAAGCAAAGGACAAAGTCTCACTTCACCATCTTAAGAGCAACAAAGTTGGCATTAATCCAGCCACGCCCGCAGCCTCCCTGGCTGGCCTCCCTGTCTCTCGGTTGGTTTGGTTAATGGTTCATCCGTTTCTGGTTCGTCTCCACGCGGGTCCTCCCACCCCCTCCCATCCCCTCATTTCACAGCCATGCACACCCCCCCCGCGATCCCCAAATATTTCTCCATCCTAACTAACCATCCCCGTTCCTCTCACCCGCCTGCGCCTTTTCTCCGCAGAATCCACTGGCTAAGATGGGATAAGATGGGAAAGCATGGCATGGACCGACGAAGGTGACGGTGCTACTGGGATCAGAGCAGGAATCGGAGAGACCTGAAGATGCGTGTGGGATAGCCAAAGCCGATTGGATTCAACTGACGGGTCGTTGGGCATTGGTTCAACTTACTGCACGTACATCTGCCGCTCTGCATATCGTATCACGTTCGCCTCTCAAAAAAGTTCCCCGGCGACTCAAATGCAACGTGGGAAGAGACTAGACTCATTCCAGCGAACTAAATCCACCTCCCCCGTCTTCAACCGGCTCCCTGACCATACAACCCCCCATGCTCATGCTACTTTGCCGTTTTGCCTCGTTAACTCTCGTCTGGCGGGTTTTTGCCTCCGCCAGCAGCCTAAACTCTCTAACTGGGCGACAAAGCTGCATCTAACAGCGAATCACACTCCACTTTCCGGACAACCGATTGCCCAGATCTTCCATGTTTGGTCCACTCATCGTAGCCTGGGGCGTCCGGGGATGGAGAACGGGTCTCTCTCTGGGGTCTGTGAGAGTCGACTCTGTTGCTGCGACTGTTATTGAATAGTCTCAGGCTTCTCTGCCACACACACACACACACACACGAGGTTTGAATCTCACGGATCCGTTGGACGTTGGAGGCAACCATATCACATCTGGCCTTCCCTCCAACTCGGTCCAGTCTCGTGGTTTCCGCCGGCATTTGTGCCTTTGTACTATAGACGCGGTGAACATTCACGGCCACAATAGAATTTGCAGACACCAAGACAGTCGCCAAGTGGTTAAGCCCGGTTCAGTTTCCAGCATGCTCGTCGAGATCGGCCCGGCAAAGCTCTACACCCTTGGCTCACAACCGACCATGCCTTCTGCACCTCGCCGAGGTGTCATCCGGCTACCTTGGCTCAAAATGTCCAGTCCATGGGAGCCCAGGCATGTATGGCATGGATGGCATGGGTGCTTGTCATACTTGTCGTTGCATTCTCTCGGGCTACCTCGACAACCACCACCGCACCGCCCATCCAGTACCATGCCCCCCCCACCCCCAAGCTTTGCCGGAAGTCTCCAATGAGAAGCCTCGATTAGTTGAAGGCGAAACCGAACAGGCACACCCACCGCCGTCGTCCTCCAGCCCCCCTCTGAGTGGTGGAAAATCCCATGGAAGATTTGCCCTCCGTCTTGGTATCGCTGAGGCTCGATCTCCTGGGGGTCCAGAGACAGAGGAGCGGATGGTCGGGCCAGGGTCAGACACGACTAGGGCCAAAGCTTCCCGGGCAGAGAAGCATGCAGAGTCGCAAGCTTCCCCGCATGTACATACTCCTCACACACCAACGAACCCCCGGGGGGGGGGGGGGACACTTTCCTACGGCAACCTTTCTACATTGGGTGGTGGTAGATTGGTGATTACCCTAGCCGTGAGGGGTTCCCGGCTCTTACAACTGGGGAAGAGGAGCATTTCTTGTCAGCAAGGAAAGATAACCACCAGCCTGGGTTACCGATATATCAGGGCAGCTATCCCATGCTCTCTTGTCGAGTCTTTGCTTCTCTCCGTCTCTTCGTCCTTACATCTTAAGCCCACAGGCACCCCTTTCAAACTCTCCAACTGATTCGCTTTGGCTTGAGACTCGACCACGAACGGGTGCCGCGTGTCGCATTGGCCAACATTCTCTCACTTCCGTCTCACTTGCGATAGCAGCACCAACCTGCCAACGCCTGGCCTGCTGCAGAGAAACAACCGCCCAGCATGACGGTCATGCAAAGCATTCTGAAAAAGATTGTCCACAATGACGCCATGGACTCGGACCCCCCCGAGATCTACGGTTGGAGAGTCTTCACCCTCGCCGCCTCCGCCTGCTTCGGTGCCATGTCCTTCGGCTGGGACAGTTCCGTCATCGGCGGTGTTGTTGTGATGGAGCCTTTCAAGAAGTAGGCCGCATCCCACATGAACCTGTCTCCTCTAGGATCCGGTGGACTGACCTTTCCTTCTTAGTGATTACGGTCTCCAAGATGCCGACTCGGTCGAGACCGCCAACTTGACTGGTAACATCGTCTCTACCCTCCAGGCGGGTTGCTTCGTCGGCGCCCTCATCGCCTCCCCTTTGACCGACAAATTTGGCCGCAAGTGGTGCCTCATCGGCATCGCCGCCGTCATCCTCGTCGGTGTCATCCTCCAAGCTGTCTCTTCCGGAAGAATCGCTGCCATCTTCGTCGGCCGCTTCATCGCCGGTCTCGGTGTCGGTGCTGCCTCTAGTATCAACCCCCTCTACGTCTCCGAAAACGCGCCCCGTGCCATCCGTGGTCTCTTGACTGGTCTCTACCAACTATTCATTGTAACGGGTGGTATGATTGCCTTCTGGATCAACTACGCCTCTGACCTCCACTTCTCTGGCAAGATGAAGTACGTCTTCCCCCTCGCCATCCAGGGCCTTCCCAGTCTCCTGCTTCTGCTCTGCATGCTCTGCTGCAACGAGTCGCCTAGATGGATGGCCCGCCAGGACAAGTGGGAGGAGTCCAAGAGGATCCTCGCCATCCTTCGCAACCTGCCCGAGAACCACCCCTACCTCGAGGACGAATTCCAGGAGATCGTCGACCAGATCCACCACGAGAGACAACTGATGGGTGACGCCACCTTCATGAAGATGCAGAAGGAGATGTGGACCGTCAAGGGCAACCGCAACCGTGCTCTCATCTCCATCTTCCTCATGATCTGCCAGCAGATGACGGGGACCAACGCCATCAACACCTATGCTCCGACCATCTTCAAGAACCTCGGCATCCAGGGTCGCTCCACAGGTCTCTTCAGCACCGGTATCTACGGCATCGTCAAGGTGCTTGCTTGCATCTGCTTCCTGCTCTTCATGGCTGACTCTCTCGGCCGCCGTCGTTCGCTTCTATGGACCTCCATTGCGCAGGGCTGCTGCATGCTCTACATTGGACTCTACGTCCGCATCTCCCCGCCTGTCGACGGCCAGCCCGTTCCCGCTGCTGGATACATGGCTTTGGTTTCCATCTTCTTGTTCGCGGCCTTCTTCCAGTTTGGTTGGGGTCCAGCTTGCTGGATCTACGCGTCTGAGATCCCGACCGCCCGTCTTCGATCGCTCAACGTCGCCCTTGCCGCTGCTACTCAATGGCTCTTCAACCTCATCGTCGCCCGTACCGTCCCCAACATGTTGGCCACCGTAGGTGCCCATGGCTATGGGTAAGTCTTGTCACCCCGAGGCTCTCAGTGAATCAACGTGCTAACCCGTCCACAGAACCTACCTTATCTTCGGAAGCTTCTGTTTCTCAATGTTTGTCTTCGTCTGGTTCTTCGTTCCCGAGACCAAGGGTGTTTCTCTGGAGCACATGGACGCCCTCTTCGGCGCCACCGAGTACGATCCGGACAAGAGGCTAGCTACGGACAACGCCAGCGATACTAAATCGCCTGCCGAGATGCAGGTCGAGTCCACCAACCCCGCCCATGCCCACGTCCGCAAGGAGGGTGCTTAAAAGAGTCAGAGGGTTTACGAACAGATTTGTTTATACGACTATACATAATGTCTATGGTTGAGAGCTGTAAGCGGTTGTGCAATTAGATGAAGTTTAGAGCGAGGCCGAGCTGCTAGCTGAGAAGATGCGGCCTCCATGGAGTTGTTGGCTTTTGATACCTATCTTTTGAGCCTCGTGTCACGCACAGGGCATGACGGCATTCCAACCCAATATTGAACCTGAACTGTTGGTCTTACTGGCATCTACCTTTCAAAGACATGAGTTCCTGTTGACACCTTCGCCTTTGAATGTCGTCTCGGTTGGGTAATGAGTGACTTGCCGAAAGCTAAAACGCACGTGTGTATTATCAACAACGGGTTGAATTTCTGATCGCACAGGAGTCTTGGCACGACAAAACAACAAACTCGGATCAGGGCGAGAGAACGATCCATAGTATCTCGGTCAAGGTTATATGATATGTCAAAGAGACGACAAGATGTTATTACCTGGTACCGTTCTTGTGAAGCTTGCAAAACACACGGAAAAAGTGCCAGGAAGGAAATCACCATCAGGGCTAAAAAAGCTTGAGCATTTTCCTTGGCAAGTCTAGCACAGCGACATCTGTGGCGCGCGATTCGATCCTCTCAGCCGCTTTTGCCAAACTCCGATGGCGTCCAGCCCCTCTTTCAATGCTGGGAGGGAAGGGCGCAAATTCCGTTGGCACTAAACCAGTTCCTGTCGAAATCCGAAGGCTCACGCTGTTCTATTAGATGCCACATTCAGCCACGAATTCCTCCCCATCAAGCCTATGGGGTTGTAGTTTCTCGTGGCCCCCCCGAATCGCAACGACCTCCGCCGTCTCGGCTCATCAAACGACACACTGGAATCCCGGACAATCGAGAACGTGTAGCATTCAACCTTAGTTTTAGGTCCAGATTGGCGTCTCGCAACTATGACTAGCATATTCTCCAGCCCGTCGGGACAAGGCCGTCAAGATATCTCTGAAATGATGGCAAAGATACAGCACCCCCTTTGGGAAATGGTTGGTACAACACGCTTATAAGTATCGACTCTCTCCCTTTTCTGTCTGTCACATCTCGAATACCAGCGTGAGTTGCACACATCAGTTGCCAAATGAGGTCTTTCATCCCACTTGTAGCCCTTCAAGGGCTCTTCGCTCTCTCAGCAGAGGCCCAGAACCCTCACCACGTCGTGGACCCGGCACTCTTCCCCGGCATCACTCCAAGCACTGACCTCGTCTGGCATGACTGCTACACAGTCTTCAAGTGCGCTCGGTTGACCGTAAGTTCCTTTAGTCATTGTATCTGTCCGCCTGATGACAATCCTCTGACACCGGCCCAGGTCCACGCCAAAGCCGCCGACCCCCGGAAACCCAAGAAAGTCGAAGGAAACTGCGGTCAACCAACCGTCGACCTCGCCGTCGTCAAGCTCCCCTATGTTCCCGTTGCCGGCGGTCCCGCGCACCAGGGTGCCGTCCACATATCCCTCGGTGGCTGGAGCTCGTCGTCTACCAACTTCCTCGTCCGCTTCGGCGAAGACTACGCTCCGCTTTTCGCAGGTTACGATCTCCTCGCCATCGGTGCGTTCCCATATTCACCCACGCATTTCTTCCCGCCGAGACTAACATGCAGCATCAGACTACCGCGGCTGGGGCTGGTCGACCCCGGCCTTCCGCTGCTTCGCCTCCGAGGACGAGCGCAAGCAGTTCGCGCTCTCCGAACCACAGCTCCTTGGTGCCGATGACGCCGCTTACGCCGCGAGGGAGAAGCGGGCGGAGGAGCTTGCGAAGAAGTGCAAGAAGAACGGAGAGGATGTCGGGAGGTTCATGGGCACGTACTCCAATGCTATGGACCACTACACCATCATGAGGGCTGAGAACCGCACCAAGATGGGGTTCTGGGGCATCTCGTCGGGAGCGCATCTTGGCCAGACTATCGCACAGGTGTACCCCGAGGTTGTCGACAAGTTTCTCTTTGACAGTGAGTGCCCTTTCTATGCCCTCCATATCGTGTTTGGACCACGGTCTTTGGCTCACACCAAGCCTCGCAGGTCCTGCCCCATCCTCACTCGCATATACCGTCACGACGGCTCAGCCCTCTCAGGTCAAAGACGCAGAGCGCGGCCTCGAGGCCTTTTTCTACACATGTCTCAAAGCACCAGCAGGGAACTGTTCCTTCGTAGGACCCTCCACGACGACAGCCCAGCTCCGAGGCCGCTACAACGCCCTGAAGGCCAAACTGAAAACCAGCGCCCTGGCAGTTAACGGCACGGGTAAGAAGTTCGACTGGTCGGCCCTCCACACATTCCTTACTATAGCCCTCCACGTTCCCGGCTGGTTTCCCGTGCTGGGCGGCGTCTTGTCCGAGATCGAAGCCGGCGGGGCGGGTGCCTGGATCGGGTACGTCGCGACAAACGTCCTCAATCAGCCCCCTGCGCCGCTACCCCTTCTCACCGAAGATGCCCCCTTCGAAGGGATCCTCGCAGGCGTCTGTAACGACGAGAGGCAGCACCTGAAAGGCAGCAAGGACGACTTCAAGACATACTTCAAATCCATGACCGAGGCGGCGCCCAGCGTGGCGGCCATCTTCTCCGAGTGGCGCCTTGTATGCTCCAAGTGGAAGATCGACCCGGTCAACGTGCTTGATGACAAAGGTAGCGCGTTCCGTGGCCCCGTCAAGACGCAGGGCAAGTTCGTGGTGGTCAACGGCGTCGGCGACCCGGCGAGCAGCGTCGAGGGGGCCAAGGGCGTCGCGGCGCGGTTCTCGCCGAGTGTGCTCGTCAAGACCCTTGCTGCGGGGCATACGAGCTTCACGGCGACCAGCGACTGTCTCTTTGGAGTGTTTTATACGTTTTTTGTGCTGGGGCAGATGCCGGCCGAGGGGACGACGTGCGGTAACTTGTTTTCTCCGCCGTTTGGCGTCCAGCTGCCTTCTGGGTTTTAGGTTGTACGTGTCTGCTTTGTCGTTTTTCCCGAGGGTTGTATTCTTCCAAGTATACCTTTCCATGCCTGGCAGAATATGCCGTCCTTCTGCTAGAGGCAACGTAGAGAACCATGATCAGAAACACTGAAAAGCAGAATTATACCAGAAAGTCCAATGTGTTTGGATAACGCGAAGAAGATGGAGTGAGGCCACAGGGGGGAATGAGTATCAAAGGTGAAGAAAGCATGCCGCGTAAAGCTCGTATTACGGCCAGGTATATTATCCAAGAAGTCTGATGCCCAAGTATGCCCCCAAAACGCCAGAACCTTGGCCATTGCATGGCTCATCCCAAGAAAGTCAGGCTGCCCCCTGTCGACCCATCGACTTCCAGTACCCAGGCCAAGAATCTTTTCCGCTGCTCCTGAGTCTCAGCATACACGAAACATTTGTGGTTGCAACCCCCGTTTGAACGCCTATTGTTGTTCTATAACAGAACAAGAATAATGAAAACAAGGAATAATAAAAACTTGAGGGGTATGCGCAAGACTGACAAAGATACAGTTACTGGCTACCAGGCACTGCTGCAGAGTCAAAAATGATGAGGGGCCACTGGCCGACGGGGGCTGATACAGTAGTCATGTCGGCCACAGTCGTCATCTCCGTCACTGCGCCAGGGTCTCGAGCTGCGCCACCCAAGGTCAGCAGGGCATTGGCGCTGTATCTGTCCTGACTGTCGGCCATGGCTGCTGTCCAGTCATGCCAGGTGTTCCCTTGTGATGCCGATTGTCTCCAAAGAAGCTCGGCCGCCGCCGCAGAGCTAGCAGGGTCCGCAACGTGTTGGGTGGCTTGAGATGCGAATGCGATCAAGGGGTTGGTCTCGGCCGAGTTGTCGTCCGCCACGCTCGTTGATTGTCCTGTAGGCGTGTATGAATAACCATTGTTTGCTTCGAAGCCAGCCGTCGATGATACGCTGCTATTATTGGCTGGTTGCTCGGCGTAGGCCAAGGACGGGTAGGGAGTTGTTCCGTTTTGGGCCACAGAATCCGAATAGAAGGCCTTGGCAGCCGTCTCGGCGGCACTGGCAGCCAGCGTTTGCGTTGTCGGCGGTTGTGATGTGAGTTGGAAAGGTGATGATTCTGCCGGGTCAGGCTTGATCATAGGAGGGATCGATGGATCCTTTTGCTTTTGGTCGTGCTCGATCCAAGTGATGGTCCTCTCAATGATGACGTTTATTTCGTTACTGATTCGAGAACCAGTCCCTAAGTAAAGAGGTTTAGCGCCCTGGTCGTTCCACGGCCATATTGATGTTTCTTACCTAATAGCGAAGCCGTCGCGTTGATGATCTCCATCCAGTCCTTCATCTCATCGCGAAGGATGGCGATCTGACTGGGAGTTGCCTCGAACCTCCGCTCCCAGTGGGCAACCAAGGTGGTGAAGATGGCAGCACCATAGACGGCCATCTGATACCATGTCGTGTCCAGGCACTTCAACTTGAGCAGGCTTTTGACGACATTCAACATATGCGCGGCGGTTTCCTCGCAAATGCGGGCGTTCTCGAGAAGCATCTTGCGGTCGCTAGTCATGGCCACAGACGGGTGACGCAGGCAGAGACGGAATTCGAGGGCGTACATCTGGATAAATAAAGCATACATCCGGCCTTCGTGCTCCGTCTGGCCAGGGCTGATCTGCAGAGATTCAGGCAGGCTATCCTTCCACAGCTGCAGCTGTTCCTCGAGGGAGTTGACCACGTCAACGTAGTTCTTCGGATCGCGTCTCACGCTGTATATGTTGGAGTACATCTCCATGAAAAGAGGCAAAATCCTGAATCCAGCCAGTCCCACGTGGTACGTACAGGGTGTTTTGACGGACGGGTCTACACCATCTGGCGTAAGGGCCTCGTCGGGGACCGGTTCTGGAAAATCGACGTCGTACTCCTCGACCGTGATGGGCATTGGCTTCCCAAGACGCCCGTTCAGAGTGACATAGACAAGGAGGATGGTCCACCATGTGCGCTTCCGGATCTCGTTGTCCAAATTTGTCGTCTCGCCCGGTCCCTTCATGGCACGGTGCATGTTCAAGTCGATGGCGCGGTGGAAGGCAAAGTTAACCATCATAGAGCCGCACCCTGGCTTAGGGAAGCTACGGCTATGTGCGCAAATCAGGGCCATGGCCTGGACGGCCGCTACGGATTGTGAGGTGGCCAAGTCGAACATCTTGCTTAAAGACCAGTGGTAGTGCTTGTTGGATAGTTCGTTAAGCTGTGAACGCGTCTCTTGCTGTTCCCAATTCCGCACACCGTACTGGAAGTAGATTGTAGCGAAGACCATGTGCACCATGACCTGGTCAGGAATGCTCGGCTCGAAGCCAGGTTCATCGTACATGCGAGTCAACTAGAGCAAATGTTAGGGCCTGTCAATACATCGGGGGATTGGCGCACTCACTATGTTCATGAAAGTAGGCTTATGGAGAACGGGGAGAAAGGGCCATATCATGAGGAAGTACCATTCCGAGTAGGTGAAGGCGTCGCTTCTCGAAGGGAGCTCAATGTTAAGGGGAGGATTAATGTTCATGCATGACTGGAGGAACGACTGGAAAGATTTGTTGTACAGAGGTTGCGAGACTTTGGTATCGGGCACAGGCTCGTCCATGTCGGGAGCGTCAAATGATGTAACGTCGAATGTTGTTCCGAGGATGGAGAGCTGGGTACCCTTAATGGAGCTGAGAGGGGCGGTATCGGCGGAGCCAACGCCGAGGTGGTTGTGAATGGGACGCGACTCAAGGGTCGAGCGTGGGAACGACCGACTGCTGGCGGGCTTGTAGCTGTAATTCCTGACCCAGACGGAGCCGATCTTGGTCCAAGCATCCTTCTCGGCAGGGTCTTGGATGGGGTTGCCCATGTGATCGTAGGTGACGCCAGGAGGCGGGTAGTTTGTGCCGTAGGGGGACCAATTGTAAGGCTTGACCTCGATGCCATTGTTCTCGAGGAGCTTCTCGAGTTCGCGGATATGGCTCATCATGTCCGTCTTCTCCCTTTCGAGCTCCTGAAGGTAGCCTCTTCGTTCGGTTCGGCCGGTGACGCGATCGGTGACGAAGCATTCGAGATTCTGATTGATGCAGTGGGAGCATCCTTCGGGTAGGGCATCGCATCGTATCTTCCTGACCTATACAGCACGGCGATCAGCATGACAGCAATTGGAGGCGGAGAAGCTCTCTCCACATGGACGCACCTTGCATCTGTCGCAGGCCTGTCCGGTCCTCGTGTAGGACGACAGGCGAGTCTTGACGACGGATGAGAAATCTTCCGGGGCACCTTTCTCGAGGCGCGGCAGCTTCACCTTGGCGCCAGCTGGGGGAGCGGAGTCGCCATCGGAAGTGGCAGCAGGATCGCCAGCTTCCGCCGGTCGCTTTGGTGGGCGAACCGGCATGGTCTCTCTTCTCCCTCCTCTTTCTCTCTCTCTCTCTCTCCCTCCCTCCTTTTCCTAAGTCAATGACAGATGATGTCGAGAATCGATATGGCGAAAAGGTCGCAATGGACAGGAGAGGAGTTAGGAAGAAGGAAAAGAAAAACCCAAAAATAGAGTTCAGGTGCAGAACAGCAGTGAAAGATGTCTCGCGACGGGGTTCACCGTGGACGTGGTTGATTTATGAATGTTGCCGCGTTTTGAGAAGAGAGACGGGGGGGGGAGCTTTGCGCTGCCGGGTCCCTGTCGTTTTTGGTGGTTACTTGCCTGCTCGCTTGGATTACGATGAAAATTTAGGGTGACAAGGGGGGTGGTAAGGGCAGCGCAAGGGTTGATGGATAATGGACAAGGGAAGAAGAAATGGGAAAGGAGCCGATACAGAGGACGGGACACAACGCGCGCAGGTTCTAGGGGGGGGGGGGGGGGTCCTGGAGACGGTTACGCTGTCTACGGCGCCTGCTGGCTCTACTGGGCCGAAGGAAGAAGTGAACAAGCGAATGAATGAGTGAGTGATGATGAGCCTCTCTCTCTCTCTCTCTCTCCCGAACCAACAGGTTGATCGCAAGCGCAGCCAAGTGGGTTTTCCAGCCTGTCGGGATGCGGGAGAGCGGGTTCAGTTCCAGCTCCAGATCCAGCGCCTTGCTGAACCCTTTTACCTACCCTTTCCTTTCTCCCCCCTCCGCCTCGAAGCTGGTTCAGAAGCCAAAGGAAGATACCCCCATCTCACAGCATACCAAGCGGAAAACGAAACTGGATCAGATCGCATTAGAAGCCCCCTCAAGATGGAGGCGTCAATGTTGGATGTGTAGGTGTTGGATGGCGTCGCGCGGCGTCCGCCTCCCAATGAATGCTGAATGAAGAAAGAAGGGGTGCAGCATTCCCAAGCTTCTAGCGGCAGCCCCTTCAGGACAGTTAGTCTAGGTACTAGGTATGAACTAGTTTAGGTTGAGGCGATAAGGCTTGGGCGATCTGATCTGTCTCTGCTCTTCGGCTACGGGTACACCCTTGCTTTGCCCTCGAGAGAAACCTTGTCTTACAAAAGGGGCACTGGCTTTACCTCCCTAGCCTAGCAATGCACTGTAGACATCCTTTGTCCTCTTTGTCGAGCGCAAGGATGGCTGGAAGATTAACAAGCCTGCGTTTGCAGTCAGTCGCAATGGAAACGTTCCTTGGCATTGTTAGGTAGTAGGTATTAAACTAGGTAGGTGGTAGGTAGGTAGGTGGTATTACTCTTACCCATACCTACATGAATGCCGGATCCGAAGTTTCGGCCTACCCCGAGCATAGCCGAAGAGTCAAGTAGCGGCAGGCAGCCTTACTCGCCCCCTCCACCTCCGCCGCTGAACAGTGAATGGCGGAGAATAAGCAAAGGAATGTAGGCCCAGTGCAGTAAACTGCCTCGGGTGCTTTCTGCGGTGCTCAGCCAGCGCCAACTGTAATGCTCATTACACGTGTTCAAGAACTCGTTCCGCCCATCTGACTCGTCTTGTCCGTTCATGATGTCCATAAACGTGTGCCGTCAGCAACAAGCGTACTGACTGGGCCAGCCGAGTGTGCGATCCACTTGTAGAGACGCGTGAAGAGCAACGTTTTGGTGTGCCAATAGCTCGCGAATCCAATATCCACAAAGCATCGGGGGGTACAGCCTTGACTTACACCTAACTACCTACCTACCTACGTGCCTACCTACTTAGATAGGCAACTAACTAGGTAACTACCTGAGGTACCTAGGCTATTAGGTCGGCAGGTGACAATGCGGCAGATTACGGCATTGACGCTGCCCACTAGTGGGGCCATTCGCTACATCTGACGTGGTCGTGGTCAGAGAACCCCGCCATGCCCCCTCCATGACCGATAATAATTGTCGTACATCGAACATTGTTATACACAACACTACCTAGCAAACTTTTGAATTTGGCAGGCGTGCCACATCCATTCCTTCCAAAGTTTACCCCGACCGAACAAGCAGGCAAACACCTCCTTTTTCGTTTGCACCACGGCCACCCTCATTCTGGTTCCAACGCTTCTGTCAACATGTCCTCCGTTATCGAGACGATACCCATCGATCACGTGCCCGCGGATATCGCTGTTCATGTCGCCTTCTTCAAGGACGTCCAGAACGCCGCCTTCCTGCACCAGCAGCTCCTCGACCGCAACGCAGACTTCGAATATGCTCTGATAGACGCCTCCGTCGCCGTTTCACGTACTCATATCCTCGCTGCCGCCTTCAAGGCCGTCACCGCAAAGGTCGACGGCAGCCTCAAGACCCCCAACGTCCACTCGGAGCTCGTCGCTTCTCTGAGCTCTGCCAACAACGTACGTGATGCATGCACCCCCCTTTGCGGCTCTCTTCACATCGCTAAGTGGACCTGCAGATCGCCGAGGCCTACCGCCGTTTCGGTATCAGCCCCTCCAGCAAGGACGTCATTGCCGTCAAGATCAGCTCCCCCGCCGCCGTGCCGTCCGCTGAAGAAGTAGAGCAGCATCTGAAGGAGAACTTCCAGGGCACCCCAGTACCCTTCACGGACGAATCCATTGCCACATCCACAGACTGGGCCAAGGTCCGCAAATACTACAAGCTGAATGGTCTTGCCTGGCTTGACGCCATTAAGGATGAGGAGGAACGTAGGGGGCAGCTGGAAACACTTGTTCTGGGAGCCATGGCATTACGCACCGCCTAAGCTACACGACGGCTCTGGCGAACACATCCACGACTGAAGGACGCGCCCCCACGTGGGAGCAACACAACGTAAGTCATTTCATCGTTGTTGCTGTGTGACGGCATAAAAATCCCAACGACGCTCCTATCTAGGTCCCAACTCCTCGCAACCTAAGCATGCTCGAATCCCAGAAAATCCATCAAGACGCATCCTCCCTACATAGATACCCCAATGGCAACTTTGGCTCTCCTCACCAACTCGCTCCACATGGCATCACGTCCACTCCGTGTGCGTTGCACCGCGTCACGGTTTTCATGCGCTCTTCGTAACAGATACTTCATACACTCACCAGTTGACCTCCAAACGAGATACTTGTATGTCTCAATCGCCCGAGCCTTTGTCGTCCTTTCCGATGAATCCCCTGGACTCCTCGCAGAGACCAGTTCACAGCTGAGTTCATCGGCCATGCCTTGGAGTTGTGCGAAAGCAATTTGGATCTTGGCCTCGCCAGCGTCGCAGATGTCGCGCGCCCGCCTGACCGACTCGGCGTTATGCGACGCCAGAACCAAGCTCACGGGCGGCATCTCAAAGCCTCCACGCAAGACGTCACCCCACTGCGTTTTCAGCAGGCTTTCCGCAATGCCTTCATAGCAGGCGTCTGTGTCTGCTTTGGTGTCGTGGATGAGGTGTCTCGGGTCAGAACCCATGTATGCGCCGCGCACCAACTTCACACCCAGTGTGAAGCCTTCGGCCTGCGCGGTCCGGAGATGTCGCTGAAGGGTCTGCGGGGTCGACTTGAGGTATGCCTGGTATGTGCCGTAAATCAGGGCCTGCCCGGAGTTGTTATTGTACTTGCGCATATAGTCGAGGGTCCAGTCGTCGATGCCGGGTTGGAGGGAAGCTTGTTCAGCGTCGAACAGCAGGCGGATGCCGCGCTTGGCGGCGAGGGAGCAAATAGAGTCAATTGCGTCCGCCATGGCTGCAGATGGTGGCAGACGTTCCGCGAGGGAATATAATGCCTGACGACCTGCGCCCGTGAACCTACAGCGGTATTATTAGCCTCCGCACGTGGTGTGTTTTCTACAAAGCCAGCTTTCTTTTTATTGTCAGTCTTGCCAAGGTGTAACTCACTTCAGGGCGACAAAGTCCCCAGGCTGCGCCAGTCTCACCGTCTCCATTGTTCCCCGAGCCCACGGAATGACCTCGTTGCGGACGCACTCCTCGGCCTTGTCGCCCTTGTCACACGCCGCCAAATCCCGGGTCTGGTCTGCCGTCAAGACGACCTCCTTCGCGTACCCCAAGACGACGCCCGTGAAGCCAATGTCCTTGAGGCCGTCGATAGTGCGCCGGACCTCGGCCGGGGTCTCGCCTGCGCAGAACTGCGCGTAAAAAGTGCTCTTCAGGACGAAGCGCAGCAGCGGGTTCCTGTCGGGGTCAAGGAGCGGACTGGTGGCGTGCGCCAGGGCGGACATGATCCAGAGCGACGGCGGCAGGAGGAGCGGCGACGAAGAGATGGTCGTGGTGAGCAAAGAGCGGATGACGGTGCGGAGCGGGAGGACTGCGAGAGGCGAAGGTGAGCGCATGGCGGGCGGCGATGGGGGTTCCACTGTCGAGATGGTCTTCGAAGATTCGAGTGCGGAAGATGCGGGCGATGACGGTGTTGCGACCAGCAACCGGTCGTTGTTGGAGGAAGACCTCTTGGTGGAGGAGTGGATTGTCCTTCTTCTCGCCATTGCAGGAGGGTAGCCGAGAGAGCGCTGTCTTGGTGGTAGTGATGCATACAACGACAACAAGGTGGCGCTCGGTAGCCTAACGGAAACTACCGTCCGGCACTGATGAGGGGCAGAGATGAGAGCTGCTCTGCAGATGCTGGGGAAGCATGCCCTGTGTGACAGACCAGCCATCTGGACGGCTTTATACACAACTCACGCTGTGGGGAAGCTCGTAGTAAAGAGAAAGCGATGGCAATGAGTATGTATAATAGTTCAGTAGGTAGGTATGGCTATCTACACGTCGGCATGAGAAATCCCTCGGAGGGGGAGTGGTATTATACTGGACAATCTAAGCCATTGCCCTTTATCTCGCAGGTTTCTGCACGGGGTGTCTGAGCCCACTGACGATTCCGGCCCGCCTCAAAAGGCCATGTCGTTATCTACGGCCGGGGGTCAATGTGTGATGCATGATGTACTGATCTTGGCGGACAGATAGCTAGCGAGAGCTCCAGTATCTTCGATCAAGCCCTCCCTTGGTTATCTATCCCACAGACCCGTCACGTGGGCACATTATGTCATTAGGGACTGCCGATTATAGCCGTGTGCCGATCGATCGGACGGACCCTTGGGTCCTGGTAGTACGCAAAGCTAATTGGCGAATAAGCTCGGGCGAGCGGTGGCCATGAGATTGGGGTACACAGTAGGTATGCATAGCTCCGATACGACCAGACAACCCCATCACTGATGCATTCCTGGGGTTGCGACAAGCGTGGGCGTGTCGGTTATTCAGCTGCCAGTCCGGCAGCTGACGTTGAATGGGTCGCAGATGGAGTTTTGCGATATTCGTGTCTTGACCCTGTCGGTGGCCATCATCGTGGCATAGCTGCAGGCATGAGATTTGCCCTTCCCCTGCCTCTTGTCTGTCCATCATGTCCGGTAATCAGGGGTGCGCAATTCGTGCCCCACGTCTTTCTGGAAACGAGATATCCGTCCTGGAAGACCCCTGGTTTAGCTCGCCTGCTGCTGGTCGAGCTTCGTCGCTTTGTTAGATCCAAAGCGTCGGCGGATGAAATCGACGTATCCGACGGACCGGCCGCGGGCAAGGCCGACAGCGTCCTGCATCCCGCCGTATACCAGTCCAAAGAGCAGGCCGTACCTTGCTGTGCGAGCCGCGGTGGGGAGGGAGAAGCGGTCTAAAGTTGGCGGTTAATTAGAAATCATCTCTTCATTTCAGCGCATAAGACGAAAGCTGTCGCGACTTACTCCAGAGACTAAAGCTGCCGGCCACGGTTAAACTAGCCAAGACGGTGCTGAGGAGGTCGCTCTTGCCGCGGTACCGGTCGACGGTGCTTTCAAGGCCAAACGCCATCAGGGTCCAGAAGCTGAGTTTGCAACCCATACGCAGACCCTCGCGAATACCGCCTCGCATGGCGTGGTAGTTCTTGCTCTTGTGGTAGAGGTACCAACCCGTCGTGGTGGTCGGCATCTTGTGCGCGTGCTCCGCGCGGAAACGGAGCTGCGCAGTCCGGCCGCCGTGAGCCAGGCCCAGGGTCGCTCCGATGCCGAAGCCCACAATTCCGGCGAGGGGTATACGAGCTGGAGTTGGTATCGACAATCGGGACTCGGATGGGTTTTGGCCGAAGCTGAGGTTCTCAGCCATGGTCACTTCGGGGCGTTCTGCCATGGTGTTGGGTGAGGTTTGCCGGGGGTGTCAGAATCGAGCGGTTTTCTTTGCATAGGCAGGTTCCCCCAATGAAGGGGTGAAGACTCGTCTGATGAATGAATATTTGGGGTCCTGGCAAGGTCTGGTGCTTGTTCGTTTCCTCGGCGGCGGAGTTGTTGTTGCCTTTGGATTATCGTACTCGGTCGGATGCAAAGAAACCAGCCTGGGTCTGCGGCCCGGTTTGGAGCTTGGACGCAGCGCTCTTACGGGGTCTCCTACTTCGGCCATGACAGGACACGCAGTCAGGTGACTTCGCATAAGTAAAAACGCGGAAAGCGACCCGCTCTCGTGACCCCTGCCAAGCTGATCCGCGCCGCTGCCCACCCGCTTGCTTATTCTCCTTCGGCCACGACGATCTTCCCACTTGCGATACCTACTCGACTTTGGCCTGCAATTCCCATGAACTGGCCCCGAATCCCAGCGCGATCGAACTAAAGTATACATCTTGTCCGAATTTTTTCAATAGCGATAAGTGACCTCGACAGAAAAAATGGTATGCGCATTTAGAGCTCCTTGGCCCCTCGAGCATGCAACGAAGCTGACTCCCTTGCAGCAGATCGATGACACCTTCTTCTCGGTGCGGTTCAAATATGGCGCCCACACAATCCTGATGTTTGTCGATGGGCAGCAGAAGTTCTCCGAGATTACCACCTCACTGCTTGAAGTGCTCCGCGACAGATTCCCCGATGGTCTCACAATCAGTCACACCTCTTCCAAGACAACAGCACTCCCGGAGGGCGATGTACAGCTGGCCTATGCGCTGCCTGTAAATGCAGCCGACTTGACTCAAGGATGGAAGAACCTCAAAGCCGACGATAATGATACTCCGCTGGTGAAAGGATTGAAAGATAATTGCGTTGTGGCCTTTTCTTTCGATGCGGATGCGCCAGAGTTTCTTGTCGACGTGCCGAGTCTAGATGAGGAAATGGAGGAAGAGGAGGGCATGGGTTCGGACGCATGATTTGGTGAAGAGATTACGGCATAGATATATGGCGTTATGGCGAAAGGAATCACGGCAGTAGGGATTGCCTCGGACGAGCATACGATTGCTGCCGCATGGATAACGATTGGCCACGGAAGCAATCATCTGGCTTGATGCGAATGTTTATAGGACGGGTAGATGATTGAAAGCATGCGAGGACAGTGTCTTATTCTCGACGGTAATGATGGGCGACTGCATGGGGTTGCCACGTTGAAGATAGTACGGATAAATACTCAGGTCATCCTACAAACAGCTGCCAATCAACAATTCCCCCGGTTCACTGACGTTTATCGTCATTTGCTGGCTTTTCAAAGGAACAGTTGAAAAGAACAGCAAAAAACAGTCGAATTCGGAATGCGACAGCTGAAATGCTGGATGACGGATTCGTCCAATCTCACCAAGACAGTGTCCAGGACAGATGACGTCGACGGTCTCCAGAAACAGGGCGATTCCAGCACCCCACAATACCCATGTCACAGCACTAAGCGCGGTAAGCTTCCACTGTGCACTTCGACTGTAGACCCCTTTTTTCCCACTCTTGTCTCGATGTCACCTCAGAGCGAAATTGCGACGACGAAGGGCTCGCGAAGCCGTGGTTTTCTGCCACCAACAACACAATACTTACCATTCAATCTTCAACTCTCATACGAGGAGGCTCGACACATACACAGCTGCAGAGTCGCTCGACCTCTGCCTATGCTGCCTTCTACATGTCCCACGTGGCCCTTCTCCGCCATGGCCTCCGCCTCTTGCTGCCCCTGGCGGTGATCTCAACTTTTTACCTATATCTCTATCCTGCGTTTCTTGGATGTGCTTTTCCCGTCCCCCCAAGCGGCCGTGCATCATCCGCCGGTCCGAGCGAAGTCGACGCCGCAGACACTAAACTCGCTGCCTTCCTCGAGGCAGCACGACACCACGTCTCTCTTCCGATTCCCCTCCGGTCGACCGACGCCCGTCCCGCGCCTTTTCGTCTTCTCGCGCTCGGCGATCCCCAACTCGAAGGCGACACGTCAATCCGGAAACACAACGGTCCTATCTTCCCTCACGCAAGAAGTCTTTGGTCACATGTGACCTTTCAATCTAGTCACTCGCTGCGCCAGCGCATCCGTCACTCTCTGCACGACGTGATAGACGTGTTTCTGGAGGATGTCTTTGTCGAGCTCGAGTCGATTCGCAAGCGTATAGATCTGTTTGGCAACGACTTTTACCTCGGACACATTTTCCGGACGGTACACTGGTGGACTCGCCCTACCCACGTCACTGTGCTTGGTGACCTGCTGGGCAGCCAATGGATTGGCATAGAAGAGTTTCGGCGCCGCGGCCGTCGGTACTGGGACCGTGTCGTGCGAGGCACCGAGAGAGTTCCAGACGAAGCGGCAGCGTACCCGGCCATGGAGTATGGTCTCACAGGCTACTTGTCGACGTCTGGCGAACCATCCCCCGAGTGGCCGCGCCGCGTCATCAACGTCGCCGGCAACCACGACATTGGTTACGCTGGCGACATCAACCAGGACCGCTTCGGACGTTTCGAGCGTCTCTTTGGCAAGGCAAACTACGAGCTGCGCTTTGAGCTCCCTGTTCCGGACCCGAAACTCAACGCCACCCTTTTGGACGAGGAGAAGAACCCCGAGTCCGATCGTCTCCCGCCTGAGATTCGCATCGTTGTACTGAACGACATGAACTTGGATACTCCCGCCAAGGACACATCGTTGCAAGATGCGACTTATGCTTTCATCAACTCTGTCATCGAGACCTCGGCGGCCGTCGAATACAACGGCCATTTCACCGTCGTGCTGACCCATATCCCGTTGTACAAACCCGAGGGTGTCTGCGTGGATGCCCCATTTTTCGACTTCCACGGCGAACACGACGGTGGCGGAGTCAAGGAGCAGAATCTGCTGTCGGCTGATGCCAGCAAGGGTTTCTTGGAGGGTATTTATGGCATGAGCGGTAATACAGAGGCGCCCGGTAACGGCAACGGTCGCCGCGGCGTAATTCTGAACGGTCACGATCACGAGGGCTGTGACACGTTCCACTACATCAATCAGACAGACGTAGACGAGAATGGCGATCGCGCGTGGCGGGTCGAACCATGGAACAAGGCGAAAGGCCGAGGCGCTGTCGGCGCCGCTGGTGTGCCTGGCCTGAGGGAGATCACGGTTAGAAGCATGATGGGCGACTTTGGCGGCAATGCTGGTCTGCTCAGCGCCTGGTTCGATGAGTCTACGTGGAGTTGGAAGTTTGAATACGCAACGTGCGCTCTGGGTACCCAGCACCTGTGGTGGCTCGTCCATATTGTGGATCTCATCACTATCGTCGCCTCGTTTGCCTACGTTGTCTTGTCTGTGCTGGAGACAAGCAAGCAGGGGCAGATCGCTGTTGTGCCAACGAGTGTAGAGAAGAAGAAGTTGGCCCAAAACGAGGAGGCCAAGTCATCATAAGCATGTTACTCAAATACCCGGCAGGGAAACGCCTTGTCTCAATTATAGCATAAATCTCATTTTGCAGTATTATTCGCGACATTCTCAAGCAATCTCCAAGTGCCAGTTTCCGCGAGCTCTTCATTCCATTCTGTCGCCATGACGACAGCCGCCAAGTTGATAACCGTATGGCCGCCTACAAATTACAAGGAACTTCCGACGCCCAGGGCGCCTTGTGTTCTGTCGAGTTCAACTATAGACTTGGGCCGTCATGGCCGCCCGGCTTCTTTTCCAAGCACCATGTTCCAGGTTCTCGCTGTCTCGAGGCAACACGACTGCTGTCAACTAGGTTGCCCCGTCGCACACAGTCTGCATAGCGCGGCTCACCGCTACAGCAAGGGAAGAGGCCATGCCATGTCGTACTCTCTATTCACTGCCAGTAAAAAGGGGCAACGCTGTCGCCCGGAGCCTTCAGATTATGCTGCGTGCCTGAGAGACTGTGGTTGTCTCACATCTTACGCGCCGCGAGTCCCAACAGCTTCGGGCTCACGTTCGGCCGGTCGTGGGGCTCGCAGCCTCTCAAAGCCATAGTTCAGTGAAGAATTAAGTTTTATATGATTTGAGTGGTGAATGGGGTGCAATATTAAACCATACCAACCGGACATTTGCTCCAATACCCCAAGCGCCATCGATGCGGATGGCTGCATCCCCTTGATGTTGCACCCAAGGGGGTTTGATGATGACAGAAAATGTCCTGTCGCATGCGCTCATGCATGCTCGTACGGCGTGTCCTCCCTTATTGAATACCTGTTGCCGTATATACTGGGAACGACAGACGAAAGATGCGATCACGGGTTGCTTTATAAGTGTCGTGCGGTTCTGGCCTGCCATGTGCTTCGGTCATACCTGTACCACCCCATCCGCGCGTCCCAGGACAGGAACCGAGAAGGCCCATTAAACGTCGGTTAATACGTTCGTGGACCTTTTGCGGCTTACGTTCTTTTGCAGCTTCTTCTGAGTTTGGGCCGTTGTGACCCGAGGAGTACGGGTAACCATCACCGCCTCATCCAGGGCGACTGTCATCACGAGGTCTCGGAGCTGGTTTGACCATACGGTCACCGCCCATCAAAGCAAACATTGGGGCGGATGATCAATCGAGTCGTACTGTTGAGCATCACCGGTTGTAAAAAACAAGAAAAGGCGACGGCCCGGGTTGATGATCAAGCATTCGGACTATATAATCAGAGAGGACGACGACGTTGTGTGCACCAGAAAACCACACAACAGTCCAAGACTAAAGACATCGTCACAATTTCAGGATAGCATTGCCCTTAAATCCTCTTAATTCACTCAACTCCAAATCCTCTTCATTCGAACCTTGTGTTTTCAGAGGCATCGGCCGTCCTGTCCCCCACAATGCGCTTCATTCAGCTCACGTTTTTCACTTTCCTCACTGCACACAGTCTCGCCGCGCCACCTACTCGAAACCTGGGGGATAACTCGGTTTCCGAGACGCTTGACTCCCTCGTCGCCGCGGAGAGGGCGACACCCTTCAACCCGACCTGGCACTATTGCCAGACAAAGTGCGACTGCGCGGAAAGATTTGACAAGAGCACCCAGCCAGACGGGTAAGTTAGATTCTGACAAGACTGCGTGCCTTGTCGCGGAGCCTGGGTAGACCTATGGTTGGCTGACAGACGTCGGGGGGAAGGTTCTTCCAATGCATCACGGATCCCAACTGTGAGCAGTGTGCGAGGAACGGCATGAGCCCTTCCCAAGGACGGGAAGAACTCTTGCGTCGGAAATAGCCTAGGGGGCTGCTGTTTGATGCGCTCTCTGTGCAAATATGGGCATATGTGAGTGAGAACGCAGATTTGGATAAACCGATTGGCTGAGGTCCATGTTCATTATGACCCAGTGTCGTGGCGAGATGGCGGACGAAATAGATTGGAAGGAATATGATGAGAAACAAAGGCGCGATAGTGGATAGTGAACAAGTCGATATGAATAGATGATACCTCACAGAACGGAGAAAAATGCGCATGACCAGCTATATATCGCCGAAATTCAAAACACCCACAAGTACAACAATAGATTATTATAAGAACTCATGTCTTTGGAGAGGAAACTGTCAGGGTCGGACCACGTTTCTTCCCCATATGGTGGTCTAAGGTAGGGTAGTATACAAAGTTTCGTACATACGCAGACCCACGCGTCGTCAAGTCTATATGCAAGTTGAGGCATCTCCTAGCCGCCCAAGCCCGCCTTGGTAATACAAATACAGATAGTTCTTTCGTAATAAGAGGAGTGAACGGTTGATGCCGGTATACTGCACTGCACGATTGGTGCTCATTAGCCCGGGGTTGGCGAAAGTGAAGCACCCCTTTTTACTGCTTCTTGTTGGCGTCGTCACCCTTGACGAACCATCCGCCAAAGGAGCCCATCATGTTCTGCATGGCCTCTTGCTGGGCTTTCTCCTGCATAGCGGCCTCCTCCTTTAGCCATTTCTCACCGTTCTCACGAATCTCCTTCTCGAGCAACTCGTAGTTGCGCTGGCCACGCTCGCGTGCAATGTCTTGGAGCATCTTGCCCTGGGCGAGAGCCTCATGAGGGCTCTGCTCTCCATCAGGCGCGACCATCAGGCTCATGTTGGAGGGCTTCAGGCCGAGCATGCCACCGAGCAAGCTCATGCCGGAAGGTGCCTTCTTCTTCTTGGCCTCGACCTGCTTGTTGAACTCGGCTCGCGCGATAGCCTCGCGGCGGGCGAACTCGGTAGGAATGTGCTTGCCCTCGAAGGACTTGAGAACCTTGCGAACATCGCCATACTGCATCGTATGAATGTACTCAAGGAACGGGATGAGGCTGACGAGTTCCTTGTCCTTGGTGTCACCCGTCCACTTGGGCAATACAATGGCGTTCTCGGGCTGGTTCTGGACGTGTTTTTCGCTAGTGTCGAGGATGATAACCTTGGACAGATCACGGTTCAGGTATGAAAGATCCTTTGTGCAAATCAGCATGGGCAGCATACGCGGCTTAGGATGGGTGTGTTTCGAACCTTGACAACCTCTCCGTCCTTGTACTTGGTCGCTTCGCGGTAGAGAGGCCACATGATAAAGCGGAAGGGGTCGAGCTTCCTGACGAGGGGCTCGCCAATGGCGAAGGGTACGCTGGTGAAGAGAACCAGCTCGTAGTACTGGCTGAGGTAGCGCAGGAAGTAGTCGACACCGGGACGCTTGGCCACTCTCCAGCCGTGTTCACGGGTCCATTCGCTGTGAACGAGCATGTCCTCTAAGCTGATGCACAGGGTGTAGGGACGCTCGAAAGATGGGTCAGGGTCGGGGAGAAGCTTCTCAAAGGCAGGCTCTTGGTAGTAGTTCATGAAGTCACCGGTACGGGCAGTGACTCTGTTCCACCAGGCACCAAAGCCCCAACCATTCGGGGCCGTCTCTGCGTGTCTGGCTTCCTCTTCCTTGTCGTCCCAGTTACGTCCGAGATAGAGCATACCGGCGGCGCCGAAGCCAACGAAGGCGAGAAACATGCGGCTTGCGAGCTGCTGACGCTTTCTGTCCGTCGAGGAAACGTATGCGGAGTCGGGAAGCTCTCCACGGCCACGTCCACCACCCTGAGCGACGGCTTCCTCTTCAGCGATGGCGGCAAGAGCCGCCTTGCTGGTCGCGCCGGACATCTCATAAGCCAAGGTGGAGGGAATGCCCTGGGTGAGGTCGGGCAGAGGGCCGGTGTGCATGGGCTGTTCAGGAGCTTCGGTCGCATCGGCGGCATCTGGCTTAGCGCCGTCTTTGGGTGTCTGGGTCGAGGAAGTTTTGGACGAGGCTTCAGCAGCCTCCTCGTAGGCTACTTGGTAGTCGGCACTCGATGAAGCTGGGGTCTCGCCTGGTGTTGAGTCGGCAGGCTTCTGCTGATCAGTAGGCTTTCCCGAAGAGAGGTCCTTGGGCTTATTGTCCTGCGCGAAACCCCTGCTCCATGATGAAGCTCGGAATCGGGGTCTCGCAGCTGGTGTTGCGACGGAGCGGTAGAGCTGCGCCGCAGTCGGCTGCAGGCGCGCGATCCGAGCTGCCCTCGACAGCATGGCGTTGCAAAGGCCAAAGTGGTTCCGTAGTTGTACGATGGGCCCGGTGCCAGATGGTACTTTTCGATTCCGAATGGAAAGGTCGAGGGGGAATCAGATGCGCCAACTAACAAGAATCGGCTGATGCTGGCGGAGCAAGGTCGAGGTGGAGTGGGCTTGGTGATATTCCTGACGAAGACACTAGAAATTTTCGAAGAGAAAGCACCACCTCACAACCTTTGGGCAGGGAACAAACAGGCCTGGGGGGGCAAGTAACAGTGCGGTGCACGGTTAACCTATTTAGGTACTTACGTACCTCAATAGGTACCTTTCCTCGACAGCTTCTGCTCTGAAAGTCCGGCCCCCACTTTGACCGAAATTTAGCTCTAATTGGGTCCAGTAAGAATGAGCGACGCTTGCCCGTTTACTACCGAGTATCTTCCGGCTATCAACCACTACACTTTACTAGGTACCTAGGTAGGTAGCTGCAATTGTTGACAACCTAATTGTGTCTACTGCATAGTTATCTATTGCACACGATTACTGCCTATGGGACTGTAATATGAACTTTGGGGATTCCTTCATTGCGAGTTAGCATGCTGTGTACGAAACTCATTCTGTCCAATGAGGTCATGCATAGTACTTGGTGCAATCTGATTGGTCTTGGAAAACCAGGCTTAGTCAATTAAATACAGCATCCCGAGCACCGGCTCACGTGCGAACCTTCTCTAATCAGTTGCCTCTGCACTGTACGGCATTGCATGGCATGGCATGACATGAGTGCTTGCCGTCTGTTCTGCTGCGACTGCTCCTCCCTCCATCATTAAACTGCACCCGGACCCCGATACCTCCGCCTGCAACTTCCCCTGTAACACTCCTTCCTCTGTTTCAATCCTAACAAGCAGGATTTCTCAATCGACACATTCCCTCCAATACCACTGAACCCCCCACGACGTCCCAGTTAGCCGACACCACTCAATCACAGTCACATTCCACAAACGCACACACACATCGTCAACATGGCCGCTGCGCGTGGTGGATTCTAGAGGGTGGTCCCCAAGTTCGCTGCATCGATCACAATGGGACCACCCTCTGTGATTCTGGTGCCATTCAAGACCACCTGTTGACCTACTTCACCTAACATCACATCTTAGCAAAAAGCTATTGAAATCTCTGCACATAGCCACCAGATACCCCTTGCGACAAAGTACCCCGCCACCCCGCCACTGCCGCCGTCTCTCCGATCTAGGACCACGAGTACCACGAACGCCCCGAATACTTTGAACAACGCCGCATCAAAACAACCACAAAGAAGCCTTGGGGCCCAGAAGGAATTCCACCTCCGAATCCCTCCCCAGTAGCCCTTGGAGAGAGGAAAAAAAGGACTTACTGTCGCCACTATGGTTCGTCGTGGCAAGATCTCTCGTGCCGCCGGCCCGTCGCTCGACCCGACGCCTATTACCTCTACCCTCACGACTCCCCTGAGTTCAGCCTACCCGTCAACGTATGCTTCAGAAGCCGAACTGGATGCCCTGGGCGACAGCATTGGCTCCCTTACCTTGAGCGAGAGAAGAGCAGCCAGGAAGAGAGCAAAGCCCTTTGCCTTCATGGCACTGCCCTCGGAATTGCGCCTCAAGGTCTACAATTACTATTTTGAGGGTGGCGGCGGAGTCGTTGATCTCGATCCAGACAATTACAAGAACTTCCACAAAAAGCTTGGAATTCAACGGACATGCCGCACCATCTACCACGAAGTCTCGCACTACTTCTATAGTAGCCGCTCCTTCCGCATCTTTCCAACTCACCCGGGGAAATACTTCAAGACCAAAAAGCCCCTTCTGGCCCGCCTCAAGCCGAGCTCACGATCACTCATCACATCTCTGGAGCTTCGCCTTGGTCCTGGCTGGTCAAAGCCCCCCAGAGGATGGGTCGTCACTCCCGCTCTCGGCCTGAATGAATGCGTCAACGTCCGCCGTCTCACGGTTATGGTTGAATGCGACCCCAGTGACGGTGTGTTCAATGGGTTTCGTCGCTCAGACGGGTTCTACGAAGAATTCAGCAAAACTCTCCTCACGGAAATCTTGAATGAGATGCCCTGGCTCGACACTGTCACCTTTGATGCATGGTCGAGTGTCAAGAAGTCGGGCGCGATGATGCGAGGATTGCTTGATATAACTGTGGCAAACAACCGCAAGATTAGATGGGGACCCGAGAGAGGATGGACCGATGGACCTGACGAAGAGGACAAGGCCAGTAACCTGGTGCTGGTGCCTCCGGCGTCCGAGTTCAACACGTCCAGCATGGGCGTACTGGTCATGGCGTAATGGCATGATGGTGGAAACCCATCGTGTTCGCTTTTCGTCTCTCGTTTTATTTTCGACGCACTTGCACAACTTTGGGCCCGGGTTTTCGGTTATGGGAAAGGCGGAACGCCATCAAGGCTATGGGGTTGGAACTGGAATTGGCATTGGAATCATGACGGTGGTTAAACCCACCTTTCTCACTCTTCTCTCTTGCGATGAGACTGTAATACTAGCATGACGAGAAATGAAAGACATAGGCATAAACACAACCATGTTATGGTGTCGTGTGCGTTTGAGGCTTGTAATGATCGACTCCAAATCACACCTGGGAAGGGCCGCTCAAAGCCACTACCAATCTCGATTCCTTGCCGCATCGCTCACCGGCCCGCATCGGTGCCCACATCACACGACCTGGCACATCTATCTACCTTTAGCAATGCATTGACTCTTGTTACCCCGCGTTTTCAGCCCCTGCCAGCAGGTGACATTCAGCAAAAGCACAGCGCAGTGGTTGGTCTGCAGAGCCAACGTGCAACATCCATGCTGAAGCTTGGTTTAGTTCCGAGACCTTACCCCTCGTCAAGCTGTCTCATTACCTACCCTACCTGCCTCACGTGCTTACTCGAGATGCGACGAAGGAGGGAAAGCTTCCCCGCGATTTCGGGAGTGGACAGTGCGGGCCATGCTTGCGCTCTGGGGGTTCAGGGGCTTACAGGCCCAAGCTTTCTATGGACCGGGGCCCGGATGCCGACACACCGACGCCCGGCCCCACTATCCCACCTCGCGCTCGCTGGTGGGTGGGTTGACGCTTTCCAAAATTTTGGTTTTGCTCTGCTCTATCGCAGCAGCCCCGTTACAACACCTGCACCTCACCTCTCTCGGCGTAACCCCAATAATTATTGCTCGCCTTTCCAATACATTTCATCTCAAGTCGTACTCTTCCTGCAAGGTTGACCGTCCGCTGATTACCTAACAATGCCGCTCGACACCTCGACATACTCCATGGCGCTGCTGCGCGTTGATGGCCGCCGATGGAACGAGCTGCGACGGCTGCACGCCCAGATCCGGACCCAAGAAGCTGCCGATGGCTCCAGCTACCTCGAGATGGGACACACTAAAGTCATGTGCGTCGTGACGGGACCGACCGAACCCCAGCGCCGCGGTGGTGCGGGCGGTCAGACCAAGGAGGCCGCCGTCACTGTCAACCTCGTCGTCGCCGGCTTCAGTTCCGTCGACCGCAGGAAGCGGGGCCGTAACGATAAGTGAGTAGATTTTGGGAGGGGATGGTGCAATTTCTAGTCAGTGTGGTGATTCAATGTCAACTAACCACCAGTCAATTCCAGACGAACCCAGGAGCTCGAGGCTACCATTGCCAAAGCCGTCTCAGCAAACCTCCACACCCACCTCTTTCCCCACAGCAGCATATCCATCTCCCTACACGTGCTGTCGCAGGATGGGTCTCTGCTAGCGGCTCTGCTTAATGCTTCGACGCTTGCCCTCATCGACGCGGGTATCCCTATGACTGACTACATTGCCGCGTGCACGGCAGGCTCAACATCGACATACGCTGCTGCTGACGATGGCGCAGATCCCTTGCTTGATCTCAATACGCAGGAGGAGCAGGAGCTACCATACATGACAGTGGGAACCCTGGGATTGACGGACCGCGTTGCTGTGTTGGTGTGTGAGAGTCGTGTTCAGGTCAGCCGTTTGGAGGGCATGCTTGCGGTTGGTGTGGATGGATGCAAACAGGTGCGGCAGTTTATGGACCGCGTTGTCAAAGAAAAGGGCCGTCAGATGGTCCAGGAGGGTGCAGTGGAGAGAGGTACTGGTTTGGACTTGGACATGGAATCATGAGGGGGCACGCCCACGCACTGCAACAGACATGGGAGCTGAGCAAGTGGCATTGACAATGGTTAGATTTTCCTATTGCATCACTATTGTACAGCCGGAGCTAACGATACACAGAATTCGAAATTTGGAAGACAAAAACTTTACAGCTCGTCGTGGGCATCGGATGGCGTTTCCTTAGGCGCCTCAGTCTCCGACTTGGGGACGGGTTCCGTAGCTGCGGTGGAGGCAGTGCTCTCCTCTGCAGACTCAGTCTTGACCTCCTCAACAACGAGACCCTCGGGCAGCGTCTGCTTAACACCCTCGCCCAGACGAATAGCATCAATCCAACTCTCGACGCTCACAACATCGAAGTCACCTTCGTAGTGTCTCCACCAGCCACGGCGGGCATTCACGGCAACGATCTCAACGTCACCAGTGAGACCAAGACCCTTGGTAACGGTAGAGGCGGCGGTGTTGTCGCTGGGCACGGAAAAGAAAGGGAACAGCTTGCGGTGGCTCTGTTCGTACTTGTGAACAAGCTCCGATAGGCTGGTAAGAGCCTTTTCGGCTTTTTCGTTCTCCTTGGACGGCACAAAAGCCAAGATGCAGGTGTGCGACTTGGCACTGAGACATTCGGCCTGGAGCTTCTCGGGGGTATCGGCGACGGGCAGAGAAGGAACAGCGCTGGCGGCAGGGGCGGTCTGCTCAGCAGAGGGGGTCTCGTTAGAGGTTTCGGCCTTGGGGGTGGCCTTCTCATCGGCCGCAGTGCTGGTACTCGACTGGGCGGATGCGGGCTCGCTCTTCTCAGCCTTCTTCCCAGCCTTCTTCTCCGTCTTCTTATCCGCTTTCTTCTTGTCGCCCTTGGGCGCAGGGTCTGGGTTCGGAGAGGCCACCTGTGAAATGAACGAAACGAGGCCGTCCTTCTTCATCTCTCCGTCGTAGACAATAGGCTCCTTGTCGCCACCAGGCAGAAGCACCAATGTAGGAAATGACTTGACTCCAAACTTCTCGACTGCCTTTGACTCCTTGCTGCGAACTTGACCGACCGTGACTGCGTCGAGGAAGTCGATAGCGACACTGCGGAGGAGGGCGCTGGTGGTACCCTTCTCGGTGAAGAGGATAGCTTTGGGCCTATCTCCCTCGACGAAGGAGTCAATGTCCTTGTCGGTGACTCGCTTCACGTGGTTGCTGATCTTGTCGACGACGGCCTCGACAATGCCGGTGGCGGTTCGCGGGCCCTGATAGTCCTCGACGACGGGCTTGCCGGGCTTCTTGCCTGGTTTCACAATCTTGAGGGTAGGGAAGCCCTGAACGCCGAACTGGCCGCACAGAGGCTTGTTGGCTTCCTCGTCGCAATCGACGGCGGCGACCTTGGCGAGTCCGTTGAGATTCTTGGCCGCTTTTTCGTAAGCAGGCTTGAGGTTCTGGCAGTGGCCGCACCACGGGGCGTAGAACTCGACAATCTGCAGGTAGGGCGCGGGTCAGTGACACTCAGTTTTAACTAGCATAACTGCAGACTGACATACCGAGGTGTAGTTAGACTTGGCGATCAAGTCATCATAGTTTTTGGCATCAACTTGGAGCACGGCAGAGCTCTTGGGATACATGCCGGCCTGGGCGCCGGGCAAAGCCGAGAGTACGGCAGCGCCAGCGGCGAGCAGAGTGGGGTGGTGCATCGCGGTGGATATAGAGTTAAGCAGTGTGTGGGGTGGGAAAGGTGAGTGAATGCAGCAGAGAATGAGACGCTACCTCAGGGAGCCTTGGTGTGTGTGGGCGAGAGAGAGGGAGAAGAAAAAGAGAAACGAGGAGGGAGGGTGTAATAGACAGAGACGGCGGGAAGACGTGGGAATAAGAGTTTGAGCATGGAACTAGGTTCAGAGTGATGAGGGAACATCCGACTCTGCATTTATGGAGTGAGGAATTGGGGCCCCTGGTGAAGGTAGCCTGAGAAACTGTTTACTTGGCTTCTTTTCCAGTGCAAAGAGGCCAGCGTGGAACTGTGAGACGCGGACCCCTCACCGTTGGTTCCTAATTCGAATTCTGAATGGAACCATGGAATTTTCCAGTCAATCGAATCGAAGCATTTCGTATCCTCTCCAGCCACATACCCCACACGAGCTTGGGGAGCTTGAGCCACATATATCAGCTGCCGATTGTCAGTGTGGCGCAGCATCTTCTACACGGGAAGAAGGACCGGCCTGACCACCTTTCCCCCACTGTGATGTACGCACGCATGTGGGGAAACTTGACCCTGTGGTACGCTCCCAAGATACCGATTACATGTCTCCCACGTCTTGGTGTTGCATCACTCGTCGCATACTCTCAAACCCTTTGCGCCTGTGAGCTGCCACACAGCAAGTTTTTTCTTCCCCCTCGTCCTCCGCCGCCAAATCCAAGGCCGAACCCGGCGCAATTTCAACACGAGGATATTCCGCTCCTACCCCTCCAGCCATCCACAGGCCACTTGTCGTCGCAGCCATGGCCGAACCAATCCCCGATAGCCTGCGACAGGCCGATATCACGAGATTCATCAATCGCGCGAACCAGCTGCGTCAATACAAGCCTGTCATTACCTACTGGTGTACGTCCTACCATCTGCTATCTGGAGGCGGCCCTATACCCTCCGATACTGACCGGAAGCGCAGGCGAGTACTGGGTAGTCAATCAGATCCTGGCCAAGGGACTGCACAATGTTGACGACGAGAGCCTTTCCTATACGACAAACCTGATGGACCGACTTGAACAGGTAAAGTGCTCTAATAAGACACTGTTCGTTTCTGGGGCTGTCTGGTGATTAACAGATGACGTGCTAGACCAAAATAGAGAACGCCCAGGAAGAGGCAATCATAGATGATGCGGTCGGGCAGGCATACGTTGAGCAATTCGCGCAGGACGCTTTCGAGAGGGCAGAGAAGGTTATGAAAGCGAATCGAGTCACACGGTTTGCGGCCTCTGCCCAACCCAGCTAAACTCACCTTCGTTGCCAGCTAACCACAATTTGAGCAGGCAAACCGCCGATACATACGACGCTGCTGCAACTTTTCTCTTGCTGGGAAACATATGGGGAGCCATAGACGAGGAGACACAGAAGAAGGTCAAATACGCGAAGTGGAATGCTGCTCGCATACTCAAGGCTATCAAGGAGGGCAAGGATCCGAATGAGACCAACCCCAAACAAGAGGAACCCAAGGAAGTTCTCCCTGCTTTGGATCCCAACGACCCCGATGTCCGCGGCCTCACCTCCCCCCCTCCGAAACCCGCCTCTGTCGAGGACGATCCAGAGACCGAGTTCTACAAAAAGGCTTCTACACCCTCGGAGTCTGTACCTCCCGCCGCGCCGAGCGAACCAGTCCCTACTCAGTCCAGCGTCCTTGATCTTCCCTCAGTGCCAACAGCGAACGACTTGAACCCTCCTGCGAACCAAAACCAGGGTTATTTTGACCCCCCCGAAGACTTTCCGCCGTCGCCCCTCAGTCAGAAGGACACGAACGAAGTGGCTGCTTCGGCAAATGCTCCGTCGGCACCATCGCCCTATGTCGCATCCTCATCAGGCCCATCTTTCAGCCCAGAGAATGCCACTTTGCCGTGGCAGCCGCCTAAGATAGCTCCACCGCACGTCGCCGAATCAACTCCGCCACCCGCCCCGAAACAATCCAAGCCCCCGTCAGCTGCGCAGCAGCCCAAAGCACCTGTGGTTCCCGCCTCGCACAACTCATGGACCCCAAGCAGCGCCCCGTCGGATGATATGGACTTGCCCAAGGCACAGAAGCACGCAAAATGGGCAATCTCTGCTTTGAACTTTGAAGACGTACCAACGGCGGTAAAGGAGCTCCGTAATGCGCTTGCGGCGCTGGGCGCGCAGTAGTAATAGGGCTATCGGGTCCTGCGTGTCGACAGTCGGGGCCCAGAAGATGACAATACAGAAACGGAGACGAACAATTATTGGGTCTCAGGAATCTATATCCGGGGAGTTGAACAATGAGACATTATCTATCTACTGACAACCCAAACTGTTACTCCAACTGTTGGCCAGCAGTTTCTTGGTTTCTTATGCTACTCCACCATTCACGCGGATGGTTTGACCTGTAACCCATGTTGATTCCTTGCCGGAGAGGAAGAGGACGACGGAAGCAACCTCCTCCGGTGTGCCTATCCTGTTGAACGGGCTACTTGCATTTGCTCGTTGGATCATCTCATCCGTCTTGCCCTTGTAAAAGAGCTCTGTGCCTATTGGGCCGGGTGCGATGGCGTTGACAGTAATGCCTTTGCTGGCGAGATCCTTGGCCATGTACTTGGTCATCTGTTCGATGCTGCCCTTGGTTGACGCATATAGAAGATATGGAGGGGGCAGATTGCTTGTTGCGAGCACCGTCGTGGACAGAAAGATGATCCGGCCGCCTTTAGGCATGTGAGGGAGCGCTTTCTATAGCGTTGTTAGCATCAGTGAGCGTTCCGGCTTCGCGTACAAGATTCTCTCTCTCTCTCTCTCTCTCTATCTCTCTCTCTCTCTCACCTGAACCAGGAAGTAAGGCCCTTTGACGTTGGTGTTAAACATGGCGTCGAAATCTTCCTCTGAGGTGTTCTCGACGGTGCGCATATGCATAATAGCGGCGTTAGGGACGAGGACGTCAATCCTGCCGAAGCGATCGACGGTGGCGTCGACGAGCCTCTGCAACTCTGATGTCTTGGAGTTGTCAGCGCGCACAGCGATGACACGGTCGCTGCCGATAGTCTTGACAACCTCGTCGGCGGCGGACGAGTCGCTACTGTAGTTGATGACGACCTTTGCTCCCTGGGCTGCGGCGCCAATGGCTATAGCTCGGCCAATGCCCTTGGAGCCCCCTGTGACGAGGACGACCTTATCCTGGAGCGACATGTTGATATCAAGCAGGTTAGAAGAATCCGATGAGGATAGGTGGCTGCAAGATTATTGAGAATTGTGTGTATGTACGTCGAGGACTGCTCTGTGATGAAGAAATTGTGCCGTGGTGAATCGATGCAGTAATAGTCTTGTGTTGGCAAGTTAGAAGCTTTTATGGCTGGCTCAACGAACGTGCTCCGCTGAGCTCCTCGGAGCTCCTCAGGGCGAGAGCGAGACCTCTTTGGCGGCATTCCCCCAACGGATACACGCATGTGTGGCTTAGTTACGTAGTAGGTAGTCCCATTCAGAGCAGTAGCGGGCGGGTTTCGCTACTCGAGAGCCCATTGTCTACGCGCGAAAGGCCGAGCTCGCGGTGGGGGGGAGGGGGAGCAAGAAGAACCCCTGGCAAAGTCCGTGGTTCATGTTATGCGCCGTGTTCCTATGACGTTTGTTCAATTCATTATCAGATGGCCGTCGGGGGAATAGGGGGGGAAAAGCATCTATACTAGCTTAGCAGCTTGTTCACCATCAAGAACAGTACGATTCGCATCGCTATAATCCAGGACCAATTGAGGTTTGGAAGATGCTTGTTTAATCCGATAGAGCTGATGCTCTTGGTGTCTTGTTCTTATCGGACTTGGAAAAACAGACCCCTGCAACTCCGAGAGGGATCAATTGGTGATTGGGCCTGCAATGTTAATCAGGACATAAGCTGTTTCCGACAGATCCGATTGCCGACAAAATCTTGTCCGCGACCAAGTTGCCGGTGATCTCCAGTACCTATCCGTACACTAGTATCTTTCGCTCAATTGCGGATGTAACATTCCACACAGCCAGTCAAGATTCTTCGGGAGATTCGAGGCCTTCATGAATCAGGGTCCTTATGTCCGTGTCCCGACAGGATCAGTATTAGCAGTCGACGGTCAATTTGTAACTCCATCGGCTTCACAACAAGCTAACTAGGTACTCGGTGCCATCCGCGAGATGCGGGGCCAATGACGGTGGAGTGGAGTATTATTGATGTCATCCGAACATGTACCCGCAGTCCGGGCGCCACCAGTTCACCCCTCTTCCCTGATTCATCGTAGCCACAACAGAGGAGCCCAGGCTCTTTGATTAGCATGTTCGCAACTGTGGTGTCTTATCGTACTGCGTGGCTATTCGGTGAAGTGTCTGCATAGGTAGTAAGCATGATGCAGTGTCCCAGTCTTGGTAATAATGAGGGGTCTGGATTGTAAACCTGCATGTCCGCCGCTTCAGGAAAGTGTGGGGTGTTCTAGCATTATTCGCTATTAGATAAAAGGCTACCTATGGTCCATCCATACCGAGTCTTGACATTTTTCCAAACTGAAACCTATTCTTACTTTACTCCAGTGTACCAGGCAATATTGTTTCACCCTTGCGCATACATCCTCGTCCTTCATATAATCAGCAATCACGATGGCATCGCTTCCAAAGACGTACAAGGCCGCAGTGGTTGAGTCCAAGAGCGCGCCGCTGAAGATCGTCGACCAAGAGCTGAAGCAACCTGGCCCCGGCCTCATTCTCGTCAAGGTCTTGGCATGCGGTGTGTGCCACTCGGACGTGGGCATGCAAGAGGGCGGGTTTGGCGACAGCGTCTTCCCCCGAGTTCCAGGTCACGAGGTTGTCGGCGATGTGGTGGCCGTTGGAGAGGGCGTAAGCAGGTTCTCTGGCGGAGAGCGAGTTGGAGGGGCCTGGCATGGAGGTATGTTCCGGCTCTACTTATACATACATGCCGTCGTGCCCATTAAGTGAGAGAGGATCCTGACGTTTCTGATACAGGACATGATGGGACGTGCCGGCAATGCCAGAAAGGCTTTTTCCAGACATGCGATAACGGGACGGTCAACGGTGTGTTCCGCGACGGCGGGTATGCGCAGTACGTGCTGCTCCGCTCCGAAGCCGCGGTGCGGGTACCCAAGGACGTTGACCCGGCCGAGACGGCGCCACTACTGTGTGCCGGAGTGACCGTCTTCAACAGCATCCGCAAGATGCAGATTGAGCAGGGCAACTTGGTCGCTGTCCAGGGTCTCGGCGGCCTCGGTCATCTCGCCGTGCAGTACGCCAGCCGCATGGGCTACAAAACGGTCGTACTTAGCTCGGGTGCCTCGAAGAAGGACTTCGCGATGAAGCTGGGCGCGCACGTGTATATCGACTCGAGCTCGTCGGACCCCATCGAGGAGCTCAAGAAGCTCGGCGGCGCATCGTTGATCATCGCGACGGCGCCCAACCCCAAAATCATCGCGCCGCTTACTGCAGGCCTGCACGCTGGCGGCAAGCTCTGCGTGCTCGCTCCGGTTGGAAAGCTCGAGGTCGACACCATCGATCTAATCGTAGGAGGCAAGTCGGTCTGCGGCTGGCCCAGTGGACATCAATTTGACTCGGAGGAGGCGATTGATTTTGCGGTCACGCACGGCATCAAGTGCATGATCGAGCGATTTTCGCTCCAAGATGCGAAGAAAGCATCGGAGCACATGTTGTCTGGCAAGGTCCGCTTCCGCAGCGTGTTGGTTATGGAATAGGCCACACGACGAAAACGAAAGCCTTTTTTTCCTGTATTAATAGGAAAATGTAACAATGACAAATGATGTTGATACCCGAATGAGAGAATGGCAAAAGAAACCATCAATAAGGATTGAGTGGAGAGACAGTCCCCACCGCCCCTGACTAGGAGGCAGGCGCGCATGGCAGATTCTTACTTGAAACGCGATGGGAGAGAAAACCTAACACATCTCACCAAACATGCTCGTGCGTGACTGAACCTTCCTCGTTTTTGGGCTGCCACAATTGATAAAGCAGCCCGACCTCTCCAACAAACTTCCTCCAAACGCCGGTTTCCTCTTCCCTTCAGGTATCCCGGCTTTCAATAGGCTGGGCGTCTAGCGCCACCCATTCCATTCGTTCCAGGCCGTGCTTCTGTCATGCCTCCCTGAATTTATTCAGGTTCTACCTGTATGACACATCACGACGACTCAACTGTGGTATGACCGGACACACCACCCTCTCCTCTCCGCCCTCCTACGGTTCCTGAACCAAACACACCGGGTCGACTCTCGTCTGCGCCAACATGGTGCCTCATCCTTATATGTTCTTCATCAGCGGTGTGTCACTGCCCGTCCCGCCCTGGCCCGAGAACCCCATCCTTTCCGCGGCTATACTGCTCCACCCCGGCAACGTCAAAAGATTCGGGCGGAGTCTCGAGTCCAAGAACGTGCAGGACCGCCAGCGCCGCATCTATACCAATCTCATCGTTTTATTCCGTCTAGTGACGCGCTGTCGTCATCTTGCCTTCGACCACGATGCCTTCTGGGCGTTTATCGCCCGTCACTGGGGTGTACCTAATGCCGGTCCTCAGAAGACAAAGGAGCTTGTCGACGTCTACTCGGAACGCCGCCGCGTCTATCTGGCAGCTGCGTACATCAAACGGAAGCACCGGGATCTCTTGACGGACCTCATCGATGCATGGAATTCCCGTGATTCCAGCCCTTCGGTGCCCTCCCCTTTGTCAGGCCCGGAGATCGCTGCTGAATGGGAGCGTGTCACAACGTCATGGTTGGAACAATTACGCCTTGACCCTCAGTCGCTCTTTGATGAGTCCTGTCTACCCCTCATCGGGACCTTTCCTGCCAGAAATGGAACATCATACTCATTTCAGATCAAGGGCGGAAGCGGCCGGTCCCATGTATCTGGGAAAGATTTGTTCGAGCGCGTTACGGTTCCTGGGAAAGATCTATTCGAACGCATTACTGTTCCTTCGCCGGGTCATCACCACATGTCTTCAGTCACACCCAATGGTCATACAGTAGAATCACCCGCCCCCAAGGCTACGGAGGATGTCATCGATGATCTCATCCGAACTGAGAGTCGGAAGCGCAAGTTCACACCCAACACTCCCGACACTGCGAAGCGCCAGTGCATCCCAGAATCGCCTCTGAGTTGCATACAACTGGAAAACGAGCCTGTCTCGGCGCGTCACAAAGCTGCCGCGCAAGAACAAGATAGTAACAGCTCAGATGAAATGTCTACAAGTGCCAGCTCCGGGCCCGCGGACGACGTAATTCATCATGACATGGAAGCACAGCAGACGGAGCAAAGTCTCACACTCGACGGTCCAACCACATCATGCATCGGACTGCACGCTGGGGTAAACAACAGTCCGTCCTCGGTATCTTCTGACAGACGAATGGAAGAAAGCAACAAAGAAATGCAAACGTTGAAGGAGCAGACAAAGCTCCTTTTGGAGTCTCGAGACCTCTCGCGGGATCTCCAGAAAGCTCATGACCAGTTAATCATCTTTACGGCCTCAAAGTGCCAGGAGGCACTGGAAAGACTGGATCAGCTCAGTAATCAAGTGGATATCTTGGGTAAAGATGCTGTGGCATGTCTTCAATCTGGCCAAGAGTTGCAAAAACGGCAAACAAAACAACAGAACCTCATCCAAGGTTTCCAAGACCATGTCGCAGGAGTGGAGTCGGCCCTGGAAGAGGCCAAGAAAGACATAATGGCCCATGAAAGTCGACGGAACCACGACGAGCACTACCAACAACTTGTTGAGGCTCGATTGTTTCAACTAGAAAGCAAACTCGAAAGTCAGACCAGTGCAAGACTGCGAACGACGGGAAGCGTCGAGGCAGAACTGCAGACACTGAGAAAACAGGAAGCCAGCGGCCTAGAGGCTGTAGTCCCTGAAAGGCTTGACGAGTACCATGAAACAAGTGGCATGATGGGTTCGAGTAATCCGTTCAACTTGGAATTTGAAGGGCGTTTGACGACAATGGAGGAGACTATTGCAACCAACGCCGCACTGATCAATCACTGCAAAACTTTAGTCGGGGTCAGCAAAATGACAGTGGACCAGCATCTTAAGAACCTCGATAACCGCGTCAAACTGCTTGAAAATCGGTGTAGTAATCACATTGCCGATCAGACTCAGATCAGCAAGGAACAGACTCGAAGACTGGAGCTGGTTGAAGCCGAACTAATACGGCATAAGAAAGCGGCATCGAATCAACTGCAACCGAAGCCTAGCGGCCCATCATGGAGCGAGTTCGCTGATCTTCAAGCCCAGCTGAACGTAATGAAGAATTCCCTGGCAGCCATTGAGCAGACAAGGGCTAACCCTACCGAGGATGATTCGGGGACTCCTTTATCGCTAATTAGTCAGCCTGCCCTCAACCGCCCTGCGCGGTCTGAGCAGAACGTACCTTCAGCATCTTCACGGAAACATGCACCTAATATAGTGGCTGTCAAAAGGGAGAACTAAGTGTCGAGTCACAGCATATATATACCAGTAGTACCACCCCCTCAAGCAGGGCCTGTCGCCAAGTCCCACCCAAAGGTCTTTGCACATAAACTCAAAGTTGCAAAAGGGGTATTAATGTTGAAAATGCTTTTGATCAGGTTCAGTAGACGGAAGCAATGTCTCCATACGGTACAGACAACAGCTTATTCAATAATGTACTTACAAAAGTGGGCTGCATGCAATTCCTAATTCGAAACATCCTGCCATCAACATCTTTTTGCTTCCTTGTCTTCAGACTCTCCCGACGCTAACTACTGAAAGTACTGCGTAAAGTAGGATATCCCACTACTCTCGCTCATGATAATGGGATTATCAAAACGGTCCTCTAGCACAAAGTCTAACTTGTCGTACAAGCTTTTGCACTCGCTATACTCGGCGCAGTTGAGGCTAAAGCAGTAAATGTTGGCCTTTTATTTTACAACGCTCGATCGAACCACTGCTTGACCGATCTAGTGACGCAACTATGGTCGCAGTCAACTGGTACGATGAAAAGGATTGGAATAGCAAGCCTGTGGGGAGGCCAATAGCGTTCGCCGGTTGCCAGCTTTGCCATTGACAGTGAGCACCCTAATTGGCTGCGGTATACTTGTGTCGTGCATAATATCATTGCGCCCAGTAACTTTTCCCTTGACGCAAGGTATCGTTGCCGTTTCTGGAATGTAACCGAAACATACTGGAGTCTCCTAGAGTGAATCCGACTGAATTGTTCTCAGCGTGTTTTTGGAATTCGGCTTTGTCTTTGGAATGATTTTCCTCAACGGCACGAAATTCAAATCGCTGATAGAAAGGTGCCGTCGAGCTGATGTGCCATAGTGCTCTATCCACGTTAGATGGCCAATATACTGAGCCTGAAAGAGCTTGATATGAAGCTGAATATGGGTAAACCACAACCGGTCTGTCGTCAAACGTGTCGGGGTAAAATCAAGGGGCATTCAGGGTTGGCAAAAGACTATTCACGTCCGAATCGATCCTGCATGTGCTGGTACAATCTTCATCCTTTGATTGTCAAATCCTAAGGTAATTCACCAGAGTCAAGACACAGCTTCACAAACGGTCTTCCCGTAATGAGAATGTTTGAATGACGGTGATGTTCTCACGGTCGCTCCCTGTTGACTCCTTTGAAGCTTGAAAGGTGAGTTCGGTTTCGCTCTCGTTATCGCGCCTCCCCGTAGACTCCCATCCGCGATCGCGCTTGTTTGACGGCTTATGTTGCAGACTCCGGTCTGACTCGCCATTTGCGATTTCTTGGCTGTCGACATCGTCCTTGGCCATGAAAGTGGTGAGACTGAAGGGCCCACGTCGCTGACGACTCGAATCGGCATTGCTGACGTTTTTGACTTTGCCACCCATATTGGCGGATGGATCCCCGCGTTCGGAGTCGTGGAGCTGGGAGGGACCCATAGAGGTGAACCCTAGTCGATATCCTACGAGCCGAAACAGCGGGCGGAGGGTTGCAAGGCTGCCTGCGGTGCAAGCCAAACCCTGCTCGACGGTAGACCAAATGGCGATGTCCACTGTCGCATCTGCGGTTACGCGTATCAGCAACCCTGAATTTGATCACGATGGCGGCCAACGGAAGCGGGGGTTGGACTTACAAAGAAAGTCCGGGTTCTTGAAGTCTGACACAAACGGCATGCGTACAACAACGGCGGAGCTGGCGCTTTGGAATATTAGTAAGCCTGAAGTAGAGACCAAGAAACAAGTAACAAAACTAACATGCAGGCCATAAGCATAACGGGCACAAGTGCCAACTTCGTCTTACGGTTCATCTTCAACTTCCAGATGAGGACAATAGGCAGGATGGCAAAGGTAAAGTCGCAGATAACACTGAAGGCGCTGTAAAGGAAGGTGAGGGCGATGATGACATCCATTGGGACGCAATGCCCATTCTGAGTGCTTTGATTCCAGAAGTAGGAGATGGGCTGGCATTGGAGAAGAGTGACGAAAAAGAAGACAACGCCGGTGCAGACTGTCAACATCATGACAATGTATATGATCCAAATATCGAGTTTGCGGACCGTTATTCGAAGAAGGAAGTAGCCGATGGAAATTTTCGAGGCGATCATGGCGAGACAGTACCAAAGATAGCAATACCACCAATACTATTGCTTGTCAGCGCTTGTCCTTCCGACCAATGAGTAGTAGTCTTACCATCATGGCGGACTCCCAGTCCTCATCGCTGAGGTTTACACGGTGACGGCCTGTGCCATAGTGTACGCCTGTCAATGCGCTGGATACGAAGAGAATAAAGAATAACTGTAGACGGCCGAGTCAGCCTAGAACTTCAATGTACGTGTATCGCCATATGTGATAATCGGGATTTAGCGTACAGTAGCAATAACCATAAACCAGTCGTCAATTCCAAAGTTCTTGACTAGAAAGACTCGGACGTAACACCGGAGGACAGTGGCTACGAAGGCTGAGATGACGAGAGTCAAGCCGACGGCCACAAGCTGCGGGCCACGGTTCTCGATTTCCGCCATTGCGACCGAAGGACGCGAATTAATGTTAGGCTAGGGCGGCTTCGGGGCCAGAGGAAAAATGATCTGAAGAAGAGTCGTGCTGCTACCAAAAGAGGGACTGAGAGTGGGCCGCAGGGTCAGACGGCGGTCTCCAGACTCTCCGTCTCGTGAGAAACAAAGATGGATGGGGAGGACCCTTATTGAAAATGTGAGTTCCTGAACACAACGAACCTTACCACCGGTTACGTCGGCATGTCCGCGTGTTGCCTGGCGCTGTTGCTACCGTGCGGCGTGAAAAGGAGCCGAGAGGCACTAGTACCCCCTGATTGTCAACCGCATATCTAGTTGCGCAGAACCTTGCAGAGTTTGACCTAACTATGGCCATGGACCATTGTCATATCCGAAGAGATCTTCTCGTATCAGGTTGGAGTGGCGGTAGGCTGGGCCTTTTGGCCCTGGCACTCGGGTGGGGAAAAAAAAGAATAGTCGCTTCCACACTCTGTGGTTGAGATCGGCCATTATTTTCCAAATGCCTGTGTGCCAACAAATGTCGGCAAATGGAGCGAACCACATCTAAGGCGAACAGCTTCACTCGCTACCGACCAAGTGGGTATCACTTAAACACCTTCCTCGTTAGCAAGCCGGTGACATGGCCATATGTAGTTATCGGCCGAGGAGCCGGTTGCCCAGAACCCCGCGTGAGCTCTGAAGAACACTGAAGACTCTGAGGTCTTTAGTCCCAAGGGGATTCCTTTGCTGGCGATGCAAAGTGGCAAAAGACTCTAGTGGGGTGGGGGGCATGATGACAGGTTCCTGGATGACAATCAGCCGCCTTCTCAATGCAATCACGATTTCCTGACCAGCTTCCCACGCGGTATGACAGGGAACTGATCCCAGCCCGATGGAGAAGTGACATGAACAGGTGTATTTCTATATATGGACAGTGCTTCTTATTTTGCAAGGCATACAAAAGTGACTATTGGTGGCCTAGGACGAGGAAGATAGAAGGGCGCGTTTGCGCTTGGCCGGATGCTTCACCTGATCCCATACCAAAGAGTGCTTCATACAGATTTTCACAGGTGTGTTGGCACCGCTTATCTTTTCTGAGAATACGGAGTATATGCGTGGAATATCTCCAGTTTTCCTGTACATCAACTAATGACAAAAGCGGTATGCAAGACGGCGATAGCCCAGGGGTAGCCACCTCCGTACCATTGCAAGTGAGATTGCGTGGATTTTGGGAGGAATCGGAGGTCAAATTTGGCAGATGGACTTCGTATGGATCTGGTGTCAGGAACCAGGGGTAGGTTCAACCACGTTCGGCGACTGGTGGGAATTGTTAGAGGCGAGAAGGATGGCGGACAGGGGCCACTGTTGTCACTTGTCAGCGAAATCTCCAATGGGGAACTGATTGTCTCTTTAACATCTCCACTCGACTTACCATACCATTCGTATCCGACTTAAGGGGAACCTTTCCATAACAAGCAGTATGTGACAGACTCGCTTGTGGTATAGGTACTAGTTAGCGACTCTGCAGGTGTAACCCCTAACCTATAATCCATCGTCTATTATTCATGCCAACTCTTCATCATCCCTATAAGGAATTCCGGCTTTTGACTGGCATTTTCCATCCCAAACACCAACTGACGACGTGAGGGCGGTTTGGTCACCATTTTAGGATTGCCTAAGTACTAACTGAAGGCTCGTCCAATTTCCAAATTCACCGGCGCCTCTGACCTCCTTGGGCTATGCCACGCCCACAATTGCCACCCAAATCCTCGATCATCATGAACCCAGCGGACTCATTTGCCCATGCGAAGAGTCCAAGGACTGACAGGGGCTCGGTAATGACCCACAACCTTTATCGGACAAACACCTATAGTCCTGGGTTATCCGTACAATCTGTCCGTTCCCACTTCGCCGTCGGCCCGTATTACGTCAGATAGCAGTTCCGATGCCAGTCTGTCACTGGGGTGTACCTGTAGGTCCTCAACTGGGTAAATACTGCCTAGAGTCGGCCGGGGCGGTGTCGGCCTACGCAAACTTATCGCCACACAAGGCAGCTTATCCTGGAGCTGCTACCAGGTGACAGAGAGATCGACTACCTACACTAGTCGACCAGTCGCACGGAGTGTGAGTTTGTGTCAGGATTGCATCATGCCCATCAACGATATTTCTCAGAACGAATTCCTGTACACTACCTATAACTACGTGAGCCACACAAAGTAGACCAAATAATAGTAAACAACCTCACAGCAGGATTATCGAAAGTCCGAGAACGTGCTTAATTGATGCTAGACCGGACATATAAGCCATAACGCCCACGTCACATCGTATATATGCCAATCAAATGTTTCCATCTGTAATTGAAGTGTAAATCAGGATATTGAACGTAAATAGCAGATCTGAATAATACTGCAACAAAGCATCAACTACACAGGCCTCCAAATCTAGATTATGAAATTGGTACCCCACCGATATGAATTAGCCAGCAATGGATAACTTGGTCTCACCTATGTTATCAGGCGTGTGTCATGTTGCTCGACCCATAAAGTGTCATCTTCGATCTGCAAAAGATGCGCCAATGCCCAATCTTGGTCATTGGCATAAGGGTCTTTGTAATGAGCTAGTCGACCGTTCACGGACCGAGGGTAAATCCATGCACAAGACGCTCTGCCTTCAGGTGTGAAAAGGGACAGGTTGGCTTGAAGAACACCATCAGATTGCTTCCCATAGGAGAGGTCTCCAGTTGAAATGCTGAAGTGATGTAGAGCGATGGCGTTCAGCGTACTCCAATAGTGTGGAAATGTGTCTCCCCATGTACGGTCTTTCCCGAACCAGTGACCGTCCCAATGACGAATGGCGACGTCGTGGACTCGATAGTCTGGCTGCTTTCCGGCAAAGCGGAGGAGAACCTCCATTTGCAACCCGGCAGCTGCAAGCCATGTCTTATCACCTGTCGCCCTATAGAGCTCAAGGAGTATAATTGCTGCTGGTGCTACGATGGACTGCTCAAAATTGACTTCGAATGGGGGATAGTCCGTTCCTCGTTTCACAATGTTCTGGCCGTGGGAGATGTAAAGGCTTTTAGCCCGCTGATAAGCTACCTCCATACCCAATGCTTGGAGCATTCGGAGGCTCTCAAGAATTGGCAAGCCGATGGCATAGAGTGATGCGCCACCTTCTTCATAGAAATTCTCTAGTGTTTCCATGAATCTGGTAATAGGGGACTTGTCATATAGAGCCGGGATTCCGATGGCCGCGGCGACAAGATGAAGCTGCAGGACCCACGGCCAGTTGTAGAGGCGCTTGTTGATGTAGGTACCAGTTCCATTTGGGGCGTCGAAGACAAATCCGTTCTCCGCTTGAAGCTTTGTGCACACAAATGAATAGTAGGCTGTGAAAGAGTCCCTCAGCTTGCCATCTGGCTTCTTCTTCAGCCAGCGACCAATGAGGACGCCCATACCAACACGTTCGCGTCCAGCATTGCGGTCCTGGTGCGTCTCGTAAAAAGGCGATGCTTCGGCTTGGTTGTCATAAACGACGTAGGCACCGTAAAGAAGATCATCAACATCCTTGACTTGCTGTTTCTCCACAATGAACTTGATTCGACTCTCGATGAGGTCGTCACATCGTGGAACAGTGTTGAGAAACACATATGACTCATTCTTTTCACCATCCTGGCCGGTAGCAATGCAGAGAGTCTTCTGACCCATGTCTCCGGCATGATGAATAAAAGTGAATGTCGAACCTTCCTGTTCCACACTCTGGCCGTTTACCGTCGTCGTAGAGTTGATAGCAGTAGCACTGCCTCGCATCCGGATCTTGACGGCGTCACCAGAAACGAGCGTATGCCTTGGAATGTCGAAATAAATGAACTGGCCCGATCGACGGGCGCACTGAGCGAAGAAGTCCTCCCAATCACTGTGCCAGAACAAGGTCCACTCGATAGTGTTTGACTGACCAGGCTCGAGAACTGGGACAGAAGGATGAAGCAAGAACACCCCTCGAGTGTTGGAATGAGTTATTTCATCCCGAGACTCGATGCTGTAGCCAGACAGCGATCCCTTCGTAAGTACAAGACCAAGATTCCGTCCGCGCCCCCCCATCTGACTGAGTTTGACCCATGCTGAGCTTCCGCCGTTGGCCCAAATGTGAGCATGTGTACGGGAATGAAGTGCATCGGTAGTATTGGTATAGTGGTCGTTGAAGGGTGTGTATATTGCAAATGAGGTTTCTCCTCGTGAGGAAAGATTGAGCGGATAAGTACCTCGATTCCGGAACTCGTAAGACTCAGTTAAGCACCGCTTCCGTCCGTCGAGATGTCGGTGGACAATGAGTTCCAATGGCCCAGCGTGATAAGTTACGGCCATGATATCACGGCTGCTCGAGGGATCAATCTGAGGGCTGTTCCAAAAAAGACGATGGAGAAGATTGGCGCCGAGGTCTGCGAATCCTAGTCCCCAGCGACTACCCAGAGGCTGCCACGGGGCGTTGGCCGGAGAGCTGATCCAGTTCATCGGGATTTTGGCGCGAGGATCAGTGATCTCCAAAACAGCCCCGGTAGCCCTGTCCATACGGACGTAAAATTCATCATTATACAGCTCGATAGTCCGAACCATGGTTGTAGTGGTGCGCACACAGTCGCGATATGTCGATTCAAGAGGCTTTTTGTCGAGTTCGAGGACTGCTACAGCATTATAAAGATGAGAAGAAGAAAAGGCTGGGTCAAGCTCGGCATGCTTTTTGTGGCAGGCTGAGACATACACAAACGTGATCGATCTATGGGGTCACTGGACGAAACTTAAAAGCGCTGACACCGGCTATACGGATATTTTAAAGTGTGGGGTAGAAACTCGGTCGGTTGCCGAAGCTAGCCATGCGGCGGGGTAATATATCCAGTAGGTTTAATACCTAGAGTTACATGCTAGTAGGGTCTATAAAGATACAGCTCTTAGAATTATCTGCAGAACGATTAGTGTAAACTAAGTCTTCTTTGTTTTAACGCAAATCGGAAACTATCAGCGTGTCCCGGACAGAGCATCCATATTAAGCAAGAACGATCTTGGAAGTTTGCGTTCAGATAATATATTTAACTAATTAATGATTAGGTCGTTGTTAGTCACAAGACTAAAGACTACTGACAAGTTGTCTAAATGCAACGTTGACAAACCAAGTACTTTCTAACAAAACAACGCATAATTAAACAGTAATATCTAAACTTGTTAGAACGTTGAGATCACATATCTGTAAGTCATTCAATGATTCAAGGCACCTAGTATAAAGGGCACGAACTAGAGACTCGGCTGTCAGTTATTTTAACGAAGGGACTGTTCGCAAATAAGTCAGACTGACTTAAAAACGTCGAGGACAGAGTACATCTGCTTGTATAACAGCTAAATATTTTATGTAGAAGGTTTATCATAATCATACAACTTTGGTCTACCTCATATTTGTTGGACGAACGTACGAGAGTCTGTTCAACAAAACTTATATGTGATGACAGAGTGTATACACGGTTTCCACTACTGCAACTACACCTATACTATGACGACATCATATTGTATAGGAGAGAAGATAATAGACATAGCGTACAGTGACGTGCTTGTTAGGCTAGTATACTCTTATATATGACGGAACTCGAAAGTCTAGAATATTCAGTTAAAAGCGTTCATAATAGGCATATGCCTTCTTGCCTTGTTACTGCAAGCAAAACTTACCAAATCGTGCCAAACGACACCTGCGTACTCAGACTGACTCTTGCCAAAGTCTGTAAATCCCAACTGCTGATAGTAGGGTACCAGCCTATCATAAGTAAGAATTGAAATTCTGTCCGCCTGCCCAATCTTCATCATCTCTTTAATGTAGATTGAAATGAGTTTCTTGCCATAGCCTAGCCTTTGCCAAGACGGCGAAACGGCAAGCGAATGCAGCGCAATGGTTCTGCCCTCAGGTCTATGGCCGACGCAGTGCATAGCCGTGTGATCCGTCTTCCAGTTTACTGGGCAGGCCATGTCTCCATCCTTGACAGCCCGGGAGATTGACTGCGTGGCAATGGTGTGTGCAATGAGCCGGTCACTGCCGCAACTGTCAGGCGCTTTGGTCAAGACTGGGATATCTCCTTGTTGTCTGCATCCTTCTGGGGTACTTGTCCCATGCCGGACAAATAACCCGTAGCATATATGAGGACAAACAGATAAGCGATACTCGATCTAAGGCAATTTGAGGGTTAGAATGTTAGACCACATTGCTGGAGACTGGGCCTATTAGGCGGCGTAGAACAGCGAATGAGTCGAGTAGTTGGAGGCATCGTCTCAAGGGTACAGATAACTGCATGAAGCTTCATACCACATCAACTACCTGGAGCTGAGGGTGGTTCATGAATCGGAGTGTGAGTCACTTTACTCACTTTTTCACGAGTCGCAGCTTCCCCAGGTGGAAAGGCCGCAGACTCCACAGTTGCGCATTGATCTAGATCTTCAATAGACAAAGAACGGATGTAGAGTTCCATGACGGAAGGCATAGGAGTGTTGATGCAGCGTACCCAAAGAAAAGTGTATTTGACGAATCGTTATTTCCTCGAGGTTCAAATCGAGATGGAATGAGGTATAGTCGGAGAAATTAGCGAAGTCAGTCAGTTGACATTGACTTTAAAGCCGCTTCAGAAACGCCCCCGCTTGAATTGCGGAGATGGTGTGGAGCAAACTTTATCTCATCACTGGCTAGGTATAAGACATCTCAAGCCAATTAAGATGTCGTTTGTAGGCGACCGGACCCGATTGAAGTTTTGGTTCTTTTACAATTAAATGAAGGGAAGGCGGGGGGAATGCTCCCTAGGGGTTTAAATATTTCTACACAGTCGTGCTGCTACTCTTGTAACTATAATATGGAAGCACATCCTAGTTCACACTAAATTCTTAATAGAATTGAAGTTTCGTCACATATTTTTCCACAGCTTGGCACGTAGCTTAATCTTTCTACAAGACATTAACTGTCTTTTGACCCCTTAAATTAGTTCGTTTTAAGGCTTTTATAAAAGCTGGCATACAGCCTTCAAGTAATCCTTGAACGAATCCGCAACGGATCACTCTGTTCTGAGCGAGACCTATACTTTATCCATGCTTTCTCATCCCAACCCCCATGGTCCAGAGGAGATCGGAGAGCCAATACTGAATGCCTCCAGTCCTTTAAGAACTGCATTTTCCCTTTCTATATCCTTTCTCTTGGTTGACCGCGGCCAACTGAAGCTGTAAAGGTTATTTCTGTCAACTTTATAACAGGAGACAGTCTGGTTACATTTGACACTTAATGCCGCAAACCTATGTTAGTATATTAAAGGTTGTCGTGATATATAAGCTGCAATTGCACATCGGCAATTGCGGTTCCGCTTCTGTCATCACTAAAGTTGAATTTGCCAGGTGTCTTAAAGACATCAATCATGTCAGGAGTATATTTTACTTTGTAAAACCTAGCACCAGGGACCTCCATTCAATCGTAGAGAGATGTCCTGCCAAGAAGTCACCATATGCTTAATCTTATTAGAAGACCAACCACACCTCGACGACTGAACTGAGAACTAATCTTCCTCATAGGTGTAGCTTGAGACTTCCAATGAGAAACATAGAGAAGCCTGGTAGAATGGCAATAATAATGGAGATCGCAGTATATCTATTTCCAATGACACAAAAAATCGGGAGGTTCGAAAATGTAACAGACATAATCTTAACTAGAGTATTTGTGACGAGCGACTGCACACGGCTGTAAGGTTAGCAAGGGATGGAAAAGTAACCTGGATAGTCATCCATTCGCTGGTTACTACATTTAATTCCTAGTGTAGGCACTTGAAAGACTGTCTAATATGACCTCTCTTCATATCCCGTATTTTGTGCCTAATACTTGGTCCTAAAAATCCTTATCTTGCAATCTCAACAACTAACTTGGAGCAGCTCACTCCTTGACGCAGCATATCTAATCCCTCGTTGAGAGAACCCAAACCCCTCCCCACAACCTTTGGCTCAGGACTTGGCCAGATGATCCCCTTAGCTAGATTCTCTTTCAGCCACGTTCCCATCCAGTATCGAAACTGAGCTAGTCGTTCTCTTTCGTCGGTAGAAGGCTCTACAAAAATGATTTCTACTCCTTCCTGCTCTTCTGCATCATGGGGAATAACCGGGGCTGATCCAATCTTCGACTTCTGGCCCTCTTTCCCGCAGCCGCTCTCCACAAAGGCTTGAAGAACGGCCTGACACAATGATAGCTCCCCTGTTGCAAGGATACAGTGTCGAATCACTAGGCCACCCTCTTTTGCCGCCGACACAACTGCGTCCACAACCTGTGGAGCTTTGTGATCGAAGACGCAATCTGCGCCCAAAGAGCTCACGTATCTCTGATTAGCCGCACCAGTCACGGCGTACACGGCAGCGACAGGAGAGTCACGATCCTCCCGCAGCCACCGGGCGGTTTGCACACCCATTGTGCCTACAATAGAAGAAGCACCCCAAATAAGCAGCGCCTCCTTCTTATGCATGTGGTTGCTTTGGGTCTCTTCGCTGGAACTGGGATTGAATTGGTCGGCGGATACGGAAGAAGGGGCAGTGGTCTTTCCGACTCGTAGTAGGCCCATGGCGTGCCATGCCCCGAGGTACTTGAACCGAAACAGGCAAAGTAGCCGTTTGGTTTTAGGAAATACTTTCAGTTGTGATAGGCACGGCGTGCTGCCATGGCACCAGGCATTGCTCCTGGAAAGCGCCGTAGTCAGGCCCATAAGACTTCCAGAAGGAAGCGGCAAATGCGGCCACACGGGTGATGCCTGGTTGGAAGAATAGGCCTGAGCCCTCATGACCAGGTTTGCTGGGGACGTTTGCACCGACCTCTAGAACTAGTCCTGAGATGTCGAAGCCGATGACCGTAGGATAGGTGGATATGAAAAGGCCTTGGTCACGGATCAAGTGATCTGCGGGGTTGAGAGCTACAGCCTTGACCTCAATAAGAAGCTCGTCTGGGCCTGGCTTTGGCGTTTGACGACTCTGGACCAAGAAGTGCGTGCCCTTTTCGAGAGTGATTGCGGCAAGATGGGTGGCCATGCTGGGCTGGTTGAGCAAAAGTAGACTTTTGGGATGTTTATCAAGTTTTAAATGATCTACGGCAAGGAGAAAACCAATCCTTCTTATACACAACAAAGGAACACATTATTCTATCAAACGAGTTGTTGCTGGAGGGATCTTGCTCCTTAACTTAACTTTGCCCTCTATTATGGACGCTGGCAGCACCCCAGCCCCGTGAGGCAAGGTCAAAACCAATGAGATTCGTCTGTATCCGAAAAAACTGTTAGTGTGCAAGGTGGGGCGATGCAAACTACCTACTTAACGTCGTTGGAAGAACGTTAACCGCATCCACTAATCCCTATGTATTAATCCTTCCGGAACGGAGTCACGCAGCGAACAAACCAGCAACAACTCACAGAGTCGGACGGCATCAGATGTTCCCAGAACTTCCAGGCATGGCTTCAGAATGTAAAAGGAAGGCGCGGGAGCATAGGGTCGCGATGAGATCGAGATTTGGCTGTCGGAATTGCAAGCTTCGAAAGATTGAAGTAGGTAACACTCAACCTCGCAGGTATCAGCCGTGTAGCTGACCAATTGGTCCGGTAGTGCGACCAAGGAGAACCATTGTGCAACAAATGTACCTCTTTTGGAGTTGTATGTAACTTCTTACTTGACGTATCTGACCTCCAGCCTATTGGCGTTGACACGAGTTGGCCGGCAATGGTTCGAGGACAAAGACGAGCAGATGTTCAGCCACCTCTAACAAACGCTGTCTGGACATGCGACACGTCAGGATCGTATCAGTTGAACGCAAAGTGTCAAGACTTCATAACGCGTTATCTGGGGCGAAGTCTTATCACCCCTAGCGACCCTACTGTGATACTAGTTAATAGTAAACTCTTGGAACTTGCTTTTACCGTAAGTTGTCCGGAATAAGTCTTGTTCTATCAGGCAAGATCAAAGGAAATAACTTTTCAGAACATAAAATCGGCTAATAAATGACTGTACAGCACCCATATTTAATGCACGCTTCTCTCGCTGTGGCATTCACCTATGATCGCTACCTGAATGGCCACTCAAACTGTCGTCCTACCATAGAGGAGTGTTTTCACTGGTCCCAAAGCACTGTTCTATTGAAGGAGCGGTTGACGAAACCGATCAAGACCGAAGACAAGGATTCAATCTGGGGTACTGCAGCTGCCCTTTGGGTAATATTCTGATGGTGAGTATAGATTGAGATGAATTGTAATAACTGTAGATAATAACTGTGTACGAGAATAGAAAAGGAGGATGGAGGGGGGAGGAGATGGGGTTTGGTTTTGTTTTCGTTCAAAGCCAACAGTAAATTTCCAGGCTAGCTTTGTCCCACCCCCTGAATTCATCGGATATGCTTCTCACAAGACTCGAATATAATCGATGATTTCCTATCAAACGCATTGGCTGTACCATTCGTTCGTCACCTTGCAAGTTCCCTGCGCACATGTTGTAGGCCCAGTCCAGCCTGTGCCACCACACTGGCCGTAAAGAGGAGCACCACCGCCACCCGAAGAGGGAGGGGGGTTAGATGGAGACGTGCCTGGGGGAGGGCTAGAAGACCCATTATCAACCCAGACCTTGGGGCCAGGCATGATGTATTGGGCGGGTGTGTTTGTCCACTTGTTGTATGCAATGCCGGGGTCGCTAGCCTTGTAGATTCCAGGAATCTTGACAAGGGGACCTGGAGTGCCTCCTCCGCTGCCGGTAATCTTGAGATGAGCGCATTCCATATAGAATTGGGCCTTGCCCACATGAGCTTCATGAAGGCCGATATGCTCAACACGGACAAGATAGTCGCCTGGTGGGATGCGGTTCGGGATGGTAAACTCGATGCGGTCTTTTTGCCAAGTGCACCAGCTAGTATCAACATTTGGCTGACCACCGCAAAGACCAGTCTCGTACACCTTAAACCAGTCCCCTTTTTTTCCAGGTTGATTAGCCGTCCAAACGCTGGGTTTTCAAAGTTTACAGCCAGTTCTCTTACCTGATCCGTCATAGCCGTTCAATGAACCGGAGACTTTGGACATGTAAACAAACCCCGGACCGGGATGCTCAATGAACTCATTATACCAGAGTTTGAAGCCAACCTTACTCCCGGCAGCTACGGTGTAGGTCTGGGCAGTCCCTGTAGTGGCACCTTTGTTGCAACGCAGCTCTGGAGAGTTGACAATCTCTGAGGTGAAGGACGGCTGGTAATTGTTGCTGTTTTTGCGCATGTAGGTGTAATCGCTACCTACAGCATTTCCATTAACGATGAGTTGACTGAAAATGTAATGACATTGTACAAAAGGGACAGCCAGAACGGGGAGGAAGGTGGAGATCCTCATCGTGAGGATGAAAGGGAAACCTAATCTTTAGGAATCAGACAAGTTCAATGTGAGGGAAGAAAGCACAGTGGACTGAAAGACGATTATTGTTTCCGCAAAGGCGTCAGCTTTAATATATGTTGCAAAAGATTCAAGAACCTTTTGACAAACACCCTTTACTTCATCTAGACATCTGGACGAGTCGTTCCGTTCATCTTTTGTTAGCCTTGTCCCTAAATCTATATTATTAGCTGAGCCGGAAGACAAAGGACTTTCTTCTTAGTTTGCAAGAGTACCTAGTTGCGTTCTGTGTGGGCCGTAATTGTTAGATCTCGGGTTAATATAAAGACGAAGCGTGCAAGTAGCCGTGATTGATTACCTTCTGTAGCACATGAATTGTCTGCGTGACCACTTCATTCACACCGGGAAGACTAAACAGTCAAAATGTTGGAACAAATCTACATTCTCTTTCCTGATTGGTGCAATTTCTACTGTATAGTCCATCTAAAGAGCTACGTAGTAAATCAGTCGAGCCTGGGCTTCGAAGCTTGGCTTCGAGATTGACGAAACAAATTCAGCAGACCACCACAATATTTGGAACGCTATGTTGAACTCTTTACCACGTATGCAGTTGCAAGGATATATAAATTAGCCAAGCTGCCTGTTGCTGGTGGTGTAACTCGACTCGGCCAATAGTGTTTATATGGAGCGTCTGATAGTGTATATGGCGACAACAAGTGCGAAAGGCTCGTATGGAAGAATTTTCCGAGCCCTGCCGGAGAATTATCAAACCCTGGGACTGTGGTGTTAGACGCAACATCTTGGCGACAGCCACCAGCGTCTAAGGCTTGGCGGTCTGTTGGGCAGGTGACCAATCCATCCTTGCCTACGAGATCGATCATGCCTTTATCGGCCGTGGAATCTGTAACAATGGAGGATTCGAAAAAAAAAAAGAACTTATGCAGTACAGTGCTCTATTTTGATTTTCTCTGTTTGATCTTTCTCTTGAAAGTGCGACAAGACTGGATCAAACGAGGTCTTCAAGCAAATCACAGTGTGTCACGGCATGGGTTAGAGACCTTGGCACCAAGAGACCAACAGGACTTATTGCACTCATTAAGAGACTGGCCAACCAATTGGAAATATGTAATATAGTGGTTATTTGGACCACAAATATCTTTCGAGCGCGGAGTACTTGCGTTGCTCCGACGTCGCCGAAAACAGAATTAGGAAGGTTACTTTTGGCAATTGCCTCTGACTTAATCCATTGCATGTTTGAACTCGCATACGGCTCTTGTGAACATGACCGCTCCCTCAGCTTGGGAGTGCGCCACGAGGCTGTCAAAGCGTGTACTAAGGAAATTACTGAACGGCGCCAAAGGTCAACAACACTTGGCGTGCAGCGCCTTCAATAGAGGGCCGGAGATCCAACTCTCAACGCTTGAATCTTCGGCATTGGAACGCAGCTGGTTGTAAAGCTTTCGCCCGAGACCGCCGGAGGCAGCCAGATCATGAGCCTTGCGGCTGCTTCAGACTACTCTTCCCTGGTGTGGGAGCAGTGGCCATGCTGTTGAGAAGGTCATTCACTGCCTCGTCGAGATCGACCAGCGGGTGTGTAGGTAGCTCCTTTGCAGTCCTGCAACAGTGGAAGCCATGGCCATTATCGCTCACAAAATTGTTCCCGGCCGTATGTGCCATATGCAACTGAAGCTCCCTTCTTTTTACAAACCAGGTTGACAGATCTCGTCAGGCATCAGTTTGGATCTCGAGGCAACAGTCACTGTCAGCGCCATGATGCCGCCGCCGCCACCTCGCTCGGACGTCTGCAGGTCAACCCGAAATGTGCGCACCATCCAGCTTTTGAAGCCTTATGCTAATAAGAGAGTCGCGTCCGAGGGAAGTAAGCCACTGATCGACCCTCATTCTGTCAATGGGTTGGTCGAGAAACACCGCGAACTTGGTCAACGTGGCATCGCGGATGATCTTCTCGGCCCTCTTTATTAATTTGACGCCACAGAGAGCCTTTCAAAGTCAATCTTGCCTGCCCGAGTGGTACCTGTGGTCTGCTTATCCTGTGTACGGACCAGCTGGCAGAAGATAGGGTTCTCGAGGAGGTGGTCGTCGTGGGCCTCTAGGATAGATTGATAAGTGATGCCTTGGATCATCAGAGGAAGATTTCGGCTTCGGGCAAGAGGCATCATTGCGTATTCGATGTACGTAAAGGGGTGTGGCACGCGTTTGAGCCGCGTCGCAATCTCCATGACGCCAATTAATCTAATTGCAGGGGTTGTAAATGGTACTTTTTTTTAAAAAAAAAAATAACTACCGGCAAGAGGTATGAGCAGGGTGGGTTAAGCAACAAAGAGTTCACCGTCCGTACACATCCACGTTCACTGAGGTACGAAACACTTCTAATGGCCCAGGCCGTCAAGTGAAAAGATTTGTTCATTAACATCTAACTTATGAAAAGATTGGAGGCAGGCAGTCAATTAAACCCGGTAGATGCCGCCCGGCTGCTGGGAACCTTTTAAGGAAAAAACCCAGGCCTAGTTGGCTAAGGACCCCCTACAGTAAGAAAGAAGTCCTTCTCAGTAGCAAAATAAATCAGTTCCCGGTCGTCATGTGATAATTCCTTGGCCAGTTTCGACCGCCAGATCATACAATTCTCAGTAAATCTGGTCTCAATTGGAGCCGTTGGTCAAAAGCAGATCATTGGGCCTCTTGCCGTTGACGTATTTCCAGAGCTTGCTGTTTTTCATGATCCTGGAGTGGTCTTTGTGGGTGAGCAGTCTACCCATTGTCCTTTTCTCATCAAGATAGGTTTCGAAATCATGGTTGTCGCCCTCTTCGACGGCAGTCAACGTGCGGTTTAGAGGCAGGATTCTGTCGAGATAATGCTGGTTAAGCAAATGGCCCCATTTGCCCTTCAGTTCAAAAAGACGTCCTTGGAACGAATTCTGTCTCTTGGGGGTTTGGGAAAGAGCGTCCATGATAGGACCGTATGCCTTTTCATCTCTTCGCTGCGTCTTGGCTCTCTTCTTGAAATGGGTTACACCCCAGCGTGCTACGAAGTCGCCCGAGTTAGCAAAGTGCTCGATGTGATTAAAAGCCTTTACGCCCTCTGATATTTCGGGATTGTTGAAATGGTTGGCAGCGTTTCAAAAGGTGTAGATTTCAAGCTTCTTCAAGTCATTGCGGGACGAGTGAGAAAGGAGCCAGTCCAAAATTAGGCTGCCTTCCAAACCGCCCTGAGAATGAAGAATAAGAATGACTCTGTTCTTCTTTGGGTCCCCCAGAGCTCCGGCAATGAGGGCATAACAGGCTCGGGTGTCGGAAGTGCCGTAGTAGAAGCATCTCTCAATGAGGCATTGTATTACGTCAAAGATGATTCCAGCTCTATCCAGGTCACGTTAGAATAAAGTAGTATCGCTGGAAAAGCTAAATCTCTTACGTCTCGTTGTGGATACCCAGAATAGGGCGGTGAAATGTCCTGTCCAGTCTATCCAGGTTTCCCTGCAGCCAATGCGTGCTTTATCAAGCCCCGTTAGAACATCTGTTAAAGACACCGTGTAAGAAGGTACTCACCCAACCGAAACTCCGTTGAGAAAAAGCCATTGCTCATCATCAGGCCCCTTCTGTGTCACTCTCGACAAGAGCACTCCTCCATTACAGCCGGCGTTAAGAGGAATACATGCAATGTAGTTGACGAAGATGAAGCCAATAAAATAAGGAAGAAACACGTGGAACGGGAAGAAGGCCAGGAGAGGTAGTGAAACGAGAAAGGCCAATTGGGTTCCAATGAGCACCGTATGCGCCGCAAGGCAAATGAGATTTCCAACTGAGGGATAGAGCTCATCCATCTCTCCAGAGGGGAACATAGGGTCAACCAATCTCTGAAAAACGCTCTGAAAGGCGTCCACAATATTGATGATTGTGGTTGAAGCCATCATGGGAGGAACCCATTTGCGGTCAAGCTTCGGATAATTTGCATCCCGGCGGGGGGGATACCAGAGGGGGAGGACAACAAGAGGAAGGAGGTGGGCTTTTCTGATAAACAGTAAAAGGTCATCCCACATTAGCTTCCATGGCGGAGCGGTGTAATACTGCGGTAACTCGGCTTTGAGTTCAGCTGGGCCGCCGCCGTTGTGCTTAGCGGGGACGGCGTACACCGTAACAGTGTCGGTTTTCTCTTCCGTCTCGATGATTTCAAGTGAACCCGGGGTTGATTTGCCGGACACCATGATGAAGGGTGTTTTTTTTTTTTTCGCAAAATTAATAAAGACTGCAAGAAAATGTAAGTGGAAATAAAGAGTGTCGATAGAGTTTGACTGTCTGCGCTTGAGGTCGACTCATAGCCTTGATAGGGGCTTCCGAGAAATATATAGATTCTAGTGCAGTGACCATTGATCTATCATCTGCATTTTCTTCCTCATAGTATCGTAAAAAGTATATGGTTTGCAAGGTTGATAAGCTTTTGATCATTCCAAAAGCTGGCGTATGCCGGTGACATCTAACTGCGGGCGGTTTCCGAGATTATTTTACATTCTTCCTTCCAGCCTGGGTGACCTTGTTCTTACCTATTGAGAAATTCTAACTACACCCAATGTTACTATGGCTCTCGGAAGCACAATCAGTAGTTCAGTTGCATATAAGTGTTATTAGTATCTTTCTACAGCATCTACTGTTCGAATGTTTGCCAAAGCGGTGCATGGTGTAGGAATTTGCTCCAGGCATGATGTTCCACTTTAGGTCTTACCAAGGGCAGACGATGAACTTAGTGGCTTAGAAGGGCCCAGCTAGAAGTTTTGGAATGCTTTCGGCTAAAGTCCTGGATATTGGTGATGTTTGGTTATTTCTTGGACTGAATTACGGCCTTGACGTCTGACATACCATTTTTTATATGCTTAGGCTCTGCGTTCCATTTATTCCGTAGTCATTGCAAGCATATAATAATCAAATGCAAATACAAAATTTTAAAACCTTTGCTAACATTGAAGGGGAAGGCGGGGGCTACAACAGCGATGAGATCTGTGTTGAAGCATTCTGCAGGGAAACCACGTCTCGAACACCGAGAAAGAGAAAGCAGGCTCATAATGGGGGTACAAGGTAAGCTCCAAATTTTGAGGTAGCGGTATAGACATATTCCTCTTTAGCGCTTGGGCAAGTACATAAGATATCTCTCCTTTACTTCCAGTAACCCCCGTGCGTATGTCTTGACCCTAGTATCAGTCGCAGCACGTTCCTTCGGAGTAAATCCCTTGGAAAACGCCGACACGCGCAATCAAATGGAAACTCAGTCAGCCACGTAACCGTACGTTGCTGTGAGATCAGTACATGAGACATATGGCAGCCAGGATAGAATGCCAAGATGTGCCTTGCTACTGAGGCATGTACTGTGGTGCCAGCGTCAAGAGCAGGGTTAAGTGTGGTCGCCAGGCCCGAACCTTAAAGATGCTAAGAGAACTAGATGCTAACCCTAAAACCAGATCTACGCCTCGACATATTTGCCATGGTGCGGGCAGTAGTTATCAACGGCCCACCTATGGAACGCCTCTAACCTGTCACATATCCCAGAAGTAACATAAACCGCTTGTTTGACTCCGTAGTTGTAGGGCCAAGTAGTTTTATTGTAAGCTTTCCATAAAGCATTCAGTAATGCTATTACCAGAATAGCATGATCTGTATTGTGCAGCCCCACCCGAAGGAAAATGCATGGCATTGATGTTGGCGTAAACTGGGAGCGGTAAAACACACATACGGTCAGGGCATGGGACCAAATGTCTTTTTCCATCGGGTGTTCTTTTTCCTAGTTTGCGGTCTCCTCGCCCTCCACGAGCCCTGTCAGCTGCGTTGTCTAATAGACCTGTCGGTGCCAGTCGTTTTGGAGATGGTTGTTTGAGCGCAGTCGTTGTGCTTCGTGTTGTAGCTTGTGGCTCACTCGCGGTGGTGGCGATAATGCTGTCTAATGACCTGTCGTGTTTTGCGGCTTGCTATCGAAAGTTTTGTGGTCAGGACCTGCTCTGCAGCCACACGTGCGCCCCTCTGAAAGTAAAACCTATGCCGAGGATGGGACGGTTGAGTTCTCTGGGTACTCTTTTCTTTATGCTACTCTGGAATGCTCCTAATCAAACTATATAAACTAGAATACTAGGGTTTGTGTTCATTCTTCGGTTGTATTTGTGTGCGTGGTGGACGTCTCTTTACTTTTACGACTTGAAACACGCAAATCCGTTCACCAGACCACTCTAAGCATTACTTCCCACACTAGGCTTTCCTTCTCTCTTTCGTATCGTAGAAAAGAAATCCACTGAGAGCTCTTCTGCAATCTTTAGTGCAGAGAGTCTTATTCTAATCTCTGGGCAGGTGGTTCACGACTAGATTTCCGCAGCATCGCCCGTGTTCGCCGCTAGTTTGCCTGAGTCTCTCAGGAGATCCTCAAACATCTGTTCTAGGAATAAAACAATGCAAGTTATCTTCTCATATCGTGTTATTATATGAGATGGCTCACTGAAGTAGTAACCGATATAGATGTGTCTACCTCCCAGCTGGCTAGGTGAACTTCGTGATTAGCTGAGTTATGTGGCTCGCTGAATTTTGATAGCTTTAGGCAGATTAAGCAACGGCCTGGACCAGTAGTAAATTGTATTGTCTCGGCTACATAGCGCTGGGCAAGACAATGTCTTACGATTCTTTTCTAGCTCAGCCAGCCACACAGAAGGCTGCTCCAAGACTAGTTTGTTTTATTCAAAAATGGTTATCAGCCTGTCGTTTGCTATTGAACCTCTTCCTATTGGCGAAATAACGAGATACCTTCTCCACGCTCAGCTCGCTTTTCTACGCTACTGAGCTCTAGGGAGGAAAGGGCTCATCGAGAACGAGGGTTCGCTGCTCGTATTCGTGTACGACAAGAGGCTAAGCCAAACAATCCATCTTACGTAGCCGGGTCATAGTCACACTCATTCCATTCTTGGTATCGTCGCCAGGTACCTAAACCCGTGTAAACAGCTTTGTTACACATGAACAAGATCCGCTAGTTCCTGCTTTAGTCCTAGCATAGTACTATTACCCAGTACACTAGTCTTCTAGCGTCTTGCATCAGGTTAACCAACAAAATATCAACGATAAAAGTCCTCGTTCATTAGTAACAAGATTAGTCCCGAAAGTCCGGCATTTTAACAAATATTGTCGTTCCAGTGTTATCCGGAATCTTCGTTTGGCTTAATGCAAGACCATCAAGCCCAAATCCTACACCCACCAAAGCCTTCCAAGAGTGCTTAAACAGAGTATGCAACGGCAAAAAGGATTGTGTTAGGTACTCCGGCATTAGCCAAGACGAAGAGTTCTTCCACTGGGTTACCCCTTTCAACAGGGCTTGGCCTTTCATCCCGACTGCTGTTGTTCGACCCCAAAAACCCGAGGATGTCTCGGGATTCGTTAAGTGTGCGACAGCAAACATGTCACAGGACATACTAGGCGTTAATTTCTGCTTGCGATTAATGGCGTCGTTTTTGCGACAAAACAATATCAAGGTACAGGCGAAGTCAGGAGGTCATTTGTATGCGTAAGTCCACCACTATCCCCCTTCGCAATGTACTGCATACTTAGCTTACAACCGTGAAATTCTTAGTAACTATGGTGAGAGTATAGAACGTTCAAACTTTTGCATACTTGACTGACATCTTCGCGCTTATACTCAGGACTCGGAGGACAGGACGGATCGCTGTGCATTGACCTTCAAAATTTGCGATACGTAATCGCTGACAAGTCTTCATGGGACGCCAGAATCGGGGCCGGAGCCTTGCTTGGTGGCGTTGATGCCATTCTATAGAGAAGGGGATAGGATGTTTCCCCATGGGGTGTGCCCAGGCGTTGGGATCGGAGGGCATGCTACAATTGTAAGTTGTCACGCTTCATCAAGCTTCTCGTGCAATTTGATAATGAAGCCTTATTTAAGGGGGGTCTTGGACCTTCATCTAGAATGTGGGGAGCTACCCTTGACCACGTTCTGGAGGTCGAAGTAGTCATTGCGAACGGGAGCGTTGTCACAGCGAACGAAAGATCGTATGAGGATTTATTTTTCGTAAGTTTTCAGAACATTATTGCGAACTTTGGTATTCTAATTCAACCAGGCTATAAGAGGAGCTGGTGCAGTCTTCGGCATTGTCACCGAGTTTAAAATGCGAACGCACCGAAAGCCACCAGTAACTCTGCATTTTGCTAAACGCACTTCATACACCCAGCGTGAACAAATCATTGAGGAGTTTTTGAGCTGGCAAAACCTTACAGCGGACCCTGACCTCGACCCACGTTTCGGCACCGAGTTCGCCCTTGAGCCTCAGGGTTCTAAGCTCACAGGAACGTGGTTTGGGACGGAGGAGGATTTTCAAAACTCAGGCATCTCGGAACGGACTCCTGGTGGCCTCAGAGCGATCGAGTCTAACTGGATCGAGACGGCTCGCTGGCAGTGGGAGAATGCGCAACTCTACCTCGCCGACGTGCCTACTGAGTTCTTCTCGCGTAGCCTCGGTTTCAGAAAACAGGACCATCTTTCACGGAACGCCACTGAGAATCTTGTGAGACGAGTTGAGAAAGACAACAAGAGAATCGACTTCAATTGGTTTATCATTTTCGACGCCACAGGTGGCGAGGTAGCAAAGCCTGACATGGACTCAACGGCGTACGCGCATCGAGACAAAGTCCGGTTTTATCAGTCGTATGGCTACAGTCTTCGGTGACCATTGAGCGGTCCAAAGCAAGACCTTTTACAGGATATACACCAAATGCTTGTTGAAAACATCTCTGGACCACACACAACACATCCTGGATACGTCGATCCCTATTTGGAGAAACCTCAAGAAGCCTACTGGGGATCTAATCTGCCCTAGCTTCAGAGAATTTAAATGAGATGGGATCCCGCAGATGTGTTTCATAACCCTCAGAGCGTTAAACCTTTGTAGCCGTCCTCTATAACATTTAGGGCGTGACGAGTAACTTGGATAAAACATGGCAAATGACTGGATTTAGATAAGAAATATAAAGGTTTATAATTTACTACAAGTAAGCAGATTGTACTTCCTGGGATTTCAGGCATATATGTAACGCCGCTAGTGGTGCAGCCACAACTACTTGCCTTGAATAATGCTCCTGGAGATCTCTGCTGCAAGATTTAATGCGGCCTGGAAACTCCCTACACCTTTTCGGGGGCTCACAAAACACACCTATACACTGAGAAGTTGTTAAAAAGCCTTTGTGGTGCTGGGTGAAAAGGGTTATGCTCAAGAGTCGTCTGTCACTGTGTAGTTCATCCACATAGACTCCAAGTCCTCCATTGTATAACCAGGATTCTCAATGAGCTTTGCCTCAATCATCATCTGTTAGAGTGAATGTGGATAGCTCCTTTTCTCAACGAAGTCGGAGAGGAGCTCTGGGGCGCTGTCAGGCGCCTACTCCTGACTCATAACCTCGGGTACGTCCATGAGGCGGAAGTAGTTGCGGCCCTCACCACCATTGACAATCTGCGTGTTGCACTCTCGTGCTGTGTGCATCATCTTCTTTGCGACTCGGAACGAGTGTAGGATAATGTGATTTAAGGAGGGTGGCAAAGGATACTAATTTCGGTTTAGGTACTTCTAGTAACAGAAAGAGAAGAATTTTAACCACAAAGCAAGGGCTCAACAATAGTAAAGTATCAATCGGCAACACTGAATAATTCCAACCTCCAAAAAGCAAAATAGGGTTCTGAGACCCACACTCATTGCGAAGCCACATTGTGTTGAACAAACAAATGCAATCCCCCAACGGAGCTCAGTAAAGGGGCCTTAGCAAAACAGAGACAATAGATCTTAAAAAGATTTATTAAGAACTAGATTCATATAGAGTCATTGAACCAAATGCCGATGTGGTGATATGGGATTTCAATATATCATTTTCTCCACGCAATTAAATCTAAGAGTACATTTGTTAGCTCTGTCAACCTGATATAGCCAGTCGCTGTGCGGCGTCACAACCACTATTCGGGACCTGCGGCAATGTGACCCCTCAGGGTTAATGCAGATAAAATTGAAAAACTTTACCTGGTGCCTCGTTCGGCAACTGCTGCTCTTTGAGCCTCTTCGGCGGTAACTCGATAGGGCCCTGCAGTCCTTTCAGTAAGGCTCCTGCGTGGCCAGTGTGATGATTTGCGGAGTCAAATCCGACTTCCCCAGAAACTGTGTCTTTGCAGGCTTCCCTGCCCTCAAAACTGAGAGCATCGAAGGGACTGTCAAAGCCACATGATGCAAAGCCGACAAAGAGCTTATTTTTTTCCCAGTGAACTTTTACTCATCTCAATATGACTTAGCCTCAGAAGCAAACCCATCCAAGCTTCTATTTGCATGACGTCCATGACAATGATCTATGTCGGCATGAAACTTCACAAGTGATTTCATTGGATTGTTAGGGAATTCCAACTCTCCACAATCAAAACGCTGTACCTGATGAATGACGGGGAGAAGATGAAACAAGCTTAGATTTAATCAGAGTAACCCTCATTTAGTTATCCATGATATAGGGTTGACTTTTCAACTCTGCATGTTGTGCTCTAGAGGAGAACAAATCTTAGTGTGGAAGTCACTTAGAAGGAACTCACATCCAATGAACAACAATGCTGGACCACCTGCGGCCAATCCTTTGCCCCTCCTGAGCCACAGGCCCATTCCGATTGACGACCCTATGCCAATCATTGTTATGTGTCGGTTTCCAAGTCTTCTTCGTAGTTGCAAGTCAGCACCATGGTCAATGTCAACTATGCTAGTCTTGCGGGTCGACTCATTGTCATGGCGCCCGACCTCAACGTTGCCGTGAGCTTTGATCTCCATTAGTGGCAAGTAAAACTTCTTAAAGTGTTGTAATAGGGCAACGGTGTTACTTTGTCTGGTTGATAATAATCATGAATGGATAGAAATCTGTTGAGCAGTCGAATTGGGTTGGGAAATTCTTCTGACGCAGTCGAGCATTTGCACTATCTGATGCATCACCCATAAACTCGCTCAGATAGGGGAAGATAGGAGGAGGTCAAGCTTGTGGGGGTCAGATAGGGGCGCATCAATCTAGATATGCTTAAGCCTTGAGGGAATTGACAAGGTGGGTCTTGACTTGTGTCTTTATGGCCTGCATCGCGTCTGACCGGTCTCCAATTTCAGATAAAGTATCTAGTAACGGTTGTAACGGTTGTTAGCTAGACGTTGATAAGAAACACGCTAGTTTCTGGAGAAGAGAAGTCTACTAGGAAAATCTCATGTCGTGAAGCCGGAACAGCTTCGTGTGGCTGGTACCAGTGGTGAAGGCCACAGACGTGGTTTACCAAACGATGGACTCACATCAGGAAAGGGTATTTTAGACTAGGAAGAAACAACTCCTTCTCTCCAAAATGATCGGATGCTGCGGTTCATCACATCTCACTATAGGGTGCCTGTAGTATACCTAACCTAATATAGACCAGCCGTATTATCTGTATAGACAGTTATCTGTAGGTTTTCTATGCTTCTTGCTAGTAGTAGTAGTAGTAGTAGTATTGTTTAACACTAGTATGTCTGAACTAGCGGTAAAGGGAGACCACGCAGCGACTCTTAAGCTTTTACTATCTGCACACATAAAGCGCAATATATAAGGTAGTTCACGATCAATCCTTTCTCACCAGATCACTTTCACAACTGGGCAAGGGCATTGAGAGGCGGCTCTATGTTGGTTGCTCACTCAATATGACCTGAGGGCGGTTTATGTCGGTGATTTTGTACAATAGTTCAAAGAGCCACAGCTTTTTATGCACTTTGTCCTTTGAACGGTCAACATCAGAAGGGAACTATGCCTAAAATATTATATCTGAAGAGATATAGGCTGGAGTGTCATCGTTGAGCAAGTTTCTTTCCACTCAATAACTAAGACTTGCCTCGAAAAGTGTTAAAAGGAGGCCCAGGACGCGAAGATTTCACAAGAGCTATGGACATGAGGAGCCTCCAAGGCACTGATCTTGTCAACTTTTCCATTGGGATAAGCGTGCCCTAGTCTGTCGATATATTTGAACAACTCCATGTCTCTCGTAGCTGTGAAAAATTCACTCACTCTTCGTAGGACGCGCCAACCACCTAGGCGTCATCATATCCACAGCATGCTGCTTCGTGCAGCCATCTAGCTTCTCCTACCTGACGTATTGGTGCGTCATCGCGTTGGTGACGGGGATGCGGCTTTTTTCGTGCCACTCAAACGTGATGAGGCCAATATTCCCGTGGCACATGGCTGACTGACGGAGGAAGTTGATACGGTTTTCGTTATGGAGGAGGTTCTCATAGTCATACTTGTTAAGGTCTGACAAGTAGTAATACAGGTACCTAAGCTGCTTAATGAGCTTGAAGCAGTGGATCCCGTGGTAGACATTGAGTGTGCCGAGGTAGCTGCTGCCATCCGGGGCCGCAACGACAATGTTCTCCCTACCGATGTGCCTCATGTACTCAGGCTTAATGACAATCTTCTCGGCTGTAAGTCCAGTTTAAACTAAAATGCATATACTAGAATAATGCAAGGTGGGTAGCAATGGAGCCTTTAAGTTAGGCATACCGTTCACCAGATTGTGCCACGCCTTGTCTAGGTCTAGGCAAAGGCGACTGGAGAAGAAGCCCTTTTCAGTCCCATCCGTTGGACTCGTAGCATGTTAAACATTCAACGTCGGACTGACTGTGCCCTGGTCTGATGTGATGTTCCACCCTGAGCCCCACTCCACGGGGAACGGATGACAGGGCCGGGATGGGGCTAGATAAGGGCCGGACACAACAGTAAATCACCAACACATCCCCTATTAAGTACGAATCATGCACCAGCTATAGGAAGGTGATTACTGCAAGGACCTTTTGTTTACGCACGTCCATAGGACAGGTACAAGAGACGGGGTGGTTGTTTGAGGCAATTAACGGAGCGGATAGGCCCCCGCTGGTTGAACAGAAAGGAGAGGGAAGATGGGGTGGCCAAGCGATAGCATCATGAGGCCATGGACACGTCAATCGACCCCGGCTATTGCGTCAAGTTATACAGCAGATCCGGGGAGCCCATGGGGGCTGAGGGCAATCGACGGCGGTACAGTTTGGGAGGGGGTAATGCCTGCCTAAGGGCAAACTGGCTCTTAGGGTAATAACAACATGTTGGTGAGTGTGATAAGAGACGCAGCTGTGGGGTCAACTGAAGCCAGGCCATGTCAACATACTTTTCTGTCTAAACTTGAGAGACTGTATGTATTTTACTGGAAGGCAATCAGCAGGGGTAGGAACGTCACTCCGTCCCTCTGCTGCCGCAGCGGAGTCTGGCCACTCTCGCAGACCATATCCTCTGGGTTTTTAGACGGGAGGACGACGGAGCGTTACCTCCCCAAGGTCGATATCTCCGATAGGCAATAGACTGCAAAAACAAGTTGTTACTAAGTGGTGAAAACTCCTAAGTCTTCCTGGGATTCACGTCAGGACGAGAGAAAGGTTATAGATACAAACACATGATCCACAACACAACTAGACCAGGCATCGGACCCGAGGGACGAAGCAAATTCACACAACTGTCTGAATGATCTGCAACAATGGCTCACTTTGGATCTACCTAAGCTACGTGTGCAACATGTAGGTTGACAACCTCACACAACCTTGTCAGATATCGTGCGCTTATTCGCAAGTCTGATCTTCCCAAAAGACAAAAAACCTCGTCTCGATACTGCGACGAGCAGGGCCGATGTCGTCAGGGGTAGGGAAAGCGCTATGCGGCGTACGGCGCGCTCTTCCGTCCTTCTTTGAATCGAAAATTTTGATCAAGATAACATCGTCTCTAGTCATACCGCTCCTAAACCACCACTTGTGCTGGGTTGAGCTGTGGGGAGGGGCAATCTGCCACATGTGATTCTCTGTGGGCTTCCGCGGCCACTGGAACGGAACACAGTGCATTGTGTCGTGCAGCTCGTCGTCCCGCACAGACCTGGCGTCGCAGAGCGCCAGGGGCTCGCGGTGAACCTGCTCCCAGGGTCTCCAGATATTGATAATAGCCCAGCGGTGCTTACCGTCGTGCTTGGCTCCCTCGCCTGGTGGCATGTCATCGTACAGGCGGCGGATGGCGCCAAGATCGGATTGATCAATGTGCACAAATCTTGCAGAAAGGAGGCCTCCGTCAGTCATGGCCATGTCAGGCTTCTTGGCATCTTCTTCAGGTTCAGCCTTTTCCCATTGCCGTTGTCGGATGATGTGGGAGATCAAGCGAACGTCAGAAGCTCCGGTGCTATAGAAAGATTATTAGCAGAGCTACACCAAGGGAGATATCGCCAGGACTAGATTACATCTTCCTCATGAACTCCTCACATTCAGCATTATATACTTTGTTTAGATGCTCATCAATAGGGCTCCAGGCAAAGTCCTTGTATGAAGTGGGAAAGTGTTCGAACTGGAATCCAGTTGTATCGAGACTAAACTCGCTCTCTTTTCCTCTGGCGTTTTGGATGACGACCTCGTGTGGGTCGTACTTGCGTCGCATTTGTGCAAAGGTGCCGCCCCAAATCATCTCGTCGCCTCCCTTTCTAGGGTCTAGACGGTAGTTAAGCATCACATTGTAGGAAGACGTATTGTGGTTGTCAATGGCATCGAGCTTGGCGCGCTCTTCAGCTTCCTTTTCCTTGTCGACGACTTCTGCAGTCGCTTTGTACTCGACGCTGTCTCCCGAGACTGTAATCTTTCTTTGGACATCCGTGTCCAGGAAGGCAAGCTCGTCCTTGGTGGCATAATTCAGCTCAAGGGTAGGCATTGTGGTCTAATTGGGGGGCGCAGGGGCGCTGGGAACAGAGAGCTTGGACTGAAAGATTTCAAGTGGTAAAACAACGTCGCCAAATCTTGGGGATGTTTGTGATGGACTACAGCATTTGAATCTGGCTGATGAAGAAATGCTCTTTTGTTGTGGTTCACAGACAGAAGAGTATGCCTCGCCTTGCTTCTTGCCGGCGCTGAACGTTGTCAATTAGTGTTTCCGGTGTAGCGGCTGGATGGCGGACTTGACAGGTTTGGTCGGTGACTGGATGCCGGCGGGAAGCAGTGTAAGTGAGCCTGAGAGCCGGGATGAGGACACTTCAGCGGATTGCTGTGTCCTCCAAAGAAACCGACGAGTGTTAAAGCTCGACCTTCATTACATCATAGATTCGCATCACCTGCCATGGATCTTGAATGTAAGTTTTTCGATTTCGCTGCCATTTAAAGCAAAACCATGACGATGGCCAAAGACTCAAGACGTCATGGTCCTGACCGGCTTCACGAAGCCGAAGCAACTCGGCTGATAGCGATGGGGCTCCAGCGCTTCGGACGAACCTAGAGCGCTGTGTTTGCCTTGATTGACATAACACCGGGTCGTCTTGACAACCTAAATTCAACACTCATGGAACGACGGATGAAGATGCAAACAGGACGCGAACAAGCTTGTGTGAATTTGATTCAAATAATCTACTGAACGGCTGAAGGTAAATCACGTCCCCTTCAGGAAATTGTAGTTCTCCACCCAACCAACACTACACCTGTGTACAAACAAGTCAGCTGAAGGACATTGCCATTAACGCAGTATTAGCCCCTTACTTGCTTCGGCTCATGTCAGCAAAGTTGAAATGATCGGGAATGAACTTATTCATGAAATCGGGGTCTTCGCGCATCTTCTCAATGCACTCGATGTTCGGGACAATCATCGAGATTACACTGTCGTAATCCAACATCATGGTCTCTGGCGCATCAGGAAACAGGCGCTTAAAGGCAGCTTTGGAGGTAGAGTCGTTATGTGTCTAGGCAGGCGTAGCTGATCAGTGTGTGCAGCCGGGATCGGGGCTGCTACCACCATACCACACTGTAGGAAACTGCACCGTACTTCTTGAGAAGAACAGTGATGATCGGACTGTTGACGTACTCTAGGTGGTGGTGGTGGCTTTGTTCATCCATGTCTGGTTTCCTATAGACGTAAATGGTGTACGCCAGCAGGCGGCTGGGTTGTTCATTGGAGTCCATTCTGACGATTTGGTGAATTGAATCAAGATCGTCGACAACAGTAGACTGGCTATGCGGAACAATCGACTACAACGCCGTCTTTGCGTATGAGAGACAGACAATGTCCGCAGTTAGTATTTTGATGGAGAGAAATATTCCCTGGCAGACGGGATGAGCCGCTGAGCGTTTTTACCAAGCTCGTAGTGGTATCGGGGATGCGTTCCCGCCAAAGTTTACTGTTCACCGGCCCGTCGACTCTTCTTTGGTAACACTGGACAGACAGTGCACAGCGTTTCGGCACCTTTGAACTTTGCTTGTTGTTCCACGAGCCCTAGCTGCCTCTAGCGTGCTTCGCGGACATGGTCTGGAGCGCAGTTCATGGTTCGCCGGCCAGGCATTGCCAATACACACGGCAGAAGACCAGGGAGGATATTTTTATTTTGTTTAGGAAAATAGTCGATGCCACTCCATATCTAGTAGGACGCTTCTTTCATCATTCTCTCTTCCCAAGCTATTTAGCCTTCTCTTGGAGATTCCGGGCACAAAGCTGAAAAACTGCGTCTTACGATACCCCCAAAAGTTTCCAACAATGCCCGCCATCGCTGATCATAAGGTCGTTGTTATCACAGGCGCCAACAAGGGCCTAGGCTACCAAGCTGTGAAGACACTTCTCGGTTCCGACAAGAAATACCACATTTTCCTGGGGAGCCGCGACTTCGCCAAGGGACAAAAGGCTGCAGACACGGCACGCAAGGAGGTTTCCTCCCACAGCACCGTCGAGCCTCTGCAGCTCGATGTCGAGAGCGATGAGTCCATCCAAAAGGCATATGAGACTGTCGATAGCAAGTGCGGCAGAGTCGATGTACTTATTAACAACGCTGGTAAGTCAAGTCCCCTGCAACCAACGCGCCACGCGTCATACTTTAGCTCAACTCCCTGTGCCGCTTAGGCGTTATGCTCGACCAGCAGATCGAGCGCGGCAACATGACTGCGCGAGAGGCTTACAACAAGTCATGGGCCATCAACGTCACTGGGCCTCACATCATTACGACGACTTTCCTGCCGCTGTTGCTGAGGTCTTCTGATCCCAGACTCATCTTCAACACCAGCGGCGTGTCGTCATTGGCCAACGCTGCGGACTCGTCCCATTTCACCTACAAGGTTCCCCCTGCTGGTGCGCCCAAGCCGGTTGGCACCATCTCTTACAGAGCTGCGAAGGCTGGCTTGAACATGGTTATGCTTGAGTGGGCGAGGATGTTGACGAACGACGGGGTAAAGGTCTGGTGTGTTGCCCCCGGCTTCTTTGCAACGGACATCGGAGAGGGTGACCCGGAGGCGATGAGGAAGATGGGTGCTGGCGATCCCGCGGGTGGCGGCAAGGCGCTCGTTGATGTTGTCGAGGGCAAGAGGGACGCGGATGTTGGCAAGGTCTGCAACATGGCGGTGTACGGTACACCTGTGCAGGCATGGTAGGAAACAAAAAACCACATATGAGATCGAGGCCACAGTCTATTAGCATCACCCACCCCCGGAAGTCGATTCATAATGTGAAAAAGTCTTGTCAAACGACGTGGGGCCAAATATCATTCTATTCCATGGTTCTCAAGATGCGGTTCATCTTGAACAAGCTAATTATTTCTTTTCCTGGTCCTCCCAGAAAACGAGACATCTGATTTCAATGCTCTCACGAGGTGGGCCAAAGTCGTTCGGGGTTTGGATCGCGGTGTGAGGCGTCCTCCTCGCCCTCCCATCTAACTTTGAGTCAAAGCACTTGATCAGAAGCGCTTCGTCTGTCGTCATGTTACTAGCATAGTACCATTTGTGCTTGGGGCTTGCCTTCATATGCCACTGTTCATTGTCCTTGCTCATAGGCTTGGGGGGCTTTCCAATGACGATACGGGTGGTGACCGGGACAAGATCGGACTCGTCAACGCTGCGGGCATCGCACACGGCAAGAGGCTCACGGTTCACGCGCTTGAGAGGTTGCCACACGTTGATGATACCCCAGCGTTTGTGGGTCTTGCCACGGAGCATCTCTGCTTCGGGAAGTCTGTCGAGGATGATTTGAGCCCCGTCGTAGGACTGATCTGGACTTTATAAGTTGATGCATCTTTGATCAGAACACAATATGCTTACCGACGTGCACAAACATTGCAGGCGGTTGCATGTTCAGCATTGCATCGTCGGGGACGTCATCTTCAATGTTGACGATCTTCTGGTAACTGTCACGCCGAATGACATGAGGAGCAAAGGGATGGACGTATGTCGCTCCCGTGCTTCGTTGGAGTCTCAGTACTAATGAACTGCTGTGGAGGTGAATCGGGGAGGTGGGCTTACTGTCGCTTCAGAAGATGTTGGACATCATTTTGCAGCTGAGGGGGCAGTCCAACTCGATAGTCACCGTCCCACTGCTTCTCTTGGATCGTGCTCTCAACCCACTGGAAGCCGTGGGTGTCAAGCTTGAAATCCTCTTCACACGTACGGCTGTCAGTCACGTTGACAAGTTGCTTATCATATTTCGCTCTCTGGAAGCCCACTGTAGCGATGTATTGGACTGGATACTTTTCACCCTTGGCTGGCGGCAGGTGACAATTAACGTAGGCCCAGACAGACTCTGGCATTTTCGTGACGTGTGGCATCGTCGGTGTCTGTGGGAGTATGAATCCTAGGGTCACAAAGGGAACTACGCAGAGAACGAGTTTTACCAGCCATCACAATGAGAAGGACGACGCCAAGATAAGAATATGGATATATGGAGCCTAACCGGAAGACTTTAATCGGCGATTTGTGGTTTCTTTTACCGTGGGATCCCCGGCCTGCCGGCATTGGATACGGCCTGTGTCTGCTGCGCTACTGTACGAATACCGCAAAATGACGCTCCTCGCTGACACAAGCGGGAAACCTTCAGTAGCAAACAACCTTTGCCTGTCCAGGGAAGTCCGGTAAAAGTGTTTGGACAGACAAACAGGGGTTCTAGGAGTGTCTTACCACGGTGACCTTTCGCCGGTAGCCGCCCGAGAGACGGCGCGGGACAGCAGAAGCTGACTGCTCGTCGGAGATACAGTTACTTGACAACAGTATGGTCTCAATCACTAAATTCCCCAGTGCCAACGCATTAATTAGCACCTTGACTATCACCACAAATAGAACCATGAAATCATCGAGATATATGGCAGGAGTATAGTCAATAAAAAGATAATCGTTCAGCTATGAGTATCGTGTATACCAGTCCTGTGCTCTTCGCACTGCTCGTTTTCCCATCTCATTCCCCGGTGTCGTCAACAATTTCCTGCTGATGTTTGTGAACGTTAAAACTGTCCTTTAGTTCAGACTTGAATATCAATGGCGTGTCGTCCAAACCGAGACATCAATATCTAAACGGCAAACCGCCTTCTTAGGGAGCTCTTGGCCATTCAAACTTTGCCTGATGAGTCGAATACTCCTTCACTGTAGTTTCTAACACATAATCATCACCATGCCATACGCTCCCAACCTCCCGCAGATTACCAACCGATATGCATCTGCTCATGCTAATCCTCAAGGTGCTGGCGATGCGCGCCCCACTGCCCTCCAAATCATCCAGGACGAGGGACTCGCCGGCAAGCTAAGCCATAAGGTAGCACTGGTCACTGGAGGGACAAACGGCATTGGCTTTGAGCTTGTACGCACCTTGGCAAAGACAGGCATGCGAGTCTTTTTCACGGCCCGCCATCCCGTCAAAGGCCAGAAGGTGAAGGAGAAGCTTCAGAGCGAGGACGCCCTCTTCAGGCTTGAGGTCGTCGAAATGGAACTCAAGAGCCTAGAAAGTGTCAAGGCCGGTGCCGAGTTTGTCTTGAGCAAAACTGACAGACTTGATGTCCTCATGAACAATGCAGGTAGGTATCTCTTCAGCTCCATGGGAACTCGAAGCCTCAAGACGTTGCTATTGATATGCCGATAACACCAGGTATCGCTGCGACACCTCACGGATTCACAAAAGAAGGCTTCGAACAGCAATTCGGTGTAAATCATCTGGCACATTTCTACCTGTTCCAGCATCTCAAGCCGCTACTTCTGAACACCGCAGCTACCCATGGTGTGAACGTGCGCATCATTTCAACGTCTAGCACTTCACACACAGCGTCGACGGTGCTCCCTGGGAACAACTATGATACCGCCAACCCTAACGGCAAAGGCTATGAGCCCGGTGTTTCCTATGCCCACTCCAACACAGCCAAGATCTGGTTCTGCAACGAGCTGGAGCGGCGATATGGCTCCAGGGGTCTGCATGCAATCAGCATCCAGCCGGGCGGCTTTACCAGTGGACTGATGGACTCTTCTGAAGAGCACAGCAAGGCGATGCTGAACAAGATGATCCAAATGCCACACATCAAGAAGATTTGGAAGAGCGTCGAGCAAGGCGCGGCTACGAACACACTTGCGGCTATCGGCAACGAGTTTGATGGTGTCGGAGGAATCTACATGGAGGACTGCGGCGTGAGCAAGCCTATCCCGGATGATCTGCACTGGGCAGGCTACGGTTTCAAGTCTTGGGCATTTGACGAAGCAGGCGAGAAGAAACTGTGGATCGATTCTCTTAGGATGGTCGGACTGGAAGACGACCAGTAGATTGTGGTCTTGAGTTTGAAGCTTTCAGATCAACAATAGAAATACTCTTCTTCACATTAACATCACTTTGTATTTCCATCTTGGAAGAATTTGAATTATCATTGTCAAATTCTTCGATCTGGTAGAAGGTGTTTTGCCTGTTTTGTGATGCCATCATGGTTGAGCAACGGTTGGCTTGAGTTGAACATAACAATCCTCAAGCCCTTGACGTTGGACTGATTTATCTGCATCGCCAATGATATATAAAGCAGTTACGCAGGATTTAACCATATCAGCATGAGAAAAACCCACTGGGTAATCCGTCTGAACATCTGCATCCGAGAATCATTGGGCATCAAACCCTCCGGCTTCAGCTCTTTGAGGCAGACCGTTCGACGAACAGCAATGGCCCATATACAGTGTTTGTCTCTATAACACAAACACTGTCCGGCAACCGTCGCGAAATGGTAGCCGCAGCTCCTCCCGTGCATGCTTCCGAGATCGATCGGATCTTCCGCCCACACATCGATAATGGACGTGTCATGGAACTTTAACAGCAGTCAGTTAAACCCGTAAGCCTCCTCTAAATGGTACTCTTCCATGTCCTCAAGAAAGGTATTGCTCTAGGATTCGTTGACTGCTGGAGGCGAATCGCAATCTTTATTCTAGTCTCCATCCTCATTTCCAGCAATCTCCAGCCATGCCTCGTTCTACAAAGTCATCTGACTCGTATGAGTTGCACGGTCGCTCGAAAGAAGCCTCTTCCGTAGCATTACCAGGTGAAAATGGCGTATTCACTGCCGATAAAGATGCCTCGAAAACAGAAGCCGGTCCCAGTGGCTGGGGAGGGGATAACGACACGTCACAGTATCCATCTGGACTTCAATTTGCACTCATCATATTCTCCCTATTCCTTTCTGTCTTTATCGTTGCCGTCAGCCAAACCGTTCTCGCCACGGCAATCCCGACCATCACGAGCGCGTTCGATAGTTTCCATGACATCGCATGGTACAGCACCGGCGAGCAGATCACCGCCGTCGCGATGCAACTTCCTTTCGGACGGGCATACACATTGGCAAACAACAAGTGGGTATTACTGGTATCTATCATTATTTATCTTGCCGGTAGCGCCATCTGTGGATTTGCGCCTGTGTCCGTCGTTCTGATCATCGGAAGAGTCATCCAGGGCGTGGGTATGGCCGGTGTCTTCGGAGGCTCCTTCATCGTCCTGGCTCGCGTGACTCCGCTCAGGAAGCGGAGCTTGTTCGCCGGTCTCTTCGGGGCAGTGTATGCAATTGCAAGTGTTATCGGTCCAATCATGGGTATGAATCTTCCTTTCTCGGTGGCTCGATTTTATCGAATGCTAACTTGCTGTCTGCCAGGCGGCGTGATGACTACCAGAGCCTCTTGGAGATGGTGCTTCTGGTGTGAGTTTCAAACCCGGGGCCCTCCGAAACACAGTGCTGACATTCTTAGTCAACCTTCCCATCGGTGCGGTGGTGATTCCGACGATAATCTTTTGCTTGCCTGGTTCCTTGGGGACCACATCTGCAACTGTGAAGGACAAGACGTGGAAAGAGATATTCATGAAACTCGACCCGCCGGGGACTGGCTTGCTCCTGACGTCTCTGGTCTGCCTTATGCTGGCCCTGCAGTGGGGCGGAAGTCAGTACGATTGGAGTGACGGTCGCGTTATCGCCGTCTTGGTCGTTTTCGCTGCGACTATCCTGCCTTGGATGGCCATTCAATACTTCCAAGGTGATGATGCTACCGTCCCTCTGAGCATTTTGAGACAGCGATCAGTTGCAGGCTCCAACCTGTACCTACTTTTCCTTAACGGAGCTTTCGGTGTCTTCGTTTTCTTCCTCCCCGTCTGGTATGTCGCTTCCGAGCATCCAGAATTTTCGTTTCCCTGACAATATGCAGGTTCCAGTCTATCAATGGCAATAGTGCCCAGTCATCTGGCTTCAAGCAAATAGCGTTGTGCATCAGCACTGCCGTTGCATCGATCGTTGCTGGCGGACTGGTTGTCGCTCTCGGGTTCTACAACCCTTTCATCATCGTCGGTTCAATGTTGGTCACAGCTGGATCAGCCCTCTATATGGTTATCAAGCCAGATGCTACTCTCGGGATGGTGTAAGTGTTTCCAAGTTTTCTCTTTGTAGTCTAACGCCTGAACCAGAAGCTAATGAGTTGCGTAGGATTGGGGCTCAGATTCTCGTTGGCGCGGGTGTTGGAGCCGGTTCAGAGCAAGCAAACGTTGCCGTCCAGACTGTGTTGCCAAGCGAAAAGATTGCCAAGGGCACAAGTCTCACGCTCTTCACCAGATTGCTTGGTCTTGCATTATCTGTACCGATTGCTCAGAGCGTCATCCAACAAGAGCTCGTTAAGCCGCTTGGTCCGTCTCTCGCTCGTGCTGTCTACAGTGACGGCGGAGCTCTAGATCTGCGCATGAAACTGCAAACGATGTTTGGAGACAATACTCCAGCGTTTCAAAAGGCTCTCAGTGGGGTAAACTACGCCATCACGAGGATATTCATGCTAGCTATGATATTGGCCGCTATCTCGTTTCCCTTCGGCCTTCTCGTGGAATGGAAGAGTGTCAAAAAGGAGAAAAGAGCCGAGGAGGACCTGAAGGAAAGGGGACGCGATGCATAGGCCAACTAAAGTCTCCGGAAAATATGTATAGTAGATCAAAGCAGTCTCGTCTAGCAAGCTTGAGAATGCATGACCGAAAGGTCGCTTCTGCAATTGTCGTATCCAATCTACACAGAGGGCTTCTAGGCGGAGAATCAAACATCAAAAGAAGAATTTGAGCTTCAATCGTATCATTACAGACTTTGCAGGAGATGTTGAGTTCGCTACACTACTAAGCAGAAGGATACTGCGCACTGGAAGTCTTGTGTTTAAGAGTTTGTGAATCTTCAAATGAAGTTGTCGACCTGTCGCTTTTCCGGATAAGCGGGCGAATAGGTTAATAATAGAACATTAGGGTTAGCGTAGGTCGTTTTTCACGCTGAAATCACACGATGGCAACGACGACAACGACAATAATATAGTAATAACTCAAGCCGCTATTTAGGTAAGGCTTTTAGTAATAGTCCGCCCGGATAGCAAAATTCTTCCGCAATGGACCTTAACGCAATGCAAGAAGCATCGACTCAATATCCAAGACAAATGAACTACAGCCACGGTTTCTATTTCATCTATGTTGACCGAGTTGCATCATCCTAAAGATGGCATAGTCAACGTCAATTCCTTCGATTAAACAAGAACGGCTAGTAGAGTCTTCAGGGGCACTCGTTTATTGGCCCTGTAATACCCAGCACTGACTTCGAAGATTCCGGTCAATCGGAAACCGTTAAACCTTCATTTGGAGTCAATGTTTGAGACCGGGGAAAAGCGCCGGCTTTCATTCACCGCGAAAATCTGCCAATTCGGCCCCAGCTGCGAAACACTTCAGAGGCCAATCACGTCTAAGCTTAGCGTGGTAACTCCGTCGGTCTCCGCTGTGTCTCAAAGATGATGACCTCGGGACTTGAGCAGCTACACCATGCCAGAATTGTCGTAAAACAATGGTTAGCCTCGTGGAGTTGGGGTTCCTCTCAAAGTACCTTAAGGCATTGGGTCTTTAATCTTTACAGCAAAGTACAATTCCAGCGAATTGCTCCATAATCAGCCGAGCATATTATCCCTTTCGCTATGATTCCACCATCCAGGAAACTCTCGATACCTATTATCCTATTGGCTATGCATACGCAGGTGTGCAAAGCCGATGAGGTGGGGGAAGTTGGCCATGGTCTCATCGGCTATGGTATCACGATGTACCAGGTGAGCATGATTCAACCTCGAGAGTAAGAATCAGAACTGACCACACTTAGCCTCTTTGCGCCTACTCGTGCCGCGTCGTGCTCTCCGGCAGCGCACTGAATTGCAGCACGATGGGCAACGAGGGTGGCCTGCCAATGCCTCGAACCCCCGCTGAGTGCTTCGCGACTGACGATGCCTTCCTGACATCCATGGCCCTTTGCCTGCAATCGGTGGGTTAGATGTTTCGCGAGTCCGATAACGAGAATTGTGCTCACTTGTAGTAGCGTTGCACCGATCTTCCCGCGTGGAAGATTGAGAAGTACTGGCACAACACCGAAGCGAGTATCCGGAATAGCCATAGACGGCTTGATGAACCTGGAGTTCATGTTGTTGCGAAACCTCCGGTTCCAAAGTGGACGTACCAGCAGGCCCTCGCCCAGGTTCAAGGAAGTGTCACCTCGATCTTGGCATATGGAGAACCCCTTAACCGGACATCTCTGGTTGCCGACTTCCAGTATCAACTGCAGTATGAGACGATGGAAATGTTTGAGAGGATGGAAACCCACCATGAGAAATATGGGTATGTCAACTCTCTTGAACTCGAGAGAAGCTTTGCTTACGTGTTTCCAGATTAGTATTAATCGCTCTGGGCGTATTTGTCCCCATTGCGAGCTCATGGCTTCGGTTCCTCCCGTTGCCCAAGTTACTCAAAACCAAAATCAGCGCCGCTATCATAGACCCGCCCCTGTTCGGCAACCGCCACCAAACGCCCTATTTCAACATGTTCATCATGCCAACCCGTGGCCAGGCGATGCTCATAACGTATGTCGTGGTCCTAAACTTCGTACTCAGTGGAGTAGGTATTCGGTCAGCTCAGCCCAATGCATGGTGGTGGAACAACCAGTTACAGGAAGTCCTTACCTCTTTTGCCAACCGCACTGGTGTTCTCAGCTTCGCGAACGTACCACTGCTCATCCTGTATGCCGGCAGAAACAACTTTCTGTACTGGTTGACGGACTGGACACAGTCGACGTTTATGGTCATGCATCGTTGGACTGCATACCTGTGCACTCTCCAAGCTATCATGCACTCCATCGTATGGCTTCGCATATATGTCGTCCTCGGATGGCATGATAGCGAGTCAAAGCTTGCTTACTGGGTGTGGGGCATCATCGCAACACTTGCGATGAGCCTCCTACTCCCAGCGTCGGCCATTCCCTTCCGTGCTAAGATATACGAGATGTTCTTCTTTTGGCACATCGTACTCGCCGTCTTCTCGGTATTAGGTTGCTACCTTCATATAATCTACCGCTTCGACCATCAATGGGGATATGAGATTTGGATGTACATCGCCATAGCAGTCTGGGGCTTCGACCGAGTTGCTAGGCTCGTCAGAATGGCCAGAAATGGCTGGCGGCAAGCCGTTGTCACAGTCATCGATTACGAATATATCCAAGTTGATATAGAAGGGGCAAAGGGTCACGGACACGCCTATCTCTACTTCCCGACACTAACGTGGAGAATCTGGGAGAGTCATCCCTTCTCCATTGTGGGAACTAGAGTGAGATCTGCAAATCCTTCGCCAGCATCCGCGAGAAGCTCGACTGAGAAGTCAATAGTCTCGACTTCCAAGCCTCTCGCCACCACGGCCGCAGATGTGGTCATTATCCACGAAACGCCTCGTGTCGGTCTCTCCTTCCTGATCCGAACCTTTGGTGGCGCCACAGGTCTGCTTCGTCACCAGACCCGACTTCCCGTCCTGGTTGAGGCGGACTATTTGCCGTACCCCGACTTAACCGAGTATCAGACTCTTGTATGCATCGTTGGAGGTGTCGCAATTACAGCTGTAACACCAGCCTTACGTGCTTATCCCGGTCACGCCAAGGTATACTGGTCATGCAGGAGTCCTGGCCTAGTCGAAAGCGTCGGTTTTGGTCGTACTGACACAAAGATCCTGTTAGGCAAGAGATTCAAGTTGCGCAACGTTCTGGAAGAAGAGGTTGCAAAGGCCAAGGCAGAAACGGCGGTCGTTGTCAGTGGTCCCGCATCTATGACTGACGAGGTGCGGTGCATTGTCAGCGAACTGGCACGTAAAGCTCCGATCCCAGTGACTTTGATCGATGAAACCTACTACTGGTAGACCAAAATATCCTGCGTACTCTACCCTCATCTGCATAGTTAGGAAACATACCCTTGCTTACAGGGCCTTTTATAATAGAATAGGGTCTAATAATCTAAGTCTACTATCTACTTGGATTGATTAACTTACCAACTTAACTTTTTAGTATCTTTCTATACTGAACTTACTTAGTCAACTTGTTTCTCTCAACGGTTTCTTCTGAGAAATTATCTGTATTATAACCCTTGTTGTTTGTCTGTACAAAGGCTTTGCCGCCCGCGCTTCCAGCTTAGTAGGGCTAACATTGCCCGTACTTTGTAAGGTTATAACATAGCTTTGATGTTAGGCCAATACAACTCTTAAGAGGAAGGTTAACTATAAGAATACCTATCTACTTATTACCTTATTTAGCCTATGTTATTTATATAGCTCTTTGATATTACTTGTCTTCCTTTACTACTCTACTGTTACACTTCACCTCTGCACTATATCACTTTGCGTTACTCCTATAGCCTAGCTCCTCCTGTTAGTTCTACAACAGCTGCCAGGAAGGCTATGTCACTATAGCTGTTCTCCTCCTTACTCCCCTTTAACCCCAAATTCTCTCTCGAATTCTAACCCCTTATAACACTGTAGAAACCAGCACACTCACTGCCTAGCAATATTCCCTTAGCCTGTTAGTATCTAGGGTAGATAATTACCTTACTCTTTCACAACAAGCCATTAATGTCCAAAGGTAGAGGAATTATTTAGATAGAGACACTGACTAGCCACCATAGGGTTTTGATAAAACAAAGTCAATACACATTAATCTTTATTATACATATACCTAGTTTCTTATGTAACAGTAGTGTATTTAGGTTAACTTTACAAAAGACAGGCTAGCTATGATATTAACTAGCTACCTTTGGCTAGTCTGTTAACTAGGTTCATCTAGATCTCGCAAGCGTTTACAGCAGGTTTATTCTAAAAAGTATCCTATTTAAATTTGTTGCCGTCGATCACGATCGCGATCTGCCAGGAAGTAACAGACTAAACTGCTCACCCTGGTCGACAGGTTGCTAATTCTCTATAACTAAGTACTCCCCTGTCTGCATTACTCGTCAAGTTCCCAATGATTTCACTACTAACTGGTTTGTATCATTGATGGCAACCCGTACATATATCCAAGACTCAATCCCTCCCTTTAGCCGTAAGCAACGAAAGATACGGCAGTCATGTAACGCTTGTAGCTCTCAGAAGATCCGGTGCGGTAAACAACGCCCGAAATGCAGTCGATGCGTGATGAAGGGGCGGTGCTGTGAATATGGTATGTCGATGCGTACCGGGGAGCGCCCTCGTGTAGTTGCTTCTCCCAATGTGCAACGAGAGGCGGGCCACACGACACCGATTTCATCGAGAGACGCTCCGCATTCGACAATCGAGAATTATTTGACTCTCAGGCGAATGGACCACTCCTCCGACCCTTCTGCTGGAGCAGCCCAAATACATGACGTCCAGGATGATATTGACTGGGTCCTGCAGGCCACTCGCCTGAGCAACGCAGGAACACCCAAGTTCGGACCTCCAAATGAGCAAGAGGATTCCGTCAATCAATCGTACGCCCTGTTACCTACGCCATCTGACCTGGATTACAGCTTCAACAACTTCAACCGAGACCATGGCCTTCAATCTCTCGAACAGCAGCAAACAACGAAGGACCTTTCAAGCGGCGTGGACAGTCGACGAAGCTCATCTATCGACTGTGACGTATTCCGGAGTAGAGTTCACGACTGCACCACCAAGGCTCTGATGCTAGTTGCCGATTTTCATGTCTTGGCAGCTGGCTGCTTGACTGCAGCTCAAGACCCCGTTGTTACATTCAATTTGGGGAGCTACACCGAAGACACCCAGAGAGAAATGGGGACAGTTCTGTCGGAAAACCGAATGGCCCTGAAGCAACTCGACAATTTGTTGGATTGCCGTTGCTCTACCAGGCAAGAAGTTCTAGTCTTGATCTATTTGGCCGTCACCAAAGCTGTGGAGTGGTATGCGGCGGTGTTAGGTAGCGATGACGACGAGGCCTCGCAGGAAGACGATCCCGTTACACCCCGGATGTTCAGACGGATCACGAGAACCAATTCATTCATGGGCAGCTATTCTCTGGACAACGACGTCCAGAGAGTAGTAAGGGCGCACCTTGTCTTGACCCAGCTCAAGGATCATGTTCATCCTCTCCTGAAGAAATTGCGTCATAGACATCTGCCAACGTCGGCGTCAATAGCGGGCGATTCCTCGGCTCCTTTGACATCCGGTCGCCGTACCTCCAGCGTTATCGAACATCTCGACCTGGCTCTTTCAGAGGAGCTCAGTCGGATTTCTGCGAAGGCAAACGCAATCAAGCAAATTTGTTGAACCTTCTCCCCACCCCATGAGGTCTGCTTTTGTTTTACAACTAGGGTACAGGCCAACAGAGCCATAGATGTGAGCTTGGAAATCACACTTGAGACAGACATGATGTCAGCGGCTGGGACCTTACATTTAAAGGAGTCCACGATACGCAAGGTTGAGGCTTGCTTGCGACGGCCATTACAATATAAAGTCCTAGCCCCAAACTCCTGTCTCGAGAATCTACTGTTTGTATTGCCTCAGTCTTATCTTTATTGGAACCAGCCCTCCCACCGGCGCCTCCGGGTCTCTTCGCTCTGGGACCTGACACATGAGCATAACAGCGGGTCTGCTTTTAGGCATATATGATACCAGTTTAGAATTGGCATATTGGTTAAGATTAGGGGAATTGATACGTACAGCATCTGTATTGTCATCAAGCATTGGCTTGAAGCGGGTTGGAGATATCCTTTGTGAACAGTCAGTCCCGGTAGTTAGCGATGGAGTTTCCCTGTCTGCCTTTGAGTTTTCGAGTCGAAGGTTATTTTGATTTCTGGACACGTTCTTTTGTTATGGGAGTCAATTGAGAAACAGCCAGTTTTCTGATGAATCATAAAGTGCAAATCGACTATGGAATAATTCGTTTGGTGCTTCATCAACATTCAGCTGTTCTCCCGGACGAGTGCACTGACAGTATTTTTGAAGCCATTCGCGAGGCTTCTATTTACAATGAAGAATCAAACCGTATGACCTCAATTAGCGAAAGCTCGCCTTGGTCTGGACGATGAATCTTATGCACTTTCAACTTGGGTGTCACAGAGCTGTACAATTCTTCGAATGCTGCTCTGGTTCTCTCGCGGCCGTTCAGATTAATGAGCATTAACATATCACGGTCACTGGGGTCGTTAGCTTAGGTCTTGTTGGATGTAGAAAGATTGAACTTACTGCATCCGGCGTTCTCTCTCGCAGCTTTCCGTTCCAGGTTCTGGAACCACGACCTCGTTGACAATGATGCGGTCTTCTGGCCGCAGAGCAGACGCAATGCCTTGCAAGATGTTCCGCGCATACTTGTCACTCCAGTCATGGAGGATGAAGCGACAGAAATAGGCAATGCCCTCGTTGTCAGCCACATCGTGAGGCGGCTGCGGCGTCATGAAGTCGTGGGGTCTGTAGATGATGCGGGACTTTAGAGCCTCTGGGCAAGACTTTTCGCCAATGGCTACAGTCTCCGGCAAGTCCTGAACCTCAAACCGGAGCTTGCGGTACATCTCGGCCAGCGCGATTGACACATGACCCGGACCACCGCCGACGTCAACGATGAGATGCCCGGACTGATCCAGCTTGTGCCAGGGATACCCGCCGTTCACTGCGTGGCGTAAATCGTAGGCACCTCCTGCGGCAATTCCGCGCATCGCACGGGCGAACATCTCATGTAATTGAGTTCCGTCGGCCTCGCGAAATCTCTGGAATTGGGAGATTTTGCGACCGATGGACACTCCATAAGCAGCCTCGTCAGCCTCCATGCTGTAGCCATACTGCTCCAGAGCCTTCGGAATGGAGGCGCCGGCGGGATACGCAATGGTTGCACTTAAATCCATCCAAGCCTCCAGGTCAGGGTCGGAGACCAAGAGCGCAGATGTGGGGTTGTGTGCTACTAAGCCACCGGGTCGAACATTGAATAGGCCGTAAGACGTGGCATGCTCAAGGATACGCGCAACAAGAGCCGTCTGGATCTCAGATTTGCCTACAGCTCGAGAGATCGCCGCATACGTGGTTGTACCCTTGAGCGGGATATGGTTTGCGAGCTTGTACTTCAGGATCAGCTGAAGAGAGGCCGTGGCACAGTGTTCGAAACTCAATGCCAGCAACTGCTCCCTTGGACCCCGGATAAGGCGGATGAGCTGCTCCGCGGCGTCAAGAATAGAGGCCTTTGCATCGAAATATGGTGCATTTTCATGACTTAGGTCAAGGTCAGGGGCGGGAGCCGAAGTGGACGGTCGTGGAAGCCGACGGGTGTCGCAAAATTTCGTTATGTCCGCCGCTGAGGTATGAATCGACGATACAAGCTCAAAGAGCTCATCCTTCTGGGCTGCGCTTGGCATAAGTCCAGAGTTTGGGAGAATGGGGGGAAATATACGATTTCGTTTTGCGAGAGAGTAGGTTGTCAATGCGGTCCAGCCAACAACGTTAAGCGCACAATGTGGAGAGGTGAGGCTGTGGACTTGGTTTCTCTTTTGAAGACGGGTTTACATCAATGGATTGCGAGCGCCCTGACAAAGTTTTCTCGCAGGCAGTTTTCCCACTGAACAAAAGCCGTTCACGGTTCGCGATGATCGTGGGGTCTTCTTCCGGGCTTCTGATATCTTGACTTCTCTGTCATCTAACGGTTGCCGCAATGCGGAAAATCAGAACATCCCACAGATGTAGGAGCGGGAAGCCTGGAGACGGGGTGAAGCCGCCCTCGTGGTCCGTCTCGGCAATCTTACGGGCCCACAGACAAGGTATACAGGCATGGGCTGTTAATCCCCGGTACCATGGGGGTTTACTTTGCGTATGAAGAAAGCTTCAAGCAAAAAAACCGAGACCGGCAGACCTGGCTTGCGTCAACCAAGCTGCTTCAAAGGGAACTCTTTTACGCGCTTTTTGCTGGATTTCGCCGTTCATTCGTATGCACGCTCGTACGCTTCTAAAGGAATTGTTTGGTTTCGTGACTTTACTGGTAGGCGAACCATTTGCCTGTTCCATCACCGCAAAGCTTATTTTGGAGCAACTATCGCAGGCATTCCCCCGGAATCTATCTAGACTTCACGTATTCCACAATTCTTGTCCCGTTTACAAGAGAGGTTTGCTAACTATAATCTTGTAAGTAAGTAGGAATTCTCGTAAGCAGGAAGACTTTGCCCCGCAGTTTACAAATAGTCTGTCAGATAGCAGCATGCACCCCCCCCCCCAATTGCCGAATGTCAAGTTCGTGCCCCTAGCTTCAAGTGAATGAACAACTGAATGTCTCGCAATGTGTGATAAGCTTTCTGCATCAACATTGCCATAATAGCTCTCGATGATGAAGATCAACTTTGTGTGGGGATTAAATGAATGAGTTTAGGTAGTTCCATGGGCTTGCCATCCATCCGTGTACTTTACTCAGCAACAGGGCGCAGAATCTTGGCAGAACGGGGACGGAGTGTTCCAGTAACCCAATCATACCAGATGCCGGAATACTCAACTACGACCGGCGATTCCAAGCTTGGGCGCCGTGATCCCTATTAAAATGACAGAACACCTGGCGCTCTGTAGATCCTACCCGTCTTTCACCCCTAACTGGCCCGGTGAAACAGCACCAAAGCATGGAAGCCCTGATTCAAAGCTACAAGGGTGGTTCATAGTTCATGTAGCCGATTCACTAATATATACTAGAAAACACATTCTAGTGAAGTTACTTACCGATAAGGCGAAACCATATCCGAAATCGGCAAAATCGGCAAATCCAGCCCGAGGAGTGGAACCGTGTTGTTTAACTATCGGCTTCGAGAGCCCAGCCATCGTTTCTTCCGATTAGGTTCGCGACTTCGTTGCTTTTATGAATGTTATAGTAGGTAGTAAACTAAAATCTAAGCACAAGTCCAGCAACCAAAACTACAGGCACATCATCGCGATCCTCAGATCAGCACCCCGTCCAGGTCTTGCAGTCTACTAAGGACTGCAGACCAAACATCTTCTGTGAACCTACTTCACTATGCCTGATGCTGCGATGAGCTCGATTGCGCATGCTTTCCTCAAATTCTCCGACAGCTTGAGAGGAAGGTGACCCCTGGGTGGCAGTAAGAAGTTTAGCTAGACTAGCAGCATCGCAAATTGCGGTCTGGGCCCCAATTCCACCACATGGGCTCATGGGATGAACTGCATCACCAAGTACCGTCACCATGGAGGACGGCTGCCATGGGGGAACGTCTGGGACCGACGATACAATGCGCATGAGTGTTGCCTGTCGCTTGTCCTGGAGTTCGAACACACAGCGGATGGAAGGGTGCCACTCTTCTGTAATGGCCAAGCTAAGGTTGGCAGCGTCGTTATGGACTTGTTCTGATGTCAGACCCCCTACTTGTGACGCCGAGGTGCCATCGGAAAATCGGAAACGGGGTTCAGGGCCAATGAGCGCCCAGTAGAGATAGTCTTCTGGCAAAGAATGTTGCGAGCGGCTGGTCTTGCTAAACCGAACAGGTTCCAACAGGAGGGTGACTGGAGAGTCTCCGATGAAACAAGATTGGAGCATGGGTGCGTGGTCGGAGACAACCGTCATCCACCTAACTCCTTTCTCGGGGAATTTCGCAAGTAGCTCAGGACCAAGAGGTGTCTTTCCATAGATGCATGCAGCACCGGTGTCTTTGAGCAGGGATTTTGGGATGTGATTGCGGCGGATCACTGAGTGTAAGCCGTCAGCGCCCACGATAAATCGGCCATTGACTACATGGCCGTCCTTGAAGGTCGCCGTGACCACGCCACGCTCATTGTCAGTATTGTATGAATTAAGCTCTTTACCGAAGAAGATGTGATCTTGGATACCGGCCATCAGTATCTTTCGGAACGACGATCTGTCGACGCAATAGTGCGGGTTGAGGCCAATCTTGCCGCTCAAGCCTCCACCAGAGCGGCTTTTGATGACCATGCCCGTGAAGGGGTCAAAGTCTGTTTCCCCGATAGATAGAGTAGCGCATGAGGTTTGGAACTTTTCGTAGACATCCTTGGGCAGAATGTCGGCAAGCGCTTCAGCGGCATCACCCTGGAGCTTCAAGCGATATCCCTGCGGGCGCGAGTCGACAGCTGCATCGCGCTCGTAAACTCGGAAGGAAATTCCGCTTTTTCTCAATGCTTGGGCCAGGCACAAGCCGCTTATCCCTGCTCCAACGATGAGGACGGGCTGATCCGCACTTGTGGGTGTTATCGGACTTTTGGGTGTACAACCGTTCCGCAGACCGGACGCTGACTCTTTGACATCATTGCCGTTCGTAGTCGGCTTCAGTTGAACTGTCAACAGTCCCATCACGCTATCTTCAGGCTGCTCCATATGCGTGATCTGCATGCCGACTTCACTGAGCAGAACCTTCCAGTCATCAAGCTCGCGTTCTCTGGCATTGAAGACCTGCATCATCATGAGATCCCGTACCCTCAGTTGCTGCTCATGGAGAACCGTTGTTGAGCCTGGGGGAGGAAGCAGTGTGTCCATGATCACCACACGGGCATTTGGCCGCTTCTCCAGCACTTCGTGAAGTTGCTGGAGAATGATACGAGCATCTTTGTCCGGCCAATCATGGATTATCATTCGGAGAAAGTAAACGTCTGCATCGACCACAGGCTGGGCCTTGAAGAAGTCATGCGACATGAACTGGATCCGAGACTTGACCGCGGCGTCGAGTTTGTCGTCTGTCTCAAAAGCTTTCTGGGCAGCTGCAACAGTTTCCGGCAGGTCTTGAACGACAAAGTTGAGACGCGGGAACTTAGTCGCGACCTGCGCGGCAAGTTGGCCGTGAGATCCCCCGACGTCAACAATTTTGGCGCCATCGGGGAGAAAGCCCCAATCGAAGCCTTCGACGGCGTGGGCCAAGCTCCATGACCGGGAAGCGGTAACGCTGCGCATGTAGTCGGAAAATACCGATGTCAGCTCCGCATTCTTCCGGACGTGGTCGAAGAACGGGTCCGGGGTGTCAAGGGCCAGGTTGAAAGCCGTCCGGTCCTTGTCATCGGTATCACCCCATCGGCGAGTGGCATCGGCGAATCGGTACGCCACCGACATGGAATAGTTCATCATCCAGCGGGCCCAGCTCATGAAGTTGTCATCCCGCAGAAGGAGAGATGATGCGCGGCTATGAGCAACGTGGCCAGGGAGAGGCTCCTCTAGGAAGCCGTTGACCACAGCCATGCGTGCAACACCTTTGAGGTGCTTCACAGGGACACCAGCCTTGGCTGCCAAGGTGGTGTAGGAGATAGATCCCGTGGCAGGAAGATGGTGCAGAACATTGAGATCCACGAGCCAGCGTACGCAGGCCAACTCTTGATACTATTCCCATTGTAAGTGTGTTAACTATCATAATGAGTGATGGTATCTAAGACGTACGCTGTTGGCCAAATGCTCAAGGTATCCGTCCGCAGTGGTGGCAAGTTGGAGCAACTTGGTAGCCGATTCAATAAGCTTTTTCCGCGGATACTGAATTGAAGATCTCGAAGCATCTTCTAGCAGACTGAACAGTGTATTTTGATCTGATGCGCCATTGTGCGACTCTGAATTCAAGTAACGCAAGAGCTCTGGACCGTTTAACGCAATCTCATCCAGGGAGCTCTTTACTTTGTGGTATAGATCCATTGTAAGAACAAATAAGAGTGATATTTTCCCAGATCAAATGAATGACGGGATGACAATTACTGGCCTTAACATGGAAACAATAAAACGGATCCGTTTTATTAACGAACCCTGGAGTCTAGGTTCCGGAAAGTGGGCAGACGAAAGTCATTGTGTTTCGGGGTATTCAACATAATACCCTCGGGAACCTGAAAGCCGCAACTACGGAAACTCGGTAACACCAACTACCCAATGGAAAAGGCCGAATCATCTCATGGTGTCCGAACTATCTATTAAAGAGGCATCAAATGTCTAGGCAACGAGAATTCACTTTGTCATCGCCGCCCAAAGACGACGCCATTAGTTGTAGGAGGCAATTATTAACACTCATCAGATCGTGACAATCATCTGTTGTTATCAAACAAGTCCGGTCTTTTGATTTGTATCATCTACATTTGAGTTCGGATACTAGTCTTCTTTCATATAGACCACAATTCTCAGTCTATCATCTTTTGGTGATCTTTAGTGTGCTATATTAATTTTCTTCACGTCCGCCCATACTTCCGCACTACAACCCGAGACATACACTTTACAGCATGGCTGCTCGTAAGGAACTTTACATCTATGTCTTTGGCGACCAGACCTATGACAGCACGGAAGCGTTGCGCAGTCTCAGCCAAACACACAATGACCCCCTGCTTATGGACTTCATCGAACGCAGTTGCGCCGTGCTCAAGCGCGAAATCGCACAACTGCCCTCAGCACAACAATCGCGATGCCCTCGCTTCGCCAAAATCGTAGACTTACTGTCACAATCCCGCGCAGGCGCCCTCAACCCCTGCATATCCCAGGCTTTGACCTGTATATCCCAGTTGGGCCTCTTTATTCGCCAGCACAGCAGTGGCTGCCAAATATACCCAACTCCCGAGCAGTCATGCCTTGCAGGTGTATGTACGGGTGCGCTTGCTGCAGCGGCAGTGAGCTGTGCTCACAGCGTGTCCAGCTTGGTGGAGCCTGCTGTTCACGCCGTGGCTATTGCCGTTCGTCTCGGAGCTCTTGCTTGGGATGTTTCTAGCAGAATCGACAACGACGATGAGAACTCAGGAGGCTCTGCCAGCGAATTCGCCGCTTGGTCATATGCTGTTGCAAGCTCAAGTCCTAAAGCCCTTGCCGATGCTTTGAAGCAGTACGCTGCCGAGACTAGGCTTCCAATTGTTTCCGTTCCCTACATCTCAGCGATCGTGGTAGGTCAACACCAGTCTCAAGCGCAATTGTTACTAGTAGTATGGCTGACTTTGTCATAGGGGCCAACCCAAACAACTATTTCCGGGCCCCCGGATATTGTTACCGATTTCCTGGCTTCACCAATGGGAAAGGGCGTTGCGCCAACCTGTAAAATTCTCCCTATCGCGGCTCCGTACCACTCAGCACTCCTCTACAGCGAACGAGTTATCGATCAAGTCTTGTCGGTTCTACCCAAGAGCAATCTGCCTCGCAGTAGAATTCCGGTAGTTTCCACTGGCGCCGACTGTCAAGAAGTTATCAGCCGCTCCACTCTTCGCCACCTTCTCGAGGAGGCGGTGCGAGACTGTCTTCAGCGGCAAATGGCCTTGGACCGGCTCCCCGAACGTCTTGCCCAGCACGTCAAGCATGCTTCAAAGTCTGTTTCTGGAATGAAGACAGAAGTGATCATCCAGCCAATTGCCTGCAAAGACACAGCGCGACTAGGGCCTACCCTCCGCGGCCAGTTGCCCACAGACATGTACTCTGTCAGGGAGGCTTCGCATCACTCTATTGAAATTACTGCTTTTGATTCGGCATTGGGAGCAAATGAAGGAGTTTCAAAGCCCCCCATTGCCATCCTGGCTGCTTCCGGCAGGTTTCCAGGTCGCGCTGACACGATGGACGCCTTCTGGGACATTCTTATTCGTGGCGTCGACACCCACGAGATGGTCCCTTCTTCTCGTTGGAGCTCCTCGGCTCATGTTGGAGACACCAGCAAAAAGAACGTTTCAGGAGTCGGCTTCGGCTGCTGGTTGCACCAGGCATCTCAATTCGACATTACCTTCTTCAACATGTCTCCGCGAGAGGCTTCCCAGGTTGACCCCGCTCAACGCCTGGCTCTTTTGACAACGGCCGAGGCTCTTGAGCAGGCAGGCATTGTGCCTGACCGTACGCCGTCTACTCAGAAGCACCGCGTGGGCGTTTGGTTTGGGTCTACCAGCAACGACTGGATGGAGACAAACAGCGCACAGAGCATCGACACTTACTTCATTCCAGGTGGCAACCGTGCCTTCATTCCTGGCCGCATCAACTACCACTTTAAGTTCCGTGGGCCTAGCTACACCATTGATACCGCCTGTAGTTCCAGTCTCGCAGCTTTGCACCTGGCATGCAACGCGTTATGGGGAGGAGAGGTTGACACGGCCATTGTGGGCGGCACCAATATTCTGACGAACCCCGACATGACGGCTGGCCTGGACCGAGGCCATTTCCTCTCTCACACGGGCAACTGCAAGACGTTCGATGATAGTGCTGATGGCTATTGCCGCGGTGAGGCCGTTGTCACTATCATTCTGAAGAGACTAGACGATGCTATGGTAGACAAGGATCCGATCCAGGCCTGCATTCGCGGCATTGCGACCAACCACAACGCTGAGGCAGAGTCTATCACAAGACCTCACTCCGAGGCTCAGGTGGAGCTTTTTGAGCATCTTCTCGCGGAGGCAAACATCAGCCCCATCGACATTAGCTATGTCGAGATGCATGGTACAGCCACTCAGGTCGGAGATGCGGCCGAAACCACCTCTGTCGTGACAACGCTATCCCCTTTCACGGCGCGGGGATCATCCGTCCGACCTGCGACACATCCTCTTCACATTGGTGCTGTGAAGTCAAACGTGGGACATGGCGAGGCTGCTGCAGGCGTCACGAGTCTGGCCAAGGCGCTGATGATGATGAAGCACTCCACCCTTCCGCCCCATGCCGGGATCAAGACCAAGGTCAATCACAGACTGCCTGATCTGCCATCGCGTAACACCCACATTGCAATGGAACCAACTGAATGGCCCAGGCCTCAGAATGGCAAACGCAGGATTTTACTGAACAACTTCTCCGCTGCTGGAGGCAACACCGCCATGATTCTGGAAGACGCACCCGTCCCCCGCAAGGTCGAGACCCGGGACCCGAGACAGCACCACATTGTTGCCATTTCTGCAAAGACTCCAGATTCTCTGGTTTCCAACTTACGAAACATGATACAGTGGCTTGATGGTCCCGCATCACATTGGGATATCAACCTTCTTCCCAAGCTTTCTTACACGACTACCTCTCGCAGGATACACCACCGTCACAGAGTTGCGATCCCTGCCGCCAGTCTCAAGCAGCTCAGGTCCTCTTTACAGAGATACCTAGACTGGAGAACCAGGGACAAGAAGAGCGTTCCCATTCTACCCCGGGGAGCAGACATCGTGTTCACCTTCACCGGACAGGGCTCTACTCAGACCGGCATGGGAGCTGAACTGTACAAACGCTTTACGGCATTCAGGACCGATGTGCAGCACTATGACCATCTATGCATCCAAATGGGAATGCCATCGATTCTTCCTGTCTTTGAGCAAGGAAGCAACTTCAGCAGTGGATCTCCCACCCTGCTTCAGCTGGCTCATGTCTGCTATCAGATGGCTCTCTGCAGACTTTGGCAATCATTCGGGGTAAGGCCTCAGACGGTTGTTGGTCACAGTCTAGGGGAGTATGCCGCCATGTACGCCGCCAGTATGCTGTCTCAAGCCGACGTTATTTACCTTGTCGGTAGCCGAGCCAAATTGATGGAGGAACACTTCTCAGTTGGCTCCTACATCATGCTGGTGGTGCTAGCACCAGAGGCCAACGTCCTCGCGGCATTGCCAGAATCCGCGAAGAAAGACTTCGAGGTTTGCTGCCGCAACGGAAAGCATAACGTTGTGCTTGGTGGAAAGACTGCTCAGATGTTGGAGATCAGAGCCCTCATTGAGTCGAAAGACATGCGCTGCCACGTCCTCGACACACCTTTTGGCTTCCACACCTCGCAGGTCGATCCGATTCTTGTCCCGTTTTTTGAACTTTCATCAAAGGTTCGGGTTCGTGACCCCGCTGTTCCCATTATCTCCCCGACCCTCAGCGAAGTTCTTCGCAAGTCATCCGAGTTCGGTGATGGCTACTTTGTCCGCCACTGCAGGAATACTGTCAATATTCAAGAAGCTTTGAACATTGCAAAGAGCGAGGGCCTCATCAACGACAAGAGCATTGCCGTCGAGATCGGTCCGGCTCCGGTAGTCTGCCGCATGGTCAAGGACGTCGTCGGACCCCAGATGCAAGTATTCGCTTCTCTGCACAAGGGAGTCGATACCTGGCAACTACTAGTGGAAGCTATGGCCGGCATGTACATGGCTGGCGTCGACATCGAATGGGAAAAGTACCACGAAGACTTCCCAGAGTGTCAAGAGGTCTTGCAGTTGCCAGCCTACGGATGGACGCTGAAGGAGTATTGGATGCAGTATGTCCACGATTGGAGTCTTCGCAAGGGCGATCCGACTGCCATATTGGGCCCTGCCAGGTTCCCCCACTCTTCTATCTACAGAGTGGTGAAGGACACCTTGAGGGGAAGCGCCGCTGGGCAGGTAGTAGTCGATATTGACCTTAACTCAAAGGACGTACATTCTATGGCTCAGGGACACAAGGTCTACGGTGTTTCGCTGTGCACTCCGGTAAGTTATTGGCTGTTCTTGGGATGACTTGGCTGACTCTTTTTTCCCATAGTCTGTTTACGCCGATATCTCTCTCATGATCGGCAAATACGTCACGCAAGTCACCGGTATGGCCGTCGATGAAACGGTCACCGAGATCGCAGAGATGCACATCCAGAGCGCCTTGGTTGCGAACGATATTGGCAAGAAACAGATCCTCCGCACCGATGCCAAGTTTGACAAGGAGAGCCACACCGTGTTTTGCACCTTCTCCAGCGTGGATGTGAGTCTGAACAGCCAATGACTGGCCGAAATTGAAAGAATACTGACATCTGTATCCAGAGCAAGGATAAGGTCATCGAGCAACATGCCAAATGCAAGATTCGCTTCTCCCCTGCCGAGGCAGTCAGATCGGACGCCACCATTAAGGCGGCTTCGTCAGATGCATTGACTCGCTCGAAGGCTCTACATGCACAAATCGGAGAGGCTGGAAACACCTTCCGATTCAGCAAGGCCATGATTTACAAGATGGTCACCCAGCTTGCCGACTTCGATCCCAAGTACCGTGGTCTCTCTGCGGTCACTCTCAACAACGACACTCTCGAAGCGGCCGGCATGGTTTCTTTCAAGGGACTTCCCGATAATGACACTTGGTTTTCTAACCCGGGGTACCTCGATGCGATATTGCAGCTCGGGGGTTTTGTCATGAACGCCAACGAGGGTGTAGATCTGGAGAAGGTGATCTTTATCAACCACGGGTGGGGGTCCATGAAGCTCCTCACTCCCAAGCTTGACCCGAACATGACTTATTACTCGTATGTCAAGATGACCGAGGGCGAGAGCAACGTGTGGATGGGAGACGTCATTGTTTTTGATGAGAGCTACAGCCTTGTCGGGTTTGTCCGAGGTGTCACGGTAAGTCTATATGCAGTGTCGTCTGCAGACTCCATCAGTCACTAACATCAACTAGCTCCAAGGGGTTCCCAAGCGACTCATGCAGTACATCGTCAACTCGGCCAATACGAAGGTTTCTGGTAGGGGTGTTTCATTTGCAGATGAAGGCGCACCTATGCAACCAATTTCACTGTCGCCAACGCTCGAGAGGCATGCCGACGTTGCCCTAACGACTGCAATCGACGCTGCCCCTCGGCCGGCTGCTGATACCCAGAACGGGTCCGCGAACATGTGGAAAGTCGCTCTCACAATCCTTTCAGAAGAGAGTGGTATCAACAAGGGAAGCCTTGATGAAGATATTGCCTTGGCAGACCTGGGCATCGACTCTCTCCTCTCTCTGGTTATCTGCGGTCGTATCCGCGATGAGCTAGATATCGATCTGCCTGAGCGAGCCCTCTTTGTTGAGTGCAACACCGTTGGCGATGTCAAGCTGCGGATTTGTGGACTGGAGCTGGTTTCGCCTGTGTCTTCGCCGACAATGTTTACAGACAGTGATTCTGCCTCCGTGGACTCAGAGTCGCCGGTTCTGGTAGAGAGACTCTCGCCCATTCTGGACATGAACACTGAAGATGCGTGCCCCCCTCCAGCATCGTCTCGCGACCAGGTGTCTATCCTAGACTTACAGAAAAACATCATCAAGCTGAAGGCCGCACCGATTCCACCCGCCCGGTCCATGTATCTACAGGGCTCTCGGAAGAGGTCCACTCAGACGCTCTTCTTGTTCCCTGATGGCTGCGGTGCTACTACGTCTTACCTCACTCTTCCGGCCATCTCCCCGACCACGGGACTTGTGGCGTTCAACTCGCCGTTCATCAGGTTTGTCCCTACCCTACTATTGCAATATTCTTTCTCGTACTGACAGGCCTTCCCTCGCAGGACTCCATCTCGCATGTACGACCACAACCTCCAAGAAGTACTCAACTCATACCTCGCTGGTCTCCGCAACCGTCAAGAGAAGGGCCCTTACCACCTCGGAGGGTGGTCGGCCGGCGGAATTCTCGCCTTCGCTGTTGCCTCACAGCTGATAGTCGCGGGTGAAAAGGTCGCCTCACTGACCTTGATCGATTCGCCACCACCCAATAGCGGGTTGGACTGCCTGCCAGACAGGTTTTACGAGCATTGCACAAAGGTCGGCATCTTCGCCAACGAAATGCGGCGGGGTGCCGATGACGCTCCGCCGCCCGACTGGCTGATGCCGCACTTTCGTGCCTCGACCCAGTTGCTCAATGACTACCATGCCCCTCCGTTGTCACCTTCTGGCGCAAGGGGACTGCAAGTCAACATTATCTGGGCGGGCAAGTGCGCATTTGACGGTATCCGCTACCCAAAAATCCCCCCGCCCAAGGAAGGGGAGGTGGATGTGGAAGACATGAAGTTCCTCACGGAACGCAGGAAGGATTTTGGGCCTGGGAAGTGGGCTGAGCTGTTCCCTGGGGCAAATATCACCAGTAGAGTTGTGTGGGGTGAACATCACTTTAGCATGATGCGCGGAGAGGGCGCTGAAAGACTGGTAGAACTTGTGAGAGATGGTTTGGGGAGAGCTTCTTCTGCATAAATCGACTTTGTAATTTCATTTATTGGTGTTTTGGCCATTTCATAGCGTTTGCTAACTTCATGGCGTTGGCGTTGGGCATTGGCATATTCGGATTGGAGTTTGCATTTTCTTTTCCACCCTACCCAGACTTCAGCCATTATCACATAAGAAAATCAATTAAAACAAATAGAAAGTCTCATGTTCAAACACACTTCGACATCTAATACTAAAGATGCCTCAGTTTGCGAATGTGATCCCCACGACTAGTGAGTAACAATCTGAGGAACAAGACACAGAGGTCCTGAGGGGGTGGCTGACGGCAGCTCTCATCTTTCCAACAGCGGAGACTCACATCCTCGAGTATTAGGAAACATTAAGATCCCCGGTGAGTTTACCACCTTTCCTCATTGAAGGGAAACAGCAAGATCCACGAGAAGCTACCGATGATGTCCCTGCTGAAATGTCTCGGGGACCTGGTCGCCGGTCTTCAAGCCCGAGCCCAGCCGGCAATCGGCGATCCTCAAAGAATGGAGCTTGCTAGATAATGGAGTCTACCGGAGGCTCGGCAAGTTGCGAGTTTCAAATGGCGGCTAACAAGAGATGGAAGCATGTTGCCACTTTGCTTGCTCTACGTGGCGCCGAAAGCTTCGCACATCGCTTTTGAGTTCACTTTTCCTCGGAGGACTCTTCCGTCACACACCCAGGACGGTATCTGATCACCAAAGGGGGGGGTAACAGGTAAAGAATACCACCATGGAATATGTTCAGCACGATCATGCCCATATCGTCTACCTAATTGACGTTGCTCGGCGGCGTTTCCTTGCCAGAGACAGAAAACAGGGCCGAGCATCCGTCTACCCACAAGAGTACGTTTGCATCAACCTTGGCACGAAAGCCGGACAAACAGGCTTTTCTTATTGTCGAGATGAGTTTCCGGTTCCCCCAAAGGGTAGCGAAAGCCAATTCGACAGTGGTGGTTTACAGTTCGCGTTTCAGTTTCAATGCTAATTGTATTGCAGTGCTATCATCCATGTAGATTTCGGCGGCATCACAGCTCCTCCTGCAGACCAACTCCCCGAGGCAGCTTGAATCCGCCCGGAACCTGTCTCTGGAAAACCTGCTTGGGATCATACTTCCGGCTTGTTGCAATCATTTCCTCCAACGTGCTGGGGCTACGACGAAGCAGCGGGCTTTGCCAACTTTCAGCGTAGGTCGCCTGCAGGTAGTTGCGGTAAACACCCATCTCCTTTGCCTTACGCTCGGCACCCTCGACCAGGTCTTTCACTGCCTGCTCAATGATATCATCGCTAAACCCCTCATCGCCGTCGACAGAGACTGCCAGGTGGATGTAGATGAGGTTGCCTTCCGTCTGGATGGGGCCCATAGAGTCCAATGCCCCACGGCGCTCGGCCATGACGGATGGAACTGGCTGATGGGCCATGGCAACTGAGAAGCCACCGAGATCCAGGTAACGCTGGAAGGTTTTGTTGGCCATTTGGAAGAATTCTTCCATCATTTCCTCGGAAGGTGCGAAGCTGACGGTGGCGAACAGCCATCTTTTTGGGTATGTCGCCAACGCGGCGTACTCGCGAGAGACTGATGTGACGTTGTCGACGCGAAGAGTGTTGGTTGGGCCACCTGGGAATAGCGGCTTCTGAGCGATGTTGAGAAAAGGCTTGAAGACAGCCGGCTCGATGACAGGTGGGGCGCTCTTGGTATACTGCAAGCTGTTGCCAATAAACCAGCTTCTGGTGGCGTTGCTGAGAACGAGGTTGTTGATGTAGTGCACGTAGGGGTCGTACGGTTGCATCGATGCGAGATCCGCATGTGCCTTGAAATGCTCCTTGCGGGTTGAGATATCGTGGAACGTCTGGCCTCCCCAGAACTTTCCCTGGGGGAACGCTTGCATGGTGATGGCCGTGACGACCCCGAAGTTGTTTGCGCCGCCTCTGAGGGCTTTCCACAGGTCCTTGTTCTCTTGCTCGTTCGCATGAACGATGTCACCACTGGCGAGGACAACCTCGAAGTCTTCAACCAGGTCGCAAATGAAGCCATAGCGAGGCGAGAAGAACGAGGTACCGCAGCCGAGGACTGCACCGCCCACACCAACACCGGCGACTCGAGCGCCCAGGGTGCTAAGGTCGTATGGGTCAAGTTGCTCAGTGACCTGATCCCAAGTCTGGCCGGGGCTCACGACGATGGTCTTTCGATCTGATGAGACACCGGAGGCCGGAAGACGAGCCAGGTTGATCAAGACTCCGTTGTTGATGCTTGCGGCTCCCTTGTAGGGAGTATGCCCGCCGCCGCGGATGGCAAACTTGCAATGGTTCTTACGCAGCTCAAAGCCCCGAGTGAGAGATCTCACCGCGATCGAGACATCATTAGATGACTCGGGAATGACAACGCAGGCCGGGCGGGTCTCTGCGTTCTTGAGACTGAAATACGAGCCGACCGACGAGTTGTAAGCTGTGTCGCGGGGTATCAACACATTGTGGCTGCCCATCATCTCGACAAGTGCTTCACACTTTCAGAGATAATTAGGAAGCCGAATACAAAGAGCTAATTAGTTTAGAGAACTTACACATGATGTTGAAGACGCAACCGCGTCTTCCACTGCTGCAGCAGAGTTCAGACTCTCATGCAGGATCCGGTTGCTGGATGCCAGCTTCGAGAGGTTGAGCACCCACTGTTGTAGACCTGCACCAAACATGATTCAATATCTTGGAGTTTTACGACGACTGGCAGATTGCAGGATTGCGGTCAGATGGACTTGGCATAAGTGGACTCCAGAGGAAGCTGGATCATACGTCAACAAAAGGTACTGGGCAATTGCCCGAGTCGGCGACATGGGTGTTGTCGAATCGCCGAAAGCTTAGTTAGTACGTTCACCAAGTCTTGGGCGGTTCCGCCACCCCGGGGAAGCACGGCGGCGAACGAACAGCACCCTGTGACGGACAGTTAGGAGCATTCACCGGCCCCGTCAGCGCTGGATACACGCTGGCCTGTCTGCGTGTTCATATTACACCAGGCAAAGGCATTTGAAATTGAACTGGAGGTCTGCTATTCAACGACGTCACTTCACACACACTGCTTGCCAAAATGCCTGGTCTTACTACTACCGAGATTCATAACGTCGCATTAGTTGGGGTAAGGAAGCATCGCTGCGTGGCGTGCGGGCGAGAACGGAATACTGACTTGTATGGGCAGAAAGGATATGTCGGAGGATACGTCTACGACAAACTCGTCGACGCCGGCTTCAACGTGACACTCCTCTCTCGCTCGAACCCAGACAACAAGGTTAACGTCCGGGTCGTAGACTACGAATCCACGAAAAGCCTCGCAGAGGCGTTGGAGGGCCAAGATGCCGTCGTATCGACCATCTCGACGGCAGGCTGGTCGCACCAGTACAAGCTTATTGACGCCGCAGTCGCCGTAGGCACGGTCAAGCACTTCATCCCCAGCGACTTCACCGCGCTCTCAACCAATCCTCATGTTGCCAAGTTGCCGTTCTACAGAGATGCGGTCGGCATCCAGGACTACCTGCGGAAGAAGGCAAAGAACGCAGACATGAAGTGGACCATCATTCAGACTGGCCCCATTATCGGTTGCGTGCTGAACGGGGCGTATGCGTACAACTTCCAAGACAGGACTGCGCTTCAAGTGGGCGACGGGAGAAACGGTAGCCACAAAGTCAGCATGACGCGGGGCTACACCATCGGAAAAGCTGTTGTCTCTATCTTGAGCAAGACGAAGGAGATGGAGAGCGGGCCCATTCACATCCATGATGTTGTGACGTCTCAAAAAGAGATACTTGAGATTGCTCAAGAGAAGTCCGGCACGAAGTGGTCCATCTCTCACGTCGATGCGGAGGCCAAGCTCCAGGAGGGTCTGGGCATGTTCAAGATAGCTGGAGAGGAACCACCTCCCATCTTCGCGACGTTTCTCGTCATCCACTACACCATTTTTGGTGGCAAATACAAGACCGACTGGGATGGAGAGGGTAACAAGGCTCTTGGTATCCCCACTTTATCAAAAGAGAAATGGGAGGATCTGATTGCACAGAGGGTTCGGAACGAGCCTATTGATGGTGGACTTCCGTGGAATTCCGCACCCAAGCCAAGGAAGTAATGTTTTACCACCTGCGTGCCAATGTAAACCGCTGCATACAACCATTCCATTCCAGGGATAGAAACGATTTAAAACTTGAAGGATATCAAACTGTTCTATTCAAACTGTGCTAACCAGTAGGAGAATGCAAGTGTCGGTACTGTGATGCCAAGCAGAGAGAGAGACAACCACCAGGCTCAAGGAAGAACACCTCCAGGAGTCTAGGAGTCCAGGTAATGATGACTACACGCTGGGCTGGAATGCAAGTTACATGACAAAACTTGTAGCAATTTCCAAAAAATAATGGACCTGATAGCGCTTTGCTACGAGGGCGGAGAGAACCCGTTCCATTCGCGGTACTCCAGTGGGACCTTCGGAAACTGGTCAATGCCGTCCATCAAGACAATACCCATTCCTCCAGCCTGGTGAGTCTGCACATGACAGTGCAGAAGCCAAGCACCCGGATTTGTAACCTGATATCTCACGACTGTCCAGACAGCAGGTGCGTTACCGGCAATGTCAGGTGTGGTAAACGTGTCGAGATGAGCTGGGTTCTCGAAGTTGAACGACCCCGCCGGAAGGCTTCGTTCAGCTTCTTCTACACTGCTCCACGGAAACCTCCCGATCCCAGAACCAAGAAAGAACACCTTGTTCCCATGCTTGTGAATGGGGTGACTTTGAGCAAACGGTCCCTCGGTCTCCAAGATCATGTCTACCCAGTCACCAACTGGTGAAAGAATCACCAGCTCGCTATCGGGTGCTTTGGCAGGCACCTGGAAGAGCATGGGCGGATCCAGTTCTTCTGCCGTTAAGTTGTACAGCTCATGGCCAGAAAGACTCCACTCGTACGCACCATGAGGGCGACCAGGCTTTCTCAAAACCAGCTTGACTGTCCGTTGAGGTCGCCTAGCCGGTCGCTGTTCAGGATACGGCCGGCCTTCTTCTGGTCTGAATGAGCGGATTTGGTCGATCAGGGGCTGGCCCGCGTAATTCATCTTTGGCTTTTGGTGACGCGGTTGGTAGGCAGCATCGCCATACGTCATCTCTGCAAAGCCCCCGAGGATTTGGTTCAAAAGGCCATTGGCTATTCCGATAGTGTACCGCGCAGGTTCCTGGTCAAGCTTCACCAAGACTGACACCCGGTTTCCGTTGCCGACGTACACGCGATCAGCAACTACTGGGTGAATGTACTGCCCGTCCACTGCGTAGATGTGAAGTTCGTGGTTGTCGATAGAAACTTGCAATGGGTAGAGGCCGCCAACGTTGACAAAAGTCAGGGCCGCCCAGCCCAGTTCCTCATCGACACTGAAAGTGAAGTTGCCTTTGGGGTTTCTTCCCCCAACGCACTCCCTTACAGCATGCGGCGGGAGCTTCCCAAAATCTATGTCATAGTCTCCCTGCAGCGCTTGAATCGGTGGCACGCAGCCTTTTGCTGTCATGTGGTTCTCACCGAGGTCTTTCAGCATCTTGAGGATGACGGGATTGGTCATGTTGTCCAACGTGGTCTGGTCCAAGCAGTATTGAGATCCGAGTCCGTTGACGATTATGGCATCGGTGCAGGCCAAGTCGAAGTTTGCCGTTGTTTCGATGTGGTAAAAGTCGTCAAACTTGTACTGGCTCCAGTCGGCAAGTAGCAGTGGCTGATTTCTCGACTCGGCCGCGCGCATGGCTTGTTCCTCAGATTCATCACGGCTGATGAGATGGAATGGTCTCTTAGCTTCGGGCGATGCGTCTACGATGATTGCGCCATAGAGGCCATCCATCAGCTGGCCCTTGGAATGGGCGTGATAAAAGAAGGTCCCGGCCTCCTCTGCCGTCCATCGGTAGAGAAAAGAGGCTCCGGCATGGATTTGGCGCTGCGTAAGCCCAGGAACGCCGTCACTCCATGGCGTCGTCCGTTGCTCTATGCCATGAAAATGCATCGTGGTGTCTTCTCGTAGATAATTCCGCACCAAGAACTCGACATCATCTCCCTGACTGAGCCGCAGTGTGGGGCCTACGAACGTCCCATTGACGAGAATGGCATCTCTTGGGCCCACACCGATTACGTCCACCTTCCCAGAGGTGATGTGTAACTCGAAGCGGACAAACTGCCGGGCTGGTGATGTTTGCTTGGCATCATCCAACTGGAGGGGAATTGGTCCTTGGCACCAAGTAGGAGCCCATATACGCAAAGCGCACGAAAGAACGGTCATAAGCTGCATGGTGACGGGTCTCGGAAACGAAGCTCTAGGAGTCATCGACCAAGAATAGCTCGCCACGTCGAGAGTTGGTGGTTCGGGCGATGCTAGGACTGGAATTTGCTCCCAGCTACACGCCCAGATTAGGTATTAGTATGGTTAAAGGGCACGCTGAGCCATATTCGGGGCACTGTGGCGGTGGTAAAGGCGGCAATCAGATACCGACCAGTGCGTTTCGGCAACCTGCCCGGTCCCTATCATCCCCACAAACTTAATCGTAACATGACCAGACAGCTCTGGTGGACCCGGCTAGGTTCTTCTCATTATAGGTCGAAACATTCAACTTTCTTCGTGATCAATATTCAGAGGCCAGATTCTTCGCGTTATTCTGGCTACGTAAAAAATGCATTTACGAATCCTGTCAGCGTTCGCCATTCTCCCCTGCTTGGCTGCGGGAGGGTCGCTGAAACATGTCCTCGCTCATCATGGGTCACTCACAATGCTCCATGACCTCTTAGTGGAGCTAGATCTTATTAGCATGTTCGAAGAGGCAAGGAACTCGACGCTCTTAGCGATGAACTACGATGCTTTCGAATACCTCGCCAAGTGGGGCATGAACCTGAGCTCGATCGATCCAGAGTTTGCAAGAGGCATCATGAAGTACCATTTCCTAATGGGCTCCTACGATTCGACGAATGCCCTGTTGGGAATCGAGACGCAGCTTGTTCATTCCGTCCTCCGACCACCAATCCTCACGAATGTTTCGGACGGTGCCGTGGTCAAGCTGACGGCTGACGATGATGAGGGCCCATTTCGAGTAGAATGTGGGATTCAAAAGGTTTTACCCATCGTCGAAGCCGACATCTACTACGACTCGGGCGTATTGCACACAATCGGCGAGAACCTCGTGCTTCCCCATAACCTGTCGGAAACAACCAACTTGGGAAATCTGGACAAGTTCTGGAGCCTCCTGCAAAAGGCTCAGATGAGTGAGCTATTAGAATCTCTGCAAGACACGACGATTATGTTGCCAAGCAATGAAGCGGTGGAGAAATGTATCTCTCAACTTGAATCTGTCACGCTGGGAGATCTCAGGGCTACTATCAACAACCACGTAATCCCCAAACGCGTCCTATACCACACGGCTTTTGAAACGAGCGGTGCTGAGGTTACAGCCTTGAGCGGTCTCAAGCTAAACTTGAGCCGTGACTCCGCGGGTCGCCTCTTCGTCAACCAATCGCGAGTTTTGAAGCAGGACGTGCTCATCTATGGTGGTGTTTCACACGTCTTGGACAAGGTACTTCTTACACAGCGAGGTATGTGTCTAAAGGAAAAGCCAGCTTGAATATTACAACTGACGTCTTCGATAGACTCTGGCTTGAAAGCCGAAAGGGATGATCTGTCGTGGTATGCGATGTCCTTGCGGCGGTACGAGCGTTATTGGAAGAATGCAATGAAAATTATTTTTGAAGCAGCCTTACTCTTCGTACTCGGTGCTCTGATTATCCAACAAGTAATTAGGTGGATAACTTGGACGTATGAACGAGACTTTGGAGGCTGCATCACCAAAGTGTAGTCGATGAAACATAATCTAATTAGAGCTTCAATTGTGCGTTACTGTGTGCCAGTGATGACAGCAATCAAGTCCATAGTAATGCACAATGTCTGACATGTCCCTGAGCTCCATACACCATCCCCTTAGGATGACCAGAGCAATGATTAGTGATTCGTGCACCGCAGACGGTTATCGACTTGAAGGACTGCATCCACAAGGCTTTTTACTGAAGTAATACCCTTGCCTCAGAAGTCATCCCTCATGTCGAGACTCTCTGAGGTACACAGAGTCCTGTCAGCCGTGATAGAGAGTAATGATAACATGTTTTAGGTATTCTAGTGTTTTGATGCCAACATTGGGATTGGCTACACGGAGACCGGTGCAAGCCCATCGGCTGAATGATCAGGTGGTGCCCCTTTGAGGCAAATGCCTTTTGGTGTAACCAATCACACGATCCCCCGCTTAATCTCAACTCCAAAAGATCCATTAGGTCAGTAACCAACAAGAGGAAAATAAGTTCTTGCTAAAGTTTTACTAAGACTTAGATTACGGCAAAAGCATTTGTCATTTGGCAACTAGCCTTCGGAGACTTTCCTGCTCAATCGCTGACCTACCTACTCCAATGCTCGGCAATCTCTTAAACAATTACGATGGGATGAAAGACTTCCCGAGGTGACGGTGACTATTCGCCGAAGTCTGAGATGTGAAAGCTTCTCAAAGGGAAATAATAGACTTGCTGGCTTGTAGACAGCGGGAGTAGCTAACTAATATTAAGTATAGACGGCTAGACATCGCTTTAGTCTATTCTAGTCCGTCCTCGTTAAATAGTAAACCATACTTGTCCACTAGAGTAGGGTAGCCCTACACAGCAGACTTATTAGTTCTCTTAAGAGTCTACACCTAAATATCAAATCTACCTTTATTAGTAAATCTTAACTAGTTTACTTATAATAATAATAATAATTACTCTTACTAAAATTACATAGAGCTAGGCCTATAGTATTATATCTTTCCTATAGGATACTTTTACTAGCTTACGCCTAATGGTTAAATACTTTGGTATTATACTGACACTATTAATATAGACTTCCTAGTGGCTATTCTAGATCCTATAGGAATAGCTAGGTCATAGTAGTGTTATATAAATACACCAGAGTATTATAAAGTAACATAGCGCAAAGGTAAAGCGTAAGAGTAAAGCAGTAAGAAAGGCAAGTAATAACAGGGAGCTGAACAAGTAACACAGGACAATATAGATAACTCAGTATTCTATTGAGGTTGATCTTCTATCTGGATAGAGGGTCTGGTGGTAGTGGTATATATACCCTATAGAGACAAGAATGTCTACGTGCCTGTTGGGTATCTGGCTACTGCACTAAGATATCTACCACCATATAGCATTTGTACTGTGACAAGCACAGCCCTTTAAAGCTGTTAGAATTAAGGTATCTACAAACGCTTATTAAGGTATAAGATCTTAGGCATAGAATTAAACAAGAGAAATAGATCTAGTGCAAGATAAATAGGTATATTATAGATTGTATTTCTAAAATAGAAAGATTCTGTAAACTATCTTTTCCCTGCCTATGTAGTCTATAATATAGATTCTTATACTCTTTTGTTACTGTCTATAGGCTGGCTTTATTAATAAATAGATATTAGTATTTTAAGATAAAATATTTATAGATCCCCTATCTTATTATATTAATAGCGTCTAAGTTAAATAACTAGAAACGTATAGAGTATTTTATTATTATTAAGACTGATAATAAGATTTATATCTGTAAGGCTGGTTGTCTATTGTCTTGGCGATCTGTCCTGCGGTCACTGCTACGATAGCAGAACGAAGCTGGCATCTTTACGGTCCAACCGCGTAAAATGTCCAGCAAGACCTTTGTGTTGCCTTGCGCTGATGCTTATTATCCTTCTAGGCCTTCTTTCTATTGTATTTGTACCGACGGGACACTTCAAGTTCAATAACAATGTTTCCTTTAGAAGGCTCCCTGTAATTCATTCTGTTTAAGTATTGACTTACCCTACTGATTAGGATGGCTTTCAACTCACTTACAGATCACTATATTACCCTCTGCGTTTCTCTTGTTGGGACGACACTGTGGATGTGGAACTTATGGTGAACGGCAAGATTGGCCCCCAAAAAACTGCACAGTGTCAGGCACGCTGGTCTTCGAGTTCAACATTACCAATGCCACAACAAACTTGAACGCAACCGCGTGCCTGTGTATTTTAGATTACTCTTTCGCTAGTTGAATAGCCGTAATTCTGCTTGAACCACCTGCTGCATGCTTTTCCAAGGAGAGCAAAGGCAAACAAACACTCGCATTCCTCTCCATGGTTTCGTCTCTCCCCCATCTTAGTATACAGTCATTTGATCAGAGTAGTAAAGGTTTTTTTAGAGGACCTAGTCAGATAATATCGCAACGCACCGAGAATGCATTAGATCGAGGGCACAGTGCTTTATTAGTTTTAAGTATAATTTACCTTTCTATTAGCCCTAACAGCTTAGCCACTACCAACAAGACAGCCGCTGGATAAGTGAAGCGCGCTTACATGGTCTTAGGACATTTAATAATAGATAAAATACAATTATCTCTACCCACTTGTCTGCAGGACCCCACTTTAACTAGGCATCAATACGATTTAATTAGCACCGTTAGCTTAGCATGTACCTAATCATCCCTTACATATATAGGTACCGTGACCCCTCGCGAGGTCTAGACAAAGCTAGTAAGCCAGTCTAACGGCAAGAGGTACTACGGCCGCTGTAAGAGGTATAGTGTGCTGGCAGAAAGCCAGGGTCAGTCGTGTACATAAGCAGATAGTTGAGGGGCAAAGAGCAGCAAAAACGGTAGGTAGGTAGGAGGTAGATAGGCTGACTGGTTTCTATATTAGGCTTAGCGACAAAAGTACCTACTAGCCGCTTTTGAAAACATACTAGCCACATTTGGCTAGCCTGCTTGATAGCTTTGTCTGGACCTCGCGGGAGGATACGGTAGTTAGATAATCCCCGTTCCGGCGTCACTACCTCAACAATCGGACTGCCTGGATTGTCAGCCGCCTCTGGGATCCGGCGACGAATCAGGGTGCATTGCTTGATTCGCCATCTCAAGTTTCTTGCTTCTCTCTAACCATACTTTCTCTGTAAGGCGCTGCGTGACAAACGAGTATCTGCTGGCCCGCCCAACCATGTCCGCAACGGTGGTCGCCCGCAGGCGGAATATCCAATGCAAAAACAAGGTGAAAACAGGTTGTGCTACCTGCAGGTCAGTCTAAGATCTCATCGCCGCCAAGCCGTGATAGTGAGGCTCTAGGCGGGCAGTAGGCTTTGAAGTGAATATTTGTGCTAACTTGGCCCCTATGATAGGATAAGAAGGGTCAAATGCGACGAGAACAAGCCGTTCTGCCAAAAATGTCTCGGTACTGGCCGTACTTGCGAGGGCTACGAGTCTCCTTTCCGACTCGTGTTCACTGGCAAAGCCACAGATAACTGTTCTTCCGGCGGTAGCAATTCAGGGGCTGCTAGTTTACGAATCATCCAGCCCACATTGACCGGGATCGAGATCGCCCCGCAGGACGTCGAGCTCCTCGGCCGCTACTTCTCAACCAAGACCATGTTTGACGTGAAGCTAGGCCTCAACGAAGAAGCCAGGCAAATCCTCCAAGCCAGTCTAAATGACCCGCTAGTTCGCCACGCAGTCTCGTCCCTCAGAGCTCTTCGGCAACATCTCGAGGCGTGCGGAACTGTTGCACTGTCAGTCACGGGGCGGACTCCGAGCATCGCTTATGACTATGGCCTCCAGCAATACTGCATGGCTTTAGGGGGGCTCGCATCGAAGCTGTCTTTCCCGGGCCCCCACGGACTGAAGTCGGCGTTACTCTGCTGTCAGCTGTTTATCAGCATTGAGCAAGTGCGCGGGAACTACGCCGCCATGGCCCGTCACATTATCCAGGGGCTCAGCATCATGCATGAACATAGAGCCAGGCCGTATCTGGTTGATGGCAAATTGATGCCGGGGTATCACAAGCAGATGCCTCTGCTCGACGTTTTCATCATCAAGCTGTTCGCCGCACCTTGCAAATTCGCGGACCCTCCAGCAGCAGTCGATATCAGCGGGACAAGGACGGCTGTGTGGTTGACTCCGCCGCATCAGCAGTCCGCTGAATCTCGCAATCTGCGTACGATTGCACCAGATATACGAACGGGGCTTACGAGGATTGCTCTCACAATGCTTGAGTTCCTCGACAAAGTTTCGATTTGCAAATCATCGACGAGCGCTCTCCAACTCCTATCCGAGAGGGCATCTCTCATGGGCTTGTTAGAATTGTGGCTGATTGACCTTGAACTGGTCCTGAAGGATACTAGACCTCAACCTGAACCCCTTTCAGTGTGTTTCCTGCGCTTCTTCCATCAGACACTGAAAACTGTTCTCTTGGGGGCTCTTGAATTCTCGCCGGATCGAGATGCGGAGCTGCGGACCGAGATTGGCAGGTTACATCCTATAGCCAGCACGATAGATGAAGGCGTCAAGGCTTATAGAACAGGAAGTGGGGTTAGAAGTGGCCGATCGAAGGGAACTTTCTGATGTATACGCGGATACACTTATGGCCAGGTGCACGATATTTTTAAGCCACGGAGAGTCCGGGCAACTGCTGGTCAGCAAGGTATACACAATAGTCTCGTCAGAAACGTGAGTCTTGCGGAGGGACAATCACGCCCATGTCTACATGCATCCTATGTAATCATGTTGTAGATAATGAATTTCAATCGGCCATTTTCTATGTCTCTGGAGTAACTCTTGCACAAGCCAGTTAATATTTTGTCTGGGATGGCTAGGGGTAAAGCTCTAGCATGTTACATCCTCACCTTTAGGTGCCTTTTTCATCCCCTCCTGCTCCTCAGTTGCTTGCGACTGGGGTCACCGAAGCCTGGGCCAGCTTCTTGTCTTCACCCATCATTTGACCCAGAAGGTCGCCGGACTTCTTAACCGCCTTCTTAGCAGCCTCTTCCGCGGAGATGAGGCCGAGAGAGCCGTGAACCATGTTCAGGGCACGGCCGTCGATGGTGTCAGAGGTGAAGGTGTCGATGTTAACAGTGTCCTCAGAACGCACCATCTCTCGAGCACGCACAGTGTTGAGGATGCGCATCTCATCAGGCGTGAGGTATGCCTCGAGTTCCTTGTGGCTCTTGGCGCGGCCGGAAATCTGAAGGTCCTCAACTCGCTTCAGGACAGCTTCGCGCTTGGCGGCGTCCACGGGCTGAGCAAAGGCGCTTAAGCAAAAGTCAACTGTCTTGGTAACCTCTTCTTGAGTAAGCTTGCCATGGGTGTCGGCTGTTCCTTGAATGACTGCAATTTGTCAAAAACACGCGGGTTTAAACAGGACAGTTTAACTGGACTCACTAGGTCGGAAGTGGGCGAATGCACGCTCGAAACCTTGCTCATCCCAGTCGCTGAGTACAGGTTCGTCGTGCTCTCTGATCTGCTTGAGTGCGCTCAGGACAATGAGCAGGAAGCGGGTGTAGCCCTCAGAAACCTTCTTCGAGTGCCACTCGAGAGCTTCGTGCTCGGTACACTGGCCCTTGATCGAGGCGCAGATAGTTGCGGCAGCCGAAAGTCCGCTAGCAACAGCCAGATGAACACCCGATGAGAAGAAAGGGTCGATGAAGCAACCGGCGTCACCGACGATGCGGGTGTTGTAGCTTGCATAAGACGAGGCGCTATAGGACCAGTCGGAAGCGGACTTGATCTCGTCAGTAACGAGCGAGGCGTCCTTGAGCATTGGTCCAAGGATTCTGGGCACGGCCTTCAGCATTTCCAGATAGAAAGCCTTGCCACCTGGAGATCCCATCTCTCTCTTTTTGCGGGTAGCGACCTCCTGGTTGATGACCACGCCCACCGACACGGTGTCGTTGTGCAGAGGGATGAACCAACACCAGCCGCTACCATCTGGAGTTGGAAACATCAGAATTATTCCCATCAGACCGAAACGCGGGTATGAGAGATTGCAAACCTGATAGAGCCTCGAAGTACGGAACACCCTCCTGTGGCGTCCCGACACCGTACCGTCCGGCACCCTTCCAGTAGCCCCAGCTGGCAACGTTCTTGAGACCCTGGTTGAAGTGGCGGTTCTTGAGGTACTTGGTGCTCATAATGCCCAGACGGCCACTGGCGTCGATGAGATAGTCGAATTTGATCACGCCCGTAGTGCCATACTCCTTACGCGTCCAGGTAGCCGACACAGGGCGGCCAGGATCCACGGTCTTTTCATCGGCAGTGGTCGGGCCCTCGTGTGGCGTGAACTCTATGGTCGAGACCTTGACGCCATCGAAGATTTGTGCGCCGCTCTTGCCCGCGTGCCGGAAGATGAGCTCATCGGACTCAGAACGGATGACGTTCCAGGAATAAGCATTCGGGCCACCGGCACCGATGAAGTCGGTGTCTGTTGGATGTTAAGGGAGGTCAAAATGCCAGTGCATTTTGCAACAGTCTGTCAACTTACAAGCTGGGTCCTTGTTGTTCAACACAAATGCGGCACCGATCTATGTAGACAAGACAATCAGGCATTGTTTTCAAAAGCGTATTGGGAACCTTCTTTGATGTAGCTACCTTCTTGTAGAAGCCGTGCTGAACGAATGTCTCGTCGAGGTCAACAAATCTGAAGAAGTGGCGCAAGGATGGGAGCATGCTCTCTCCGATATGGTATCTGACGATTCTTGTTTTAGAACTGATTTAACGCTCGACAGCTGATCTGTATGCTGGAGCTCACCTGGGGAACTTGTCGCCTTCGAGGACGACAGCCTCGATTCCTTCCCGAGCCAATGCCGAGGCAGCATACGACCCGGCTGGGCCACCGCCGATGATGAGAACTTTTGCGTACTCTGGGATAGACATTGTGAAATTCCTTTTTGTGAGTATATATGATTCAATGGAATAGAGATCGGTGGTCTTGAGGACTTGCAGTACATGAGTAGATCGATAGAAGAGCCAGGCAACCTCATATAAGTGTCTCGATTTGATGATGTGCACTCTACTTGAAGTCCCCGACGATTTCCCCACTAGCAACGGCGTCCGAGAGCGGCCACGTCCAATGCGGACGGAAATAGGTCTGTATCACTGGTACAGGGCTGATGTGGTGTTCGTCGGCTGTACATGCTTATTCGGGTCCAAATCGGGTCGGGGCCTTTTTTCTGGTCGGTATCCGTTGGATCCCGTCCCATAAAACGGCAGATCCTCAGGTAAAATGGGCTTTCAGCTCGTTCTATTTTGCATCTTTACGACTCACACCTTGTAAACCAAGCAGACAAGAACGCCATCAGCCATCATCATGGACGACGTATCTCGAACTCAAAGCTTCACTTCGACGGACCACAGCACCTCGAAGATGGGCAAGGCCAGTATCAAGTACCCGCCGCCCCAAGGCGACTCTGTCGAGACCTTGCAGGTGGAAGAAAGGCGGCAGCAGATGAACGAGTATCCTGAAGGAGGACGGGAGGCCTGGCTTGCAGTCGCCGGCGCAACGGCCTGCTTGGTCGTGTCATTCGGATGGGTCAACGTCATTGGCGTCTTTCAGGAATATTACCAGTCGCACCAGCTGCACGATTACACGCCGTCTGAAATCGCTTGGATTCCTTCACTTCAGAGTACGTCGCACTGCCCTGCAAGCACAATCCGTATGTTGTTCCAACCTTTGATCTCGAGCAGTTTTCTTCATGTTCGCCGGCGGCATCTTCGCCGGCAAGGTCTTTGACGACTTCGGCCCCCGCTACCTCCTCGTGGGCGGCACCTTCCTGCACGTGCTGGGCTTGATGATGACCAGTATCTCCAAGACGTACTACCAGATTCTGCTGAGCCAGGCAGTCTGCTCCGCGATTGGGGCGTCGATGGTCTTTAGCCCTGCATTTTCAAGTGTACGTCGCTGTCTTTCTCGGTGCAGGTAAACGTAAGCCCACTAACGTGACCTTTTTCTTTCTCTCTGCTTTTTAGGTATCGACCTGGTTTCTGAAGAAGCGCGGCGCCGCACTCGGCATCGTTGCCGCAGGCTCATCCCTCGGTGGTATCGTCTTCCCGGTCCTCATCATCAACCTGCTCCCCCGGGTTGGCTTCGGCTGGACCCTCCGCTGTTGTGCCTTCGTGATTCTGGCGCTTTTGTTGTTTGCGAACTTTGCTCTCACTAGCCGCATCAAACCTACGAAGCGTCCTCTGGAGTTTGCGGCATTCGTCCGGCCTTTGCGAGAGCCAGCCTTCGCGCTGTGGACTATCTCGGTCTTTTTCTTCTACTGTGAGTTCAGGCCAAACGTCCGTCTCCGCCGTTTTACTCGAAACTGAATCTTCTCTCGAGGGGGCATGTTCGTTCCTTTCACGTTCATCGTCGCCCATGCCACGGCTCACGGCATGTCGCCCCACCTAGCGCAGTATCTTGTCTGCATTCTGAACGCTACGAGGTAAGAAACCCCTATTCATCTCCAGTTGAGAGTAGCGATTAGCTCATATCTAAATTCTAGTCTTTTCGGTCGAACCGTGCCCAACGCCATTGCTGACAAAGTCGGGCATTTTAATGTAATGATCGTCATGGGTGCCTTGACATCAATCCTGATCCTCGCCCTTTGGCTTCCCTCAACCGGCAACGTACCCATAATCTTGTTTGCGTCGCTCTTTGGCATCTCCTCGGGCGCCGGCATCAGTCTGACGCCCGCACTCTGCGCTAAACTCTCGCCCATTCGAGACATTGGTGTCCGCAGTGGTACCGTCTTCACAATCTCAGCGTTCGCAGGGCTGACTGGGTCTCCTATTGGTGGTGCCATCATTTCAAGAAGCCAAGGTTCATTCACCAATGCCATCGCCTTCGGGGGCACGGCTTGCGCGATCGGGACTATGCTGTTCGTGGCCACGCGGGTCGCCTTTGTCGGTTGGAAGCCAGAAAAGGTTTGAGATTGCTGACAGGAGAGACATCTATTGGGAAATATGGAATGTGGCTCGGCTGTCTTATTAGTTTATCAACCATCTGTTGCTCCATTCCCTGCCCCGAACCTTGTCCCACGACCTGTAAGACATCGCCCCCCTTACGTTGCGCACCACACAATCCTGAGAATTTGAATCTCACCCTTGTGACTATTTCTCCCCAGTATGAGTTCATCAGAAATTTCTTGTAAAAGCGTGTTATCGTAGTCACTTCCGACGGTTAATATCGCCCCATAGTGAATCATCTCCCTATTGGCCACTCGCTGTGACGTCCTGTTTCATCAGATTCTTCCATATTCAAGACGCGTTGTGGTGATACATTTTTTCTTCTGATTATCAGTCTAAGTTCATGTTACACTATTTACGTGCAGCAGCCATAGCTTCCTTGTCAGCAGCCAGCAGCTTCTGGATCGCTGGCCTGTTGATAACGCGGTCCCACCACGCGCTTACAGCCTTGCGACTTTGGATGACATCCCCATACCCGCACGCAAAAAGTCTTTGAATCATGGGGATGTAGTAGATATCCACCAGAGTAAAATCCTTCCCAGCCATATACTCTTGTTTTTGCAGAAGACCTTCTGCCACATTAAAAAACATCTCAACCGACTTCAGGGCAGCTGAAACGACAGCCTCGTCGGCAGGCAGTCCCATGAACTTCTTGGCGAACTTCTCAAAGCCAATTTTACCAGCGGGGTCAGAAAAATAGTGCATTTCTTCCGACTGCGCCTGGTCAAAGAGCGCCGTGGCCTCGGCGTCGGAGTCCGTTGGCAAGAGTGGGAAGGAGTACTTCTTGGCAAGGTACTTGCAGATTGCGCGGCTCTCGTAGAGAGTAAAGCCGTCAGGGAAGGTAACAACGGGGATCTTGCCCCACGGGTGACGCTTCATGTTCTCAGGGGACTAGGAGCAGCGTCAGCGACATGGGTACAGTTTTGTACATTAGGAATGGTTTACCCACCTTTTGCTCCCCCTTCTGCAGGTTGACAAGCACAAGCTCGTAATCGGTGAAGCCGCCCTCGGAGAGCGTCAGACGGACTCGATCGGTGTTGGTTGAGCCGCGAGCTCCATACAGAGTGAAAGCCGGTGCCATTTTGGATGATTGGTGGAGTAGTCTCGACACGAGTCTAGGGCTATTGGTAACGAGCTTAGACATGAGCAAGGAGAGTCGTGCTTTGGAGACCTACTGAGGGATCAAGCCAACCACTAGGTATTTTAAACCGATCAAAGACGGGCTGTGAGCCGGGTGGTAGAGCAGGGGTCCTGCACAAGACATTGGAGATGACAAAGACATCAACATGCAGCCCTTTCAACGGCGGTATGTGGTTGGTCGGTTCGCTCTCTCAACCTGATCGGGCTAGCGTCGGCGTTTGCCGCCGGTGGGCGCCGTGCCGCACGGCCCGTGAGGGATCCACGCAAGGCTCAACTCCTGCAATACCCCGCCATAATTTGTTGGAGCTACCGTGCTAGTGATGAGGGTGCCTGGGCTGACTCCCGGCTGTCGGCTTCCGGTCCCTAGTATCGGGCTAACAGCGGACATCAACGTAATCCGATCCCGCAACGGCTTTATCATCGTCGTGCTCTCGCTCGGCGTGTAAGCCGTCGGCAACCGGACGACTAAGTGATAACCGATAACGGGACTCGGCCATTAGATATTTACAGTCGCGATGAAGGCCCAGCGGTACCCAAAATGACTTCAGGCATATTTGTCTAGACAAAAAATCTACCCTGCAGCCTTCTTTACATTGATTTATACAACGGGTTGATTGAACATACTACCTCTTACCATGACGACCTCAGAGATACTGCGTTTCATCAGCGTCTTCGCATCCGCCATTCATACAGGTACTCAATGCCCTGCCACGGTCATGTATGTGCATAATCAGATTGACATTTGCTTCTCAGGCAGCCAATTTAGCCTCTCATTCGTGTCCGGAGCAGCTCTGCTGGCCTCTCCCACTAGCGACGAGGCGAACCTGCTCACACAATTCAGAGTCATCTTCCGTCGAGGCTTTGTCTTGTGTCCCCCGTTTGCTGCCGTCGCCACCCTGGCCAACCTCGGCAATGCTCTCATCAGCTGGCTATCTCATCATGAAGACGGCGGGAACACGGCACTTCGCTTCTTGATTGCTGGATTAATTACGGCAAGCCTTGTCCCTTTCACGCTGATGTTCATCGTCAGCAGCGAAGGGCAGCTGTTGGAAAAGGCGGCTGAAAGGGTTGGAGAAGGGAAGGAGAAAAACCCTGCATCTGCTGCCCAGACCAGAGACTTGATCAAATTATGGGCCCGGCTCAACTACATGAGAACATTCTTCCCGCTGATTGGGGCGCTAATCTCATACACCACTCGATAAGAAACAACCCAAGGGTGATTTCCACTGGGAACTTGACTCAGAGGGACTGATCCGTGAATGTTTTTGGTAGGCTTTCGACAGTGCACAGGCTGGGACCACGTATGTAGAACTACAATACTAGGTTATCACTATCTTGTCGTCCACAAAAAGTGCCTCACGTTAGGGTTCCCATAATACCATTCAGTGGGACTGAAAACACGTTGGCGCTTAATATATTTTCCGAATAATTTCTATGTTCATGTAGACTGTGATGGTGTACCCATTGTGCTGACTTAGCAGATATGAAATGAAGAGCGTCGACATTTACCATGAAGTTGTACCTAAGTTAAACCACTGATGTCGTATTATACCAACACTTAGCTTAAGATGCGACTGGCCATATGTTCAGGTTAAATCCGAGGATGACAGTTTACCATGTATCTTCGTATTCTACTCATTTCTCCTTCACTAATTCATCAAACCCAAACCCAACAGCAACTCATCCTGAGTTGATTTAAGCAGCGCCGCGATACTTTCCTTCTCGAAATATGCCTCATTGTACACAAATTGAAGTCTCATTGCGCCCTGCAGCGTCCATAAGTGCAGCAAGATGTCCGGCGAATACAACGTGATGCCCAGCCAGGCATCCTCCACCTCCACCTGAGCCTTACCACCATCGACGCTCTGGTAGGATGGCTGGATATATTTGTCCATGACGCCGAAGCTAGACAGCCCAAGAGAGCTGGGAGCCTCAGCGCCTGGCGGCGGCGAAGTCATCAGCGCCACCATGTCGTGGCCCCAGAAGCGTGGCAGCTTGCGTAGGAGCCCCGTCTGGTCCGGCTCGAGGTATCTCTGCCTAGCAAGCCGCGCCGTCTCTAGGAAGTCGTCCCCCAAGGTGAAGACAGCGGGGACGGGTATCGCCAGCGCGCCTACAAGAGCTGTCGCGGGGTACTTGGTCTTGTCCACCCACTTGCGGACGTCGTGAATGGTGACGGCGCTCTGGATCGACGCAGTCGAGTTGACCTGCTTGCGCAGCGCGGTGGAGACGGCTGCCTGCACAGCAGCAGTGACGGTGAAACCCAGCTCCTTGCACCGAGCCACGATGCGATCCGACTCAGACACGCTGAAGGGCGCATAAAGAATCTTCGGGTCGCCGCATGGTTGCTTGGTGCTGTTGTCGTGTTGGAGCTTCACGCCCGCGAAGCTGGCCATCCAGCCACCCAACATGGATTTGAAGGTGTTTCTGTCGGCGTCTGTAGCAACGGGGATGTCGGCGAGAATATTGAGTGGTGGGACCAAGTTATGCGCCTCATCGCCGCCGAGCTCCGGGTTGTTGGTAACAGATGCGGCGTCTGCCAAGGCCTGAACGAGGTTGCTCATGGCAGTGTAAGCGCCGATCCCGTCGAGGTGGGTGTGAGGGGCCAGCAGGTAAAGCTCTTGAGTTTGGAGCAAAACATGGAGGGCAGCGCGTCCGGTGAAGTTTCGAATGGGAAACATGTCGCGGGTCGTGCTGAAAGTGTCGTGGAAGTGCAGCGATTCCTTGAGCCAGGGCTCGAGCTCTTTCTCATCGGCCACGGTGTAAATCCAGCGACCGTCTCGGACGATGGCCGACAGGAAAGGGTTGATGCGACGGAGAGCCTTCCATGCTGTTAGAATATCTTTTCTCAGGTCGATACCGGTCGCCTTGATCTTGGCCATCACCGCGATATGCCAGTGTTGGCCATCAGTTGCACCAACCCCACCCTCTCCGGCGAGGCGGAAGAAGTTTTCCATGTCGTCCAGTGACCGTTCATAGGTTCTAGACGACGTCTTCGCCCATTGCAAGTCACTTTGCTCAGCTGTTACAGCCATCATATTATTGTCTTTTGCCGGCGTGTTTTGGTATTTGGACTTGGTGCAATGAGACAAGCATGTTCAAATAACAGGGCCATGGTCAGAGCGGAGCCTGTTCTGCTGCTTAAATGCTGCGATTTAATACCGTTACAGATTGGCATCGCTTGAAGAGGCTGTTCGGGATGTTGTGCTTGACACCGGACTCCGAGCCGGTAGTGGTGTGAGTGTCGCAAACCGACATTGACCGAGATAGCTGTTGACGCTGTTCTCATGGCAAGGCTATTCCTCGGAAGGGCTCCATTGTTGCGCAGTACGATCTTTCTCCGACAGGGTCTTTTGCTTACTGTCCGCCTCCTCCCTTTGGCAAGGCGCTCTCTGGAGTATACGTCTTCAACGACAGGCAAGGATGCCATTTTTGAAACCCTGCTTAGCGGCCTCTGGTGGTAAGATCCGGTTGCCTGGAGAAAGGTGGGATTGAAAGTGCAACTGAATCTCAGGTTGGTACTTAGGGTTTCCAAGGCTTCTTCGGTTTGGAAATGTGTGCGTACAAGTGACATGTCTTGGAATCTTTTGGCTCTTGTATGCCTTGGCAGCGGTAGGGTGTAAATTGCAAGTGTAGTTTTGGTATTTTTCAAGTCGAAATCACCGCTGCCATCGCCGCCACCCCCACTTGCCTGTGTCAGACACTTCCTTTCGAGGGCGGAGACAGTCCAGCAAGCTTCCGAGATCAATATCCAACAGCGATACGCATCTCAGACCCGCGTTCCCGCGTTGATGTTCTCCAGCATGTTAACGATGTGACGCGACCACCAGCCAATCGGAGCGTTACAGCCGGCCAACTAGATCGCTCCTTTTGCCCCTTGCCGTCCGTTTGACCGTCTCAAATCCACCCAGCACGCGATCTCAGAATCAGACACACTTTTCAGCATCATCACCTGAGCTTTATCATCTCTCTGCCAGCGACTGGAACATATCCATGTGGTAAAGCGCCAGTTGGAAAATAGGTATGCAGCATGTGTCGGATGGTTTCGCTGGTTCATGTCCCCTTAGGGTTAGCTTTGTTCACAAAACGAGACAGATAACATCTCCGCGCTTACTGGTTCGTGGGGGGCTGAACATCAAGGATGTTGCTGTTGGGCAACAGCCCTACAGAAGTGAGGAGATACAGTACGGCAGCCTACAAGGCCTTTCCTACTTAGGATAAAAAGATGAGATAAATACGGTATGGTGTGCTACTAAACCCACTTGTGATGATTGTTGATAAGGTCTGATTAATGATATCAGAGCGGTTTAGGAAATATATCCGTACTGCACCCTACCGGCCTACTATGTACAAGATTTAACCCCAGCTCTTGCTTTTTACAAATTCCGGCTTGTTTCTACAGGCCAGCGCCTACCTATTATTGTCAGCGCCTGCCCACCTGCCTACAGTTACTAGCGTCTACCTAAAGACTCTAGGAGTTGATAGGTATTTTAATCTATTTAAGAGCAAAAAATTTAAAGTTTACTACTAAGTAAAGCCAGCCAATTAAAGTGAGATTCTCTTAAGGGTAGGTGTACCTAGCAGCCTAAGTTGACTTTTAACACAGTCAGCCCTGCAGGCTGCCGTAATACAGCCAATAATATTCTTGTAAATACGCCAGGGCAGTCGTCTAGCCTAGGTAAGCGAGACGGAGGAACGGATACGTAGGATTCAGCTCTCCCTTGAAGACCGCGTGCTTCCGAGGGATGGATTTCGGCTTACTCGCCCGGATCAGCGAGTCCTTGGGGCTGTGAAATAGGTTCCACAGCATCCCAAGGTCGAGTCCTGGACGTCAGCCGCAGGACCTAGCCGCATACAGTACATACTCCGTATTCGTATTCCGCCGACAAATCCTCGTTGTCTAGGATTGTCAAAGCAGCAGCAGGTACTTTGGGACGAAGCTGCTGTGCCATGCGCTGTGGGGGTCTCTTCCCTCTGCTTACTATTATCCTCTTGGCCTACTTTCCCGGCCCATCAAAAGCTTATCGAAAGGGTATGGCCCCACACGCAAACGACCTTGACAGGGAACCCAAAATGATTTTTCGGGGTCCTGATGGGGGCTGAACAGTATTCAGTTATGTATGCGGGGTATTATCTATATAGTATGTAGTAAAGGTCCACGGTAAAGCATGATGATCCCCAGCTTCGGAGCCACGTCCATTAAGCCATTGTATGCCAATAACCACGTGTTCTGTATACCACTTTTACTCATGGCCGACTCAGGAGATAAAAGCAGCGCCAGCACTATCACCGTCGCCGACGTGCGACCTAAGAGATCAGGCAAGCTCCGCCAGACGTGCGACCCGTGCAGCGAAGCCAAAGTCAAGTGCGACAAAGGGAACCCGCGCTGCGGCCGCTGCGACAGGCTGTCGTATGACTGTGTCTACAGTCCCGCAAGACGCATCGGCAGGCCGCGTCCGCGGTCCCGGCGCTCCCCAGAGCATGACGGTGGGGCATGTCCAGCCCCCGAGACTTCCTGTCGACATACTCGCGAAGACGCCTCCGTGACGACTGATGAAGCAACCAGCAAGAAATGTCCGACACCAGCGTCAGCTCAACCGCCTTCGGCTTCAGGCCAGCCTGCTCGACAACAGACACCAACGTCGCGGCATATGAGCCTAGACTTTGACGAGCCCTTGCCAGACAGCCTCTTCAACGACAGCCACTGGGGCGTACCCATCAGTACCAGTGCTGGCACCAGCGTCGGCTCCGGTTGTAACGACAGATGCAGCACCAGGAGCAGTACCAGAAGCAGTGCGAGGGGCAGCACACGAAGCACCGATATCCATCACAACGCTAGCACAAGCATTGGAGGCCTCATTAGTATCGGCCGCGAATTTAACTCTACACCAAATATGGACGAAGGACGACGCAACCCTTACGAATACGACTGCGCGACCGTGGCTGTCGCTACTCTCGGCGCTCTCGCAGCAACAGGGCTCGACGGCCAGACAACGGCGGCCGCCGAGGTCCTCGCCGACCAGATACCTCATGCATGTCGACAGGCCGCACGAATATTGGTTTGCCCGTGCTCGGCCGACATGGATAGAGCGCTGCTGGCGGCATCACTCGCAGCCGCGATTCTCGATGTTGCTGATACCGCCCTGCGTGCCCTCAAGCCGCCGGGGCGGGCGCTTGAAGACGAGCAGCACACGGTGCTGGCGCTCGGTACCATCCCAAACATCTCCCGCGTGGTCACCCTCTTCACACACCGATACAGCGCTACGCAGGTTGGTCGGCCGCCAGAGGCTCTTTCATTGCTTGCCGCTTCGTTGAGGACCACGCTAAAGACTATGGCTGAGGACACGACGAATCGATTCCTTGAAGGCGGTACCACTTCTTCCTCTCATCAAGGGGGCAACTAGCAGTAACTTTGTATGATGATTAAGTGAGGTGATACTAGGAGGTGAATAGATCATATGTGATGTAACGGCATAGGTTGCAGTTATTATTGCGCGTTCGTAGTTATTCTGAATCACGTACCAGCTCTGCTCAATAATGAAAGAAGCTTCAACAGACAAGGAAGGCACCTCCTGTACATGAAAATAACAAGTATAATGAATCAAATGTCATCGAACTTTTGATTAGTAGTGTACTGTTGTTGACACGCGTTCTGTTGTTGTACATGTTAGGCGTGGACGGCATGGATACAATTATTCGAATTTAGGTTATAAGTAAGGTTATTCTGACTCAAATTCCCGAGTTCTGATACTTCGAAGACAGTCTTGCCTTCCAAGTTACGCGCAATCTTCTAAATTTCTAATGATTTGTGTCGTTCTCCATATCCAAAAGATGACTCGCGTTACCTGATCGCTGCGTCCATCTCAAAGCAACAAGAGTACGTAGAGTCCTTACAAAACGAATGTCGCCCATGTAATAATAGGAATAAACAGAAACAGGATCCGACCATGTCTTACTAATCTCAGGCATTCTGTTCCATCCACTCCTTGAGATCACCAACGTTGACGCACTCGAGGAAGAGCGAACTCTTGACCTCGATCGACAGCTCCTTCTTGAACTTCTCGGCCAGAACCAGAGAGGTGAGAGAATCAACACCCAGCTCCACGAAGGTAGCCTCGTCGGTCAGATCGGATAGGTCGAGTCCAGTCTCCTTGGCAATGAGCTTCAGGCCATCGCCCACAATGCCTCCTACGACCTCGACGACGTCACCGCTGGGCGCGGGAAATGAGTCTTCGTCCCCGTCATGTCTGTTCTCAGCTGCAGAGTCAGCTTGCTTCGCAACGGGATTTGTTTCCTGCACCGTCTGCTTGGTCTTTGCGGAGGACGTTAGAGGCTTGGTCTTGGACTGGGATTTAGGCGCCGTCGCTTTGGGCTTGGCGGGAGTGCTGGAGGTCTTCGAGGACCCATCTGATGGCGAGAAGAACTTATCCATCAAAATGCGGTGAACGCGACGAAATCTCATGCCGCCCATCATACCCACAACATCCCCGTCCTGCAGAACGTAGACGTCTCCCGAGAACATGTTGGCTTCGCCCGTCGGCGCCATACGCACGTAGCTCTGATAGCTACCACCCGCGATCGCCGGCTTTGCCATGCGGCAGCTGTCCCAGCCGTTGGTGACGTAGAAGTAGTCCTTTGTGTTAGAAGCCTCGCTGCCGTTCATGACAAAGCCGCCGACGTGGAAGAGACTGTCGATCCAGTGGGGGGGCGTGTGCCAAGTGCCGTGCCTCTCGGGTGCCAGTATCACGTCCGCGTAGGCTTCGAGCCCGTGAATCACGACGGAGTGCATGCCGCGGTACTTCTCCGAATAGGAGACCACGTTCTCAAATAGTGTGTAGGCCAGGCCGCGTCCAACCCTGCTGGCAGCGCCCCCGGGAACCATGGCAGTCAGCGCCTCGACGCGGCTTGCCGCCAGCCACGAGATCCTGCTGAACTCAGTCGTCCAATTGTTGGTGTCTTCGTATCTGATTGTGGCAGTGGCGTACGGCTCCTCGGAGCGGATACCGGCGGCGTCCAGGTTATACCACCGGACAGCCGTCATCATCTCTTCAAGGTCCATCTCGGCCTCGATTTGCAAAAGTTGCGCGCCCTCTCGGTTGGACATTACGACTTGGGCGTGCTCCACCAGCATGTCGGAAACGTTCATCGGAACTGTACCGGTCGCTGTTGGCACCATACGCTTGTACAGGTATTCGCCGACGGTGAGAGCCATGTCGGCCCAAATGGACTGTGACGTAGAGTTAGCACAATGATTCTTTTACATCAAGCACCGTTATCGTCTTACTGAAGTTGCCACCCCATAACCGTTCATGTGGTGGCCGTCCAAGGCGCTCAGCAGCTCCGGATGCATCATGTCCGAGACAACGACAAGGTTGCCTGTGCTTCCAGTGATTTCCTCCGAGACGATCTGCTGCATGGAGGACGTGCGGAGGGCAGAGCCACTTTGTGTAGACGGCTTGTTGTTTGGTTTGCCAGTTGGATAGGCCTTGTCTAGAGTCCAGGTGCCTTCATACTGAATCCAGTAGTTCTTGTCATTCCACTTGTATGCATCGAGGGACAAGAGGGAATGACATGTTTCGTACGGTCGGTGGTACTCATTCCAGTTGACAGCAATACCGGCACGGTGCAGAGACACCAGAGTATTCGACAAGGTGGTGAAGCTGTCCTCGTCGCGACGAAAAGATGAAGTCACGTACGCGTCTGCCATGTAGCCCCGAATGAGTGAGGTGCAGACTGGATGAGGTCCGATTTCGATCCACATGGTCTTCTCGTCAATGATACCGAGCTCTTGGGCAGCCTCGAGGGCACCGACGAAGTTGACCGGTTCGCGTGCCGCCCTAGCCAGATACTTCTCATTTATGGTTTTTCCATCAAATACGCAACCACCGAGGACTGGAGAGAGGCAAGGAATCATCGGGGTTTTGTAGGTGACGTGTTTGGCCAGCTGCTCGAACGGCCCGAGCATGGGGTCCATCTGACTGGTGTGGAAGGCGAAAGGGACATCGAGGAGAGTGCACTTGATGCCTTCTCCCTCCAAAGCATGTCGCGTAACCTCAATGTCGTCTCGGGAGCCGCCTAGGACGGTGTCATTGGTCCCATTCATGCACGACACCTGGTACTTCCCATCCGTAGCAATCATCTGTATCTTGTCGATGCTTGAGCGTACCGCGAGCATGACGTGGCTGCCCTCTCTGCAATTGGAGGTGACGAGCTCTGCGCGTTTTCCCACTAGGAGAATGGCGTCAGCTGCCGATATCACACCGGCAACGACCAAAGCTGCATATTCGCCCAGACTGTGACCAATGACCGCATTTGGTTTCACTCCAAGGAGCGACCAGAACTCGGCTAACGCAATTTGGGTGACGACGATTGTGAGTTGCGTTGTGAGAGGCGAGACGCTGCCGTCCTCAGGGGTGCCTTCTATAAATGGGATAACTGATGGAAAGCCGAATACCTGCACTAGGTGGTCGAGGTGGGTGATCTGTTGACGATAGAACGGAAATGATTTGTAGAGTGCCGCTCCGACCCCTAGATAGAACGAACCCTGGCCAGTGAAGGCAAATGCAACCGAAGGCGCGTTTGCCGGAACAGGGCGAATATCCCGGACAATAGACTGGGCTGATACCAAAGCCTTTTGTAACTGAACAATGCTGGAAGCTGATACTGCAACTCTGGAGCTGTGATGGATTCGCCGAGCAGTAGTCGTGTATGATAGATCACCTAGATCGGTGTCGGGGTGCCTGTCGAGATACTCGATGAGGGCCGCAAGATTGGCTTCGAGGGAGATTTTCCCCTTGGCAGAAATTACCACCGGATGACTTGATCTGGGGTCTGAGCCGCGAAGACTCCTCTCCGGTGCGTCTCCTAGCATCAGCGTGGTGTTACCCCCATGGGCTCCGAAACTGTTTACAACAGCGTATCGGGTCTTTCCAGCTTCCCTCGGCCACTGCTGGAGACCCATGACAAGACCAGCCTGTCGCTTCGCCAGATCCAAGGGAATGATAGGGTTGATGGCCGTTTTGATGCCAACATGTGGCGGGATCTCGTTGTTTTGGAAGGACAACAAAACCTTGAGCAACGAGGTAATGCCTGCAGCGGCCTCTCCGTGCCCAACATTTGACTTCACAGCTCCCAGGTGAAGAGGTTGGTCCGCGCGGCGACGGGGCGAAAGGGGGGCGAAAAAGTCGCAAACCGACTCAGACTCAATAGCGTCACCGACTTGCGTTCCGGTACCATGAAGTTCGACAAAGCTGACGTCTAGAGGATTAATGCCCGCCGCTTGCGTGACCTGGGCATAATTGCTCTTCTGGGCCCCGGCATGGGGCTGTGTGATAGAGGCGGCATACGCAGAGTGGTTTGTTGCACCAGCAAGGACTGTAGCAATAATATTATCGTTGTCTGCAACCGCGTCTTCCAGGCGCTTGATCACAACGGAACCAATGCCATCAGCTCGGCAGTACCCATCGGCTCCCTCATCCCACACTTTACACTGACCAGTTCTGGAAAGGAAGTGGCCGTTACCCAGCATGGCGTAGTTGTCAGGATTCGTGATGACGCTGAGGCCGCCCGCAATTACGGTATCCGCTTCGCCAGCCCAAAGCGCCGAACACGCTGCGTTGACAGCTGCCAGCCCACTGGAGCACGCGGTGTCAATGTTGAAGCTTGGTCCGCCGAACTTGAAGAAGTAGTTGATGCGTCCATTGGCAAATGCTCGCTCCCCTCCTGGCACCGCATGTGTCCCGATGTTTTGAGCTGCATTGAGTTCTCGCCAATCGTCGCTTGCCTGGCCGTAGAACGTGCCGACACGTTCCAGAATCGTAGACGGTGTCCTGTTTGGAACATAGCCAGACATTTCGAGAGCTTCATAGGCAGTGACGAGGGCCAGCCGGTGCATGGGGTCCGTTTGCTCTGCCTGTGATGTATTAGTAAGCGGATTATCGGCAAGAGAGACAGACTCCTCATGGCGATTCAACTTACTTCTCTTGGAGACATGTTGAAGAAGGCAGCGTCGAACAAGCCTGGGTGGTCAATGAAGTTTCCCCAAGGTGTAGGCGTCGAATTGGGGACCTGACCGGTCGGATCGAAATGTGCTTGGAGATCAAATCTGTCGGCCGGAACTTCCGTGTGCGTATCTCTTCCCTCTTTGAGGAGATCCCAGAAAAGCTTGCAGTCGTTGGCACCGCCGGGTAGTCTGCAGGACATTCCGACAATGGCAAGAGTAGACTGCGCAGCAGTTCGCGGCGGGCTTGGAGCAACCTTGTCGAAAGACCAATCAACAAAATCAACGTGTCTCATCGTTACTTGGCCGAGGCCCTCAGTCACGGTCGCCAATATGCTCTTTGAGACGAGAGACGAGCGAAAAGAAAGAACTTCACACTCTGCCGGCCCCAAATCCGAGATTGAGTCCAATATTCCTTCACTCAAATTATCGAGAAAGATGCCACCCGTCAAGATGTCAGCAACGATCTCTCTGAAGAGCTCGTTAGCGTTGTGTGCAGGGTATGCTTTGCCCGTCTGAGGCGAGAGCAGCGGCAGCCGTATGTGAACAGAGTGAGTGCCCTTTGGCTCTGAGCCGTGGACGATCGATCGTACGTCTTCGGTCGTGTAGAGGTGCGGCGCGTGACACAGTCCGTTGTAGACTGGCATTGGGAAGTGCTTAGAGTAGCGCAGGGCCTTTGAGTGCCGAAAGGCATTCTTCAAGCGGGATGGAGGGCCTGTAACACTGACTGACGTCTTGTCCGAGGCACTGATGAAGACTTTTGTTGGCGTGGGGTTGGACTAGAACATGTCGATGTTAGCTAGGGTTCGAGTGCATTTGTAGAGAGCTAATACTCACCGATTCAGTGTTGTACCGATCGAGTTCCTCCTGAACCTCCTCGGCTGACAGACCTGTCAACACGTAGGCCCAACTACCATAGTTTCCATCGTGGTCACGCGACTCGAGTCTCCCGGATACGCCGTCAACATGAATGCCCAGTCTAAAAGCTACTCTCACGCTTTCGACACCATTCACAGCAACATCGGCCAAGGAATCTGAGATAGAGATGGCAGCAGCGGCAAACAAGCCAATACTGAGGCCCGAGAGGGTTGTTTCAGCAACGGGGAGGTCCAAGGGCAGATTTCGGGCTTCATGGTGACTGCGGATCAAGTCAGCACACGGTTTATGGCAGGATTGTACATGTAAAGCCTCACCCAATGAACATGCCGATCTCCAAAACGCAGAGAAGGGCGCTTTCCAACGCTCCGCCCACGGGTCCTTGTCTGAAGTGATGGTTGTCTGCAAGAGACAGGACCGACTTGAAGGGGGGAATGAGCTTCTTCAAGTGCGAAGGCAATGCTGCGGCTTCATGGTGAACCACATCGCCACAAGCGTCCAAGAAAGTGGCGAGGAGCCTAAATCTCTGGCTTTTACTGTGGTTGTGGAGGCGACGGAATAGGTCTCGCAGGTCATCATTGGGAAATTCGTTGCTGAAAAACAGCAGTCGTGACGTCAAGTCGCTAGGACCATCCGTTGAAGGTGTGGCGGTCATGGTTGCTAACAGCGGTTGTTGAAGGGATAGAAGGGGAAGGTGACATACAACTCAGGGGGTATGGACGAGGTTCATCTCCCTTTGGAGGACTGGTCACAGTCAAATAGCTGTCGATAATACATCGGACTGGGTAGGATGAGGCTGAAAGAGGAGGTCACGGCGTCGGCGCGATTATCGTTCACCGTTTACCCCGGCCATCTCGAGCATAGCACGGGAACCGACGGGTGCCGGACTCTGACGGCCGGAGCCGAGCCCTTTCTGCCTGGAACGGGTCAGAGGCAGACTCACCAGGCTTGCCTGCTCGGTAAGAAGAAAGAAAGCGTACAGGTGTTAGTTCCTCTGCTTGATGATCTATGCTATGGAACATCAGATGGCAAGTAAATACTATTCGAAACGTGTGTCATATTGGTTACCGTAGATTGTCGAGAAGCTCTCTCGCCTACGCACAAATTTCAGAAATACTGGCCTCTCGTACCATTTCTGCTCAAGATTATCCATGAAGATGCGTTCGAATTAACCCGTCTGTTATAACAAGAGCTTTGCGCGTGGAATTCTACTACATTCTGTGCAGCGAGGTACCTATCCAAAAAAACAATATCTATGCAACTACCAACTTACACGTTTTGTTAACAAACCACCGCTGCGTCCCTCCCTGCATAATGAATCCCACCTTGCGAGTGTCGGCCAACATCCGCAGAATCTCCATTGTGGACGGCTCAATTGCACTCTGAAGCAAGTGGGCTGGAACGTCTCCATGTACCTTACTGATAATCTCCCGCGTTGACAAGCCAGACTTGCTGTATGTATTTCGTCCTCCATTCGACATACTGTCGAGTAGCACCCCGTAAATCAGCTTCTCTCGTGCCCTCCGCTGCCTGATGTATTGGTTGAGCTTAGCCGGCAGATTCTGTATTTCAATCCCATGAGCCGGGTATCCTATGGTGCAGCCCTGTTCCGCCATGCGGTCGAGGCTTTGAAGGTAGACGGCGAGGTCCTCGACGACAGTGAAGCCGTGCCCCAGAACATTGTCACCAGTGAACAGAGCGTTCTCTTCTTCGAGGAAGAAGCACATATGGTCAACCGCGTGACCTGGTGTGAAGAGAGCTTTGATAGTGGCGCCCTCGACAGCGAATATCTGTCCGTCCTCGATATCATTCTGGCCTGGATCAGGATTGCACTTGTAAACGCGATCCGCAATAGCGGAATCGTATGCAACGAGATCGGGCACACCGCCAGTGTGGTCGCCATGCCAGTGTGTGAGGAGCACATGCGTGATGATGAGATCTCTTTCCTTCAAAATCCCGACTAGTCGTTCAATCCATACCGGAACTCCCTGTGTGGGTATGATCAGTGACCATGGCTTTTGTGGCGATTACACTGGGTGGAAATCTCTTACCTCACCAGTGTCAATAAGAATTCGTGCCTTGCCGGTGCCAACGAGGAAGGTGTTCGTACCCTGGAGCTGCATTTCACCGGGGTTTCCTCCCATGACCCTGATGACCCTGTCCGTGACATCTTCCACGTCGTCGAGGTGCGGCAATCGGCTCGCTTGGGTTGAAAGATAGTCTTTCCAGAATTCGCGGTCGATCTTGACATTTGCCAAGGTTGCCATGATGAGTTAGACGAGACAATGCGTGGGCATACGGCCGGCTTGATTCTGGGTGCAACTGAATGAAGCTCTCGATTTTGAGCTGTCAGGAGATGGTTGACAAACCTTTGGTATTCTTCGACCGGAAGTAAGTCAGACCCCACTACAGTACTCTTACGTTTGCTGACAGACACAACAGGTAAGGACGGTAGTTTCGGTAGTCGTCGGAATCCGACATGAGCTCAGCCGCGTTAATAGTCTCAGACAGGCGCCAAGGCATACATATTCAGCGTGCCCCACCGCGTATCATTAGGAAATCCAGTGTGTTGTAGTACTAGGATTTCACGGCTCAGTAACTTGTGTAAGGGTGTGGAAGAGGTTTCAGTCGGACTTTTTCTGGCAGAGCCCATGTAGTGAGTGCAGTGTTGCATAAGTATCGTTTGCATTGATGAAAGCGACCGTTACATGGCTACTTGCCTTACGTACAGTCAAGATATTGATGAGCGGCTGATCAGAGTGGCGATCCGCCGACCTTTCTTGACATAGATCTGGCACGAGACGGCTTTTGCATCGTCACACCTCAGGAGTGGGATTCGGCTATAGCCACGGAAAGTGCGGATTCTCGATAAAGAATCCCCTACCTAGATATGTCTATGCATGTTCAGTCGAAATTGAAGAAGACATCAACTAAATAGCTGTATCTTATCTCCGAGAGCACTCTTCTGGTTTCGTTAAAAGGCGAAATATGATATGATGCGCTCGAGCTACACAGAAATATCTTAGATTTGATTTTCGCGTTTTTATTGCTATGGTACTCCCAACTGGTTTGCATGAAAGATGTTTATTCCGTGTTGCAGACTACCCTCTGGCTAATACTCCTTATAGATAGGTCAGCCATCAATGACCTGACCAGCGTGTCCCGGTACTGTGGTACGGATAGAGGAGTCACGCAGCCAACTTCGTCCTTCAAACCCGCTCGGCAACAATGATGGAGTTCCTCATGACCGAGGCGTATGTCCTGATGTCGACGAGCTTGAGGCCGGCCTTGCCCAGCAAATCATGCCACTGATCAACAGTCCTCTCCAATGCGTTGAGCATGGTGTACATGTGTAAATCCAAACACGCCGACCACCAGTGCACGTCCTTATTCGGCAGCGCCATCTCATCGATTAGCAGCTGTGAGTCGGGGCCCATGGCAGCGGCCGTATTCTTGAGGATCTTAATCGAGTTCTCCTCGTCCCAGTCATGGAGGACGGTGCGCATGTAATAAAATCTGGCGCCTAAAAGAGCGGTCAGACGTCGGGGTACGTATAATACGGGATTCTTAGGCTTACCTTTGATGGGCTGAGGCGTGAAGAAGTCATAGGCCATGAACTCGACGCCCTCGGCTGGAGTGGCCACGTTGACGGTCTCCGGCAGGTCCTGGACAATGACCTTGCCGGGAAGAGTCGGGTACTTCAGTCTCAACCGCTTGCTTTGGTGGCCGATGCTGCCTCCAATGTCGACGAAGAGGGCACGGTCTGGGCTGACGTCGGCGGCCTCCTCGGCAAACGGCACGACGTCGAACCACTCCCCGTCGCGTGGGACGCTCATCAGCTTCTGAAAGTACCCGAGCTGCTCGGGGTGCTGCTTGTAGTACGGGAACCAGTCCATGTTCGTCTTGACCGACTGCTGCCACGCGCACTTTGTGCCGGGAGGGGTCTGGAAGTTCGTCTGCTGCATGAACCCGGGGAGGGCCATGTAGGCGGGAATAGCAATGGAGAAACTGGACCACGGTCAGCATCCCACAGATCCACACACATGCTGCTTAACTTACATGTAGTTCAAGCTGCCCTCAATGGCAGGATCCGCAAGCGACTGCGTGCTGAGATTGGCGCTGAATTGATCCTTGCCCGCCTCTGCAATGAAGCGCGTCGCCGCCAAGTAGCGCAAAACGCGCCCGAGAAAGGCCGGCTCTGCGTTTGTGGCGCTTGCAATCTCTTCCAGAGTCAACGGCGTCTGGCTGGCGACGAGGGTCTTGAAAAGGCCAATGTCGCAACCGGCCTTGATCATCGGAACTTCAAGAGCCTGGCATGAATCTTGTGTTAGAAAGTTGAGAGCTCTATTCCCAAGGTAGCACGCTAGAGCAGGCACCCACCGCATTGAACAGGCGGAGCATCGTGTCGTTCGGCGTTTCCATGGCCTCGGCAGCACTTCGTAGAGAGTCTTGCATCTTGAGGCGCGTTGCCTCGTCTACGCGCACTCGATGCATGTTCTGGGGCTCGGTAAGGGTCACCATTTTCCTCAAAGGTTGGAGGTTATGAAATTTGGAGTGATAAGTAATGGGTCGTGAGCTCTTGTGGCGTGTTGAACGGATGTGCACATTTCAAACAGGTGACAGAACTCACCGTACCGTACTTTTTATACCAGAGAATTGGCAGCAGACATATTCGGCATCGTCAAGTTGACGCCTCCCAGTTTCCAGACGGAGACCGACCGGGGTTGGACGGACAATTCCAAGATTTCCGTTTTTCCATAGGGGCGATCGGGGTCAGTAAGACTATGACATTGAAAACCGACGGAGGCCGGCCCCAGTAATACCGACGGATTGAGACCCCGGCATAATACCGACCAGCAGAAAATGCTGTTGAATTCTGGCACGTCATATGTATATCAATCTGCCGGCCGGCATCTGTCCATCAAATATGGGCTCACATATATTAAGGACCATAACCCGAAGCCGGACGCTTTCGATTCGAATCTGTGGACTTGAAGCAGCAACTACCGAAAATGGAAATCATCATCGTCGGCGCCGGCATCGCCGGTCTTAGTGCAGGCATTGCCCTTCGTCGAGCAGGGCATAGAGTAACGGTTTGTAGGGCCCTTGTCAATTATACTGATCATGCCATCTAAAGCCCCTCCTCGCCAATGTCGCGAGCTAACACCCGCAAAGATTCTGGAGCAGTCCGCGCTGCTGCAAGAAACTGGAGCGGCCATCTCTATAGCGCCGAATGCATCACCGGTCCTCCGCAGCTGGGGCTTCGACATTGCCAAGTCGGGCATGGTTGCCATCAAAACCGGAAGCATCCTCAACGGCAGCGACATGCAAATGATGGTGCCTAACTACTACGCGAATATTGCGGAGAACTACGGTTCTCCCATTTACGCAGTACACCGCGTCGATCTCCATGACCAGCTGCAAACGCTAGCAACGGGAGAGGACGGGCCAGGCCGGCCGTGTAAGTTGCATGTTCGTGCCGCGGTTGTTGACTATGTGAGCCCCTTTTCCACAACCAGTGTCTTCTCAGGACTGCTGCTGATTGTTTTGACTAGGATCCCGTCAATGCGAGTGTCGTCACTATCGACGGCACGACTTGGCAGGCAAACCTGGTCATTGCAGCGAACGGAGTGCACTCGACCGCGAAAGAACATGTCATTGCTGCAGACGAGAGCCATGAGAGTGACACCGGCTGGGCAACCATGCGATGGCTTCTGCCAACAGAGGAGTTGTTGGCGGACCCGGAGACGGCGTCTTTGGTTGAAGACTCTACGCAGAGATACTTTATGGGCGCTCGAGGTGGTGGTTTGGTATGGTACATGTGCAGGAAGTATGCTCATATCCTCTCACTGCAATTCCTGCGAAGAATGTCTGGGTTACTAAGAACAATGCTGGTCTGAAGCAATGAGGTGCAAAATTTCCTCTACCTCTCACAGTCATTCGCGAGCGAGAGCATCACGGAAGGTATCTACTCCCGTCTGGTGTGGCGGAAGCAACCCTTGTTGATATTGCTCCAACGTAGATTTCCAAGCAGGCATCGAGCCAAGCATGGTGATGGACTATGCCAAGCAAGAATTCAGCCCAGCCCTGCAAGCCGTTCTTGCGTGAGTTTCAACATCCGGCGCGGCATCGACTCTTGGAAAGGCTAACTCACACATGTTTCAGGAAAGCTAGAGACGTCAGATTTTGGAAATTGGTTGCTCGAAGCCCATTGTCTTCGTGGCGTAAGGACTCTCTGGTTCTGATTGGTGATGCCGCCCATCCCATGCTTCCTTGTAAGTCTCTTCTACGCATCTGAGTGGGGTCTCATTTCTGACATGGGCCAACAGTCCAAGCTCAAGGTGGTGGGCAAGCCATCGAAGATGCTGCGGTCCTCGGCATTCTACTGGATCAGGTCCAGGACAAAGCCACGATGGATGCGCGCCTTGGTCTTTTTGAGACGGTCAGGAGGGGTCGCGGCTCTGCAATCCAGACGCTCTCCAACTCTGGCCCTCCAGTTCCCCAGAGCGTCCGCGATGCCGCTGCCGAGTATCTCCCCGAAGGCACGATCTTGCAGAACCAGGATGATATCGTCGACCTCCTGTTCTCTTATGACGTGATTGGCAACACGAAGGCCATTCTTGCGGCAAGTCCAGCTGAGCAAGAGAGGGAGTCGGATGAGATGCACAACGCAGGGGCAAAGTTGTGATACAACCGTCATGACAAATAATACAGATAGCAAGCATCCTTACATAGCAAATCTTCATTGCACCCCGTGGCTTTACTGTTAGCACTCATAATGATAAATTTAAATTGGTCTTTCGATAAGTTATGATGATTCTAGAAACAGCTCTCGATTAATAAAACCGTCAGACAGAATAGCCACTTGTTATATGTTTGAGGAACACTTTATCTGTCCGTAAAAAGAGAAAACATAAATCGATGGACAAAGATCACTGAGCAGGAGAGAAAACATCAATGAAAGTGATGACACCATACTGTTATTCATATAGCATGAAACTTCTAATTCCTTACACAGCTTATTTCACAAAGCATTACAGTTCCTCAGCGCCCGATTACTTTGACAATCGATCACGCTGCGGAGCCAGTGCAAGGTGAGAATAGGCAAAAGTTAGAGCACCGAGTCGCCCCCAGCCTCTTCTCTTGACGCAGGTAGCTTTGTCCGAAAAACTATCCCACCTCAAGCTAGTCACCCCTCTCAGCTTTGCCCTAGTTGTGAGAGAAGACCAGAGCTCGTGTGTTCTCTAGTCTTGTACGCAGTGACGAGATGATGTGGCGGTGTACGTTATTAGCGAGACCCTGGGAGTGCCACGAAGATGGTTCCGAGGCAGTAGCAGCACGACTGTTGACATTCCTCGCGTCAGTGCTGGTGGGAAAAGTGCTGAAGACCACATCCGACTTTGGGACCTCGGCAAAGCGGCGAGACAATGCATCAACCAAGCCTTCCAGAATACGCAGCTCGCCAGCCATCACCTGGGCGTGGAGAACCCGGCCGAGCTTTCCACCGATCTGGTGCTGGCCGATGGTGATGGGTTGGGTTAGTACACGTGCCCTGGGAGTTTGAGAGAGATTGGCTGACAGCGCGGATGCCGGAGAATACGTATCGTCGCTTTGGTCAAAGTCGGCGCTGATCATGGCGCTGTTCCAAGCGATGAGGTTACCGCAAAGACTGAGCAGCAGCAGCTGAACTAGGGACCTGGCTGAGCAGGAGCAAGCCAGTATCGGGTCCATGCCGGCGACGACGTCCTTGTTTGTGGAAAGCACTGTCTCCATCTTCCGGGTTTGTTGGACGGCCGGGGCTTCTCTGTGCGCACTCAGGCATGCCGAGTGGGCAATGTGAAGAGTCTTGAGGATGCGAAGGGCTGCTGCAAGGCATGTTTCAGAGCCGCACCTCTTGGAGGTACATAGCTTAGCTTGGGGTTCCTCTACATGCATCTGTGCCTCGGCGAACGGGAGGCGATGATGCGGCGCGGACGATGGGGGCGAGGACGGCGACCATAGGAACAAGGCCGACGATGTGGACGGTGATCGGGATACAGGCACCGATAGGGAGGAGTCATTCGACGTCTGGTAGCCTGCTGGTGAGTCCTGGCCAGTAAAGATATCAGCCAGAACGTTGGGGTGGAACTGGCCGTCTCGTTCCAGGTCCGTGTCAGGAACATCGGGAATCTCAATGTCCGTTGGCCCGATGTCGGACAATTGCATCTGCATCTGGGCCGGGTCGGCATCCGGCTCAAGCAGCCAAGCTGCGTCGGCATCCGACAGGCCCAGGCTGTCGGCGGTAGGTGGGGGGAAGAGGGAGAGTAGGTTCGGTGTGAATGACATTTGGTCGTCGTCGTGCTGTGTTCTCGTCGGCATTCTTCCAGAGATAATACAACGGAACCGGATGCAAGGATGCGACGAGGAACTTCTCTTATGTATCTCGCCATTCTGCCAACCCCACGGAGCATACACCCCAGGTTGGTGAGTAGGTGGCATTGCTGGTATTCATTGCGGGTATTCCGGGTGGCAGCGGGACCGTTAATAGGTTGGTTGTTGAGGGTACTGTTGGCGCCGTGTTACCCGTTAACGCCTTACATGTCGCATCGCCTCTTACAGCCTAATCATACGACGCTACTAGGTATTACAGATCGAGGAATGTCTCCACTATGCGCCCTGATCTTACTAGACACCCACTAAACGAAGCAATGTTAGCTGCTGTGCGGCTGTACCGCTCTAGGTATGTAGGCTTCGGGCGCAGCCGTTCAGAGACTCCACAGTGGGCACCAATCATTACCACGTAAAGGTCAGAATATGTATAGTGGTACCTCTATTTACGCCCATCTTTGCCTATGTCAGAGGTACCGGCAATTTCCCTCTCTTTCAAGAGCCACGCTGTATCCGTAAGTTACCTACACTAGGTAATTATGTCACATGCACGTGGCACAGAGAAATACCCAAGTGGAAGTGGGGCCTTATCGCCCCTGATGGGATACCTATGATATACGATGTAGATTCTCACCTGCAGCCAGTCGCCTATGATTCCTGAATGAGCAGGAGCCATAAACGAAACTCCCCTGTCCTTATGCCGAGTACACTACCGTACACTGTTATCGAGGTGCTGCTCCTGCACCTGCTCTTGCTTGCTTTCGGTGCAGTCACACCTGCCCAAAACAACAGTCGTTGTGGGCAAGCTTTTCTTCCTTAGCTCCGGGGAAGCGGTTGCGACGTATCCGGTGGATATGTAAGCACTAATCAAGCAGCATTGTTGCGTGGCCCAACAGTCCTTCGAGTTTACACTAGTTCTGCAGAGGAGTAATTAGTAATGAGAAACAAAGCACCCCTGTAAGTACGTCCCATTCTATGGTCAAAATTGGGCGTGGGACTTTCCGTTTACGGTAATGGGAGCGATCGAACTAATCAGCATCGTAGGGCATGTCTGAGAAGGGAGGAGTGTGTCAGCCTCCAGATCGCCCGGCGGATTACAACTGCACAAGGGGGCACGAGGCATTAGATCTCTTTACATTTTTGACTGACGGACAAGATCGCTCGGCCATTTTCAGGGTCCCCATCGTTAAAAGCACCTCCATTCTCGTCACCCTTTGGTAACAAGCGTCCCCGTCTCTCCCCTTAGTACTCTTCTAACATTCTAAGACAGATATACCCCAAGATTTCCAGCAATATCTCTCTTCGTTGACCATCATGCATTTTCTTCTCCTCGGCGCTACGGGCCGGACTGGCAAGCACGTCGTGTCTGAATTGTTGTCTCAGGGCCATACAGCCGTGGCACTCGTCCGTACCGAGGGAAGCCTCACCCCTTACCCTGGCCTTACCATCGTTACTGGCTCGCCCCTATCAAAGCCGGACATAAAATCAGCTCTCTCTGCGGCACCTTCGCTGACGCCCTCCGCGGCCATCATCACGCTGAACACCGTTCGCGAATCCGACAGCCCCTTCGCGCCTCAGTCATCACCCCCTCGCTTCCTGGCCGACTCATGCTCTAATGCGTGCCAAGTTCTAGACCAGGCTGGCGTTCGTCGTATCGTCGTTATGTCGACGGCCGGCGTTGGGGATTCTTGGGGCCCACTACCGTGGCTTTCCAAGGCCTTCATGGGGTGGACCAACATCAAGTACGCTCTCGAGGACCACGGCCTCGTAGACAAAGAGATTCGTTCCACAAACATGGACTGGACTCTCGTGAGAGCCGTAAGGCTCGAGTTCGATGATCCAAAGAAGGCGAAGCAGGCTGAAGTCAAGGATGTGAAGACTCTAGGCAGCAGCGGCGTTGGAATGCGCATGTCCGACAGCGTCAGTGTTTCTAGTGCAGCCAGGTTCCTGGTCAAGGTTGCAACCGAGGGACTCTTCATCAAAGAAGCCGTAGTGATAAGGAATTGATGCAACTGAGGATGTTGTGGAATATTTTACTAGTTTGGGAAAGCACTGCTGCGGAAAGCGCCCGGACACCTCACCTTCTTCAGTTGCGGATCAGTAATGAAAGGATTGAGTAAATACTTTACTGAAATGATGAGAGAGCTTGAAATACCCCTTAAATGCTATGCTCTGTGATTTGGGACCTACGAGTGCTGTCGCGAAAGCTGTCTATTTCAGTAGAAAGAGACACGAGTAAAAAGCAGAAGAAGACACAAAGCTTGTTCAGGGACTAATAGCAGTCTGGAACCAATTTCAAGATCCCAAATCAATCTTCCAGGCATCCTTAGCTTGAACATTCCCATTTCCCTTGCGAGCAATGTCAGCAACGGACTGCAGTTCAATTCTTCGGCGTCATTGCGCAAGGGCCACCAGTTTACATGTTATCCACCTGTCGTGAACCGACCTTGCACCTTGGCATGGTGCTTATTTCAACCGACGACCGTCGCTGCCCCGGATTGGTTGGGTATGCTTCGGGTGAAAATGCTGACAGCTTTTCTGAACGACTCCGGAACCACTTTTAGGAGACCGGAACCCGAGAAAACAGCCCCCAACGGACAATAAGACGGGATGAAGAAAGTGATTCCTTGGGATTGGCATAGACAGCAGCCGCTACTACTTTGCCCAGACCGGTCTAGCGGTCAGCTCAAAGCCTAGTTCTCGGCTGAGAAAGGAATGAAGGCTCGTCTGCCTAGGAGTTGGCTGAAAGGGTAACGCCTTACCCGACGCCGATACAAAGCAGTTCGTCTAGCCTGATATTTAAATGGGCTCACACCTCAGCAATTATATGTCGTCGAGTCAAGAGCAACAACCTTTTCCTTCTCTTTCAGTTACGAGAATGTGGTCTAAGCAGATTCTTGTAACGCTCGCCTGGGCCGCCCCAGTCATCCTGGCGGCGGTGCCCACCAACCAAAGCCGGCCGAAGACCTTCGAGCTCACCTTCACATGGGAGAAGCATGCGCCTGACGGATATGAGAAGGAAATGGTCCTGACAAACGGCCAATTTCCCGGGCCAGTGCTGGAGATGACCCACGGCGACGACATAGAGGTCACAGTACATAACAACATGCCCTTCAACACGACAGTACACTATCATGGTGAGTCGGAAAGCTCAGCAGAGACACAAACACAGAAGCTGATGAGGCACAGGCATCGAAATGCTCCACACACCCTGGTCGGACGGCGTGCCCGGCCTCTCGCAGAGACAGATCCAGCCCGGCGCGAGCTTCGTCTACCGGTGGAAGGCCACGCAGGCCGGCTCGTACTGGTACCACTCGCACCACCACGGCCAGCTCAACGACGGCATGTACGGACCGATCGTCATCCATCCCAAGTTATGTGCCGGCAGGCCCTTTGACAAAATCTCCAAGCTCCCGGGAGCGGTCAGCGCTATGCGGGAAGCCGAGGCGAATGTCAAGCCACTTGTGCTTTCGGATCACCGACACGTCACATCGGAACGGGGTTGGGAGATCAACGTCGCATCAGGCCTCGAGACGCCTTGCTATGACTCGATTCTTATTAACGGCAAAGGACGAGTTGAGTGCTGGACGTCTGAGAAGATGGCTTCGCTGTATACGGCTGAGCAGCGTCATTTCCTGCAGCTGGGAAACAAGACGTCATTTACCGAGAAGGGGTACAGCCTATGTCCAAGAAGCTCCCTATCACATCCCTTGCCTTAGTACTAACAAATTCATAGGTGCTTGCCAGCTGCCGTCATCGCCAGCATCCAGGCAAGGGGCAAGCAGACGAATCTGTCGGCCATACCTCCCGAGATATTCGACAAGTGCACCCCAACTACTGGATCTCGTGAAGTCATCGAGGTAACCAAGTCGTCCGACGCCAACGAAACATGGGCCGCCTTTGACCTCATCGGCACGTTCGGCCTCATCACGGGCTCTTTCTCCATCGACGAGCACCAGATGCACGTCTACGCGGTCGATGGTTCCTACATCGAGCCGCAAGAGGTCGAAGCCATCAGCATCACCAACGGCGACCGCTACTCCGTCATGGTGAAGCTGACCAAGCCTGGCGACTTCACCGTGCGCATGGCATCGCTCACAATGCCGCAGATGTTCGTCGGCTACGCGACGCTATCGTACCGCGACCCCAAGCAGGCCCCTCCTCCGAGCAGTGCACCGCCGTCTGTTGGTTACATCAACGACGTCGGCATTGCTGTGAACGCCAATGTCCGCTTCTTCAACCAGGCTGGAATGAAGGCGTTCCCTCCTGCACCTATCGCGCAGACTGCTGACCAGACGGTTAAAGTCTCGATGCGCGTAGCGGGACAGAGCTACAACTGGGCACTCAATGACACCATCTATCCCATGAATCTCGACAACTCAACACCACTGCTTTTTCAGCCGGACCCAGAGAGGCACAATAACGTAACCATTACGACTAAGAACGGCACCTGGGTTGACCTCATTTTCCAAGCGGCCGCCTTCCCCATGCCCCCTCACCCGATTCATAAGCATGGTAATAAGATGTACCTCCTTGGGACTGGCGACGGCCTTTTCAAATGGGATACCGTGGCTGAGGCAGTCAAGGAGATCCCTGAGAAATTCAACCTCGTTGAACCGCCGCGGCGCGACGGTTTCACTACCCCGGCTGCCCTGCAGGGGCTCAGCTGGATGGCGGTGCGGTACCATGTTAATAATCCTGGGGCTTGGCTAGTACACTGTCACGTCCAGAGCCATCTCTCTGGTGGGATGAGTATGGCCATCCAGGACGGCGTGGACAAGTGGGTAACAGTGCCCCCTGAGTACCTAAACTATTAAACGCGCCCAGTATAATTTTGTATAAACACTTGTTTTAAAGAAGATTAGTTATCCTATTAAGAATTGATATATAGACAAGAGAAGTAGTAGAAATACTTATCCTAAGTGGTCTATATAAGTAGCCTACTATATTTGTAGTAGATTTAACTAGTACTAGCTATATAGAGCTAGAATAGCTACAACAGGTCTTAATAACTTAGCTAAAGTACAAGGTAGTAGACTAAGTAGAGCACAGCACTAGACTAGCCTGCTCGAGATTGTGGACGAGGGCACAAACCAGATCCGTAGCCGACCACTTGGGTAGGGCACCGCCGTGGGTGCAGCTAAGGAGCCCGTTGCCATGTATGGCCCACGCCATCCGGCGTGCAACAAGCCTTTCGAGGCCTTTCCCAATACAGGAGAGGAGGGCTATAGGGCGTCAAGACCGAATGCTGCTCTAGTCTTTCCCCCGGGCGCTGGGAAGTGTCCGAGTTCCAAGCAGCGCTGGTAAAGCCTGCGCACCCGCTCGGCCAGCGAGACCCATCCGGCCTTTAGAAGCCGTATGGTGATTACGTCAATGCCCGTAAACGTGCTACAGTGGGGTGACAAAAGTCATGGTACACCTCACTTGATAACGCGTCACAACGTGTCCTCTAATATTCACCTCCTCTGCTTATTTTTCCTATACCTTTGGTAGGTTATAGCTAACTTACAAGCCTTTTGTTCTCACATATAAAGTCGAGGATTTTCTTGCTGGTCAAAGTGATGTAGTCATAATGTTGGTGGCTAGGGGATTAGTGGGTGTGCCAAGACTTTTAGCACCCCACTGTAGTTGCCCTAATACAGAATTGCTCCGCCCCTTCCGTATTAACCTAGGTATCCTAAAAGTAGGTAGTTTGGAGTCAGCGATGAGCATACAGTGGGAAATATGCCGGATCCAGAGTCCGTGCACGCTTTTGCTGTATATGGTTAATTTACTAATGTAGCTGTGCCATCTTTTTCACTTTGTCGGCCGGGAATGTGACTCTTTTTCTGTCTTGGCTACATTATTTAAAAGTTAAGAGAGAAGCAGGGTAAAGAGGTACTAAAGTCGGTTATGAAAGCGAAGTAGTTGTTAAAAAGAACTATATAAATAAAATCTGTATATTGAATAGAGAACAGCAGAGGGTTGTAGAGAACTAAAGCCCCTAGCTAAGTCGCCGCTCCGGGCGGTTAATCTAGGTAGCCTTTAGCACTAACAACTATCTTGTACTCAGTAAGTAGCGAACATCAAGCTGTATGGAGTTTATCCCTTGCGTTTTTATATAAAGGGTGCATTTTTAGAATAGGAGTTTATTATTTCTATTTATAAGGCTCTTGCTATCTTTACAACTAGATACTGTAGATAACGTAGGCGGTAAGGGCAACAACGCTTTGTACAGGTACAAAGAACGAGCAATTAGCCGTAAGTAACTTATGCACAATGTACTTTAAGTAGGAAATCCTCGGCCACAGCGACGCCGTAGGCCCACTCGCAAAAATTTAATATCAATTTTACAGCACAAGGCAGAGCCTATTACTCAATAGAATTCTAACCCCCTATTAGCATTACTAGTATATAGAAAGATGACCCCAGTTACAAGTAGATACAGGTACAAACATATATACTTAGGCACCTTAGGCAGGTGCCTTAACCTAGCAAAGCAATAACGTTAATAACGCCAGGGAAGCCGAAAATCTTAAAAGTCGTATCTTCTATATGCCTTTTAGTAGCTGAAGTCCTGTGACTATCAATATCTAAACAAACCTATCCTTTCTCAGTAGACAGAACCAAACGCAAATGCTCCATGCTGCAACAGGATTGGGTGGTGTGACAACGCCCGACAATATACCATTTTAGCAACTGCCAAAAGATCCGCCAGTTCTGGCACTATGTGGTCGAGCTGCACCACACATGCCCTTATGAGTGCCTCGATCGGCGATCTTCTTACACATGCATTGTATATATTATTAGGTATCACATTTCCCTTTGCTTGCTCCAGCTGCCTTACATCTCTAGGGAAAATAAGTACTAAGTTATTATAATACATAAGGGACCAACTTACGTCAGACCATTCTATTGTAGTACCAGATGGTTTCATACAGTACACTAAACGTTCTTCTTTAATTATAAGGGAGCGAGCATTTTTGCACGCTTTTTTTGTATGGCGCGCCGAATTATACCCATCCTGAACACACCTGTTATATATTAGATGAGGTTTAACCTAGGGACAGGAAAACGTACCAGCATTTAGCCTGTGCAAGAACAATCAAAGCAGATATAACGGAAACAGTAGCTAACTTCATAGTAAAATTCAATAGAGAATTGAGAAGGAGTGTTAATGACTTAAGGAAAGGTCAAGTAATAGATGAGGAGAGATATGCTACGGACTGAAGGCGGGTTGAGTCCTTATAAGGGCAAGAGTTTTGCTTTGGAGTAAGTTAGAGACCACTAGTAGTATACTTTCTCTAGACTAATACTTAGAAGGGATAGGATATTATAAAACTAACGCTAATGATATTAATCTTAATATATGAGATTACAAAGCGGAATTACTAGGGGTAAGTTTATATCTCTTATAGTACTATATAAATTTATTAACCTATTCATAGGCATAGTCTCTAAATTGTATAGAATGGGTAGCTTATTATACTTAAATACTATAAATGCGTTAGCTCTCCCCTACTACTACACTAGGGGTAAGTGAGATCATGTAGCACTCTAAGGGATAGTGTTACGAAATTAATTGCCCTGTAGCTGTTAAAGCGTGTGCTAATTCACTGCTGCCCAGGGCATCTAAGGAAAGGCAGTGGGGCAATGTTGCCAACATTAATTAGATAGATCTAGTCAAGTGCGTAGATACAGCGATTGTCCTTGGTCAATTGGGCGTATGTTAATGATGTGTATCTATGGCGAATTTCCTATCTTGTGGCCTAGAATTCGTGTCAAGGTGGGCGAAATGGCCGCGTGCGCCCGGGCGCAAGGTGAGGCAATTTGTTGAAGCGCGTAATTGGCAGCGATAACCTTGCGTTGATTGATTGCTCTGTTGTATGTGTTATGTGTGTAACTATCTCTATGTTACGCGGCCATCGCCGATCGGCCCTTAGGGGTAAATTCACGGATCATAATTTTCTCTTGTTTTAGGTGGAGAAATCCATCTGACAAATGACTGGCGCATTTGCCGTCAATTGCCCCACCTTGCGCCTGGGAATTCGTGTTGAAGCGCGTAATTGGCAGCGATAACCTTGCGTTGATTAATTGCTCTGTTGTGTTTAACTATCTCTATGCTACACGGCTATCGCCGATCGGCCCTTAAGGGGTAAATATACGGTTGCCGGTAAAATGCCAGTGTGCTTTTAGCAGTCTGCCAGTGATTTAAGCCTATTTTGGAAGGTACTGCCACTACTGCTATAGATAAAATAATTATATTCTATTGCCCTAACTCTAGGTAACCTAGACCCTAACCTAGACCTTAACCCAGACCTTAACCACTAACCCTATGTATCTCCTATAGCTACGTACGCCTTTAAAGATATATAGGGTTAGTAGTTAGGGTCTTAGTTACCTAGAGTTAGGGTAATAGAATATAGTATGTCTAGCTCCTATGCAGTAAGCCTTCTAGATTAGGGTAGACACTAGCTACTAACTAAAAGTATACTAGTGTCACGGCGGTGATACTGCGTTAGTTAGATATATAACTGTATTTCCTATTATAAGAATTTAAAAGTAAAAAGGAAAGAAATCTACCTTAGGGGGCTAGTAGTCCTGCTAGCTATTATATAGCTGTCTATTTTATTTATAAGTTACCTAATAGTTCTTATAACTAGGGGTTCTTATCCCCTGCCCTTTAGTAGGTCCTTTAGTGCTATAGGGCTTACTAGCTACTAAGGTATAAGTATACTAACTACTAAGGCTTAGGGCCTTAGCTACTAAGGCGTAGTGTATAGACTACTATAGCTATAGCGTACTTACTACTAAGGCGTAGTGTATACTAGCTACTAAACTATGCTATAACCTTATTTTTATTTATATATCCCCTATATAACCTTTTTAGCTATAATATTACTTCCTTTTTTAGAAGCTATATTATTTATAATATATATTTAGGCTTAAGTTCTTAGAGCGTATAAAATTAAATAAGGTTTTAGTAGCTATAAGTTAATTTTTTTAATTTCTTATATAAATTAATAGTAGTCCTTTTTTATAAGTTTATTAAGTTTTTAAAAATCTATATAGAATTATAAACTACTATTATATTTTTAAATAAATAGTATAGCAGCAGCCTAGGGCGTGTTCTCTAGCTTAAGCTAACTTTTTTATAAGTTCTTTAGGAGGTACTTTTTTATAGCTTCTAGCTCCTCTAAGGATTATTTATATAATAGGTAATAGGTAAGCTTCTTTTTCCCTCTCTTTATAAGCTTAATCTTATAGTTATAGAGGTAATAAGGGGTAAGCTAGTTACTTATTACTTTACTAAAGACATCCTTATAAGCGTAAAGTAAGATAAGGAGGTTAGTTTTAACTAAATTACGTATAGCCTAGTTATTAGCCTATAGGGGGTTATTAGCTAGCTTTTTTTTCTTCTAGGTAATTATTTAATCTAGCTTATAGAGGGAGATAGAACTAAGCTTAATATTTTATCTCTTTAGATTTATCTTAAAGGATACTACGTTAATAAATATAAAATAGTTATACTTCTATAGTGTTACTAACTATATAGACCTAGCCTTATAGTAAGGCTATTTAGTAGTGTATATAGGTAGAGGAGAACTATTAAGCGCCCTACTTATCTTATAGAGGTTCTTTTTTAAATCTTCCTTATAGGTGCGTTAAAGAATTTATTAAGGTCTCTACTTTTTTATCTTCTACTAGTATTACTAGTAGTTAATCTTAAAGACTTCTTATTAACGTTTAGTATTAATTTAGTGCTAAATATTAATAGTCTTTAGGGCGTATAAGTCCTTTATTTTTCTAATAATTATTAGAGGATAGGGCTGTTATA